TTATTGCTGGCTACCACACCTAGTTTTTTTTTGGGGGGGGGAAATAAAGAAAGAAAAATTTATTTCCCCCCCCAGGCGCGGGGCTGGGGCGGGGGAAGCCCGAGCTTCCCCCGACCCCAGCCCCCAGAACAGGCTGCTATCCGCAAGCCTTGGGAGCCCGGCAGGAAGTCCCGCTGGGCTCCCAAGGCTTGTGGAGAGCTGCCCAAAGCCCGGGGTGCGCTCCCCGGGTTTCGGGCTGCAGACTGCTGTCCGCAAGCCTTGGGTGCGCACCGACCCCTCTCGCTCTCCAGGCTTCAGCGAAAGCCTGCATTCGCCCCATAGGACGCACACACATTTCCCCTTCATTTTTGGAGGGGGAAAAGTGCGTCCTATAGGGCGAAAAATACGGTATTTTCATTGTAAACCACTTCAATATATTTTCTGTGAACTAGCAACCTATAAATAAACAGGACCACAATGACTGCCTCTCCCCATATGAACAGACCCTGCAATCATAATCTGAGTCCCTTCTTCATGGGACCCTTTCTGTGGTGGCTCACCTGACGCCTTCGTCACATATATTTAGGCACCAGGCAAAAACATTCCTCTTCTCCCAAGCCTTTGGCTAATTGTTTGGCCTTTTAAACTGTCTGTTTGGGTGTATTGTTTTTGTTTGTTACTATGATACATATTTTTGTGTTTTTATATTTTATATTTGATCCTTGGTATAAAGGGCGGTATAGACCTTTAATAAATAATGAGAATATACCCCTATGAAAACAATACTTTTCCTTACTAACATTAAAAAACTCTTTTTAAAGGAATCATCATATGGCTGCTTCAGGACGTGGTTGGATGAAAGGGTACTATGGCCCTGTTGGAAACCCTGCATTTGAAGCAACATACAGCCAGCAACATTTGCAGCAGTTCCCACTGGAAACACCAAGGTCTCATTTTTTGCTTTCTAGACATCCAGTATGGTCAAGTGAAAATGGAACTTTATGCGTAGAATAGGGACACCCTGCTACTGTTGAGGGAAATGATTGAATCCTGCCATTTACATGGTTCAAAGGCTACCCTTGATGAGCAGCTGTCTCTTCAGCTCCTAAGTAATATGCGTTAAAGCCAGGGTTGCCTTGCAGGAATGCGGAAAGCAACTTTGCTCTTAGGCTTGTGCACTTGGGTTTGGGCACTTGAACCATACCGTTCTTGCAGTCTTTCTCATTCTTTCTTTTACAGGCACTTCCCACCAAGGAGAGGAAGGGGTGGACAAAACCCACAGAGGTAAGAAAGTGGGGCTTCCAGGGAACCTCTGAAGACATGTTGTGTCTAGTCAAGGGCAGTTCATGTTCCGCAGGACAAAAAATTACATTTCTATCCTCAGAATAAAACGTGCAAATAAAATTGGAATAGGTCGGCTTAATTTGTATAAGCTGTTTCTAAAAGATGGGCTTCCTAGAATATGTATCTACATGAAATGCTGGATTTTGTCCTTGTGTTGCAGAACTTTGGAATGCCCAGAATACACATAACCTTGCCTAAATTGCTGTCTGGTCTACTTTTCAATTGTTAATGGCAGTGTATCAACTGAACACGATTTTATATCTGCTGTGCTAGTTAAAGAAATGCAAAATACTGCAAGATATGAAAACTGAGCTGCTGCACTAACAGTAGATGCTTTTTGTCTAAATAAAGTAGGCAGGGAGTAATGAATTGGCTCCTTTCCTACAAGCTACAGTACTTTATTTGCACAGGTATAGTTTTCCCTGAGGCAGTGCGGAGGAATGGTTTTGTTCTGGGGTAAAGACATCTGAAATTGATCACTGACAATGAGGAGCTCCCCCTAGCAGCTGGTTCCAGAGGGGGGCCATCTTATCCTTTTGAACCAAAAGCAACAGTCTTGTGACACCTTTAAGACTAGCAAACTGGCTTTTCTTTCCGCTCGGCATTGGTTGATAAAGCAGCTGCCTGTACCAGACTCAGAATTACAGCTGAAAGCTTGTCTGCTTTAGTGTTGCTCCAATCTCTCTGCCCTGGTGTACTTGCACCCAGCTCAGCTCTCAATACTCTCTCAATAGCCTAAGTTTTAAGAAGCAGACTTAGAAGGCTCCGATTACAGCATGGGTTGGAGTGTTGCGGTGCAGGCTCTTCAATACCACTTGGCTCTGCTCTGAAATTTGGTGCTTTCTCTTTCAGAAAACCCTATCATACCAATCACAGAAACCTCATCAACTGTTATGACAGTGGTCAGTCTGTTTACCATCCTCAGTACCTCCCTACAGCTGACATCACTCACCAAGGATTGGATTACTCTGTTAGGTCCAGCCAGGGGCTACACTATTCATCTTACCAGCAACAATTGCAAGGACATGCGGGGCCTCATTTTCCACAGCAGAGTCCTCATTATCCACAGCAACAAGGACGATATAAAATTGTCAGACGGGACCGTTGAAAACTCTGTTGATGGAAACCTAACAGGCAAGGAGGACACAATCTCATACTAATCAACATACCGTAAATGAATTATTGCCTCGCGATTTAGCCAGCAGATGAGACCCAACAGGTTACAGTTATTATTGTTTATTTATTACTCACCTTCACTCTGTGGTTCCAGGGCAGGACCACTTTGTACCACATCACACCAATGCTGTGGAGTTTTCATTCTGTGATTGCTTACCAGCAAGATGTAGCCATTCCAGCCATTAAATGAATTCATAATTGATAATCGCTTATTAGCTGGTCTCCTGAAATGTCTCTTATTAAAGTCATGTTTGGGAGTTATAAGGCTCCTCAGTGCAGAAGCTGCTTCCACAAATGTTAGCAAACTGACCTCAAAATGTGTGTTAAATAAAGATTACTTTCCCCTGCTCTTGACATGACCCTCCCAAGAGGAAAATGGACCTGGTCCTTTCAAAATGGATTTCTGGCTCATAAATCAGTTCAACTCCAGTTTGCAACCAGATTCAATGAACTAGTTGCTGCTTTCTCCGTAACCTGGGAACTCTTCCTATAGTCCTATAGGGATGCTGTCAGTTGCACCAATCATAATGTGTTTTCATATGTAACTGAAGCTGTGTGGGTCTGGACCATGTAGAACCAGCACTACCCTATAATGAAACTTACAGTAATCCCTCGTTTTATACATGGGTTTGGTTCCAAGGATCATGTCCAATCACCGACATCATGTATAGGGCGTGATTTTTTAAAGAGCTCTTTGCACACCTGGTAACCCCAAATGGATCTGGCGCAAAAAAAATGCTTTTAAACTTTCTGCCTTGCTTCAGACTTGAGTTGCCCAATTGACTTGTTGCTGTTTCAACAAGCTCACCTTCAACCATGTTTGGCTGAAACTGTGCAGGTCAGATGTGTGTAAAGTGAGGGGCTACTGTACCAGGTTTGGGAATTTTCTAATCTTGGGTTTTTGTTTTCTTTTGCCTTCTATTACATAACAGATGTCTCATTTGCATCTATTGGAGTTGATATTTCACATATACTGTATTATTATGCCGTGGGGGTGGAGTATCTGCTCCTGATACTACCCTCAAATTTAATTGTCGTGTGCAAATCTTTTGTAAGCTGCAGTGAGAGCCTCTTGGGGCTATGGAGCAGAACATAAATGCTGTATTCTAAATAAATAATAGCTGTATCCTCCATGAATCTGTCTCCTATCAAAGCTAGGGTGGGAGCTACCGCCACCTCTTCTGAAAGTGAATTCCATAGTATTAGTTATGTACTGGATGAAGACATTTCCGGTGCTCATTGTTCCGTGACATTTTGGTTGGTCCTAATGAGGCTAGCCATGGGCCCTGCTTTACAGAGGATGGGCCTTAGTCTGAAGATCTGTCAGAGGAGGACAGGCCCTCTGGTCTGGTTTAAAGATAACAACAAGGAAGGAAAGCACAATTTTTTGACAGGGTGGTGCTCAAAATTACCCACCACCCTGGAAACCAGAAAGAGTATTCCTGCATCTTAGACACCTGCTCCCATTCTTGATTTGCATTCTGCTTTTCCAACAACAAATGTTGAGCTCAAAGCAGCTCATCATCATCATCAATTTATTGTTTGTACCCCGTCCATCTGGCTGGGTTTCCCCAGCCACTCTGGGTGGCTCACAATAGAACATTAAAAACATGATAAGACATCAAACACTAAAAACTTCCCTAAACAGGACTGCCTTCAGATGTTTTCCAAAAGTCAGGTAGTTACTTATTTCCTTGACATCTGATGGGAGGGCGTTCCACAGGGCTAAACATATTCACAACAGCATTAGGAGGTGGGAATGTAAACACGATAATATCAAATACAGTATGAATAAAGTAAACGATAACAACAAATACATCAAAACAATGGATACAATTCAGTGAAATCATAATTCATAGTAATTAGAAATATTGGAAAGAGCTGCTGCGCACCAGACGTGTGCCAAGTGACGTTGTTGCTGTGGGAAGGAAATTCTTCACTCAGTGCAGCAGGCAGCCTATTCCCAGACAGTACGATCTGTCATAGTTTTCCCCACTACAAGCAAGACACATTCCTGCTAAAGGGCAGCAATTATTTCTAAATTTGCACCTACACATGTACACGAGCACATTCGCATTTCATGCAAAACTCTGTTCTTGTGCCCTTTTAAGGTAATGTGCATATACGTGCGTGTGTGTGTTTGGGGGTGGGGAGGCGATGTGCAACTGGACCCCCTTGTCCTAATAAAAGTGTTGCCCAACTGATGCTTTCGAATGAAGCTTCCCAGCCGGGGAGCAGGACGTCTCCAGTCTCTGCAAGCGGGGGGGGAGGCTGTTGCCCAACCGCAGCGACCCTTAAAAACTTGCAATCCCCCGAGCGACAAAACCACCCTCTTTCTATGAGCCGCTTTCACCTCCGCCCGGGCTTGGGTGCACGTGGGGAAGGGGAAGAGTCCGAAAGCGAGTTTCTCCAACGAGAACCCGGAAGCCGCCTATCGACACTAAGCAGCGACCCTTCACCTAAATATATCTCTGTTGAAATATCTCTGTGGCAGGAGGGCCGGGCTAGAGAAGCCGGAAGTGGCCTCCCGGAAGTGGCTCATGTTCCGTATCTGCCTCCGTCCGTCGCTCGCAGGTCTGTGCAGCCCAGCCAGGAGAGGCGGCCCGCGCCCGCAAGCCCAGGTGAGTCCGGGGCCTGGAAGGCGGCCTAGGAGCTCCGCGAGCCGCGGCTCCTGCTTTGCTGCCGCCCTTCGAGCCTGCCGCCCCCAACGGCAGAGCTCTGGGCCGCTTCCCTCGCCGTCCGGGGGGCGGGAGGCATCGGCGCCGCAGCCCGCCGCTTGGACCGGCTCACGAATTCGCCGGGCTCCGCTGAAAGGGAGGGAGGGAGGGAGGGAGGGAGGGAGGACTGTCGCTGCTGCTTATTTGCCTACTAAATTTGCCATAGCTGTCAACGTTTTCCCCTTTTTAAGGGAAATTCCCTTATTCCGAATAGGGTTCCTCGCAAGAAAAGGGAAAAGTTGACAGCTGTGAAATTTGTGTACCGCCATTCACTCGGAGATCCCAAGGCAGTTCACAGCATCAAAATGCAAAATGCATACTAAAACCCTCCAGGAGTGGACGCCCACCCAGCGGTGGCAGCCGATGGTTAGGGTGGCAGGAGCAGTAAGAGGACAAAGCGAGCCTTGCAGACCAAGGAACCGCCTAGTCCAGCACCTTTTTCTCACGGTCCTTCAGTGCCATTCAGACGTTGCTGGACCCAGAGGTGGATTTAGAGGAGCTCAAGTTGTTCAGTAGCACTGGGCGTGGAGCCTCGAAGGCACCTGCAGCAGATGCCACAACAGTGATGTAGAATGAAAGACAAGAGATGGGGGTGTGCACAGAATTTTGGCACCACACAGTGCACCACTTGCTGGACCATCACCCCTGATCGTTGGCCATGCAGGCTGCAGGGAGTTGGGAATCCAGCAGCACCTGGAGGGCATCATGTTGACTAGCCTTGCTCCAAGCTGTTGTCCTGATTGCAGCGCTGTCACTCCAAGGAGCCACATCAGCACATCCTCTGCTCGCTGTTTGAGCAGAAATGATTTTTCTCCAGCTCTGCAGATATCACGACAAGTCAAGTCAAGTCAAGTTTATTGCGGCCAAAGCCAGTGACACTAAACACCATAAGATCAGACAACAAGAAATCAGCAACAACTTCAGAAAAGAAAAAAGGTTACACAAGAGAACTTCACAGTGTGCCATTCAACAGAAGAGATTTACGCTTCTTAATTACTAAAGTGCAATATTTAGCCACCTCATATGATACTGAGCTTGAGGAATCTTCCAGGAGGTATTTTCGAAGAGTTTCAGGGGAGGATTCCAAATAATATTGAAGGGGTATAAATTTTGATAGAAGCGGTAAAATAAGTTGAACTCGTTCTTCACTATAGAATTCGCAAGACAAAAGAATGTGTGTGACAGATTCTACCTTATTAGACATACAAGGGCAGAGACGCGCCTGCATTGGAACTCGCGTGAATTTGCCGTACAGCACTGCTGAGGGCATTGTCTCAAAGCGGGCTCTAGAGAAAGCCCATCTATAGGTTTCGTTAGTGATGTTAGTTAAGTAAGGGGCAGCTGCAAAATTAGGCCAAGCTTTTATACATCTATACGTCTCTGGGAGTAGGGCGCCTTCTTGTTGTAATTCGATATCATAAAGTCTCCGAGTGATAGTAGCTTTTGCCTTGTTCAGAGTTCCAATAAAAATATTTTCAGGGTTTAGGCCAATTTGTTTGATCTTGTTAGTTATTTGCATAAGCCAAGGAGGATAGGGAACTGCGGCCAGGAAGCAAGGTAATAGACCCTTAGGATTGTAATGGATTTTCAGCCAGAGGGATATTGCTTGTTCCCAGACTTTTAATTCCACTCTGGGCAGTCCTGCCTCTTGCCTTAAGACTGCATTAGGTGTACACTTAGGAGTAGCAAATAATGATCTTAAGAATTTAGATTGTACTGTTTCAAGGGTCTTAAGGTTGGCAGAGGGGCTAATTTGAGAGCCATATAGAAGTTGGGCTAAAGATTTTGCCTGAAAGACTGTTAGGGCCATCGGGAGGAAGCCAGCTCCTTTCCTTCTGAATAATCTAAGGATAGCATTTGCACTTCTTTCTGCTGATATAGCTGATGTGGTCAAGTGTGTTGAGAATTTGGCATTATAAGAGAAAGTAATGCCTAAGTATTGGAAGGTCTTAGTCTGTTCAATGGCGTTTCCCTTTACGCTCCAATTATCCTTCCTAAAGGAGCGGTTAAAATGTACAATTTTGGTTTTGGCAAAATTAATTGTTAACAGTTCAGTGTTACATTGGTCACTAAACTTTCCTAAGGCACGTTTCAGACCCACTTTGGTTTGAGAGAGAAGAACAGCGTCATCCGCATACATTAAAATTGGTACTTTTCTGCCATTAGAGAACACAGGGGGGTGGGTTTCAATTTCACGGCAGCATGTGACCAGGGAGTTGACATAGATATTAAATAGGAATGGGGCTAATAGGCATCCTTGTCTAACTCCTCTTTGGACTAGGATTTCTCTAGAGAGTCTGCCGTCCTGTGCAAGTCTTATCTGGAGGGTATTGTTCTCATGAAGCTTAATCATCAGAAGTAATAACCTTCTGTTAATACCCATATTGGCCAATTTGGCCCAGAGCCTGCTCCTGGATACAGAATCAAATGCTGCCTTTAGGTCCACAAAGGCCGCATATAATGACTTTTTCCAATATTTCGCATACTTATAGACAAAGTAATCTAGCACTAAGCAGTGATCAATGGTGGAACGTCCGGATGTAAACCCTGCTTGTTCAATTTCTAGCAAGTTATTATGATCTAACCATTCCCATAATTTTAGGCATAGATGTTTTGTATAAAGTTTACAGATCACATTCAGGAGACTAATTGGTCTATAATTAGATGGATCTGAGGGGTTGCCCTTTTTAAATATGGGAACAATTATAGCTAGTCCCCAATCTTTAGGGATTTCAGTTGTCTTATCTATATATGAAAATAGATTAGCAAGGACCGGGGCCCACCAGTTTATTTGCGCTTTCAGAAGTTCAGCGACAATGAAATCACTTCCTGGGGCTTTGCCAGATTTCATTTGTAGAATTAGCGAAGTGATTTCAGTTTCAGATGTTGGGGGCCATGGTGTATCATTATCTAGGGGATGTTAAGCGGCGCAGAAGGACGATGTTCCCTAAACAGCACTTTATAGTGCTCTTCCCATGAATTTGCAGGGATTATTGTGCCCTCATTAGGAGCTTTGGTTTGACTGGAGATAATTTTCCAGAAGTTGGAATTGTCTTTTTCTATTGACGCTTTTATGAGGGCCTGCCAAATGAGAGAGTCTGCGGTTCTTTTTTGGTTTTTAATAACTCTTTGTAGTTCTTTTTTTTAAGTTGTAACTCCAATTTAGTGATAGGGTTAGGATTTTGCTGGAAGACCTTAAAGCATTCCCTGAGTATAAGTTTTGCCTGAGTGCATTCGTGATCAAACCATTTTTGTTGGTAGGGGAGTCATTTTGGTTAGATCTTCTGGGTCTTGACAATAACGGTTGGAGTTTTCGGATTAATGTATTATAATGGTCAATTGGGGAGGTCTCTTCAGTGTCGTTGGAAGTTAGATCAGCCCAGAGGAGTTGACCTTCCATTGATTGTGTCCAGATACCAAAATGGTTATTAACATAAGGGGACCATTTGATTCTGGATCTGCCTATTTGTTGTAAAGCGCTAGGATCAGGAGTCTGCGGGGCAAGCCCACATCTAGAGGGTTCCCAAAATTCAGTCCTTTTAAGGTTTAGGGGTAAATGGTCACTTTCGGTTCTTATATCTACAGCAAATTCAATATATTCATCGAAGAGTTCTTGGGAGACAAGGATGTAATCAATAACAGAATGCCTTAAGCCTGACCAGTAAGTAAATTGGCCAGGGCAGTCCCCCGAGGAGAGGCCGTTTAAAATAACAAGGTTTAATCTAAGTGCCATTAAAAAAAGACATGTACCAGCAAAATTGGAAACTGGGTCAAGTGAGTGGCGCCTGAATAGGGGCCAATGTTCATCATTAGCATTTAGGGGACCCATTCCACTTTCCTTGATTAACTGTTCGTCTGAGTGGCCTAGCCTTGCATTAAAATCCCCACCAATAATTAAGGAGGCAGAGGGAAACTTATTTGAGACGAGGAGAATGCAGTCTTCCAGTTCGTTCCAGATGTTTTTAAGATCAGTTTGTTTCATAAGTGGGTGAATATAAACATTGATGCATATGATCTTAAAATGGGTGGAGAATATTTTAACGGCCAAAATCCATTTTTTATCGATTTTCAATTGGATAGGGGAGGCTCCTAGATCTGTCGATACGAAGGTGCTCAGACCTCCCACCGGTCTTCCGCCTTTTGGGCCGATTGAGGCAGGGGAATGGAAAGCAAAGTAATTGTGTAGTTCGAAAGGATTTTGCATCCAGGTTTCTTGGAGCAGGATGATCTTGAACTGTGATACGTAGGTTAAAACGTCTTTGTCCCTTGTTTTCGATTGCCATCCAGCAATGTTCCAGGATAGTAGTAGGGGTGAGAGTCATTTTGTCTCTTCAATAGCATCTAGGGCTTTCCCGGAGTCGTGGAAGATGCAACCATTGAATGGTTGAGTCTCCGGTAATGTGATTAGGGGCGCCACAGAGATTTCGGCGTGGATTTCAGATGGGCAGAGTAGGGGTGTGTGTTCTGCCGTGACCTGAGGAGATTCATGACCCATTTTTCGCTCCGAGTTAGGTGGAATATTTGCCTCTTTTGTGGGCGCTAGATCTTCAAAGTTGCGGAGATAGAGTAGTAACTCATCTAGTCTGTCCGTTATCTCTGTTTGTTCGGCTTTTGGCAGATGGGAGAAGGAGACAAGTAATTCCTGCTCCATCGAATTCTCAAGATGAGTAGCCTTTGATAGGAGGGGCATGGGGGTCTCTGTCCAACTAATTAAGTCTGAGGGTGGAGAGGTAGAGCTCGTAGTAGATGGAATGCCCTCATTTTTAATTGCTTTCCTTTTAACTGGAGAGTAGGGAATAAGAGGGCAAATCTTAGTGTTGATAAAAACTCTTGTGATAAAAATTCTATAATTAGTCAGATAGCTTCGTAAGGACATCATATAAGTTGGAAGCTTTTTAGAATCAAAGGTGAGCAGTATCCTCTGCATGTGTGGCTTGCTGTAAATGTGGACAGTAGATTTCAGATCGATGGAAAGAGGGTCTACGCCCAGAAGCTCAGCTAAATGCCTTCTTGCGACATGTGTAGACGACCAGTTAACAACCTGACCTTTGAAGGGGAGGATAATTAAACAAAGTCTAGTGGCTTGTAACGAAAGATTATAGGAAGATATGGTGTGTAAATCTTCCATAGATTGTTCGTTTTCAGATTTGCAGCCAATCTGCGGGGTTGAGCGTAATAGGGCAGGTACTCTGGGCGTTGGTTCAGCCCTATCCTCCGGTGAAACGTCTACAGGGCTGACATTAACTTTTGGGGATACAAGGGATGTAATATTCTCTAAGGAGCCTTTGATGTCTCTTATGTATTTAAAGATACAGTCCACGGTTTTAGCCACTAGGTCTAACGTAGTAGAGTGTTCAAGCAGTAATTCAGAGAGATAGTTTGCTTGTTCTCCGATGCAGTCTTCCGCCTGAAAGGGCTTAGTTGGAACTTTTTTGGGGCCTTTTGGTCTCGTGATGGTGTTGTTTAAGGAGTTAATGAGTTGTTTAGTGGGTGGTTCCTTCGGTGTAATTTCTTTATCTATTATCTCTGCTAATGGCGGGAAGCTGTTCGAGGTCGGAATATTAAAAGTGTCCTTTGTTTTTCCATAGAAGAATTCGCTGATTTTGGTTTGCTTGGTAAGGGGCAAACATGCCATTTCCTCTAAGTCCTCAGACTCTCTGCAGCGTTTACCAACCCCCCTCCTCGCATCAGCAGGGCCGTCTAATTGCTGAGTCATCTTTCCCTTTGCCTCGCTCTTTTATCTTCCCTAAGTTTTTCAAAGAGTCGAGGGAGTATTTTCCTTGAAAGTATCCTATTCAAGGAGGAGGAGTGTGCCAAAGGTTATTGGCATAACACTAAATTATGCTCCGTCTGTGCCTCCAGACTTATGGTGGGAGCAGCCCATGAATCTTCCTGTAAGCTCTTCGCAGTGTGATAAGATAGGCAATACGGCTTTAAAGCTCCAAGAAGAGTCAGGAAAGCGGAACGTAGGATAGAATGGGGTGAGCTCAAAGTTCATTAAAATAGCTCAATGTTCATTAAAATAGTCTTTAAAAGGGGTAAGAGAGAATAAAAAGATAAAATCAATGGGCTCACATTAGTAGAGTGCTGTCCGCCATCATACCGGAAGAGGAAGCCCGAGGCACCCGTGCCATTCCAGATATCACGACAATAATCATGTGTTGTCTGCTCTCTCTATAAGGATCTTATAAGATCCCAGCCAGAGTGGTGTAGTGATGAGAGAGTTGGACCAGGCCAGGTTCAAATCCGCACTTGGCTTTGAAGCTCCTTGGCCAGTCACTCTCTCACAGGCTCACCACGGAGCAGCCTGCTGGATCAGGCCAATGTCCCATCTAGTCCTGCATCCTGTTTTCAAAGTGCCCAACTAGATGCCTGCCAGGAACATGCAAGCAGGACATCGTTGCAACAGGACCTCTTTCCTCCTTCGGTTTCCAACAACTGGTATGTGGCGGAAGAGCATAGCCTCCATCATGGCTAGTAGTCATTGGTCACTACCTTCTCCATGAATTTGTCCGATTCTGTTTAAAATCCATCCAAGTTGGTGGCCATCACTATCTCCTGTTGGAGCGAATGCCATAGGTTAACTTAACTGTAGCCCAACATCATGTTCTAGATTGTGGTAGGAGATCCGTGTGTGATTTCCTGGCATTGGAACAAGGGGCAGCGAGTAGTTGCCCAAGGCTTGCCTGTTGCCTTGCTAGCAGTGGTAGGGCTTGAATGCCATATCCAGTTATCTTTCTAATCCCCACCACCAATTTAAACACCCCCTGTATTCAACCTGATGTTCCCTGGATGTTTTGGCATATAACTCCGCTTAAGCCTGTGCTGCTGTATGATTCTGGGCCTGATGGAAGCATAGCTTTGCTGGTTGGGACTGATGGGACTTGTAGTCCAAAATATCCCAAGTTGGGAAAGGCTGATCTGGGTGCCTTCAGTTGGAGGATCAGTCTGGACTTCAGTACAAAAAGACTTTAGAAAGATAATCATCTTTCTAGCATGCTCATCTAGTGAATGAGAAGTACAGCACAAGTTGAGTGTCACAGTTTAGTATAAAAAGCCCACATGCACACATTACCTGAGGCAAAGCTATTTGGGAAGGTTGCTTATTATCAGCAGCTGAAAAGGGGAGGCTGTTTGGAAGTCACAACTCCTATTCTAGCATTAAAAACATCTGATGAAGGGTAGCATCATCATCAAGCTGACTACAGTACTGGGTGGAACTATATTTAAAGGCTGCCTTTCTATCCAAGGCAGTGAACAAAAAGTACATTATTGTAATAAAACATTAAAAGTACAAAAAATCCCCAATATATTAAAATATAATTTAGCCCATATAAAAGCCATTTCCTGAGCTGCAGCAATATGATGAGAGGGGGGATTTCTAGTAGTGAAAGGGAGGTTTCCTACTAAAGTTAATTTAGCATTTCCTTATAATTTGGTCTCTTAAATGACTTGCAGTCCCCAGTTCCTGCTTCTGAAGACACAACTGGTAGTGGAAATGCTTGTTGTTATGCTTTTTATAATTAATACCTGAGACACTGTGACCTTAAGGTTTATTGGATTGTAGTCATAAGATGTGTTTTCACCAGCATTCTTCAGTTACGCAAATATTAGAGCTTAAGTTTATATGAGAGTCCATGTCCCGTGTATCTTCCAGAGATTTCAGTTAAAGGGTTTATCTGGATACAAATGGTTTCAGTGCCGGTCATATCAATTTTCTTTACAGACTGACCCCCTATGCCTGACCACGCAGATGTCAGCCTGCCCCCAGAGGACCGGGTCAGGGGTCTTATCCAAATGGGCAGTAGTGTGGAGGTGAATGAAGATGTCCCACCTCGGAGGTACTATCGTTCTGGAGTTGAGATCATCCGGATGGCAACTATCTATTCTGAAGAAGGCAACATTGAACGTGCCTTTATATTGTACAACAAATACATCACGTAAGAAATTTGCATTGCTCAGTAATAACAGAAGTACCATTGTATTGTAAACCAGCTGGGCCAGATGGAGCTTATACGAGATTCTTGCCCAGTTACTTATTGTGACTCAGGTGTGCTGGTACTGGCTTCTTCCCTCACCTAACTTTTTAATCAGCAAGAAGAAGATGACTTTATCTCATCCCAAACCTGAGCCTAATGGTTTATCTAAGCAACCTGTCAAATCAACCCTCGATTGTATTTTAATCTTTGTGGATAGTTCTGTAAATCTTGATTCAAAGACAAGGCAAGTGTCCAGCCTGCATGTAATGGATGTGCATTCAGTAGAAGGGCTGTAGCTCATAGGTAGAACATCTGCTTTGCATGCAGAAGGTCCCAGGTTCGACCCCTGGTTTCTCCAGGTATTATTATTATTATTATTTTATTATTATTCGAATTTATATACCACCCTATACCCAGAGGTAGTGGTGGGAATGTTGTCTGTCTGAAAGCCTGGATAGATGCCACCAGTCAGTGTTGACAGTACTGAGCTAGCTGGATCAACAGGCTGGCCTATGGGTTGTATCAAATGTTAGTCCTACTTGGAGTAGACCAATTGAAAATGAAATACATGACTAACTTAGGTTCATTCATTTCAGTGGTCTACTCTGAGTAGGCCCAAGTCCCCTTTACCAGCTTTGTCTGGTTCTCCAACTGCAACCTTTCCTGGACAAGAATTGCCTGACCAATGTAGTCCAGACATTTGTAACCTCAAGACTAGATCACTGTAATCCACTCTACTGGAGCTGTCCTTGGATCTGGTTTGAAAGCTCCAGCTGGTGCAGAATGCAGTGGCCAGACTGCTGGTGGGGGCAGTGGACCAAAAACATGGGACAACTTTGTTAAACATTCTGCTCTGGTTGCCCATCTGCTGCTGAGCCAGTTCAAGGTCGTTGTATTCACTTACAAAACCCTGGACAATTTAGGTCCTGGGTACCTGAGGGATCACCTGAACTCTTATATCCCAGCCCAACCTTTATATTACTGAGATCATGTGCAGAAGCGTCATTGGTCATTCCCCAAGTTGGTGGTGCTCATTTGGCAACAGCAAGAAACCATGCCTTTAGTGTCATCAGCACAGTCCTGTGGAACACTCTGCCAGTAGAGATTAAGCAGGCACCTTCTGTGCCAACTTTTAAGTGCCTGCTGAAAACCTTGCTGTTCTGCCTGGCCTATGCAGGCAATTAAGAATACAGCCTTCCACAGTCACTAATTGGTGTCTGTTTTTAACTCTTTAATATAGTTTTATTGTACAATTTTATATTTCAGGGATGTCCAACTCCCAATAGACTGTGATCTACTCACAGTATTAAAAAACTGGCAGTGATCTACCCATTGTCGTAAAAAGACTGACAGTGATCTACCCAAAGTTGTTGAACTTTTTTTAGTAAGCCAAAGTTTGTTTTTTGCTTTTTTTGCTTTTTTGTAAGGAGATCGCTGAGGGGCCGGATATCTAACAGGAACACCCTGATCTACTGGTAGATTGCGATCTACCTTTTTTGGACATGCCTGTTGTATTTTATTGCTGTATACCACTTTAATGCAGTTTCTTTTATGACATAGCAATATAGAAATATTTTTATAAACAAAATAAAATACGGTACAAGCGCAGTGGGGATGGGGAAGATAAATGAGCATGTCACTGGTGTAATGTCTTAGGCATGAAAAGCACCATGTTTTGCTCATCACTCCCAATAGTCATTAATACAACAGCTGCCGGGGGGGGGAGTTGGGGGCTGTGTGAATGCTGTAAAAATTACTTCTGGGGTTGGGCAGGGGGACCTTATTGATTCCATTATATGAGGATGAAAAGTCAAATGAGTTTCTTTTAACCCAGAAAAGTAGTTTTTGTAATTATCAGCAAGCAGGCTCAAGGGAGGTCTCTGGGCTGTAGCACTGACTGCCAAACTAACAAAAACTGTAACTTGCCTGGATTGTTGAATGCAAAAGGATCTGCCAGGTTTGTGTATTTAATTTATAAATTTATATCCCTCCTTTCTCCCAAACTGGGATTCAAGGCAGCTTGCAACATTTGAAAACAACATTATAAAATACCAGTGTTATAGAAACAAACAAGTTGAAAACAGTAATTAAAATACTCTCACTGAGAGAACTGAGATTACAGGGAACCAGGCAGAGGGCCTTCTCAGTAGTTGCTCCCGCCCTGTGAAACACCCTCCTGTCAGATGTCAAGGAAATAAGCAACCACCTGACTTTTAGAAGACATCTGAAGGCAGTCTTGTTCAGGGAAGTTTTTAAGGTTTGATGTTGTATTATGTTTTAATTTGTTGGAAGCTGCCCTGAGTGGCATAGGGGCGTATAAATAAGAAACTATCACCACCACCACCATCAGAGCACATTTAGAACCGGCAATTAAAGTGCAATTTGCCCTGACTATAATGGTCTGCACCTTAAGTTTTTAAAGGCCTGTCTGAACAGGAAGGTCTTAGCCTGCTGGTGGAAGGATAGCAAAGAGGGAACCAATCTAATCTCTCCTGGGAGGGAATTCCACAAATTGGAAGCAGCCAGAGGAAATGCTGTCTCTTTGGTCACCACCAACCGTCCTCCTTAAGTTGATGGGACCGAGAGAAGATCCCCAAGAATCTTAGGGAGATGCAATATTTCAGATAGCCTGGGCACAAGCCATATAGGCTCTTATAGGCCATAACCAACACTTTGAATTGTGCTCAGAAACAGACTGTTAGCCAATGAAGTTAGCTCTCCGTAACTGGCCTCAAACAGCAGTCTGCCTGGCTGCATATATCGACATGTAGCTTCAGTTACTAGTTCAGTTCAGCTTATTTCTTACTAGGCCAAGAGAATCCTCTTCCATTCCTCCCCTGGGAAAGAGGACCTTCATTTTCACTTGTTGGCATTTGCTGATTATTGAGCCGCGAGGTTCACATTTTCCCTTCAGTGTTTGAATGAAAAGCTGATAGCTGACTCAGAGCTGCAGTTTAAGGTTACCCAATCAAAGGCCTGGTTGTTTGTTTATTGTTGAGATGCCACATATATCAGTCTTAACAATCTTCTAAGTTTGCTTTGAGGGACGCGGGTGGCGCTGTGGTCTAAACCACAGAGCCTAGGGCTTGCCGATCGGAAGGTCGGCGGTTCAAATCCCCGCGACGGGGTGAGCTCCCGTTGTTCAGTCCCAGCTCTTGCCCACCTCGCAGTTTGAAAGAATGTCAAAATACAAGTAGATAAATAGGTACTGCTCCAGTGGGAAGGTAAATGGCATTTCTGTGCGCTGCTTTGGTTTGACAGAAGCAGCTTAGTCATGCTGGCCACATGACCCGGAAGCTGTACGCCGGCTCCCTTGGCCAGTTAAGCGAGATGAGCGTCGCAACCCCAGAGTCGTCCACGACTGGACCTAACGGTCAGGGGTACCTTTACCTTTTACCTTTTAAGTTTTCTTTGAGAGATCTGGGAGTCAAAGCTGGGGGCAGGGTGGGGGAGTGGGAATCTTCATTCTCCTAGGAGACAATATCAAATTTCTAGTGAGCTGTGCTGTTGGGGTTTTTCCAGTAACATTGAAAGTCGCTTTACTGTTCAGCCAGTTTTTTAGCAGTGCCTCAAAATCCTCCCTAAGGATTTGGATTCCACAAGAGCAGCCTTCCTTGTAGCCAAGAAGGGATATTGGCACTCTTCATAGGCGGTGATGTCATGCATATCACAGGAACCTCCCATGCAGTTACTCGCTTTCACAACCTTTACATTCATTCAGTTCCCAAGCAAAATGCCTTTTCTTTCCTGTCTTGGATGTGATTAGCTGCCTTGCTCCAGAGTCCAGTGTATTGCATTGAGCTCCTCCGCCCCCCCCCCTTTAGTGCTGTGGGCTGGTTTGTGGCCTCTGTGTGTTTACTCAGAAGTAAGTCCCACCAAGTTTGTTAGGGCTTACTTCTGAGTAAGTGTTCATAGGGTTGCAGCTTTAGGGTTTCAGGTGCTGTTGAAATCCTTTAACACGCTGAAAATCCGCTTCACAGTTCGTTTCAAAACGTCTCTAAGCGAATGTTAAATTCTTGTTAGTTCCAAAAATGGAAGTGGGGTTCTGGTATGGTCAGCCTTCTCTCCTTTCCAATGGCTGTTGCTGCCACCATTACCCAGGCATCTTCTATGCACAATTTTCCTGCTCCAGCCCCATTACATTCAGTACATTTTTTCCTGATTAGCATCACCTTCAGCCTTGCTTAACCTTCCATGCTTCCTCTTTTATGGGCATTTCTGGGAAGAGAAACTGGCCAAGGGACCTGCTAAGTGTAAAACTTGGTGGATCCCTTCCAGCTCTGCTCCCTCTTGGCAGCCACCTAAGCCTCCTTTAACTAAACAAATCCTCCAACTGTGATTCTGCCATTGCAGTAACAAATGCGGGAGCAGTGAGGAAACTCTGTGTGGATTACAGTACAAATGGTGTTTCTATTTTGTCAGGCCTTGTGCAGGACTGTCCTTACTGTGAGGGAACTCGTCTTGGAGGACTAAGCATGGCTAAGCCTAAATTATCCATTTTTGGAGGGTTGCTCAACCTGATCCCACCAGGGATGCTCAGACTTTTGAATGAAGTTGGCATAGTCATTGCGAAGCGCTTCATAGGTGCAGAGCAAATTTGCTCAGATGATGGGAGGTTGTAATGGGGAGGTACTGAGAGCAAATGTGCTTCCCAAAGGGTCCTCTCCAGGGACAGAGTGGTGAGTTCATCCTGCCTTTCCAGAAGGCAAATTCAGTAGCAAGACAATAAAACTGAGGTAGACCTAGAAACATTTTTGTTTAGAATTTGGAGGGGTTGGATAAAGTTGTTTGGAGACTGAACTTCTGGTTGGCCAATCCTGGCCTAAATCAGCATCTGAATGAAAGTACATTTAAGTTGCTGAAATAGGACCCTTCAGATTGCAGCTGAAAACTGATTTGTCAGTTATGTGCAGGAGGTTGAACCATTTCCATTTATGCAAACCTGTGCCTGAAGTAGGCTTGAGCTTTGCTTTGATGCTACTTGGCAGGCCAGGTTTTCCTTTGAACAAATAATTCCCATGGTCTTTGCTTGTGTGGAGGAACAGAATATCCAGATTTGCAAATTATAGTCTGTTCCAGTACCTGGCTGTGGGGACCATTTCCATTAGAAGAAGGAAGTGGCAGAAAGCTCAGCTTTTGCCCAGGGACTGTTTTGTATGCAGAGAGTCAAATTTCTCTTGGGGAGCAAGTTTGCCATTTAAGTAGAGCTATATGAGTAACACGGATGCAATTTTCCACAGAGATTACGATCCTGTGACTCAAAGCTCTAAGTGTGATATTCTGAGTCTGTTTGAGATGCAGTTTCCTGTGGAGTGCCTATGTTAGAAAAGGGATGTCTTTAGTTTGTGGTGGAGAGCAGGATTGTGTCCTGGAATTTTGCTGTAAAAAATGTAAACTGAAATTCTGATCCCAGAGTCCCCAGGTGATCAGGGTACATAGGCCTGATCTTAGCCACACAGGATTATTGTATTGGACCTGGAAATGCTGTAACAACCCAAGTGTGGTCATGGTTCTCCTTCCTACATCTCAGCTGCCTGTTTTCACTTTCTTTGTCCTCTCTATTACAAGGCTCTTCATAGAGAAACTTCCGAAGCATCGTGATTACAAAACTGCTATCATTCCTGAGAAGAGAGACACAGTAAAAGTAAGTGGCCACACTGGCCGTAATGGGGAAACTTTGCTTTAAGATTTTCCTCTAGAGCAAAGCTGCTGTAGCTCCCAGATACTGGCAATGAGGAAGAAGCTGTTAGTCTGTCACAAGCATATATAGAAACTATTTTGCAATGAATTATGTTGCAAAATGCAGGCGCCCGAGAGAGAGAGAGAGCGCACGCTAAGAAGTGTGTCACCCTTCCTTGTAAGTTTCTGTCCTGACTCCCTCTCCCTGATGTGCTGTTGCACAGCTCCAATTTATTTCAATGGTGCTTGCCTAGGCAAACATCCTGGCAGACTGTTCCAGGCCCCTCTAATAATGGTTCTTATTGTCACACTGCTACTGATCACAGCTTCTTTTTGAGTTCTAAAGAACTTGATTTTCATGCTTACTTTCTCTCTATCCAGAAACTAAAAGAAGTTGCATTTCCTAGAGCTGAAGAGCTGAAAAAGGAGCTTTTAGAAAGATACAACAAAGAATATGCACAGTACAATGTACAAAAAGTGAGTAACAGGAGGAGAAATGCATGAGCTCCAAATTGTGGCTCTGAAGACCACAGCTTGCAGGGAATGATGGCTGTTTGGGGTCTGTTTGTGTTTGGTCCTGGTCAAACAGTGAAGCTGACATGTTATCCCAGCACTGTACCCCAGCTACCCTTGATCTCTCTCCCTATTCCAGCAACTGGTATTCAGAAAAAAACTCTTCCATCTTCATCCAGAGTGGCTGTGGAGGTTCTGCTCTGGTGTCTTGGGGTCAATAATGGACTGGATGGGGAAGAACAAATTTGAAGTTAACATAAATGAGATAGTCTTGCTTATAGGAGTTTAGCCTGTTGTGAATGGGAGTAACACTCCCCATTAAATCTCAGATTATAGTCTGAGTGTTCTCCTGAATCCAGCCTTGAGCCTGGATACTCAAGTGATGGCCACAGTGAGGAATGCCTTTGCCCAGTTTAGATTGGTACACCAAATGTGCCTGTGCCCAGAAAATACTGGTTTAGCCCTGGTGACACATGCCTTAATTACATCTGGATTATAGCGATGTGCTTTCCATGGGGTGGACTTTGAAAAATCGTCCATAAACTTCCGCTGGTCCAGAATGCAGCAGCCGGATTTATTTTTAAATCTGCTTTTGCCTGTGAGACCCAAGGACTTCCATGGGCTGCCTGTGTTGCACCTTTTCTCACCTGGTCCCTTGTCTGATGTTCCTGATGCAGAAGAAGCAGGAGGAAGAGTTTGCCCGCAGCCTGGCTCTGCAGCAGCAGCTGGAGGAGGAGAGGCAGAGGGTGGCCAGGATGAAGCAGCAGCAGGCCGAGCAGGAGCAGTTCAGTGCATTCGAGGAAATGATCCGGCGCCAGGAGCTGGAGAAGGAGCGCCTGAAAATCGTGCAGCAGTTTGGGAAGCCAACGCCCAACACCTCGGATGGCCCCTTGGTACCTGGCGTGCTCAAGCCCTTGAGCCCCAGTGGAGGAGGAGTGCTGCCAAAACCCCCCACTGTGGACAGGTCTCTGAAACCTGGAGCTTTGGGGATCCCAGAAAACAGTTAGTATGCCTTGACCCACCTTGTTTGGCTACTGGGTGACAGATCTCCTTCCCTTCCACGTGAAAACATGAACAAACCCCTCACCTACAATGTGAGAGTGTTCTAAAACTAAATTACACCACTTTTGTACCACTTAAAACCCTGCTTGTGCCGATCCAGATCTCTGTATTGTAGAGTGTTGACAAGATGACCCTTTGGGTTCCTTCCAACTCTACAATTCTGATTCTAGGATCTGGTATGTTCTCTGCAGAAGAGACAGATCCCTCTGCTACTGTTTTGCCATCTGAAGCTGAGCCGCCTCACAAGCCCGTTTTATTTCCTGCCCTGCCCTCATGCTCTTGAGTGGCCATAGGCGTGCATGCACGCGGGGCCGTGGGGGCCACCCCCCCATTTTCACTGAGGGGGCCGCCCCCTCTATTCCGCGGCCAGATGGGCTTTGTCGGGCCCTCCCACACCTGTGACTAGGCCCCATCGGGCCTTTGAGGGGGCGCAAAGACAGCCGTTCTCCAAGGACCCAACAAGTTTGTGGGCTTCAGTGGTTGATTGGAGAAACCTGGGTTCTAACTTAATCCTTGAATATTCGCCCGCCTTTCATCCCCCCCCCCAATTTTCCTCCATCTGCTCACTGAAAATATTATCAGTTCTTTCAGAAGGCAGTCCTGAAATACAGAGAATCCTGCAACATTGAGACATTTTTGCAGTGGAGCGATGGTCATGAGTTCTGTTAGTAGGTCCCTCCCTGTGGAATGTAAGGGGTGACACACATATTGGAAAGGGCTTTTGGACCTTATACAGCACACCTGAGCTTTTTATTTCCAGGTGTGCATCCGCTTACCAGAGGCAACTTTGGGCTACCTCTTAATTCTGGTTGAAATAACCACTGGCCCTTTTTTAAAGTGCCGGTCTCAAAACAATCTTCCTGTGACCTATTCTTCCAAACAACAGATCATGTAGTAAATCTGAGTCCGGACCATTCAGTTCAGATTGCAGGCATTGACTCATACGTTTGAATGCTTCCCTTCCTCCCTCACACACACACACACACGCATAGTGAACTAGCAATTCGGGGTAAAAGCTTAGGCTAGAACCAGGCCTGATATATGCCTGTCACATTGTACATCAAAATCTTCTCTTCTCTCTGCAGATACTACTATAGAAGGACTTCGCCATGTGACTGTCCCCAGAGAACTCTGTCATAAATTCCTCCAGTTGGCGGATGCAAACACTGCAAGGGGTGTAGAGACATGTGGAATCCTTTGTGGGAAGCTGGTACGGTGACTTCTGGGATAATTACGTCAATATTTGGTAGTCCCCGGTTTCAAGGCTCTCAAGTTGCTGATTTGTTTACTTGGAAATATTTGTGTTTATTAATATTAACTTGCTTTACATCACTTAAAGAACATGGGTGCATATATCAAAGCTGTTGCACATATGTAAAACTGGTTGCACTGATGTGAAGTCATGGAACCTTCATGAACACTCTTTCTTGCAAAAACTCACCCTGAGAAGATACAAGTTGCAAAAAGTCAGCTTTGTTGAGGGGCGTCTTTTGGAGGAGACCTTGTATAAGAGTTAGGGACAAGAGGGTGTGTGCTGTCAGCAGGAGTGGTGGAGAAGCAGGAAGACTGAGGAGGCAGCAGGGCTAAGAGGTAATAGACGGAGCCCCGAGGCCGTGGACAGACAGATGGTGGTGATGTCAAAATATTTCAGCAGTGCAGGAGCCTACAATACCACCCTAGACTGATGCTGCTCTGGATATTGGATAGTACAGCTTGTTGTTTCACACCTTCGAAGGTTATGGTGGCTTCAATGTGTTTTGGTAAAATGATAAATTAATCTCTCTTTTTTTTTAAAATGATGTACTGCAACCTTTGCTTTAGTTTGTAATACATTAGGACCACTTCTTTCAATTTTTTAAAATGAAGCTCTTAAGCTGAAAAACCCCCTCAAGTGTTTGATGTTGTCTTTTATATTTTTACACTGTAGCCAGAAAGCCAATTTTACCCATTTTTCTTTGCCTCCAGCCTCCCTTGAACTTCTCTAGGTGGGAGATTTGTTCATCTAGGCAGCTTTTGCCCTTCGGATTATTAAAGTGGGACACAGGTAGTTTTTTTAAAGTAATTCAGTAAAATTAAACAACAACAAGGCAGCGGAGGGATGTAAAATCAAGAGCCAGCAGCAAAACAGACCTTTTAATCTATCTAAAAATGTTCCAGTGTTCTCTGGTTATGGTATGACATGTTGCTGTCTTTTTATACTGGATATTTCTAAATTTTATTTTTCCTCTTTGATTTATCTACTCTGCTTCATTGGAGGTTTTTAAACAGAGGTTAGGTGTCCAGCTGTCAGTGAATCTTAAGCCGGGATCCATGCATTGCAAGGAGTTTGGATCGGATGGCCCTTGTAGTCACTTCCAATTCCATGATTCTATGATTACATTGTTTAATGACATTTATCATGGGTTGCTTGTGTTATGGGAACACCGTGTATAAATGCTGGTGTCGATCAGTTAGCCACATGTCAGTCAGTTTCTGCAGCCCCAGCAGGGCCCCCAAGTGGTGCCTGCCTCAAGCCACCCTTCAAACACACTTTTGCATCAGCAGCTGCATCCAGGTGCGGCACAGTGCCCCGACCAGAACATGGGAAGTTAATGTGGTGTCCCGGGGTGGTGGATGTGTCTGAGAGCTGCCATTTTAATTTACCATGGAACACCACTATCTTGGCAGCACTGTGGGGAATTTGAATGGGCGCTCCTCCAGAGTAGTCTGCTGCCCACCACCTCAGTCCCTACTGGGGCATTGGCAGGTGACACTGAGGTAGGAGAGGGGCTTACCTGTGGGCACTGTACCACGGGCTCCCTCCTACCTAGAACCCCTGCTAAGAGAAATGGAATAAAAATATGGGTGATAGAGGAGGCAGGGAATTGGGGGAAAATCCTTACACAGCAAGAGGAGCTTGGCATTTTTATCGGAAGGGGAGGTACAGCCTAGTTCAGGCATCCCCAAACTCGGCCCTCCAGATGTTTTGGGACTACAATTCCCATCATCCCTGACCACTGGTCCTGTTAGCTAGGGATGATGGGATTTGTAGTCCCAAAACATCTGGAGGGCCGAGTTTGGGGGTGCCTGGCCAAGTTCATAGAACTGTGGAATTGTAAGGAACCCCAAGGGTCATCTAATTCTGCCCATTGCAGTGCAGGTGAGGCTGGTGGGATCGGCAAGAGGGCATTGAAAAATCACACCAGAAAGTGAGCAGTAATTGGAGGAGGAGGAGGAGGGAAAGCTGAAATTCACTAAAACATCCAAACTGTCCAGGTCTCTAACGTCTCTGAAGCTGGGAGTGTGGTGTTGGGTCATTCCATTCATAGGCCATTATGTTTATGTCACTGGGGCTGTGTGGTGTTTAAATGGAAGCACTGTTGGCTGTTGCTAATGCCTCTTCCTTGCCCCCTTGCCCTTCTTTTTTTCCTTCCAGATGAAGAACGAATTCACAGTAACCCATGTCATCATCCCCAAGCAACACGGGGGCCCTGACTATTGCAACACTGAGAATGAGGAGGAACTCTTCCTGATCCAGGATCAGTACAGCCTTATCACTCTGGGATGGATCCATGTAAGCCCTTGCTCAAGGCCTTCCAGGTGCAAAAGCCTGTTTGTGGGTGTACTTGTTACGGGCTGAGTCTTTGCCAGGTTCTGTGCTTTCCCCGCAAAGCGATTGGCTGCTGCCTGCTGTAGAGCAGAAGACAAATTCAGAGATTTGTGGAAGGTCCCAAAGCAACCTGCTGCTGGGGGGTGCAAAACCCTAGTGTGCTCCTCTTGTGCAGTCGGACTTCTCAGTGAATTGTGACTACTTGCATGCCTGTGTATGGTGGGGAGGGGGGTGGAATTACCAAGTGGATTTCCTTTGGTGCTTATCACACCCAGGGCCAGCTCTAGCATTGGGCACAGTGAGGCAGCTGCCTCAGGCAGCTAATTTTAAGTGTCATGAAAGGGCAGCATGCTGCTGTTACTGTTGAATTGCTCTCTGTGTGGGGGGGTTTCTTGTGGGATTTTCTGCCTCCGGTTCCAAAACAACTTGGCTTGTAGTGGGGACAATTATTTGCCACCTCAGGCAGCAAAATGTCTTTGGCTGGCCCTGACCACACCCTCTCACCCATCTGCTGAATCTGTCTGATCCCAGGGCTACCACCCTTGGCTGTGCTCTTAGTCATTCATTTCAGTGGGGCTCACATAGGAAAACTTCTTTCCAGATTGAGCTCTGTGTCCTGGTCTTTGTGCAGGATGGCATTTGAATTTACTTATCGAGCACCCAAATATTTATGGTCAGAAGTGGTCAGCACTGCACCTGCTTCTTCTCTGCTTCCCCCAGTCTGGACTTAGATTGCTAGGGCGGGGGTGGGGTTGCTTGGGGAAGGTGACCACTCTGATAAAGAGCTATGAAAGGTCATGTTAATGTTTCCTTAGAGAACAGGAGCCTTTCCCACTTGCTTGGTGGTTGTCAAGAATGAGCCATGCCTTTCTTGGTGCTTGATTTTAATTTCTCCTTCTTTTCCTCCATCCTTATTTAGACGCATCCTACCCAAACAGCTTTCCTTTCCAGTGTAGACCTACATACGCACTGCTCCTATCAGATGATGCTGCCGGAGTCTATAGCTATTGTTTGTTCGCCAAAATACCATGAGTAAGTCTTCAATTTATTTGTATTGCAGACTAAATAAATGTGCTACGTTCATTCCATTCTGCACCGCATTCTAACAGAGGTTTGGTGCTTAGGCCAAGAAGAGAGGGCAGATGAGGCCTAGGAGGAATGTAGAAGGAGGGGATTTAAAAATAATATTAACCAGGTCTTTTTTTTCAGCCAGAGCTCACAGGAACTCAGCCCTGGCCCCTCGGAGGTGGGAGCCATTGCTATTCTAAGAGAACAAGGGAGAAGTTCATGAGGAGCTCTGGCACCTCTTTTTCTAGAAAAATAGCTCTGATAATAACCATAAGAAATGTAGATAACCCAGGCTGCACTTCAACAGAGTTTAAAAGATTTTGGAAAATTGGGACAATTTTGGGGGGGGGGGGAGAATTAAGGATGCAAGGAGGAACTAGGTTCCACTAAGGGGATTATGTACATTTAGCAAATGAATTTGCATCCTTGTGCTTCCAAAACATACGTTCCTCACCCCACCTTGGAGATTGTGTTAATAATAAGCAGTTCTAGGATTTCTTTCTAAATAATTAAATAAGACTCATTGACTGCTAGTCATAGTAAAATAGCAATCAAAAGAGGCACCAGGTCTCTGAGCACCAGTTACTGGGAATCACAGATGGGGAGAATGCTGCTCTTGGGCTCCTTCTCCTGCCCATGATCACCGAGATCTGGTGTCCTAATGCATCCCGCCCCGGTAGGACCTGCCCAGCCATTCCATTGGCTACGGCCCACTCCCAGGCCAGCCTTCAACCCTTAAAAACAAGTTTTCTTATACAAACTACAAAATGAAACAATAAACCAATAGAAAATAATAAAAGAGAAACAATTTACAATTACAGTGGTACCTTGGGTTACATACGCTTCAGGTTACAGACTCCGCTAACCCAGAAATAGTACCTCGGGTTAAGAACTTTGCTTCAGGATGAGAACAGAAATCGTGCTCTGGCGGTGTGGCGGCAGCAGGAGGCCCCATTAGCTAAAGTGGTACTTCAGGTTAAGAACAGTTTCAGGTTAAGAACAGACCTCCGGAACAAATTAAGTATGTAACCAGAAGTACCACTGTACACACAAATTAAAATAACCCCAACCCCATTTAAACATTAAAAACCACCCCACTCCATCCCAAAAAACAACCAGAATTTTAAGCTCCATGGATTAAAATTATCTTAAAAGCATTTTAAAACACACTAACATGGAGCAGGAAAAACAATAGCAGACCCCCCCCCCAGCACTGTTCTGAGAGTTCATTGCAGTGAATCTGCCCCCGCCCTCTAGGCCAGCTGGCAAAGGCCTTGCAGAAGGAGCAGGCCCTGCAGTCCTCACCACAGCAGATCAGTATGCTTATATGTTCAGTACGAGGGTTTGGCTGTTCTTGGATATTCTTTGATTGTCCACATAATTCAAAAGACATGATAGTGGATTGTTAATCCATCTTGTCTTAAATTCCTTCATTTATGACAATACCATCCTTCAGTATCTTCTCACCTTCCAACATTCTTCACCAGGCAGAGATGAAATCTCCTTTACTGTCTTTGCCAAACCAGCACCTCCCATTGCCTAACCCTCCTGCCCATTTACTCCTCTGTGACAATCAATGCCGTTATACAGCCATTTCACCACAATTTTCTCTAAAATTCTTAGCTATCAGATAAGAATTTCCAAACTTCTTCTGGGATTTCCATCTGCAGATCTCTCTCCCGTTTTCCTGTATCTATGTGATTTGCCTCCCAGTTTTTAAGAATTAGTAGGGCTCTTCTTTTCATGACTTTCTGATGACTTTTGTTGTTGTTGTTGTTGTTGTTGTTACATGCACGTTTTAGTCACTTCTTCTTTTACAAAAAGTAACTCAATAGTACAAAAATTAAAATCAGAATGGAGATAACCCTAAAAATGCATTCATACATATAAAAGGCAAGTCTAGTACATCCAATCCACTGGAAGAGACCACAGGTACCTAAAATATTTTATGTATGCTGCTTATTTTAGTGTAGTTCAGTTCAGTTTAGTTTATTAAATTTATACATCACTTGATTGTTTAAAAAAAAACAAAAAACTTCAAAGCAGTTTACAAAAAATATGTAGGAAACCCAGAAGTGCTAATGATTGAGATTTAAATAAATATGTTACACAAAACCTGCTATCAGTTTTGAGGCATACAAGTGATTTTATTTACAATCTTTCTAGGACTGGATTCTTTAAATTGACAGACCATGGCATGGAAGAGATCTCTTCCTGTAGGCAAAAAGGGTTCCATCCACACAGCAAAGATCCCCCACTCTTTACAGTAAGTATATCCAAAGTGCATTGGCCTGGTTCTTGCTGATTCCCCCAAATCCTGCCTGTACTGCAATGGCATGCTAACAGGAAAGCCTTTATCCAGTTTCTGTTCTGATGCCTGCTAGGGTCAGAGAATGCCTCCTCTTTCTCTCCCCACTATTTGAGATTCTTTCTCTGTGTAGTGCTGGAAACTGCCAGTGAAGCAGGATGGTGTGGATTTTTCTCCAGCATAAAAATATCAGAATCTATAGTGGGATCCTAATGCCTGTTTAGGAGTGAGTCCTATTGAATTTAAGGGGGCTTACTCAAATGTTAGGGTTGCAGCCAGGAAAAAGAAATTCCAGTGGGTGCTGGAGCTTTTGACTGCAGAAGATATTCTCAGCACAAACTCTTGCAACAAATTAGAGCTTCTGAAATGCTTTGCCGTCCCAGGGCTAGCCCTTGGTCCCTATTCAGGGAATCTGGGATGGAGCCCTGAGGCAGAGGCAGTTGGGAGTTGGGTGTGTGATGGCAACCCAGATCAGCTGGGTGGGGAGCACATTGTTCCTAAACCTCTCACTGAAGGGGAAATCTGCTGGTGACGTTGAGGTACTTGGAATACTCTTAAGACTGCCATGCACCATGTACAATTACAGTGGTACCTCTAGATGCGAACGGGCTCCGTTCCGGAGCCCTGTTCGCATCTAGAAGCAAGCGTAACTAGCAACGGCACGTCTGCGCACGCACGCACGCATCGCTTTTCGCCGCTTCTGTGCATGCGCATGATGTCATTTTGAGTGTCTGCGCATGCATAAGTGGCGAAACCCGGAAGTAACACGCTCCGTTACTTCTGGGTTGCCACTGAGCGCAACTCGAACACGCTCATCCCGAAGCACATTCAACCGAGGGTATGACTGTAGTATCACTTTCAGCCTGTACATTGTGTTGAATTTAGCTACCCCACCTGCTCTTGACTGCTGTGGCCTTCATTTCCTTTTCCTTTTTCCTTTCAGACCTGCAGTCACGTGACTATCCTGGAGCAGGAAGTGATGGTACTGGACCTTCGATAAAGCAAATGCCTTCATGCCTTTCTCAGCCATTAACTGTCCTCTACATTAATTTATGATGACTAATAATACCCCCTCTATGCAGCAGTTCTCAAGGCTCTCCCTGTAACGCCACAAGAGTTTCACATTCTTTCTGATCTCAGTTGTTAAATTAGGGAGGAGAGAGGAACTCTTAGAAGATATCACTAAACTTAATTCAAGTAGTATTTGGCTGCTCACTGATCCTCTTCAGGCTTTACTCTGCTGAACCTTAATCCAAAAATCAAGCAAATTAATAACCTATAAAAATCTGTTTGTGATATGCTGAGCGCATAAATTCATCTGTTTCCTCTCTTTCAAGCTGCAAACATAGAATTTCCTCCAAAGCTCATAAACCTTTGGTGGATTCCCCAAGTGCTGTGCCAATAGCTCTACTTCTTGTGAGCGACAACAAAATGATGTTTACGTTGGAAGGAAATGAGCATATGCAGGAAGATTGTGTTTTTTGTTGTCAGGAATTCTTCAAAAGATAAATAAATCACAAGTTCTTCCAGGCTTCCGTTTCAGGGAGAGGGAGGAGATAGGAGTTACAGGAAAAGAGAAGCCAAAGGAAGGGATTCCATAAATAGCTTCTTGGTTCCATTCTTGGCACGGTTTGCCAAAGGATGGATCTGCACTTGATTTGTGCTATGAACTTTCAGTTCCAGCAAGTGCCGATATGCACTGAATCATCTAACTCAAGTTGGACAACCCCTTAAGTAATGCTTTAAGGCCTAGACCAGCAACTTAAAGGCCTAGACTGAGGGTTAGTTCGATATAGAGATTTAAAAATAGGTTTACTGTTGGAAAAACGACTCTGGTACCTCTACATCTTGTACCCTGGCCTCGTATCACATTGCAGTGAAGGGCAGGTTTAAAATATTTTAAATAATAAATAAATACACCTATAAAAAGAACGTAAGTGTGATGACACTTCTCTCTTTCTCAAGCAGGTGTAGCCAATGTATGTTCCAGATGTTCCACGACTCTAAACTCTCATCCACCCAGTCAGCATTTGCCAGTGGCCAGGGATGATGCGAGCTGTAGTCCAGCAACACCCGAAAGGCCACAGGTTCCCCATCCCTACCCTACAGATTGTGTCTTGCCACCCCGCCTTGTCACTTGATTGCAGGTGCTTCTTCCAGTCTGTAAATTGTAAACAGATCAGTGGGTGAGAAGCATTATCTACAACTCTGTGGCATGGAATGCTTACTGGGAGCGGAGGGGAAACTGACAGCTAGCTGGGAGGGGGAATAGAATGGAGAAGATGGAAAGGGAGGAAGAGACACAAAGATAAGAAGCAAGCAGAGAAGACCCATCTCCTTGTCTGCATAGGCCATGCCCTGGTTCACATTGAAAAGCCATCTACTGTACAGTACTCCCAGGTACAGAAGTGAGTGGTACCCTGAAGAAGAAAAAAAATCAATATTTTTATGTAGTTGGCTCCAGCACCAGTGTGCCTAACCTCACCCCCAATACCCTAAAAGATAACAGCAAAATGAAAATATATAAAAAATAATATATTTTTATTTATTTATTTATATTTATTATATATATAGAGAGAGAGAGACTGTGTCAGACCAACACGGCTACCTACCTGAATCTAGCAAAAAAAGTTCCTCTTTTTCCTATTCTGTGTGAACCGCACTGCGGGGCTGTCATAACCACTCTCTCCCACCCTTCCTATCTGCAATATGGAGAATATGGAGAACTGGAGTTGCTTTGGAATTTGCAGCAGAAGTTGTTTTAAAGCACACTAAGTAAGAATTGAATAAAAAAGTAAGTCCCATAAGTTTAGCCATGCACTATGGGAAGAAGCCGTTTATTTTATCAATATCTGCAAAGCTGACAAACGATGGCGGTGAAAGCAAGTATGTGAGAACCACTGGCAAGAGGGGCTGCTCAGCTTGGGAGCTCCAGGAGACGAAGCATATTCCCTTGGCAGCTTCTTAAATCTCTTCCCCTGCAATGTGAGTGTGTGTTTGTTGTTACACTCCACTTAAGTGAGGCCTAGCTGGCCTGGCGAACACCCCACATGAATTCTGTGTGCATCTACATCAGCCTTCCTCAACCTGGCGTCCTCCAGATGTTCTAGACTCGTAATTCCCATCAGCACAGCACTGCCCAAGTAATTTTGCTTCCTGAGACAAAGGGCAAGATGGCGCCCTCCCATTCCACCTACAGAATCTGATCAGCAGTTGAATCTTACTTCACCTTTGGTGATGGGTCAGAATTGTAGAGTTGGACCCAAAGGGTCATCTGACAGCTAAGGAATCCCTGACAGATGGCCTTCCAACCTCTGGTTAAAAACCTCCGTTCCATTAACCACATTGGCAGGCGGGGCAGGAGGACCAGCAGAAGACAAATACAGTGTAAAAAAAGTAATAAGAAGAATTCAGAAATAAGGAATCAAATGCAGCTTTGGGTTTAAAATAGTTGCAAACCTAACATAAATTTGTACATGAAATAACTTTATGGAATCAAATGACAATTAAGAAAGAACAATGTATATCTGCCTATATCCAAAGCAAAAGAGCACAAACACAGTATACTGACAAAATATAAACAATGGGAACAGATGATGGTGATGATTGCTATTACAGTGGTACCTCGGGTTAAGAACTTAATTCGTTCTGGAGGTCCGTTCTTAATGTGAAACTGTTCTTAACCTGAGGTACCACTTTAGCTAATGGGGCCTCCCGCTGCTGCCGCGCAATTTCTGTTCTCATCCTGAAGCAAAGTTCTTAACCCGAGGTACTATTTCTGGGTTAGCGGGGTCTGTAACCAGAAACGTCTGTAACCTGAAGCATCTGTAACCCGAGGTACCACTGTATCACCATTATTTATTACCCAGCCTTCCCCGTAACATTGCAGGGTGGGTTACAACAGTTTAAAAATACAGCAGTAAAACAATTTGAAAAACTTAACAATTACAAAAAAACACAATCACAAAAAACAACATAAAATGACAATAGCATCTAACAAAAAGTAACAAAAATTCATACAGTTGCTTGTATTTAGATTTCCAATCTTTCTGCATTAGAAATATTCATGGCTGTTTTTCTGATAAGATATAACTCACAAAGTATCACAGAACCCAAACATGTTCAGACCTCTGTCTTTCTCAGTGGTCTCTGTACTCTGGACACAAAAACAAGTGTACAAGTATATATTGTGTGTATGTGTACATACACACGCGCACACACACACACACACGTAAATGGAGGTGCTCCCCCAAGCATATGCCATCTGTGCCCCAGAATCCTTTGCACTGCAGTGCGGTTTCACAGCAGAGAACGGTAGTTCTTGGGCCAGCTTGTGGCATGGCAGGGGGTTCCTGGAAAGCACAAACCTTCTGAAAAGTGCTCTCTAGTGTGAGAGGCTTGGGAGGCGTTGCCCAGTGGCAGCTGCTTCCCTGGGCCAGTCCCCGGAAGTGTGGTTTTTCTGCTTTTGGAGCTGGGGCTATGAGCCTGGGAGAGCAACAGCCTCCCCCCTTCGCCTGCTGGGAGATGCCAAGGATTCCCTGCAGCTTCTCTTCCTCCTTCCCGCTGGCCTGCTTTGTGTCATAGGTTTCTGCTGCTTCTCTTGCTGCTGCAGCTGCATTCCATTCCAGTGGCAGATGCTGGGATACCAAGCGCCCGTGGTGGGGCTGCGAGGGAAGCTGGATTGGCTGCCTGGGTCAAATGCTTCCTTATTAGGCTGTTCACTGCCTGTCAGGGTTTGGGGCTTTCAAATGCAAGTGTTGTCTTTTCGCCCAAAAGCTCCCAGGGTTTCTGTGAAGGACCCCCTTCTTGCTCGGCTCAGTGGGCGTTGGCTTCCTCCTTTGCTTGAGCACAAGGCAGCCTAAAAGCCCTCCAGTTTCAGGACTGCAGTGGGCAAGGCATCCTGGAAAGTAGGTAGATCAGGGGTCAGCAACCTTTTTCAGCTGTGGACCAGTCCACTGTCCCTCAGACCATGTGGTGGGCTGGACTATATTTTGGAAAAAATATGAACCAATTCCTATGCCCCACAAATAACCCAGAGATGCATTTTAAATAAAAGCACACATTCAACTCATGTAAAAACAAGCTGATTCCCAGATCGTCTGTGGGCTGGATTGAGAAGGCGATTGGGCCGCATCCGGCCCCCAGGCCTTAGGTTGCCTACCCCTGAGGTAGATCTTCCCCCAGAGGAAGGATTGTAGCTCAGTGGTTGGGTATTTGCTTTGTATGTAGAAGTTGAATGTAGAAGCCACACGGAGCAATGGACTGACTTGGTGCAAAGCTGTAGCTGGGAGGTTTTTTTGCCCCGGGTGAAGCCTCCACAAGTGCACCATTGAAGCTCCCAGCCTCTCTCTCTGTGTATGCAAATGGGGATGGGGGGTACCAAACTGAGTCTTTGACCCAGATGAAATAAAGCCTAGTTTTGCCCCTGCTTGGTATAAGGCAGCTTCTTGTGTGTTGCTATCACAGTGGTACCTCTGGTTGCGAACGGTGGCACCTTCAGGATATATGGTTTTATTTATACATATGTATAAGGGGTGACCGGAAAGGTCGGTAAATGGTCACAGAAATCGGACAGCGAGAAATATTCGAACATCCAATTGGCATCAGAAACCCATGGAATGCTCACAATTGTGGATGGAGATGAAGCTGTAACTCAAAAGACAGCGTATGAGTGGTTAAGCATTTCCATGAAGGGCAGCAAACCATTGAAGATGACCCTCTGTCTGGCAAACCATCGATGAGCAGAACGGCGGCAAATGTCGACAGAGTCCACAAGTTATTGATGCGGGATTGGCGTTTGTCCGTCCAAATGATGGCGGAAGAATTGCATTTTCCACATGAAATCATTACTGAGGTTACTGAGTTGTCCCACCCTCCATATTTTCCCAATCTGGCCTCACTGGATTTCTTTCTTTTTCCAAAACTGAAATTTGTACTGAAAGGGCACAGATTTTCCAACATTTCACACGTCCATGCTGCTGTGACGAGGGAACTGAAAGCAGTACGAAAAGAGGACTTCTCCAGAAGTTTCCAACAGTTCTATGAACGTTGTCAGCGGTGCATTGTATCAGAGGGGGCCTACTCTCAAGGCCTGTAAGGTATGTATGCTTGAATATTTCTCGCTGTCCGATTTCTGTGACCATTCGTTGAACTTTCCGGTCACACCTTGTACAACCTGAGCGTAAGGTGGAGGAGCTCCCAGCATTAAGATCCCATTAGAACTTGTTTCTCCATTTGGATCCAGCCCAGAGCAAGCAGGTCTCTGGGCTCATCAAGACTTCTGCTTGCCCCAATGCTTTCTAGACACTGGTGTGAGCAGTTTTGCATGCCCCTCCCTTAGCCTGGAGGCCCCATCATTATTTTGGGATGCTAATGAAGACACTTAAGCAGCCGGCTAAGGTCAATGCTTTACAAAGAAATTTGTCTGACAAGTCCAGCAACCTCCTCTGTTAGATTCAAACCCTCACTGGGTACCAGACCGCCAGAATGAGAAGGGACTCAGGACATTTTCCAGATGGATCCCCCAAACCCACAACACTAATTAGAGAAGTCAGATAATTTCCGAGCTGTATGATAAGCCCATATGGAATTTAGAGGTATTTTATGATACCCATCCCCTCCATCAACTGAATGTGAGCATAACCGACGACTGCTGACCCACTCCTCCCCAACTGGCATGGGTTTTTTAGTTTAGGTTGCTTTTTGATGTTCTGTTTGTTTTATTGGCATTAACAATAGCAGCCACAGCAGCAGCAACAACAAAAACACAATAAAATAATGTTTGTTAAACATGGCTCTGGGTCGTATTCAGTGTAAAGGTAAAGGGACCCCTGACCGTTAGGTCCAGTCATGACTGACTCTGGGGTTGCAGCGCTCATCTCGCTTTACTGGCCGAGGGAGACGGCGTACAGCTTCCGGGTCATGTGGCCAGCATGACTAAGCTGCTTCTGGTGAACCAGAGCAGCGCACAGAAACGCCGTTTACCTTCCCGCCGGAGCGGTACCTATTTATCTACTTGCACTTTGACGTGCTTTCGAACTGCTAGGTTGGCAGGAGCAGGGACCAAACAACGGGAGCTCACCCCGCTGACCTTCTGATTGGCAAGTCCTAGGCTCTGTGGTTTAACCCACAGCACCACCCGCGTCCCCGTATCCAGTGTAGTGCTGTGCTAAAGTCATTTCAATTTATACTTGCTCCATGGGTGAAATATTTTGTGGAACATTGTTGCACGAGAGAATGCATAAGCAGGTTGCTGCACTGTTTGCCGCACCTTAGATTGCACAATCTGTTGCATACTGTTGATCCCTCTGCCTGTTCCCAGGTCTCAAGGAGGCTTCCCTTTGCCACTGTGAGCTATCAGCATCTATCTGCAACTCTTGCCTCCCTCTTTTGCTGCTGCTGCTGCTGCTGCTGCTGCTGCCCACGCCTAGGAGGCTCTGCTTGGCTACTGTGTACATTTATTTTCCTTAAAAAGGCAGCAGGGAGTTTCTCAGCTTCTGGTTGGATCTTTTAAGGCAGACTTCGCCAACCTGGCCTCCTCCATATGTTTGGGGTTAAATTAAAGCAATAGCTTCACACAGCGCTTAATATAGCTCTTCATCGCCTGGCAATCTCTTCACTCACCTCACACCATGCTTATATTATGTTTACTCAGAAGTAAGCCCTGTTAGCAAAGATCCTCTGCAGCTTTAGTGAGAAGGATTCTCCTTAGTGTTTCTGCATCTAGTAGTAACTTCCTGCTCCATACAGGAATGCTCCTGTCAAACTTACATTGGCAGGGAGTACCACAGGCCCATTACAGGCTCAGGCACAACAAAGGCCAACCAAACCTCAGGGGCCTGGGGGACCACCAAAAGTTTGGCAAATCTTGTGCTACTGAAATAGTTGCTCCTCAGCTGCCCTGTTATGCTTATGGAGTCATCACATTGATTTGTTAAAGCATTTTAATTGTTTTATATATAATTGCTGTTTGTTTATGTTTTTTAATTTTTTTACATGAGACATGGTTTTAACTGTTTTTAAGGGAAGATTGTGGCATTTGCTCTGAGGAGGCTAAGTTTATCACGTGATAAGATTTTCATAGAGTCACAGAATTGCGGTGTTGGAAGGTGCACAAGGGTCATCGAGGTCAACCCTTGCAATGCGTGTATGTAAGTTATTGCTTCATATATGCTTTTGCTGCATTGCAAATTGCACTGAGATGCCTCGTAGGAAGAGATTCATTAATGAAACAAATAATGTGACCAAGTTTGCTGATAATAGCAAATGGTTCAGCGCAGTCAAAACAAAGAGAGGTTGTGAAATGCTCCAGGGACCTAGTGAGGGGGGCATCGAAGTGGAAAAGCACCTGCCTTCATGTATATGCTGAACTGGGTCTTGGGGTTGTGACCGATAGCTTGAGGAAAACATTGGTGCAATGTGGGGCTGCTCAGAAAAAGGTGGAGAGCATGCTAGAGAACAATTTGGGAAAGGCTTGAAAAGAAAGCTGCTGATATCATAATGCCATTATATATACCTGGGGTGTGACTCCACTATTAACATCCACTTGGAAGGCTGAGTTCAGTTCTGGTCCCTGCATCTCAAAAGCGGTACAGTGGTACCTCGGGTTACATATGCTTCAGGTTACATACGCTTCAGGTTACACACTCCGCTAACCCAGAAATAGTGCTTCAGGTTAAGAACTTTGCTTCAGGATAAGAACAGAAAACGGGCTCCGGCGGTGCGGCGGCAGCAGGAGGCCCCGTTAGCTAAAGTGGTGCTTCAGGTTAAGAACAGTTTCAGGTTAAGAACAGACCTCCGGAACGAATTAAGTACTTAACCTGAGGTACCACTGTATTCTAGACCTGGGAAAGGTGCAGAAAAGGGTAGCCAAAATGATCAAGGGGCCAGAGCAAATCTTGAGTGCCATCAGAGTGGCACTGCCAGTCAGCTATAGAGAATCCTGTACTAGCTGCCCACTTGGAGCCTCAGCTTCACTATCTGTCCTTCCAGTGAGCATTCAGGGCTGATTTCCTTCAGACTGGAGAGGTCTGATCTTCTTGCAGTCCATGGGACTCTCAAGAGTCTCCTCCAAAACAACCATAGAGATATCAAAATGTTCAAAAGAACATTCAAAAGTCTGTCCCTTGGCTTTTGAAAAACAGATGTCTGCAATGCTAAGCTATTTGGGAGCCACTGCTCAAGACCTTTTACCCTCCGTGGTTTCTGTCTACAGTTCTGGTTGCCTCACCTCAGAAAGGGTATTTTGAAGTGCAACCAAGATGATCAAGGGGATGGAGCGACTCACATATGATGAGAGGTTGCAGAATTTAGGACTTTTTAGTTTAGAAAAATGGTGAGTAAGAGGCGGCATGAAATAAGTTTATAAAATCATGCATGGCATGGAGAAAGTAGATAAAGAAAGATTTTATCCTTCAGCCAGAACACGATAACTCCTCAACATCCACTGAAGCTGAATGTTTGAAAAATTAATGGCAGATAAAAGAGGCATTCAGTGCCTTTCTTTGTCACTTCCCTTTCTGCACAAAGCCTGATCTTTGGGGGAAGTTGGTTGCAAGGCCTTCCAGTCAACTACAGTTATGCAACCTGAATTGCATGGTGCGTGACTGAATCCTCCTGGAAAATAGTGATCGTCTGGAAGTGCCCTGCAACTAGTCAAGAGGGGCATCTACCTTGCTGCTGCTGAAACAGCTTCCTGGGCTTTCTCCCTGTCCCCAGGCCCATCTAATAATAATAATAATAATAATAATAATAATAATAATATATTTATACCCCGCCCATCTGGCTGGGTTTCTCCAGCCACTCTGAGCGGCTCCCAACAGAATATTAAAAAAATGATAAAACATCAAACATTAAAAACTTCCCTAAACAGGGCTGCCTTCAGATGTCTTCTAAAAGTCAGGTAGTTGTTTATTTCCTTGACATCTGTTGGGAGAGCGTTCCACAGGGCGGGTGCCACTGCTGAGAAGGCCCTCTGCCTTGAATACTCTGTGTTGTTTGGAGCCAGGGAACCAGGTGGAGGACTACCATTTCCACCATGAGCTTCTGGGGCGCTTGAGTAACCTTTGCAAGCTCTCCTCCAGAGACCCCCAGCATGTGAGGTAGGGGGCAACTGAGGAGTGAGCCTGCTTAGTGGTAGCACCACAGCTGTGAAACACTCTCCCCCCGCCCCCGCCGCAGGAGCAACATACTGTGTTCTTTTGGTGCCACACAAAATCCTTTTTATTCTTGATGGCAGTGCTTCCCATTGGTGGTCAGCGGACACCAGGAGGACTGCACAACCCACCCAGGAGGTCCGTAGCATCACTCACATAACAAAAACAACCATTGTTGTTGTTGTTGTTTAGTCGTTTAGTCATGTCCGACTCTTCGTGACCCCATGGACCAGAGCACGCCAGGCACTCCTGTCTTCCACTGCCTCCCGCAGTTTGGTCAATCTCATGCTGGTAGCTTCAAGAACACTGTCCAACCATCTCATCCTCTGTTGTCCCCTTCTCCTTGCGCCCTCCATCTTTCCCAACATCAGGGTCTTTTCCAGGGAGTCTTCTCTTCTCATGAGGTGGCCAAAGTCTTGGAGCCTCAGCTTCACTATCTGTCCTTCCAGTGAGCATTCAGGGCTGATTTCCTTCAGACTGGAGAGGTCTGATCTTCTTGCAGTCCATGGGACTCTCAAGAGTCTCCTCCAAAACAACCATAGAGATATCAAAATGTTCAAAAGAACATTCAAAAGTCTGTCCCTTGGCTTTTGAAAAACAGATGTCTGCGGTGCTAAGCTATTTGGGAGCCACTGCTCAAGACCTTTTACCCTCCATGGTTTCTGTCTACAGTTCTGGTTGCCTCACCTCAGAAAGGGTATTTTGAAGTGCAACCAAGATGATCAAGGGGATGGAGCGACTCACATATGATGAGAGGTTGCAGAATTTAGGACTTTTTAGTTTAGAAAAATGGTGAGTAAGAGGCGGCATGAAATAAGTTTATAAAATCATGCATGGCATGGAGAAAGTAGATAAAGATTTTATCCTTCAGCCAGAACACGATAACTCCTCAACATCCACTGAAGCTGAATGTTTGAAAAATTAATGGCAGATAAAAGAAAGTCCTTCTTCACACAGTACATAGTTAAACTATGGGACTCACTGCTACAGGAATCAGTAATGGCCACCAATTTGGATAGCTTTTAGAAAAGGATTAGATAATTCAATAGAGCAGCGGGTTATCCTAGTTACAGTGGCTCTGTTGTGGCTCCATGGCTGGAGGCAACAAGACTTCTGAATACCAGCTGCTAGAAGCTCCAGGAAAGGACAGAGCTCTCATGCTCAAATCCTGCTTGTGGGGTTCCCACAGGCATCAGTTTGGCCACTGTGAGAGCAGGATGCTGGATTAGATGGGCCATGGGCCTGATCCAGTGGTCAACCAGATGCCTGTGGGAGCCCCACGTGGAATCTAAGCACAAGAGCACGCTCCTCTCTTGCAGTTTCCAGCAACTAGTATTCAGAAACATAACTGCTTCAGGTCATGGAGGCAGAGCAGAGCAATCACAGCCAATCGCCATCAAAAGCCCTCTGCTCTATGAATCTGTCTAACCCAGGGGTAGGCAAACTAAGGCCCAGGAGGCCAGATCCAGCCCAATCGCCTTCTAAATCTGGCCCACAGACGGTCTGGGAATCAGCGTGTTTTCACATGAGTAGAATGTGTCCTTTTATTTAAAATGCATCCCTGGGTTATTTGTGGGGCATAGGAATTCGTTCATTTCCCCCCTAAAAAAATATAGTCCAGCCCCCCACATGGTCTGAGGGACAGTGGACTGGCCCACGGCTGAAAAAGATCGCTGACCCCTGGTCGAATCCTCTTTTAAAGCCATCTAGGCTGGTGGCCTGTGGGAGCGAGTTCCATAGTTCAAGTGTGCGCTGCGTGAAGAGTCAGACCTTCCAGACAGGGCTGGATTTAGGGCAGTGTGGACACACACACACACACACACACACACACCCTGGCTCAACAACAACAACAACTTACATTTGCATGGGTACCTATTGAGAAGTTCCATAAAAAGCAACTGTGAAAATAAAAAATATTTAGGGGCGTGCCAAATTTTGTCTTTGCTTAGGGTGCCATATTATGACCCTGTCCCCTACTGTCTTAGTGGATTGGGCCCTTGATAATGAAGAGGAAGGGTGTGCATTTGGATTTCCTGCTTGTGGAACCAGAATGTCTTGGTCTGACTCTGGCCATTCTTGGTAACTTTCTCACCTCTGTCCCTGGACCGGCTGCCACTTCCTCTCCCCGTGCAGCTTATAAGGACTTGCCCCTCACTTGTTTACTGAAGTGTAGCATAAAAGGAGTCAGTTCACAAATGAGGCGTTGCTTCCCAACTTTTTTCCTGCATACATTTTTCTGAAGATAATAATTCACCGGGCTCTGTTCTACCATCAGCCCAAGGTCAATATAATGAAATAAAACACCTTATATGGCTAACATACTATCCATTGGCCTTTTTAGGGTCTTGGCTTGGAGAAGATCCGCCTCTGAGGTTTTATAGTCTCACTGGTATTTATACCAAAGGCATCGTCAGAACAGAGTCCCCGAGGAAAGGAGTTTTCCTGTGCACTTGGTGAGTAGCTGCAGAAAGATTCTGCCTGCATGAACCCTCTTCTTGGAAACTGCCTCCTTCAGGGGCAAGGCAGGAGTTGTGCATGGCAAGGGAGACTTGGGAACCACCTTGCTGGCTGGCCAGGTTTGGAATGCACCTGAACATTGCTCCCTGTGTGTGCCTCTGGGAGGAGTGAGTGGCCTAAGCTCTGCCGCTTCATTGAAGGTTTCTGCCGGTTTTTGTGGCTGCCTTGTGCAAGTGTTGTGCAAGGCTGTCTTTGTGCAAGTGTTAGCGGCTGTGGCTTGCCTCTCTCCACGGCACACTTTGGAGGCAGAGGGAAAGACCGGGACTTCTTGGGTTTATGGTCCAATATGCAAATCAGGGTGTCAAGTCGTTGCTGTTTTTTAAAAGCGTAACCTGGTGTTTTGGATACCATTTGTGGAGAAAGCCAGAAGTTTTTGACTACTATTCCTGTGGATGCTAAGTAATTTGAGATTATCTGTCACATGTTATTGATTGCCTAGGGCTAACCCCTCCCCCCACCCAGTTATTGATTCCATACAGCTGCTTTATTTTCAATACTTGCTGAAATTAGTATTAGCTGTGACTGTTTCATCTTTCTTTATATGATAAAAGCAGCCTGGTGTGCCTGAATCTGAAGGAAATATGTGGGGAGGGGCCTTTTTTCCCTCTGGAAGCCAGGGGTTGGAGAGATTATTTCCATTTTTGGGAAAAGCTTGTGAGAAACCTCGTGTTTCTGTTTACTCTCGCCCAGAGTCCTGGCGTGGGATGCCAGGCTTGCTCTCTGATTCATGCCTGCAGCTTGCGGAAAATTTAGAAAAATTCCAGAGGACACAGAACAAGGCTTGCGTGTTAGAAAAGGAAAATATAAGTATGTGATACAATTGCATCCTCCAGGGAAGGAAATCTGAAGTAAAGTGATCCAAAATCTCTGGTGTGTGAAAACTCTTGTGCAGAAACCCCGCATGAAAGTAACTGCACGTTGCACCTGCTCTGTGACACCTCCCTCTGGTAAAATCCTGGAATTAGGAAAAGAATCAGAGTCTGAGAGTTGGTGAGCCCAGGTCCAGTTAAGTCATGTTCCTTGGGGGCCCACTTTTATTTAGTATTTATTATTTTATTTATTCAACTTATGTACTGCCTTTCATCAAAAGATCCCAGGGTGGTGTACAACATTAAGAACACACTTTAAGACAGCCACTGTGGTGGAGTAGCTGGAGTGGCCTGACTTGGACCTGGGAGACCTTGGGCCGGTCACTTACTCTTAGCCTGAACTACCTCACAGGGTCGTTGTGAGGAGAAAAGGGGTGTGTGGGAGGAGAACCCCTTCAGCTCCTTAGAGGAAAGGTGGGATATAAATGCAAGAAATACATTAATTAATTAAATAAGATGAGACTCTCACCACCTGCTCTGCAGATGCGCTGAGATATATAGTCATTTCAATCTTTGAGTCTTTGGAAATGGTATCATTTACATAAAAACCTCAAGCTTTAAATCTGAGTGGCATTTAACCAGACTGTGTTGAAGCTGAATCAGTGGAAGAAGCCATGGCAACAGCAGGGAAGTCGAGGCAGCTGTCTTCTGGTCACGATGGCACCTTAGGCAAGGGATGAGACGTGAAGGGCAGGGTGTCAGATGTGGAGGAGCTGGCTGGAAGAGGGGAATTCCTTGCTGGATCAGGCCAAGTGAGGCTCATCTAGTACAACAATCAGTTCGCAAGAGGGGCCGCCCCACTGGGAAGCAGGGCAGGCAGGCATGCAATTGTTGGCCTGGCTTTCCCCTGTTGATTTCAGCATCTGGCATTCAGTGGCTTTTTTCAGCTGGAACTCATTGGAACTGGGTTCCGGCACCTCTCAGGTGTATGACATTGTTGTTATACGAGAATAAGGGAGGCATTCATGGTGAGTTCTGGCACCTTTTTTCTAGAAGAATAGCCCTAGGCTCCATGAACTTATCCATTCCATTTTTATAAGCAAGAGTGGATGCTTCAATCATTTCAGCTGCTTCCTGCAGCTTGCAGTTGTTTTCCCGGCTTTTGTGAATGGAAAAATCATGAGCTCCCCATCAGCTCAGCTTCATGACACATGGGGCTTACTTGCCATGATTCTCCTGCTCACACTAGTATTGCTAAGGGGTTTTCCATCTGGCCTTCTGTGTCTCTGCAGTTTGCTCCAATGGATGGGTTGCATCCCTTGATGTTTTCGGTTGGTGCCTTGAAAAGGAATTGGAGGACAGCCCCAAAGTTGCTAAAGTAGACTTGCCCAGCCTTGGACCCTCCAGATGTTCTGCACTACAACATCAGCCCTTGTATACTATGATGGGAATTGTAGTCCAAAGCATATGGCGGGTGCCAGGTTGGGTCAAGGGGACAAATTCTTTCTGATCACAATAGGTCCATCAAAAACCTTTAGCTGTTTTATGCCAGCAAAACTATCATGGCTCCCCTCAAAGAATCCCGAGAATGGCATTTTGGTGAACATCCTGGTGATAGATTCAGGTAGGTAGCTGTGTTGGTCTGATGCAGTATATATACCGTATATATGTTGTATATATGTTGGTACTGTATAAGCTTTTGTGTGCATGCACACGGCTTCAGATAAGAACTTCTTCGTATCTGAAGAAGTGTGCATGCACACGAAAGGTTATACCAAGAACAAATTTAGTTGGTCTCTAAGGTGCTACTGGACAATTTCTTATATATATATATATCCCGGTGATAATTCTGCTAGCCATCCACCCTCACAGAGGTACAGGCCCCAGAGCAGGTTCCTTGCAGAAACGAAATGACTGTCAAGCTAAATCTGCACTGCAAACATGCTTTATGGGGTATCCTTTCACGGCTGGATTCACTGGCTGCCTTCAAGTCAGTTCTTTGGTCAGTCTCTGTGTTTAATGCTTGCAACATAATTGAATCCCCTTCTGCCTGTCCTTCATTCAGGGCTGCCTGAGCCAAAACACAAGATTCCAACTCTCCAGTTATAGCATTCTATGATTAGTGCAAATTTATTCTAATAAACATATTTTTGTATGCAGTTTGACTTATATATGCAGCAACATCCCCCAATAGGATGCGGTTTTGTATGTCATTTTCAATAATATATTAATTTTTATGTGCACTTTCCCTTAGTATATGCATTTTTGTAAGCGCTGGTTGGCAAACTGACTCACAAAATTCAGATGAGCGTGAATTCTGAAGGATAATTCTGTCTTTTGGTTCGCATATTGTTTTGAAAAGAGCAGATTTGATAGCTTCAGCTTTAATTGAAATACTTTATTGTCACTTGTACAAATTGTATACAGTGAGATTACAAGTGAATCTTGGATCGAATTCCCCCTCCTCCTCTACCTCAGAAAGAAAATGGGTTTTTCAAGGAATGATCTACCCACTGTGTAAAAAGCATGTGTGTTCTCCCCAGATATGCAGTGACTGCCCACTATAATAGCAGCTCCCACTCAATGCTGGTGAGAGGAGATCAGGCTAGCTTGGAGGGCAAAGTGCACACATCTCCGTCTTCAAACCCCTCATTGCCACTCCCTGTAGCATCTTCTGTCTGATGCCTTTGCCTAATGATGCCTCTTGCTTTCACCAGCAAAGACCCCTCCTGCACAGTCCCTACATGTCCTTCCTGATCTTCCCTCTTCCAGGTCTCCTGTGTCCCAGCACCACCGTCAGTCGAAGCCATGTGTGAAGAGGAGACAACCGCCCTTGTTTGTGACAATGGCTCTGGGCTGTGCAAGGCTGGGTTCGCCGGTGACGATGCCCCCCGTGCCGTTTTCCCATCCATTGTGGGTCGCCCACGTCACCAGGTTTGTTCACAGAGTTCCCTTTGGGTGCTTCTAATCAGGGATTTTTTTCAGCTGGAACTCAGGGCACATCTCAGGTGGACACCATTGCTATTACAAGAGAACAGGGGAGGCATTCATGGTGAGTTCCAGCACCTCTTTTTCTAGAAAAATAGCACTGCTCAGAGCTGGGACTCAGTTAGACTGGTAAAGAAAAAGCAATTTATATGCGTTGTATGTGCAATATAACATTGTGCCACCAAATGGCAATGTGGAATCCCGTTTTTCTCTACCTGTTTAAATTTACAACGCTTTAAACTGAAACACTTCTTTGATGTGTCTAGATCCAGCCTTGGACTATGGACTCAGCTATACAGCTGCAAATAAAACATTTTAAGTGTGTTTTAAATGTAATATACAATGTGGCATTAGATGGCAATAGTGAGCCTCATGGAAAATTCAATGTATTTTTAAAAAGGCATTTTCAGAACGGTTTTTATATGTGTGTAGATTCCCCTTATAACTCCCATCAGCCTCAGCCAGCATGTACAAAACATCTGGAGGGCACCAGCTTGGCAAAGGCTGATGCATGGCATATACATGGGATAAAATCTATTATTACCAAAAGTATAAGTATACAAATGAATTATCCAAAGAAACACAAGATGAAGATCTATAAATCTTAAATCAGAAAGAAAAGGAGCACTACAGTTTATTAAGAACCATCAATAGAATACATATTAAAAGGTCATAGTAGGAAGTAATTGTACAACTAAATGTGTTTGGATGTAAGAAATTGGTAGTTTCATAGACCAGAAATTCTCATGTAAGATACTGTAGGACCCCATATTTCATCAGCTAAATGCACCTTGAGATTTGCTGAAAGTCTGGCAGCTTTTTCACTTTTAGAGTATCCCAGAGATTTGCAAAGTCTCTCTCCTGCCCCCCTTTAAAGAACTGGTAGAGCAAATTTACCAATATTTGGAAAATACCAGGGTAGCAGGATCATGGGAGTTCAGAGCCAGCCACATCAGAAATTCAGCAGGGAAAAGATTCCAGCAAATTATTTGATTGAATAAGATAGAAGAGGATCTGTTTTGAATGTTTTGGTCACAAGCAACTGTTTGTGGGCAAAGGACTCTGACAGGTTAAGGTTTCCCATGTGCAGTGCTTTTTTTCTGGGGGTGCTCAAGGGTATGCAGTACTGACACCTCCCGCCCCCCCCACCCCCCGTTAAAAGTGTAGCACTTACTGGAACAACTTCAGGGTGAGTACCAGCACCTTATAAATAAATAAAAAAGCACTGCCCATATGAGAATCCTTGGAAATGGCTCAGTCTGTGGCTGAACTGTCCATGGCAAGTTCCTTTGACTCTTAGTTTTCACAGCTATTCATGTGACTGCATTAATGCCATGCAGGAAGTGACCAGGTGCTTGCCAAATGAGAACATTCCCATGTCTGTAGGGAGGAAGAATAATTGATGTTCAAGATCTGGTCCTTGTCATTCTATCAGTGAGGCTGAAATAGTCCATATTCTGGGAAATGAGACTTGTGAAGGCCAACATAGTGGTTCCCATTTAGCAGGGTGGAATGAAGAGTGCTGTGAGGCAGAATGCCAAACTTACCTTGAGCATGTGATCAAGCTGAGATTTGAATTGAGGATTCCCTGGTGCATCACACTCCTACCCAATATAAAATTTCACCTTCTTATTACAGTGGTGCCCCGCAAGACGAATGCCTCGCAAGACAAAAAATTCGCTAGACGAAAGGGTTTTTTGTTTTTTGAGCTGCTTCGCAAGACGATTTTCCCTATGGGCTTGCTTCGCAAGACGGAAACGACTTGCAAGTTTGTTTCCTTTTTCTTAACACCGTTAATACAGTTGCGACTTGACTTCGAGGAGCAACTCATAGCCTTTTTTGAGGTTTTTAAAGACTTTGGTGATTTTTGAAGCTTTTCCAAAACTTTCCCGACACCGTGCTTCGCAAGACGACAAAACTCGCGGAATGAATTAATTTCGTCTTGCGAGGCACCACTGTATTTATTTGCTTATTCATTGAAAAACATATTTTCCAGTCTGTCCTCATATGGTTCTAAGTGGGTTGGAGTAGGCCGAATTCTAAATGGTCTTCAGAAGGGAGAAGTTATGTTGGTGGCAGATGAGTGGGTGTTAGATTATGCAGAGTTTGTTTCCCTTTCTTTGAATACCTCATGCCTGGAGAAGGATGAAGAGGGGAGTTTATGATGTTCCTCTTCTTGGTTCCTAGGGTGTGATGGTGGGGATGGGCCAGAAAGACAGCTACGTCGGGGACGAAGCCCAGAGCAAGAGGGGGATCCTGACCCTCAAGTACCCCATTGAGCACGGCATTATCACCAACTGGGACGATATGGAAAAGGTGACAAGCTCTCCTCTTCGTTAACTTTTTCATTCAGATTTTGAACGGGAGGTGTTTTTTTTTTATTAAAATAGAAAAACACAGACAATAGCCAGGAAATAAAATAACTTCTCAGAGTCTTGTATAATGTGTATTACAGCAGAGCATCTACTAAACCTTCCTTCTCCAGCCTTGATGTTTCTGAGAGTTTGTAATAATATTGTATCATTTGATATGATCAAACAAATAATTGGATAACATATGAATGGCAATTGATAAATTTCTCGCTAGATTCCATGGCTTTCCAATTGCATTTTCAACCAATTCTAGAAGTATTGTAGGAATTAGAGGAATTTCATACATAACAGTGGCTAGAGAATAATCAGTCATTTAGCTGAGCCAATGTGATGGTCTGAAGACACGACACACCAAACTTAATGACGTGATGATGGCCTGAGTCTACTAAGTACCTACTTCCATTTTATAAATAAAGCATTTTGCTTCTCTTCCCCACCAAAAAAGCTTTAAAGTATTAGTGCATATAGTCACCATCCTCTGTACTTCTTTGGACCCTAGCGTATCTGATCTTGGCAGCTGGGGTGACCAGACTTTATGGCTTGGATCAGGCATAGGCAAACTCGGCCCTCCGGACGTTTTCGGACTACAGTTCCCATCATCCCTGACCACCGCTCCTGTTAGCTAGGGATGATGGGAGTTATAGTCCCAAAACATCTGGAGGGCCGAGTTTGCCTATGCCTGGCTTGGATCCTAAGATCCAATGAGGTCCATGTAAGGAAAGCAATTCTCCAGGCCCTTGCCCCAGGTCCATGAGATACTACACAATCTGATCTGTATTCAGGTTGCTAGGCTTTATGATAGAATTAGTGCCATTCAGTCATGAAAGATTCACAGTTATGGAACATATGTGTTTGGGCATTATGGAGGAATGACAGTGGCATTGGTCTGAGGAATGACTGTGCTTCCTGAGCAACCCCCCACAGAGGCAAATTGACCAGGTTGTTTTGCTTTAAGGGAAAGCGTGCCTGATAGCAGTAGCATACAAATAAAAAATGGCTTATCTGAGTCAGCAGCACCAGCTGGGCATGACAGGCAAGACCCAAAGATGGATGCAACATTATGGAGTCTTTTCACAATCTCTGGCCAACCTGAACGCTTGTGACGTGTTGAGAATGAAGTCAGGCGAGACAAAGCTTGGCACTTTGCAGGCAACTCTTGTTTGTCCACTTTGCCCAGATTTGGCACCATTCTTTCTACAATGAACTGCGAGTGGCTCCTGAAGAACACCCCACACTTCTGACAGAGGCACCCCTGAACCCTAAGGCAAACCGAGAAAAGATGACCCAGGTAAAACCTCTTCTCCTGCTCAGCTGGACAATGTACGATGAACATGTACTGCCAAGTGGTGGATTTGGGAAGCCATTAAGGGAGGTGAGGCAGAGCTGGGGGGGGAGGTCCCTACACAAGCCCCATTGAGATGCCTTCTGCAGCTCCTTTCCATTTCAATAAGATTTGTGCAGGAGAGCAGAATGTGCTCTCGAGACCGAAGCCTCCTCTATCCAGCCCTGGAAGAGTGGCGTGCCATTCATTCTCTCTTTTCCCCTCCTAGATTATGTTTGAAACCTTTAACGTCCCTGCCATGTATGTCGCAATCCAAGCTGTGCTGTCCCTCTATGCATCTGGCCGCACCACCGGTGAGTGCTTAGCTTCAATTGCCGAGTCTCCAGAAGTCTGAATTCCATGCACGTCCACACAAATCTGAGATGAAAGAGAGCCAGTGTGGTGTAGTGGTTAGAGTGTCGTCCTAGGACCTGCGAGACCAGGGTTCGAATCCTCACTCATTCAGGAAGCCCACTGGCACAATAGCAGAGGTAGCCTGGAGTTCATCCTGCTCCTGATGGTGTGCTGATGACCAAGCACTTTACAATACAGTGATATGGATGGTTGACAGCTCATTGGATTCCCAGAGACAATGGAGTGGGCCTCCAAGGTTGAACTCAAACTGCTAGAGAATCACAGCGCCTGCTGTGGCTGCAGACTGATAACTTGCAACTGCTGCCTCCCATGTTTTTTGCTGTGTTAGCAGTACCAAAGTAACCTCCCATGGGGCGCAGGGCTGAACAATGTGTGTGAAGGTCCTGGGCTGCACAGACAAAGGGCAAAGGTAAACAGCATAATATGTTTGGCACCACCTTGGCTGCTGGAGTTGCCAGAAGGAGGTGTACAAGGTGCCATCCAATCGTCTTAGAGACCCAACTCCAGATTTGTGTAGGGTTTAATCCAGGCACAGGCAAATTCCATCCCTCCAGATGTTTGGGACTACAGTTCTCATCATCCCTGACTTCTGGTCCTGTTAGCTAGGGATGATGGGAATTATAGTCCCAAACATCTGGAGGGCCGGATTTTGCCTATGCCTGGTCCTTAGCTTTTTCTTCTCCCTACGATGTCCCGCAAGACAGCGGGTAATATTTCCTGAGTAATATGTTGACGTAAGAAGAGTGAAATGGGGGTTGGGGACCCACGGCATTTGTGTCACAGTCTTCCTTCCTCTTCCTCTTTAGGTATTGTTCTGGACTCCGGTGATGGCGTCACTCACAATGTGCCCATTTACGAAGGTTACGCCCTGCCTCATGCAATCATGCGTCTTGACCTGGCTGGTCGTGACCTCACAGACTACCTCATGAAGATCCTGACAGAACGGGGCTACTCTTTTGTCACCACTGGTAAGGAGGGGCTGGATCCTTGGAGCTGACGGCAGGGACCTAGATGGGGTTGCTCCAGCATTGCTTTTCTTCTTTATTTTACTTTTTTAGAAAAGCTCAGATAAGCACTTTATATTGTCATGTGGTTCAGACATCTTAGTGCTGTCTCCTCGTTGCATTTTTTGGAGGGGGGAAATTGAAAGTAAATGGGGAGGAAAATAACACATTTTGTTAGATGGGATTGCCTTACCCCATCCATTAGAATCATAGAATTATAGAGTAGGAAGGAACACAAGGTTCATCTAGTCCTATAAATTATAATAGTACAATAAAATATAAAAGACACACGCGCACACACTGAGAGGAAATGGGTAGAGAGAGGTGTATTGAAAGTAAATTAACAATAACAACAACAATAACTAAGGTAGGGTATATAAGACAGAGGACACCAAAGAAGGAACAAAGAAAGGATGAAAGAAAAGAAAAGGGGAAAAGGGAAGGAAAGAAGACGAAAAAGAGGGAAAGGAAATGTGTGTGTGTGTGTGTGTGTGTGTGTAACGCAGAGAAGAGGTATTCAGAAGTCAGGTAGTTGAACATAGGTAACAAGGGGAGACAACAACAACAACAACAACAACAACAACAACAAATTTATTATTTATACCCCGCCCATCTGGCTGGGTTTCCCCAGCCACTCTGGGTGGCTTCCAACTGAATATTAAAAACAATACAGCGTCAGACATTAAAAACTTCCCCAAACAGGGTCGCCTTCAGTTGTCTTTTAAAAGTAAAATAGTTGTTTATTGCCTTGACTTATGCTGGGAGGGCGTTCCACAGGGCAGGCGCCACTACCGAGAAGGCTCTCTGTATGGTTCCCTGTAATCTTACTTCTCACAATGAGGGAACCGCCAGAAGGCCCTCGGCGCTGGATCTCAGTGTCCGGGTAGAATGATGGGGGTGGAGACACTCCTTCAGATATACTGGACCGAGGCCGTTTAGGGCTTGAAAGGTCAGAACCAACACTTTGAATTGTGCTCGGAAACATACTGGGAGCTAATGCAGATCTCTCAGGACCGGTGTTATGTGGTCCCGGCAGCCACTCCCAGTCACCAGTCTAGCTGCCGCATTCTGGATTAATTGCAGTTTCCGAGTCACCTTCAAAGGTAGCCCCACGTAGAGCGCATTGCAATAGTCCAAGCGGGAGATAACCAGAGCATGCACCACTGTGGAGAGACACTCTGCGGGCAGGTAGGGTCTCACCCTGTGTAATGGTTCTAGGGGTTGCTCGTGCGTAAGCCGGTGCAAACACCTGGCTGGGTTGCCTGAGTGAACCTTTTCTGTCCGGACAGCCACTCACCCGTGGCTGTCTCAATCGCTGGCAGAATCCATCAGTGGGCGTTTCTTAAACTTCTTCCAGCAAAGAAGCTCTTTGACGCCTAGTCTCCGCCTACCCTCTCTGCGCGAAAGCCTTCTGCACAAGGAGGGCGTGGGCAACGGAGGACCCCTACTCTCCCCGCTGGTCCCCGGCAAGGCGTCATGGGACCGCCTCGCCGCTTCCCCCATCTGCCCCCCTTCTCCACTGGTGCTACACTGATTCTCTTCCCCAGAAGATGGGCTGCCTCTCCCAATCCCGGGATGCTCTCTGGAATCCCTCTGGATTTTGCTCTCTCCCTCCGGCACTGATGGCAGTTCCCTGACACCCTGCATACCAGATGGAGCTGGTAGACAGCTGCCCTGGACACAGAATTGACCTGCGCCTCCATGGACAGCTGTGAGTCCAAAATGACTCCCAGGCTGCGCACCTGCTCCTTCAGTGGCACAGTTACCCCATTCAGGATCAGGGAGTCCTTCACACCAGCCCGCCCCCTGTCCCCCAAGAACAGTACTTCTGTCTCATCAGGATTCAACCTCAATCCATTGTTATCTTCAACCCTTTCATTCCAATAGCTTATGAAAAGGACCCATCATTCTCTTGTTGGCTTCTGACTTCTCTTCCTGAGTATTCCATTTGAACAGATGCTAATGTTTGCCATATTTTCTTTAGCCATTCTTTCACTTGGTGGGGTGCGGCAGTCACTGCAGTCTTCCAATATTAAGAGATACAAATTCTGTCTGCATTCTCATTTCTGTTATGAAGATCAGCTTACATATTGCATGGTGCTTGTGTGGGTGTGTGGAAACATATGATATACTCCCCCCACATATGAGACGACTGTACAAATGGGTGTGTTTTCTTTTGGGTACGTGCATTGTGTGACTTGCTGTTCAACATCATGCCTAGCTTTGTTAACCTGGGGCAGCCTTCCCCAACCTGGTGCCCTCCAAACGTTTTGGACTACATAGCCCATCAACCCGCGTCAGCATGGCCGCCTCTGGAGAGAACCTGGTTGGGGAAGGCTGACTTAGGGCATACCTTCACTGCAAATATAAGTGAGTGCTAAGTCGCTTTTAACTATTGTGGCCTCTTTCACTGTGCGGAGAGTTCGCTAGGAGTTGTCCTTGTGGGATTGTGCTGAGAATCTTGACAGAGGGCATTTCCCAAGGTTGGGTCTACTGGGAAAAGTAAATTAAAACAATTCAATTTGGTACGTCTTAGTTCATCTACCATCATATCATCATCTTCATTTATTAATTTATATACCATGCCTCTGTCTTTCACAGCTGAACGAGAAATTGTGCGTGACATCAAGGAGAAGCTGTGCTACGTCGCTCTGGATTTTGAGAATGAGATGGCAACAGCTGCTTCCTCCTCATCCCTGGAAAAGAGCTATGAGCTCCCTGATGGGCAAGTCATCACCATTGGCAATGAGCGATTCCGTTGCCCAGAAACTCTTTTCCAGCCTTCCTTTATAGGTGAGTCTGCATCTCTGGAGTCTGGAGTCAGAGAATCTGAAGTAATGCATGGGAAACAATATTTCCTTCTCTCTTGGGGCTCTTTTCTTTGATTGTGATATTTCAACCTGAAAAAATCATTTTTTGGTATTAATATTTTATTGAAAAGGTTTCAATTATAAAGGAATAAAGTGATGCAAATAAAAATAAAATAAAAAGGCACAAAAATGTGTAGAAACAATATATGAATATATACAATATACAAAAAATACCCTAACCCATACATTCTTGTATAAATTAGATATTATTATGCTAATACTTATGTAAATATTAATAGTCTACTACATTTTGTATAAATTCATTCCAATTTTGTCGTGTTTATCCAAGCAGTCTACGTCTGTAAGCAGTCTGTTCATAAGTTGCAAGTGTTATCATATTGTCAATCCATTTATTAAAGGGGATTATATCTTTATTCCAGTTGATCAATATCAGTCTCTTGGCTATCATTAGGGCACATAGAATCTATTTTCAACATCCTGTTGTTAACTTCTATACCAGGCATAGACAAACTCGGTCCTCCAGATGTTTTGGGACTACAACTCCCATCATCCCTACCTAACAGGGCCAGTGGTCAGGGATGATGGGAATTGTAGTCTCAAAACATCTGGAGGGCCGACTTTGCCTATGCCTGTTCTATACAATAGATATATAGTTCAGAAGAATATAGTTCAGTCAATCATGAAAAGAAAACAGAGCCTTACTTCTTGCATTCAATTTATTCATCCCTTGCTTCTCCCTCTGAAGGAAATCCCAAAGCAACTAACAACACCATACAAAAAAATACAGTCATCTCAAAAGACAAAGGAATATTTTATTTGAAAAAAATGCTAGAATAAACCTATAGATACATTTTGCATTCAGTACTTAAGAAAACAACAATTCAGTCAACAATTAAAAATCCATAAACAATGGAAGAAAACTGTATATGAGAATGAATTCTTCCCATTCCTATTATATAATTTTTACACTACAATAAAATTAAAAACCATGGCAATTTTAAAAATAAGGTAGTATTTAAAGCCCAGTGAAACAGCAACAGCTCTTAAAGGCAAACTAACAGCAGTGGCTTTTGCCAGTTGACTAGAAAGGCTCTGATGGGAGAGGATGCAAAGATGTTTGAAACATGCTCCCCAGAAAGGAACTTAATTCCAAAGTTTCATCAAAGCCAACCATAGTTCAGTGGTTGAGGCACTTGCTTTGAATGCAGAAAAGAGAGCCAGCATGGTGCTGTGGTTAGAGTGAGAGACTAGGACCTGGGAGAGACCAGGGTTCGAATCCCCACTGGGCTATGAAGCTCACCTTGGGCCAAGCACGGCCTCTCAGTCTAACCTACCTCACAGGGTTTGGTGGGGATAAAATGAGAAGGGAGAGAACCATGAACACCACTTTGAACTCCTTCGGAAAAAATGGTGGGCTATAAATGCAATGAAACAAATGAATGGCTCAGGTTGAGTCTTTGGTTTCTCCAGGTAGGGCTGGAAGTCTCCTCTGTCTGAAATCTTGGAGAACTGCTGGTAGTCAATTTAGGCAATACAGAGCTAGATGGAGCAGTAGTCTGACTCAGTGTGAAGGTTTCTTCCTATGTACCTCTCAGTTGGGTAGTGATCAGTGCTGAACTGCCAGAGGAAGTTCGTCTTACTGAGTTCCCATCTGAACTGGGGACAAGCCACTGATTTTGCACCATTCCTCCTAGGCATGGAATCTGCTGGCATTCATGAGACAACCTACAATTCCATCATGAAGTGCGACATTGACATCCGCAAAGACCTCTATGCCAACAACGTCCTTTCTGGAGGCACCACCATGTACCCTGGAATCGCAGACAGAATGCAAAAGGAAATTACAGCCTTGGCTCCCAGCACAATGAAGATAAAGGCATGTCTGCCCTATTTTTTTTCAGGGTTTGAAATACTGTCCCTTAGCAGCCGCCCGGCCCCATCCCACCTGCAACCTGGCAGGACACCACATACTGATGGGAACAAAGATCCATGAGTGTGCTATGGGGAGGGGATTACCCATGCGTTTTTGGGACTGCGCCCCTTCCAGTCGTCAACCACAGGGAACTCTTTGCTGTTATGCTCTGATGGGTATTGGCCCACTGACATGCCTATGGAAATAATCCAAAATTTAATACTATCTGTAGTAGTTGGCATATATCTGATGATAGCTGTGGGTCTTGACATTTCCTCAGATCAGAACTGACTTTCTGTTTGTGCTTTAGTCTCACACCTTACTTATTCGGTAGCCAAATGACCATCAAAAATGTCACTCATTAACCCTCTTCTACAAATGTTTTCACAGATCATTGCTCCTCCTGAGCGTAAATACTCTGTTTGGATTGGTGGTTCCATCCTGGCCTCTCTCTCCACCTTCCAGCAGATGTGGATCAGCAAACCAGAATACGATGAGGCTGGTCCTTCAATTGTCCACCGGAAGTGCTTCTAGAGGCCAGAGCTAGATTCTTCTAGAGCATGGAGACTCCTTCCTCCTCCTCCTCCTTTTGCAATTCTTTCTAACTCTTCAATAAGCATTAAAACGTTTTTCAAACTCTGCCTGTAGCACTTTGTCCCCTGTTGTTGTTGCTGCTGTAATCTACCTTGCACCCTAAGGCTCAGGGCAGGTTACAACAATTTAAAATACCATTTTAAAACACACAACAGTTTTTAAAAAACAGTGTGGGTTCTGAAAATATACATTTTAGGTGTCAAAGGTGCTAGGGTAAAAAGATGTGTCTTCAGCATACAATGGAAACTATATAGTGAAGGGCCAGGTGTACCTCTGTGGGGAAGGAATGCCACAACTTAGGGGCTGCCACAGTGAATGCCCTCTCCTGGCCTACCACCACTCCAAACTTCTGTGGGTTGTGGAACTACCAAGAGGGCCTGCTCTGTTGACACTAGAAAACTGTTTGCAGCAATGAGGTGGTCTCTCTCAGATATTTGGGGCCTGAGTCCTTTTGGGCTTAAAATGTTGATGTGATGACCCTGAACTGGGACCAGAAATGAACTGGCAACCAGTTCAGTTGTTCCAAAACAGCAGCTACATGAGATCTAAACAGAACCCCAGCCAATAATCTGGATGCTGCATTTTGGACCAATCGAAGTCGCTGGGTCGTTCAAGCACATTGTAATAATCCAGCCTGGGAGTTACCAGAGCATGGAATACAGTGGTTAGGTCTTTTGTATGCCATTGATCTTCACATCTGGCTCTTGAGTAAACTTATTTATGTTTTATAAAGGGAAGGTATGCAATTCAGAGGAGTGGAGGTTGTTCAAATGAAATAAACCTTTACCTGAAAATTCAGTACTTCAGATGCTAGTCTGTTGCATGAAAAACAACAAAACCATGTGGCATCTTAAGAGGGCTGAATCAAGACCATGATGGTCCCTGGGCCAGCAGCTTTTAGTGGGTACCCTACTCTACTCCCAACTGTAGAGTCGCATGTACGACATCTTGGGCATGTGAACACACTCACACAAAGAAAAAGCATGTTCTGTGCAACGATGGGGTGGTAAGCTCTACTCACACTCAGATTAATGGGCCTAAATTATGTCCATTGATTTCAGTAGGTTTACTGTGAGCAGTGCTTAGTTGGATACAAGCCATGTAGGAAACATTTCTACATATCTTAAAGCAGGGGTAGCCAATGTGGTGCCTCCCAGATGATGTTGGACTGCAGCTGTTGCCATTTGCTGACCATTAATCCGTAAACAGACCCCCGTGTTGCAATATAGACAAGCTGAACAAAATAACACAACACGATGGCCAATAACAATGGCACAGAACACTACTGTATTTATATACTAATCCAAATGATCAGAAATTGCAACCAAAGTCTCTAAATCTTCACCAGTCGTGGCAGAGTAATTCAAAAGTTTGATATATACATAATCTTGATGAAGAATTGATTAAGATTGGCTGATGAAGCATTGAATGAAACAGATTGGTTATCCGGAAACTTCTGTTCCAGCGATATTTGATGACAGATTATGGGACGCGGATGGCGCTGTGGGTTAAACCACAGAACCTAGGACTTGCCGATCAGAAGGTCGGCAGTTCAAATCCTCGCGACGGGGTGAGCTCCCATTGCTCGGTCCCTGCTCCTGCCAACCCAGCAGTTCGAAAGCACATCCAAGTGCAAGTAGATAAATAGGTACCGCTCTGGCAGGAGGGAGTGCTTAGGGGATGCGGGTGGCGCTGTGGGTTAAACCACAGAGCCTAGGAGTTGCCGATCAGAAGGTCGGCGGTTCGAATCCCCACGACGGGGCGAGCGCCCGTTGCTCGGTCCCTGCTCCTGCCAACCTAGCAGTTCGAAAGCACGTCAAAGTGCAAGTAGATAAATAGGTACCGCTCCAGCGGGAAGGTAAATGGTATTTCTGTGCGCTGCTCCGGTTTCGCCAGAAGTGGCTTAGTCCTGCTGGCCACATGACCCAGAAGCTGTACGCCGGCTCCCTCGGCCAATAAAGCGAGATGAACCCCAGTTGGCCACAACTGGACCTAATGGTCAGGGGTCCCTTTACCTTTACCTATGTATATATCAAACTTTTTAATTATTCTGCTGTGACTGGTGAAGGTTTAGATTAAATAGTGATTAAATAGTGTTAATACCATTGTTATTGGCCATTGTGTTGTGTTATTTTGTTCAATTTGCTGACCATTGGCCATGCTTGCTGGGACCAATGGCAACAGCAGCCCACAACATCTGGAGGGAACCGAGCTGGCTGCATCTTCTGCACTTCACCGGAAGCAAGACTGGAAAGGCCCCCTTCACACATTTGTTGTGCCACGGGGTCTTCTTCAGTGCAAGCACTGGCCTCACCCCTGGTGCTACGTGGATTTCCTGGCCCTCTTCCAACCTGCACATGCTGGATGTTGCCACCTCCCTCAGGGACGCCTGCCTGATTCCCCTGCTGCCTATGTCCAGGGTGTGGCCATTCGGGCGGAGGCTGGGGAAAGGGCAGCGTCTGGAGCACGGCCAGCAGCATGTTCACTGGCCCCTTGCTCTGGTGGAGACCCCTTTGCACAGTTGACACATGAAGGGGGCTTGACACATCACCAAAGGGAGCAGGGGTGATGTGCTGCCTCCTGCCTCCACTCGACCCCCTTCCACATGAGGGGCTCTTCTGCTGCCTCGGGTGGCTGCTTCATTCCGCCTAATGGGTGGGCCGGCTCCGGTTCTTTGGCAACTTTTCTTTGCTAGAATCCCTGTTTTTACCTCTGTGGCACAGAGCTGTGAAATGCCACTCAAATGCGTTCCAGGAAATGCTCCGAGCTGTGAGAGGAGAAGTGGCCTCCCTCGTGCTTTTTTGTTACAGGCTGCAGGGAGAGGAGGTGGCTACGCTACCGAGCACCACAGGGGGGCCTTACTCCCGAGGAGACATGCACGGGGTGGCGCTGTAGGCGCCTGATCCTCTCCAAACATGACTCCAACAAGCACACCCTAAAAGGTAAAGGGACCCCTGACCATTAGGTCCAGTCGTGACTGCATCTGGGGTTGCGATGCTCATCTCGCTTTATTGGCCGAGGGAGCCGGCGTTCAGCTTCCGGGTCATGTGGCCAGCATGACTAAGCCGCTTCTGGCGAACCAGAGCAGCATATGGAAACGCCGTTTACCTTCCCGCCGGAGCGGTACCTATTTATCTACTTGCACTTTGACGTGCTTTCGAACTGCTAGGTTGGCAGGAGCTGGGACCGAGCAATGGGAGCTGGCCCCGTCGTGGGGATTTGAACCGCCGATCTTCTGATCAGCAAGTCCTAGGCTCTGTGGTTTAACCCAAAGCGCCACCCGCACCCCCTAAGCACTCCCTCCTGCCCCGCAAATGGCCGCCCGCGGGAGTACTGCTGCCCCGAGCTGGCGGAGCCCAGCGCCGGAACCAAGTGAACTGGGCCCCTTTGGGCGGAAAGACACGAGCGACTTCGGCAGGGCGGGGGCGCAGGCGCAATAGCTGGCCGCGCCTCCCGACAGCTGGGCGCTGGGTGGCGCTGCTCTGCGCGATGGCTGCGGCGCGGGAGGCCGGCAAGAGGCTCGCCATCGAGGGAAACATTGGTAAGGGGTCTGGGGAGGGGGCAGGAGGAGCTCGGGGGTCTTTTCTTCCATTGTATGTCGGCAGCGCCGTCCTGCGACTTGGAAGCGCCCGTCCAGCCGGAGGTGGGGGGGGGAGGAACTCTGCACTTGCTCAGAGGCAGCCTTATTATTGCCCTGGTCGCTCGGGCCCTTGCACGGTTGCAGGATATATGCCTTAGGAGCAATGCTCCGCCCCATTCCCCGTCTTGCTCCAGTTGGGGAAGGCGCGCAGTCTCGGGCTTCGGCGAACCTCCAGGGAAGATCTTGGTTGGTTGGGTGGTGATTGATTTATTTACTATATTTCTATGCTGCTTTTCATTCAGGTGAATAGCAGTCGGTTACAAACAGTAAATGACATTCCAAACTCAACGCAAATCATATAGAACAGATAACAGATCATAAGTAAAACCATTACAATCCATATAGCACCATCAACTAAAAAGGTTAAAGCATGAACTGGTGCCTCCGCGAGTGTTCAGAAGTGAATGGAACTTGGTGGTGGTGGTTGCAAGAGCGCTGTTAGGTTGGGCAGTATTATTACACCCCATAATATGCAGAAAGGGAGTGGGGCCAGGGTGAGGTGCCAAGTGGGTCACATGCACACCATACGTTTGAAGCACATGGCATCCGAATCCTGGGAACTGTGGTCGCTTAAGAGTGCTGGGTATTGTAGCTCCTTGAGGAGCAAACTATAGGTCCCAGGATTCTTTATCCAATAAGGTGAGTGTTGGAAGATTCAGGACAGGGGGAAAAAATGCCCTCCTTCATGCAGCATGTAGTTTAACTATGGAACTCACTTCCACAGGAGGCAGCAGTGGTCACCAACTAGGTAAAGGTAAAGGTACCCCTGCCCGTACGGGCCAGTCGTGTCCAACTCTAGGGTTGTGCGCTCATCTCACTTTAGAGGCTGGGGGCCAGCGCTGTCCGCAGACACTTCCGGGTCACGTGGCCAGCGTGACGAAGCTGCTCTGGTGAGCCAGCACCAGCGCAGCACACGGAAACGCCGTTTACCTTCCCGCTATAAAGCGGTACCTATTTATCTACTTGCACTTAGGGGTGCTTTTCGAACTGCTAGGTGGGCAGGAGCTGGGACCGAAAGACGGGAGCTCACCCCGCCGCGGGGATTCGAACCGCCGACCATACGATCGGCAAGTTCTAGGCACTGAGGTTTTACCCACAGCGCCACCCGCGTCCCTGCTTAAAATTTATATACTGCTTGACTGAAACCCCCACCCACCCTCAGAGCTGTTTGCCAGAATTATTCTTAGGGGGAAGCCATGTGCTCCAAGTATGTGGTGTGAATGTTACATCCCATCTCCACGGCTCATTCTCTGCACAACGTAAGCAGAACGAGGTTGCTTTTCCTTTTGCTGATATTTGGAAACGCAGTATAAGGAGGAATGTTGGCTAATGGGCATACGTGCTTTTTGCTCCGCCAGCGGTGGGGAAGTCAACGTTTGTGAGAGTGCTCAGAAAAGCCTTTCCAGAATGGTCCATGATCTCGGAGCCAGTGTCCAAGTGGCAGAAAGTTCAAGCTGCTGGTCCCCACCAGGTAAGAGTCCAGATGTAAAACTTGTTTGGTCTGTAAGGAACTGAGCTATTTTGGTTCAGAATATTGTATTCAATCAACTGGGAGTTCTTCTTCAGTACAAGAATTCTGAGCAAAGGGGAAACTTGCCTTCTTACCAAAATAATCATTCAGATAAAATAACCATTCACTCTCGTGCAACTTCCTTTGGCACCAAAGAGTATTCACCCTCTTTGTGCTAAAGCAGGCTTCCTCAAACTCAGCCCTCCAGATGTTTTGAGACTACAGTTCCCATCATCCCTGACCACTGGTCCTGCCTAGCTAGGGATCATGGGAGTTGTAAGCCAGAAATATCTGGAGGGCCGAGTTTGAGGAAGCCTGTGCTAAAGGTTATAAGAACACCAGTAGAGCCTGCCGGATCAGGCCAATGGCCCATTGAGTCCAGCATCCTTTTCTCCCTGTGGCCAAGCAGATGCCTGTGGGAAACCTTCCAGCAGGGAACGACTGCAAGAGCAGCCCTCTCTCCTCCTGTGGTTTCCAGGAGCTGGTGTTCAGAAGCGTTGCTGCCTCCGACTGGGCAGGCAGAGCACTGCCATCATGGCTTATATAGCCACAAATAGCCTTATCTTCCTGAATCTTCCAACGTTTGGCTCCCCTGAATGCCTACAAATTTTAGTGTTCTGAGAGAGGTAGAAAAATATTTCTCTATCTACTTTCTCCATACCATGCATGATTTTATAAAGTTCAAAAAAACTTCTATAAAGATTTTTAAAGACTCCATCCATCCCCTGTGCTGTTCCTTATGTGCTTCCATTTATCCCAGCTTGCTGGCTGGGACTGATAGGAGTCCAAAACATCTGGAGGGCACCAAGTGGGAGAAGGTTGAGCTGGAGGGAGGCGAAGAGAAGAGGAACCTTGCAATATCTTCACATGGCACAGGTTCACAGGCCCTGCTGTGGCCTCCCCCCAGAAAACACGCACTTTGTTTTGTGGTTCCTTTTCCGTTCGGTTCTTAAATGTTTGTCTCTTAAATTATTCCCTGTCACAGGCCTCTCCTTCTCAGAGCTTTGCAAACCTGCTTCAAATGATGTATCAGGAACCCTTGCGATGGTCCTACACATTCCAGACTTACTCATGCCTGAGTCGGCTGAAGGCGCAGCTGGAGCCTCTGTCTGTCAAGCCCCTGAAGATGTGGGACCATGTGCGGGTTTTTGAGAGATCTATATACAGTGATAGGTATGGTGCCACAGTCCTGTTCCTGAAGTTGGCAGCAGCAGCAACAGTGAGATGGGGCCACAGGCCAAGAGAAGTGGGGAGATGTTTGCCTTTTGAAAGAACTGTACACCCCCTTTTGAAATGTTCTCAAGTATTCAGTGCCCCCTCTCCATGTGCAGAGTGCTCTGCAGTTTCTTCCCACGCTTTCATTGTTGTTGAATGGTCCTTGCAGTTCCTTCCAACTTATAATTGGGGAAACTAAGGATGGTGCCCCCTTAGCAAGGAAAGCTTTGCCATTCCTTCCATTGGAGCCTCTTCCCCACAAGGAAGAGGAAAACCTTCCATTTTGTAATGATGAATGGATGCCAATTGCAAATACAATATTTGGGAAGCTTGGCAGTTTCGCATTTATCTCTGACTTGCCTGTTCTTCTTCCTGTGTTTGTTGCTGTGCGGGTGGTTTAACTACATGGTCCTCCCCCAGGTACGTCTTTGCCAAAAACCTGTTTGAGATTGGCCACCTGGCAGAGATTGAGTGGGCAATTTACCAGGACTGGCACACTTTTCTCCAACAAGCATTCGGGGAACAGCTTGACATCCATGGCTTCCTTTATCTACGGGCACCTCCAGAGGTAACTGGAAACCTCTGTTATATTTATTAGACACTTCGCCACCTCCCACCCTCAAAAATGAAAGTCAAAGTGATTTACAGAAATGAAGATTGAAAGCAAGTGTTAGGCCAGATGGTTCACTCATGTAGGAGACTGCCTGCTACATCTCTGTCCGAGTCATTGCTCTGGCTGCCTCACCTTCTACTCTGCTGAAGGCAGGTAAATCGGCAGGCTTGTTGCATTGGATGTGAATGGATCCTTCAAAGTTGGTGCCCTGGGTGCACCTTCTCCCAGTCAGGAAGCATGTCCGTGAAGGTTTGGGTGGGCTTCTTTAATCATAGAATTTTAGAGGTGAAAGGGACCCAGTGGGTCATCTAGTCCAACCCCCTGCAATGCAGGAATCAAGGCAAGTTTTGACTTGTATACATCAGCAGTGGCTCTGCTTTGTTAGCCCAGGGGCCACATTTTGTACCAGCAAGTTCTCCAGGGGCCGCAGTACGTGTTAGGCATTGTCTGAAAAGTCGGTGTGATGACCAACACACCTGCGCATATGTGTGCGCACACACACCACACACGCAACACACATCACACCACTGAGCACTCATGCAAAGCAGAGATTGTGAAGGAGGGGATGGTACTTGGTTGTTCCAGCTAGAAACACAGCAATTTTCTCCATTGCAACCCAGAACGCTTTTCCAATTCAAGAGGGAGAACGGAGAAGACCATGGAAAGGGAAAGCCATGAGAGAGTTAGTGTGGCCAGCCAGGTGCCTTTGGGAAATCCACAAGCAGGATTAATAATAATAATTATTATTATTTATACCCTGCCCTCCCCGGCCAGGCTCAGGGCGGCTAACACCAATAAAATCACAGTAAAAACTTAATAGGGGGAAAAGGGGGGGGGAACCCAATTAAAATACAGGTTAAAATGCAATTTAAAATGCAGCCTCATTTTAAAGTAGCTGATAAATCAAGACTATAAGGGGAGGGAAACATAAGGGTCAGACTGAGTCCAAACCAAAGGCTGGGTGGAACAGCTCTGTCTTGCAGGCCCTGCGGAAAGATGTCAAGTCCCGCATTGCCCTAGTCTCTTGTGACAGAGCGTTCCACCACGTTGGGGCCAGTGCTGAAGAGGCCCTGGCCCTAGTTGAGACCAATCTAACCTCCTTGAGGCTCGGCACCTCCAAAGTGTTGTTATTTGTGGACCTTAAGGTCCTCCGCGGGGCATACCAGGAGAGGCGGTCCCGTAGGTACGAGGGTCAAGCACAAGACACTCTCCCTTCCTGTAGTTTCCAGCAACTGATATTCAGAACCCTTTAGCCTTGTAGCCATCACTGCCTTCTGTGGGAGCAAGTTCCATAGTTTAACTCTGGGCTGCATGAAAAATGGTCTTCCTTCTGTCTGTCTAGAAACTTTCATTGGATGTTCAAGAGTTTTATTGTTACGAGAGAGGGAGGGAAAACATTTTATCTATCCACTCTCTCCACGCCATGCATAATTTTATAAACTTCTATCCTGTTGCCAGTTACTCACAATTTCTCTGAACTAAAAAGTCCCAAGTGCAGCAACCTTTCCTTGTAAGGGAATCACTGCATCCCCTTGGCTGCTGTTTTCTGAAGCTTTCCCAACTCTACAATATCCTTCTTGAGGTGAGGCTGTATACAGGACTGTATTCCAAATGTGATCTCATCATAAAATTTGCATAACGGCATTACGATACTGGCAGGTCTATTTTCAACGCCTTTCCTAATGATCCCTAGAATGGATTTGCTTTTTTCACAGCTGCTGCATTCTGGGTCTATAGAAAGCCACTTGGGGCTGGATCAGGCTTGCATTGTTTGCTCCATTGGTAAACCTCCTTGGGTGTGAGAGTGAAGTGTGCCTCTCTGGCAGAACAGGAGTTGCTGGTTTTAAGGCAGTGTGGGGCTCTGGCGCTCATGGCACTGGCCAATGAATTTCCCTTTCCCTCCTTTCAGATCTGCATGGAAAGATTGCGCCAAAGAGGGAGGCCTGAAGAGAAGGAGGTCCAGCTGCGCTACCTGGAGCAGCTTCACACTCAACACGAACATTGGCTCATGGAGAAGAGCACAGAGTGAGTCATGGGCGGAGCAGCAGAGAGCTGGCTTCAGTGGGAAGGCAGTTGTGGCGCCGCAGGGAGCGTCTGCTCTCTGCGCTTGAGCCTCTTAATTTTGGTTGCACGCGGTTGTGTCACGTGGCAGGTGTATGTTGGTGCCAGAGCACCTGCCTGATTCCACACGGAAGAGAGAAGCATGCAGCCAAGCCACAGTTCCCGTCACCTGGAGATGAGGATGAGGATTTACATCCCACCTTCTTTCCTTCAAGGAACTCAAGGCGATGTATATGGTCCTCTCGCTCCCTGTTTTATTCTCACAACAACTCTGTGAAGTGGGTTCGGCTCCAAGACAGTGACTGGCCCAAGGCTTCTGAGTGAGGATTCGCATCCAGGTCTCCCAGGTCCTTGTCCAACACTTTAACTGCTAAACATAACTGCTGCTGGGCTATGATGCTGAACAGCAGAAAGGGCCAAAAGGAACCAGGAAGTCTTGGTAGCACAGAAATGGGTGGGCTAAAGACCACGAAGTGCAGGAGGGCAGCTGTGTACAGACGGGTGCTGTGTCCTGGGCTGCGCACAACTCGGGCCCCAAAATAAGATACGTGGCAGGCAACATTTGGAAGTGGGCCATGGGGTGTATTTGCCATTCGCTTCCCAACCAGAATCCTTAACAGTCTCTTGCTCACCAGACACAATTAGTGGGCTCTGGATCACTCAAGAGCAGCTTTCCTAACAGTAAGTCAGGCCTGATCCAGATTACTCTTTTATGATTAATTTGGGATTACTTATTGGCAGAATTTTTATCCTTTCCCATTGTCACAGTTTACAGGCCACTACTGTGTTAGTTGCAGTGTTGTTGCAAACCAGAGAGAGGCTGGAAGTTTCCGTTCTGCAGTGGGAGCGATGTGTGAAATCACAAGCTAGCTCAGCCTTCTCCAACTTTGTGCCCTCCCCATGTTTTAAGCTGCAACTCCTATCAGCTCCAGCTAACATGGCTGTGCTCCCATCAACTCTGGCACACTGGCTGGGGCCGATGGGAGTTGAAGACCCAAATCTCCGGAGGGCATCAAGTTGGGAAAGGCTGCTCTAGGGATTAAGTCGTCGTCATCCTTTATTTTTTATTCATTCTGTTCCATTTATGAATGCTTCCTGTAGTGACTAAGAATAAAAACAAGTTTGTATATTTTAAACAAGTTCAAAGCCAATCCATGCGCAGACTGGGATAAAAATCTCTACTGCACTTCTTTTAAACCTGCAAGATGTATGTTCTCATTTTGCATGCTTTATTCTGAACACATTGCTAGGGTTTTCCAACTGTTATTTAGCAGGAAGAGAGGCAGGAAGGAATTATTGTTGCTTTACGCCAGCAGTTAAGGCGACTACAACTTCACCCCTCCACCAAAAAGCAGAAGAGACTGTAAATTACAGGTGCCCAATGTTATCTTCCTTGCTGTTTAATCAGTAAAACACATCTGACAGCCTTGCATATTGTGCTCACTTACAACTGAGCTTCTGGAATCCAGTGAGTCTTTGGGTGGTGATGTCTTCACTCAGCTGAGCTCTCTTGCCACACAGAGCCTGTCCATCATATTCTGAACCTTAATCAGTGGAAGCAAAGCAGATGAACTTCCATGTTTTGCCTTGATCTTTCACCCCCAGTCCTCTTGCTCTCAACCTATAGTTAGTCATATCCATCTTAAAGAATAAGTGTGTTTTCCAGTTCTACATTATTAGTTTTCAGAACCAAGCTTTTTTAAAGCTTACATAGTTGTATAGTACGGGCAAAAGCAGCAGAGTAACTGTCAAGCATGATCAGAACATGGGACTATCTGATCTCCCCTTTCCACTGCTTGTGAATTCTAAAGATTTAATTCATTTTAAATGAAGCCCAATTCTATATCCCTACTTACAGTGGTACCTTGGGTTACAGAGGCTTCAGGTTACAGACACTTCAGGTTACAGACACTCCAGGTTACAGACTCCGCTCACCCAGAAATAGTACCTCGGGTTAAGAACTTTGCTTCAGGATGAGAACAGAAATCGTGCGGCGGCAGCAGTGGGAGGCCCCATTACCTAAAGTGGTACCTCAGGTTAAGAACAGTTTCAGGTTAAGAATGGACCTCCAGAATGAATTAAGTTCTTAACCCAAGGTACCACTGTACTCATAAATGTGGGGCACTCCTCCTTTCTTATTCTGACATGTTTCTTCTTGTGATGATGCAGACATTTGCCCAAAACTTTGTCTCCCTCACTTGTGTCCCTCTTGAAGTTGCATGTAATACTAAACTGTAGTCAGAAACAAACTATGGCTTACTGTGAATTTGTGTGTTTTTCCACACAGTTCCAATTGCACCCACCCTTTGCCAAGCTGGGAGTAAACAAAACTACTGTGCTAGCTTAGCATTTTGTGTGAACCAGCATTGGTAGTTTGCATCTCTCCAAAGAAACTAGTAAGTCAAGAAGAAACCTTGACTTCCGCCCATGGTTTGTTTGGGTTAGTGTTTGCACACAACCCTAATCCAATACTGTTGTTTGTTTCCTCCCAGTTGCCAAATGGATGAGCAGAGTGGGTGTGATTTGAGCAGCACGTATCAGCTTGCTAGCACATTCATAGTAAACTATAGTTTGTTTCTGACCATGACTTACTGTTAGGTGAAAGCCAAGCCATTAACTAGCTTGTCCCATCCTTCCTCACTATAGCCTGTCACTACAAACACACACCATTCCCTGTATCCTAAGTGAAGGCAAATAGAGAAAGCAGAGGTTTGGCTTGCAGTGAGGTGGCCAGTGACCTGTGGTGTTGTGAGCCTCAGTGTTACCTTAGACGAAGAAGTTTGGGGCTGAAAGACGGAGGCAGAGCGTGGGTGCATGGAGGCTAGATTGTTAAGTGAGCACATTGCAGAAAATGCTTGCTGCTTACATGATGCAGAAATTAAGGTTGGCACCTTAAGTTACAATTTCTACATTTTGGGATGTGCGTAATGGAATTAGTAAGTGCCTTAAAAAACGTGGTTTTTTTTATCTGAAGGTAGAATGTATTTGGCTTTGTTTCAAGGAAATGCATTGAATTATATGAGTCACGGTGATGGTGCAAAGCAGCAAAATTTAGCTTCACTGTGGGTGTATAATAATCAACATATGCACTATGCTTCAAGATGTTGAAAGCTCTATCTCTGTGTAATAATCTGCAATCCTTGCATGAAGCTGCAAGAGAGGCTGTTTTATAAAATTATTGCTGGTTTTATTAACTTCACAGTGTGATCAACAGTTCAAGGAGTAGATTTGGTATACTGTATAGTATAAGCCAGGGACGCGGGTGGCGCTGTGGGTTAAACCACAGAGCCTAGGCGGTTCGAATCCCCGTGACGGGGTGAGCTCCCATTGCTCGGTCCCTGCTACTGCCAACCTAGCAGTTCGAAAGCACGTCAAAGTGCAAGTAGATATCGGCGGGAAGGTAAACGGCGTTTCCGTGTGCTGCTCTGGTTCGCCAGAAGCGGCTTAGTCATGCTGGCCACATGACCCGGAAGCTGTACGCCGGCTCCCTCGGCCAGTAAAGCAAGATGAGCGCCGCAACCCCAGAGTCGGCCACGACTGGACCTAATGGTCAGGGGTCCCTTTACCTATAGTATAAGCCACTTTTATCTCCAAATTGCTCTGGGATGGCAATATGGTAAAGCTGAGGATTACAACAGGGGCAGGAATCTTTGGGTCTGTAGAGAGAATGCGCCCCCAGACCTCTTTGTCTGGCCCTTGGAACATTCCCCAGGCCATGCCCCTCACTGACCCTGCTTCACACCCTTTTGGGCCTGGCTGGAATGTAAGCTTGAACTCTTGATTGTCTGGATGGATGATGGAGGGGTGTGTGTGTGTGTGTGTGTGTGTGTAGAAACTACCCTACTACACAAAGGTAAAATTTCCTTTTTTTAAAAAAAAATAATATTTATTAAAGTTTCAAAGGGGAAAAAAATCACATTAGTAAAAAAATTAACAATGAAAAGGAAAAATACAAAGTAGAAAAAAAGAAAAAACAGTTAAAAACAATTCAATCTTTTCCTCACTTCTTTTACGTTTACTTGTTTCCCGGACCTCCTCATACCTACCTCTTTTGTATTCCAATTAAATTTGTTAATCCAACAATTCCTTTCCCTCCTTTTTAATCCTAATCTTTAATCTTGATATATTATAACTTTAAATTTTTACATATTAAAAACCAATTTTTCCATATTCTTTTGTACCTGTACAGCTAGAAACCACTTAACTTCAACCCAACATCATTCTAACATTCATTAATTTTGCAATATTTCTGTAAATAGTCTTTAAATTTCTTCCAATCTTCTTCCACCGACTCTTCTCCCTGGTCACGGATTCTGCCAGTCATTTCCGCCAATTCCATGTAGTCCATCATTTTCATCTGCCATTCCTCCAGTGTGGGTAGATCTTGTGTCTTCCAGTGCTTTGCAATGAGTATTATTGCTGCTGTTGTAGCATACATAAAGAAAGTTCTGTCCTTTTTTAACACCGATTGGCTGACTATGCCCAGGAGAAAGGCCTCTGGTTTCTTCAAGAAGGTATATTTAAATACCTTTTTTAGTTCATTATATATCATCTCCCAGAAAGCCTTAATCTTTGGGCACGTCCACCAAAGGTGGAAAAATGTACCTTCAGTTTCTTTACATTTCCAACATTTATTATCAGGCAAATGGTAGATTTTTGCAAGCTTGACTGGGGTTATGTACCACCTGTATATCATTTTCAGGTAAAATTTCCATTCATTCTTCTGTCACCAGTATGTGACCCCGAGAAGATTGTCTAAAGGGAATGTGGCCCCTGGTCTGCAAAAGGTTCCCCTTGCTCTGCTTTCAACAACCTTGGCATGTAGTGCACTGAAGGGAATGAGGTGAATTAATGAGACAACTCAAAGTCAATGCAGATGAGATCATTCAAGGAAGTGAGCTGAACTACCCACTGTAACTGAAGCCACAATATTGATTGTATAGTGAAAAGAATTAAGGAAATAACATTCTTATTGCCCCCACAGGATTCATTCTGAAAACATAAGAAATGCTCCAGTCTTGCTGCTTGATGTCACAAAGGACTTTGAGGATGACACAAATGAACAAGGGAGGCTTATGTCCCAGGTAAGATTTCACTTCTGTGAAATGTGAAAGCTTTGGTATAATGCACAAAACTTGCGTTTTCTTCCGTCAGATTAAAGTTGGCACCGTAAGCTACCAATTTGCCTTAATTGTGTGCCTCTTATTCACTGGAACTAACATGGCAACAACTGAACAAACAATTGTTTGGATTTTATTTGAAGATCTGTTTCCTCTTTTTGTAGGTGAAGACTTTTATAAAGACTCTCTCAGGGGAGGCTTTCCCTTCTGCGTCTACCGCTGCCTCCTAGCCCAGGAGCTCAAAGCAGGCTCCTCTGAGTGGATGGCCACCAAGAAGAGGCCAAGAGAAAGCAGTCCTTGATGGTCAACTCCATTGGGAGTTAAGAGCTCGGCCAAGTCAGAGGTGCTTGCAAGAATTAAAGGTCTCTCTGCTCAGTACTTGCAGGGAAAGAAGCTCTCTGGGCAGCAAAATCCCAACCTAGTCTACAGATAGAAAGAAGAATTGCAGCAGGTGAAAGAGAGGGATGTTGGGGGCAATTTCGCTTGGGCTGGGTGAGCTCAGAAGCCACACAGAGGCCTCTGTTCGGTCAAGTGAGAGATCAGTCCTCTGATCTCTTGCCTGGAAAGGGCCTGGCAGGGTGCTCTGCCACGTGAGAGAGTGGTGGCCCATTTAATAGATTTGGGCAGTGGTGCATCTACTTAATTTTGTTGGTACTGGCTACCAGTGGCTCCTTTGCCATGATTCTGGACCTGCTCCCTCTCCAACTTCTGCCTGCTGCATTTTCTCAGGGTGGGGAGTCTCAAGTTGTTGAGTCTATATGTGCCCTCAATTCCTGCTACTTACTGTGACATGGCATGATAGCAATAGACACCTTGGGCTCACTTCTGTAATATATTATTTTTAAGCACCCTGCACTTAGACACCCACTTGAATTTCCTAGGCACTGTGGGACCGTCTAACAGTGCCCAGTTCCTGTGCATCTGCACACCTTTCCATTGTCTGTGCATCAATAGCCTCCCCCTTGGAGAAGAGAGATTGGAAACTGATTGACACCGAATTCAGGGACCAACCGAGGAATCTCGAAGGTTCGGAGTGTGAAGAATAGACTGAATTCTGTACAGTTGTGTTAGTGTCTGTATGTGGCAGATGTAAAAAAACCAGACATGTACTTGAGTTTTTCAAGGGGCTGTTGTCTCTTCTGCTGCTTCCCACCCCCAGTGCAACTCTTACTTATGTGATGGAGGCCTCTTGGGCTATAGCATCTCTGTGCATGAAGGCCACTGCATGGTTGATGTCACACACAAATATAGCAACTGTACATTGTTTTTGAGAATACTTTTCACCTTCTTTATCTGCCTTTATCACATTTCCATGAAATTTATCAAGTTTATCCTACAACCATAGCCCTCTTCATTCATTGCTTGTGCAAAGGGGCAACATGGATACAAAGGTTTTAAATTTTTTGTAGATTTTCCTTCAGCACAAGCACCTGCAAAGTTCCTTTTAAAAGAAATGGAATAAATGGGATGTCTGTCTATGAGCAGTCCAGTTTAAAGTTTAAGATAGCCCTGTGGTATAGTATCTTAAGACGCTAGAGGCGCACATATCACCATGAATTTTGCAGAGAGGATATGAAAAGTATGCCCAGTGCCTCTGTGGATAGTAAAGTTCACGAAGTTGACTTTGGGAAACTGGAATATGGATGTCCAAGTATTTTTGTCCATGCATGTTTCATCCTTTTCTCCTCAAGAAATAGTCCTGTTGCATTTGATCTTGCCTTTCCAAGTCTCACTAAACCTATATATGCAAGTTCATCAGCAGTAGATGGAATGACGTGTCAACCCCTTACTTTTTGTACATAGCATTAAAATTCATGCACCAATTATAAATAAGCAACAGTACAAAACACTCCCTTTTTAATGCAGTGCTTTTAATGATGGGTGTTGTCAACATTTAATTTATCTCTCTTCTAATGTATAAAATTACTGTATTTTTTTTAAGGCTGCTGTGTGTGATTATGGCCTGTGTCCAGTGGTCTGTTGAAGTTCAGAGATTCTGTTTCCAAAGCTGCTTGCAGTATCCTTAGAAAGTTTTGGATAAACCATTTCTGCCACTGGGCTATTGTCCTTATATACTCAGTTGCACTGGGGGCATCAACATTTACTGCAGCTGAAGAAATGTGTATGGGGGAGGGCAGCTGCTGGAGATCCCCTCCTCACAGTGTTCTTGAATGTTGGGTCCCTGGGTGTGGTTGGGTTCTCAATTCCCATCATCCCCAGACAGCTTAGCTGGGAGGACAGGGAGGAGTAGTCCGGAACACTTTTCTCCTTTATGTTTTTTACTACATCTAGTTGATAGTTTCTGTCCCTGCGCAAGGATATCGTTAGCATGTTACAAAATCCTCTGGTTGCAGCCCTCTTTGTGTTGCTTCTGTGTAAACATGCAGTTGACCCTGAAGATGTACATGCTTCTTGGAGTTGAATGGGAGCAACCACAGAAGTGGTGTCAGCAATTGACTTCTGTGTTCCAGTCTTCTACTCATCTCAGCCTCCCCCATTAAGAGGAAGGCTGCTTCTGTACCACTATAATGTGCTTTTTAAAAGATTCAGTACGCTGTTAAACCTTTCGTTTGTAGATAACTGCATTCTTCTCAAATTTGTACAGTTGCTACAGTTAAATCAAGGTCCGTATAGTTAAAGCTCTGGTTTTCCCAGTAGTGATGTATGGAAGTGAGAGCTGGACCATAAAGAAGGCTGATCGCCAAAGAATGGATGCTTTTGAATTCTGGTGCTGGAGGAGACTCTTGAGACTCCCGTGGACTGCAAGAAGATCAAACCCATCCATTCTGAAGGAAATCAGCCCTGAGTGCTCACTGGAAGGACAGATCCTGAAGCTGAGGCTCCAAGACTTTGGCCACCTCATGAGAAGAGAAGACTCCCTGGAAAAGACCCTGATGTTGGGAAAGATGGAGGGAACAAGGAGAAAGGGATGACAGAGGACGAGATGGTGGGACAGTGTTCTCGAAGCTACCAGCATGAGTCTGACCAAACTGCGGGAGGCAGTGGAAGACAGGAGTGCCTGGCGTGCTCTGGTCCAGGGGGTCACGAAGAGTTGGACACAACTAAACAACAACAGTTAAATCAGTAAAACGAGTAACTTTAAACACGGAGAAAGGGAGTAAATAAAAGTTTGCTTTCCTCTCATAACACTAGAACTTGTAGACATCCAGTGAAGTTGGAAGATTTTAAAAAGTCATTCTTCACACACTAGGGAACCTGCTCCCACAGGAGACAGTGATGGCTCCCACACATCCTGGCTCTGCTCTGCCTCCGTCGTTGGAGTCAGCAGTGCTTCTCAATACCAGTTGCTCAGTCTAAGCCAGAGGAGGGGAGAGGGCTGCATGCGCTCATGTGCTCCTTGTGGGTTCCCCACGGGCATCTGGTTGGCCCCTCGGAACAGGATGCTAGGCTAGATGATCCAGCAAGCTCTTCTGATGGTCTCAGTTCTTGTTCTGCTGGTGATGGTGGTGGGGGAGGGCAGGACTTGAAAAGCACCCTTTCATTTCATATTATATCTCATGGTGTATAATATCTTTGTAAAGGAAAAGTTGTCCTGCCGCAGTTCACGTGGCCACCAGTTTCTTGCTGCTGCAAAATACAGTGTGAGGACAGACTTAGGCTGGCTGGGCAGAGAGTGAAAGAGCAGTGGGGGGTTGGGGCAGCAGAGCCTGGGGGGAAGAGTGGGGATGGGCAGGAGACCCCCCCAAGACACTGCTCTCTGAAGGGAAGGGGAGAGAAAAGCCTTCAGCAGCCCCCTTTTCCTTCAAACTTCTGGGGTTTGTGTACAGAGGGGCACTTGAAGGCCTGCCCCCTCCCTACAGCTGATAGGCAGCAGGGAATGTGCTGAGAAATTCCCCACACCCCCGGCTGCATTTCTCCTTCTGACCTCTGAGGTTAATTATATACATATACACAGACAGGTATCTTTTCCTGGGTTGCATCCAGTGTGGTGTTAAGTAACTTGCTCTATTAGCACTCATGTGATGGAACTCCTCCACTCTTTGCACCCCCCTGATCTGTTTCGGGGTTCACTCCAATCCTCTGGAGCTGATTTAGGGAGGGTTTGGGGCACACACAGGGGCAGGAGAAAGGAGAACTTTTGTTGCACAGGCACAAATCTTTGTGCTAATGGAACAAGTACATTGGGTGCAGTCCCATGAGTCAGATCCTTGGTCCAGCCAGGTCAGTGTTGTCTACACAGACTAGCAGTGACCCTCCAGTGTTTCTGACAAGGGGTCTTTCCCAGTCCTGCCTGTGGGTGCTTGGATTTGAACCTTCTGCATGCAGAGCAATTATTATTGAACTAAGGCCCTCCCTAGTTGTAATGGTGTTTCTGTAGTTAATATGAGGAATAGGAAAGTGATAGCAACAAACGCTCTTTGCATTGAAAAAAGGCAGTGGTTTCTGTCTTGAGTAGATGTAAGAGTGGATTTTGCTCATAGCCACCCACCGCCATGCGCTCCTGGATGTGGGCTTGCAAAATCTAAGTTTGGACAGCAACATAGAAAGCTGCCTTATACTGGTCCGTCTAGCTCATTATTGTCTACCCTGACTGCAGCAGCTCTTGGGGTTTCAGACCGGGAGTCTCTCTTTCCCAGCTGTGATTGGGAGCTTAAAAGAGGAGAGGAAGGCGGCTTGCAAAAGCCTTGGGGAGCCCCCCACCTCAATTCACTTGTCAGTCCCTGATCTTACTCTAATGTTAAACGGATTGTGGGGTTGCAAGATCTGAGAGAATTGACCCTGAAATCTCTTGCCACTTTGAGATTGGGGTGCATGCAACAATATGCTCCCTCCCAAGTTCAGAGGTGGATGCCTCTGAAAACCTGTTCCTGAGGACCATGTGCAGGGAGGGTGACCAGGCACACCGATCTTGTTCATGCACTTGCCAAAGGCACCTAAAGGTTGGTGGCTGTGGAAACAAAACTGGGCTTGATGGGCCTTTGGTCTGATCCAAAGGAGTCCTCCTCTGCCATTTCCCCACTGCTGTCTCCGAAGGGCTGCTAACCAGCCAGGTATTTCCTTTTGTTTCTCCTCTAGCCGCTCATGTCATGTGCATCCAGCAGTTCTGACTTATAAATAACACTTTTGACTGACGCTGAAACAGTTCCCTGCTTTCTGGCCCAATGGCTTTGAGTGTGCAGCCTGTTCTCTAAAGCAGGGGTGAGAACCTGGATCCTGCCAACAGGAGTAGAACCTTCTGGCTCTTCCTTTCCCCCTCTGTTCCTCTCTCTTTCTCCCAGCCCCTCCCCAAACAAATACACCAAGCCAAGTTTGACAGGTGGGTGGGACTCCCCACATGCCAATCACCTGATGTCACAGTGATGGCTGCTGGCCAGTTTTTGTCCACGCAGTTGGAAAGCAAATGGTGCAGGCTAAGGCACAAGCATGTGTGAGTGTGGTGTAGTGGTTGGTGTGTTAGGCTAGGACTGGGGAGACCAGGGTTCAAACCCCCACTCAGTCATGAAGCTCACTGGGTGACCTTGGGCTAGTAACGCGCTCTCAGCCTAGCCTACCTCACAGGGTTCTTGTGAGGATGAAATGGGGAGGAGGAGAGCTACGTTTGCTACCTTGAATGCTTCAGGGGAAAGGTGGGATAGAAATGTAACAAATAAACAGCAAATAAGTGTTGATGGCCAGCTGAGTTTAAAGTATTTACTGTTGTTGTTGGCACTTATCTGCCTTGGGAGACAATGAAGTACCTTCCTAATTTAGTCAAATAGATAGAGCCCTGCAGAACACGACAAGTTTACAGCACTCTGTAATAAGATGCCAGTGAAGGAAAAATGCCTTTTAAAAATCTGCCTCTTGGTTTTGGCGATGAAGTATGTACATAGACTGACTCTAAAATCGCTTTGCTGGGGAAATAACTATTTGAATTTGGTGGAGTTTCACTGGTCTGGTAAATGCATTTTAAAAGTTCAAAGCTGTGGCTGCACACTAGGTGGTGCTTTATTTCAAACTCGCTTTCCTGACACTAGAGTTTAATTAAGTGTTTCAGCTCCAGAGCCTGACAGACTCTGGAAGAACACGGCTCTGTCCCAGCATGGGAGTGAAGCGCTGCTGGGCTGGGAGATGTCTTGGGAGTCAAATGTTTTTCCCCACCCAGATCGGTGTGATAAGTTAAATATTTTTTGGTTGACTGCTGTCCACATGGTTAATCTGAAGTAAGGGGGCTCATGCTCAGAGGAGTTGGTCTTCAGGCCAGGAGAAGCTGGCTGCTTTTTTAACATTGAGGACTTTAAAAAAAATATTTTTACAGTCTGGAGGCTGCTATGCATACTATTTGTTTAATGAATTAAGAATCACTTCCCACAAAACATCCCAAAGTGAATAATAAAAAAATAAAATAAAAATGCCAACAAAAACATCAACACTAAAAAAATGTGTAACTGATGCATAAAGAACTGAAGTGTTTTATTGTTGTCAGCCTGTCAACTGTCAAGTTATAACATTCAGTACGAATTAAGGGGGAATCAGCAAATATTACATTAGAGGTGCAAGTTCCAAAGGTGTGTCCAACCTAATGCCTTGATGGGAAAGCTGACCAAAGAGCTGAAAGCACTGAAAGGGCATCCAGGTGGCATTGGTTTTGTTGCTGGTGACTTTTGCTTTATAAAGGTAAAGGTAAAGGACCCCTGACAGTTAAGTCCAGTCGCAAATGACTCTGGGGTTGCGGTGCTCATTTCGCTTTCAGGCCGAGGGAGCCAGCGTTTGTCTGCAGACAGTTTTTCCAGGACATGTGGCCAGCATGACTCTGGTGAAACCAGAGCAGCGCACGGAAATGCCGTTTACCTTCCCGCTGGAGTGGTACGTATTTATCTACTTGCACTTCGGTGTGCTTTCGAACTGCTAGGTGGGCAGGAGCAGGGACTGAGCAACGGGAGCTCACCCCATCGCAGGGATTCGAACCGCCAACCTTCCGATCGGCAAGTCCTAGGCTCTGTGGTTTATACCACAGCACCATCTGTGTCCCTTTATACATGCTTTATACAGTATGTTAAAAAGGAAGGAACAGACTCATGGACAGCTCTGGAGGGACCTGTTTGGGTAAGACTAGGACTACGTCCACACCAGACATTGAAAACACTATCAAAACACTTTTAACAGACATGGCTTCCCCCAAGAATCATAGAATTGCAGAATTGGATGCAGTAGCGTTGTGTGGAGAGGCCAGAGGGGCGGTTGCCCCAGGCACATTTCATAGAATCATAGAATCATAGAGTTGGAAGAGACCACAAGGGCCATCAAGTCCAACCCCCTGCCAAGCAGGAAACACCATCGGAGTATTCCTGACATATGGTTGTCAAGCCTCTGCTTAAAGACCTCCAAAGAAGGAGACTCCACCACACTCCTTGGCAGCAAATTCCACTGTCAAACAGCTCTCACTGTCAGGAAGTTCTTCCTAATGTTTAGGTGGAATCTTCTTTCTTGTAGTTTGGATCCATTGCTCCGTGTCCGCTTCTCTGGAGCAGCAGAAAACAACCTTTCTCCCTCCTCTATGTGACATCCTTTTATATATTTGAAGATGGCTATCATATCACCCCTTAACCTCCTCTTCTCCAGGCTAAACATGCCCAGCTCCCTTAGCTGTTCCTCATAAGGCATCGTTTCCAGGCCTTTGACCATTTTGGTTGCCCTCCTCTGGACACGCTCCAGTTTGTCAGTGTCCTTCTTGAACTGTGGTGCCCAGAACTGGACACAGTACTCCAGGTGAGGTCTGACCAGAGCAGAATACAGTGGCACTATTGCTTCCCTTGATCTAGATGCTATACTCCTATTGATGAGGCCCAGAATTGCATTGGCTTTTTTAGCTGCCACGTCACACTGTTGGCTCATGTCAAGTTTGTGGTCAACCAAGACTCCTAGACCCTTTTCACATTTTTTGGGGGGTGGGCGCATTTTATTCCTTGCCACCCTGCCAGCCGCATGCTGCAGTGCCGCTGTCCACCCGCAGCCCTTGGCAAGCGCAACAGGCATGCTCCCAAGTAGCGCACTCATGCTGCTCTGCCAGCCGTGCCCTGCTTTGCGATGCTGCAGGGCTGTCTGAGGAGGTGCAGTACAGCCTCGCCTGGCAGGGGGTCGCCGGCGGTGTGGGCTGGGCATGGGCTTCATTCACCCTTCATTCTCTGCGCCCTGCCCCCTGGGTGAGTGCTCCCCCTGGGTGCACAGCCACCCTCCTGCCCCAGGCACCACCACACACACTATGCCGCTAGTTGGAAGGGACTCTGAGGGTCCAACCCCCTGCATGCAAGAACCATAGCTAAAGCACCCCTGACATATGGCCATCTAAGCTCTGCTTAAAAACCTCCTGTAGGGAGTCCACCACATCCCAGTACAGTGGTACCTCGGGTTACAGATGCTTCAAGTTACAGACGCTTCAGGTTACAGACCCATAAATAGTACCTCGGGTTAAGAACTTTGCTTCAGGATGAGAACAGAAATTGCACAGTGGTGGTGTGGTGCCACCGGGAGGCCCCATTAGCTGAAGTGGTGCTTCAGGTTAAGAACAGTTTCAGGTTAAGAACGGACCTCCAGAATGATGTTCTTAACCCAAGGTACCACTGGGTTAGAACAGGCTTCCTCAACCTCGGCCCTCCAGATGTTTTTGAGACTACAATTCCCATCATCCCTGACCACTGGTCCTGCTAGCTAGGGGTCATGGGAGTTGTAGGCCAAAAAATATCTGGAGGGCCGAGGTTGAGGAAGCCTGGGTCAGAATCTATTTTCCTATGATTTAAATCCATTGGTTTGGGTCCTCTCCCCTCTGGAGCAGGCAAAAACATGCTTACTCCAACTTCTGTGAGACGGCCCTTTATATATTTGAAGGCAGCTATCCTATCACCTCAGTCTCCCCTTTTCAAGGCTAAACATTCCCAACTCCCTCAACCATTCCTCATGAGGCTTGATTTCTCTGGGAGTTGTAGTTAAGGGTGCTGAGAGTTGTTAAGAGACCCGTGCTTCCCTCGCTGAGCTACAATTCCCACAGTGGTTTAGCTGTCCCGAGGGAACTCTGGGAATTGCAGCTTTGTAAGGAGAACAAGGTGGTCAACTAGTAGCTCTCAGGATGTGGGCAAAGATGGAGCCAGCCATTCTGATATGGGTATGGGGGACATGGGTATAAAAATGCTTTAAGAGGAAACAATGAAATGCCAGGGTTCATAGAATCATAGTTGGAAGGGACCCTGAGGACCATCTGCTCCAACCCTCTGCAGTGCAGGAATAGGCAGCTGTCCCATATGGGGAGTTTAGTGAGCAAAGCCAAAAGGGAGTAAGGTATTACGGTAGTAGAAGTTCTGCCTCTCCTATCTTTCCCTCTGCTGCTTTTCCCATCTCTTCTATAAGTGCTTGGTGGGGTGTGGGGTGGGAGAACTGGTGAGTGTAGCACTTCTCCAAGAATACAAAAACAAAAATCATTTTCCTTGATAAAATTGAGTGTGTTGAGTGTGCATTCCATAGATCTGAGGGGCAAGGTCATATTCTTTGCAGTGTTGCCAGATGACAAGAACCTTCCTCACCCTCCTACTCACAAGCAAGCCCCACAGAGCAGCACAAATCAAGATGCAACTGATTTAACTGCAGAGTGTGTGACGAACTGCTGTACTGCTTCTTGTTGTTTAGTTGTTGAGTCGTGACCCCATGGACCAGAGCACGCCAGGCACTTATTTTATGAGATAATACTGAACTGCGGTGGACCTATGACGCTGTGCGTGGGTATAGCTGGGGGTAGATCCTGGCTATGCCCATGGTGATGTGCAGATCATGTAACACACAATCTTCTCTTCCGAGCAAAACTTCTGAATTTTTCTTCATTTTTCACTTACACTGTATGTATTTTTGGAAACAGCCACGCTCCCCCCCTCCTCATTGGGAAAGGGCGCATATGCCTGGTTAGAAACACTGCCCTAACCTAGTCTAAAAACCCAAGAAGAGTCTGCTGGATCGGCCCAAAGGCCCGTCCAGTCCACTTGACCCTGAGATGCTCAGGGTGTGATTGGACGGTACCACTTTAATCTGCGGGGGGGGGGGGGGAGACCTGTAATTGAATGGATGCTCTTCCAACCCTCAAAAATTTCAGACACAACCAAGTAATATTATAGTGGCCAGGTTACATCTTTTCCCCCCATATGACGCTACTATTCTGTCGTGCACTTGAGCCCCCACTGGGCGGCTGGAGTGGCCCAGCACGGCCACCCTTTCACTCCTCCCCCCTTTAAAAAGCCCTTGAAGGCTGCGGCCTTTTGCCCCTTTCCAAGGTGGGCTTAGTTGGGCAGGCGCGGAATCTCTTCGCGCTCATGCCCAATAAGGGCGCTGGCGGGTGCACGTGTGAATGGCTCATGCGGGAACAGGCTCGGCTCTTCAAGAAGCTGAAGCGTTTCTAGAGCGCTGCCACTTTCCGGAGCGCGAGCGTTGCCCGAACAAGTTTTTAAAATGCCCGCCGAGGGTCCTCCGGCTTCCTTCCCTCCTCTGCCGCGAGAGAGGCTGGAAAGCGCGGCTGAGGCGCCTCGTGTGAAGGCGCCGCGGGCGGCAGCCGGGCTGGGGCCACGCGGCTGCACCCAGGGGACCCTGGCCCTCCCGCTGCCTTGCCCGGAGCTCCTTCCCGCAAGCGCGCGTCCGCGGCCGGGCCCCTTCTTCCGCGCCGCGGGGACCCCCGGGGGCAGGAGCGCGGCCCGAGGAGCTGCAACTTGGCGAGCCCGAGGCGCGGCCGGTCCGGAGCAGCGCTCGCCCCGCCGCCAGCCAGTGCCGCGCGCCCCGAGTCGGGCTGGCAGGGCGCGGGCGGGCGGCGCTGAGTCAGCCCCGCGCCGGCAGCAGCAGCAGGCCGCTCGCTGCTCCCCCCGGCCCGGCCCAGCCCCCGCCCAGCAACCGCGGGGGGAGAGAGAGGCACCTCCAGAACAAAGAAGCAGCAGCAGCAGCAGCAGCAGCAACGTGCGCTCCCTCCTGCTCCGCCGCCTGCAAGACGCTTCCCTCCGCCGCCCCGCCGAGCAAGCTGCAGGCGGGGGCTCCCGGCCTCCCCCCAACCCGCCCCAACGGGCCCGATCCTAGCGGTTCCCCTTCCCAGGAGGAGGCGGCGGCGGCGGCTCGGGCTGGTGGTAATAAAGGGCTCCTTTGTGTCTTGGGCGGGGGCGGCGTTTGGAAGCTCCTTCTGGGGGCTTGACCAGCCGAGAGACTAGTTGGCCCGAAACACAACCCCTTCTTCTCTCTGGCGGAATGAGAGTCTTTTAGAAAGCAAAAGGAGGAGGGAGAAAAGTTCTCTCCAGCTTTGCCTGCGAGGCTTCAGGAGGAAGATCCTTCCACCAGGGAGTGGATTCCCGCCGGGATCTCGCGTGGGGGTGGAGTAGGGTCGCGTTTCTAAAGTTTTTAAAGGGCGTTCCCAGGGAAGAGCTTCCTTCTCCTCAAAACAAATAAAAAACGACACTTTTTTAAAAAATTGCTGTCTTGGAAACCCAGGAGCGCTGTGTTGCCACCAGTCCGATGTGGAATGAGCTTGGGCTGACGTGTGTATCCAACCTTGATGTGCATATGGAGGGGGTGCTGTGAGTAATGGCCCCCACTCCCGCCCCATTCCTCTTTACAATACTTTGCTGAGGAAGTGTGACTTTGGACCACCAGGTGTGCAGGCTCGAACTGAACTCTCTCTTGATACTCACCCTGTCCAAAGTTCTTTTCTCTCCAGGATGGTCCATGCTCAGAGCACCTCTGACCTCTGTTGTCCTAAAGATCCCAGCATTTGGGGGTGTAGCACCCTGGGAAGAGAGAGAATATCGGGGAAGAAATGTAGATGAAGTACAGCAAGGAGAATAGTATATCTTTTTTGTTGTTGGAGCGAGTTGGACTCATTAGGTAACCCAAATTATTCACCAAGGTGTTTTTGAGCTCTTTGTTCTGAAGAGGTACAAAGTCTTGCACAGCTTCATGCCAGGGCATCACCCTAAACTGGCTCCATTGCCGTTCTCTGCCACTGCAAAGTCATGAAAAAGATCTATTTAGCTCCGCCACTTAGCAGCACCCTGGAGGGGGCCTGTCATTACCCTGACTACAGTGAGATGCTGAGCACAGCCAGCGGTGGCTTCCCAACAACAGTGCAGAATGAGGGTTGCATTGGTGTGGACTCTGCCTCCCAGTCCCGGAAGAAACGAAAGCGCTGTGGGCTCTGCACACCTTGCTTAAGGAAGGAAAACTGTGGGACTTGCACCCATTGTATGAATCGAAGAACCAGCCACCAGGTCTGCAAGATGAGGAAATGTGAAGCTCTGAAGAAAAAGAAACTGGGGTGCATGAGAGAGGTAAGTGTTCCTCTTCTTAGATGTTTGTTTGAAGGGATTCCTTCTGTTGCCGGGCTTCTGTGGCACTGCTCAGTCTGGGAGTGACGGGAGCCCCGGGACCCTTTGCAATATTGAAGAGGATGTGCACTCTTGGATTGTGCCCAGTTGCACATGATCTGTGAGATGTGGCTCAGCTCCCACTGTGGCACTGGCAGAAGTGTGGATCTGGGACCACTGTGGGTTCCTTGCGTACTTTCAGATGCTCTGTGAAACTACAGTGAGGGATAGCGTAGGGCAGTGGCTGAAGAGCGAGAGGTTTCTTAGGAGTAACCTGAGAGACAGCCCACTTTTCAGTGTAAGCTTTTAATGTTTAAAAAGAAGCGGCTGCTATCCTCTTCTGCAAGTGACTGTGTTCAAAGAATGGAAGGGGAATGAACAAAACTGAATGGACCAGAATTTGATTCCTGGGTGGGATGCATTTGGACCAAGGCACTTGTTGAGGTGGTGGTCTGCAAAAGGGTGAGCAAACTAGAATTGTGGTTGACTATAGAACATAGTTGGAAGAGCCACAGCTGTGTGCCATTTTGAGGGTTCATCATGGAGTGCACTCCTCTTACTGTGTTCTGCCTTGTCAGTCTCCCTAAAAACATGTGTCTTGAAATGGTTGCTTGTACTGTATAGTTGGGCCAAAACCCTCTTGGGAAAGCCTCTAAGTCTTAGAATGATAGAATGGTAGGGTTGGAAGAGACCACAAGGGTCATATAGTCTAGCTCCCTGCAATGTAGGAATCTTTTGGCCAATGTGGGAGTTGAACTCACGACACTGAGCCTAAGAGTCTCATGCTCTACCAACGGAGCTATGCTTGCTTTCTTACTGCCAAAGTGAGTGGTGGGAGCTTCTAGAGAGCAGCTGCCTGCACTTCAGTCTGGATACTGTAGCTCATAGCTGGGTACAGTGGTACCTCGGGTTACAGACGCTTCAGGTTACAGACTCAGCTAACCCAGAAATAGTACCTCGGGTTAAGAACTTTGCTTCAGGATGAGAACAGAAATCACGCGGCGGCGGCGCGGCAACAGCGGGAGGCCCCATTAGCTAAAGTGGTACCTCAGGTTAAGAACAGTTTCAGGTTAAGAATGGACCTCCAGAATTAATTACGTTCTTAACCCGAGGTACCACTGTACCTTGAAACCATCTGCTGCCCTTCCTGCAACCGAATGTTTATTAATAAGGGATTCTGTCCGTATAAAGGTAGTTGTTACATCATGGTTAGCAATTAGACACATGATGTTCAGCCAGATGGGAGGTCATAGAATCATAGAGTTGGAAGAGACCACAAGGGCCATCGAGTCCAACCCCCTGCCAAGAAAGGTGTGTCATGAATTGCTAGTACCATGACATAATAGCAGCTCATGTGGGTGGAAGACTTTAAGCTGCTTCCTCTTATCAGAGTATGGGAAACTGTAGAAGCAGCAAAAGCACAACGCTACTTCTAAATAAAGGCAATGCACTTTCAAAGTTGATTTTACTGGATAGTATGGTAGCACATGCTGGAGTTCATTGCTCTGTGGCTGCTTTGCATGTGATTCAATGTTGAGATGCGGCCATGGGAAGTTGTAATTTGCACAAGACTCTTTTCTGTTCACTTTTTTCCATGTGTTCCAGTGTTAGAAATTAGTCAGGTGCAATTTTGTGACCACATGGAGATTTCTGGATGCCAGGTTGCAGACTGACATCCGCATCTGGCAGGTCCTTCCAGCTTCCTTAAGCAAGTAAGCAGAATAACTTATTTATTGCATTTATATCTCACCTTTTTCTCCAAGGAGTACGTAGTTTACTCCCCTCCTCATTTAATCCCTACAACAACCCAGTGAGGTAGGTTAAGAGGCTGTGACCGGGCCAGGGCCACCCAGTGAGTTTCATGACTGAGTAGGGATTTGAACCCTGATCTCCCAGGTCCTAGTCTGGCACTCTAACCACTACTCCACACTGGCTTCCTGGAGTACCTCTGCTATGGGGCAGCTATATGAATTAAGTAAATAAATATGGGGAAAGCAAAATGTAACTCAGAGAAGGATCTGAAATATTTTCCTTGAAGCTTGAATTTGTTTTATTCTGGATTATTTTATTTTATATTATATTTCAATGTGTTGTAAATGGATTTGAGATTTTTGCTTTAAAATATAAAGCAGGATATAAATGAAATGAAGAAGAAGAAACTTCATTGGTGAAAAAATGGCACCTAGACATTCTGTTGCGGCGACCGTAACCTAGGTTTAAGGCATCATTTGGTGATTAGTTTATACTTCTGAGTTTCTAATACTGCTCCTTGCCCAACAGAGCAGGTTGTTAGTGATTGTTAATTTCTCTTCATGGAAGGTTAAGAGGTAACACCTCATCCACCTTCAGCATCTGGCTCTTCTTGTAATTATTATTATTATTATTATTATTATTACATTTGTTATCTCAGGTGTCAAGGTAAAGAGATGTGTCTTCAGCATTCACCAAAAATCATATAATGAAGGTACCAGAGGCATCTCTGTGCAGAGTGAATTCCACAGCAGAGGCTGCCATAGAAAATACTACCCCCCAAACTTTGAAGGAGGTAGAACTACTATGTGGGCCTCCTCTGCTGTGCTCACCACCCTAGAGCAGGGGTGTCAAACTCAAATTCATCGGGGGCCGCATCAGCAGTTTGGTCACCCTCAAAGGGCCGGTTGTATCTGTAGGACTTACAGTACAGGAGAGAAGGGTTCAGGCAGCCATTGGATCTGCCACATCACAGGATGGCATGCGCTCAATATAAAAACAAGTGGAGGTTTCCTGAATGCATGTAAAATGGAGGTTTCCTGTGTAGAACGGCTGGCGCCGCTAGAGGGCAGACGTTCTCTGGCTTGTAGGCTGCCGCGCATGCACTGAAGAGGCGGCTTTCTTGTGTCAAAAAAAAAAAAGAAAAAGCGAGAATAAAAGGTGAAGGCTGGCGGCCGGCGGCGGCTACACGGGCCACATGACGAGGTCTGGCGGGCCGGATTCGGCCCGCGGGCCTTGTGTTTGACACCCGTGTCCTAGAGAATCTGCAGGGAAGGAGGCAGCTTTCCAGCTATTTGGAGCCAAAGTCACTTTGGGCTTTAGACTTGAGCATAAGCACTTTGAATGGGCCCTGAAATCAACTGGCAGCCAATGCAGCTGTTTTAGATCGAGGCTATAGGAGGCAACCCCAGCCACTTAACTGACCACTGTGTTTTGAACCAGTTGAAGTTTCCAAGCCATCTTCGAGGGCAACCTCCCATAAAGCACATTGCAATAGTCTAGTCTGGAAATCATCAAAGCATGGAGTACTATGGCCCAAAGGGGCTGTAGCTGACGAAACAGCTGCCGCTGCAAATACACATTTGTAGGCTCCAGTGACAATGTTGGAACAGGAGTATCCCCAAGCTATGAACCTGTTCCTTCTGGGGGAGTGCAACCCCATCCAGAACAGGCCATCTTCCCATCTCTTGGATTTGAGAACTTGGAGCACATAAAATCTGTGTCTCTTCAGGATTCAGCCTCAAAAGTTTTTGCCCACATCCAGTCCATCATTGCCTCCAAACACCTGTCTAGTATCTCAGGCACCTCTCCTGATTCAGATGGAACAGAGATGGGTGTCATCTACATATCTGTGACACCACACTCCATATCTCCTGATGACAGCTCCCAGAGGTTTCATATAGATGTTAATAACATGATAGGCAAGATAGAAGCCTGTGGGACACCACATGACAACTCCCATCGATTGCATTGTACAGTGCCCCCATCACTATTTTCTGAAGTATAGTGCCCCCAACCCCCTTCTCCTTGAGCTGCTCCATTATACTGTGGTCAGTGGTATCAAAAGCTGGGGAGAAGGCATGAAGAACGAGCCAGGTCCCACTGCAGTCAGATTGAAACGTATCCCATTATTGAGCCTCCTCCAAGTGTGCTGGAATCTGGACAGCCACCATCCTCTTGAGCATCGGGCCTCGAAAAGGGGATATTTGCCACTGAGTGATAGTGGCTTAACCCTTCCGGGTCCAGGCATATTCCTATAGACTTCTGTTTTCTCTTGCGGACAAGAACCTAGGCAAATGAATCCTCAATTCTTTTAGGCAAGAGTAGATGTGTTCGAGACCCAACCAGGCATGGTGGAGAGAGAGAATGAGAGAGAGTGAATGAATGGAGCACCTTAACTTGTTTATTTGCACATTTCAAAAGGCAACGTCTTTGATCTTTTAAGAGAGGGAGAGAAAGAAAGTTTTGTGGTTGCCATGCACAGAAGAATGGCGCATGTTGAAGGATGGTTGTGTCTGCATGAATGCTGCACTGTTTGGGGCTGCTGTTAAAGACTGGAAACTTCAGTTGGCTCAAAATATGGGTCCAGAATGCTATTGGGAACCTAGCAAATGGATATGCAGTGGTACCTTGGTTCTTGAACTTAATCTGTTCCAGAAGTCCGTTCAACTCCAGAAACCATTTGAAAACCAAGTTGCAGCTTCTGATTGGCTGCAGGAGCTACCTGCACTCAAGTGGAAACTGCTTTGGACGTTCGGCTTCCGAAAAACATTCAGTAACCAGAACACTTCCGGGTTTTCAGTGTTCAGGAGTCGATTTGTTCAACAACAAAGCCATTCGAGAACTGAGGTACCATTGTAATGCCAATCTTATATTATCAACTACATCACTTCTGGGCTCATTTGTAAAGTGCTGATGGTTTTAATGGCCTGGGGTCAAGTCAATTTTAAGCGCCTCATTTGCCTAAGCCGTGAGATTGGCATTGGGAGTCCTGCACCAGCTATGAGGTGCAGGACCTTTTATGAGTGGCAATCTCAAAACTTAGTAGGGGTCCCCCTGAAGAGATCAGTTGGGCCCCCTCTGTGCCTCCTTTTAGATGGACTTGAATGCCTGCCCCCCCTTCTGTTGTTAGTTGCGATTGTATTCTGTTTGTAATACAGTGGTACCTTGGTTTACGAACTTAATCCGTTCTGGAAGTCTGTGCTTAAACCAAAATAGTTCTTAAACCGAGGCATGCTTTCCCTACTGAGGCCTCCTGCCGCCGGTGCCCTTCCACCGTTCGGATTCCATTCTTAGACCAAGGTAAAGTTCTCAAACCAAGACACTATTTCTGGTTTTGCGAAGTTTGTAAACCAAATTGTTCTTAAACTGGACTGTTCTTAAACCGAGGTACCACTGTAGTAGGATTGCTTGTTATATCTTTTTAAACATTATCTTGTTTTAATTGCATATGAGATTGCCACTGTTTACTTTGATGCATGCCACTTTGGATGCAAATATATGTGGAAAAGTGAGGTTTCAATTGATGTAATCTACAGTCAAGGGACTTGGCTGATTGGTTTGGGTCATCCTGCAACCATATGCTAGCATGACTCCTTCCTTAACTGTGGTTGTGTGCCTTCATTCTACAAAGTAGAAAGTTCCATCTAGTTGTCATGATGACAGAAACTGTCAACTGGTGGTTGGCGCTGCCCATTTTGGAGACTAGAGCGCGAGGGAGATGGTTTTGTTTGTGTAGGCCAGGGCTTGGCAGATAACCTTAAGATACATAAGGATTTACTGATAGATCTCTGGGTGAGTTGCAGCAGATAGGCCAAGATTTCTGACTTTTCTGACGTCCAGTTATTTAATAATGCCAACAACAAAATGACTTCCAACTCCAAAATTATATTGTTGTGATGAAGAAAGCTGGGGGATAACCTGTCATCTGGCTGGCCGCTCTGAAAACAAGATGCTAGAGAGATGGGCTGCTGGCTCTTATTAAGTTCGGAATCAGGACTGAATTTGTATTTAGTTCTGCTTCTCAGAGCAAATCGCTAGGTTCAAAATTCTTTTCATTCCAAATATATGTCTCTTGCATTTGGATCTTAAGGTTCTAGTAAAAAATGAAGTACATCCCATAAATCTGAAAGTTGCTCCCCCCTGGGTTGGCAGAGAGTTGGTGGGTGTGTCTGCAGTTGCTGGTGCACTGGCAGGCATATACCAATTGTCTGGTCAGTAAAACCACAGCAGGGATTTGGGCCTAATGTTTTTGAAGCAGTGAGGGTTTTGTTTAAGTGTGTGTGTGTGTGCAGGTTGTGGTTAAGGGTTCCTTGCCCACGCACTGGCCTTGCAGCCAAGAATTGCCTCCCTTGTAGCCTTCTGAGGTTGGAGGAGTATCTGCCATACTTACCACCTGCGTATGTTCTGTGGGGGTTTCCCCCTTATTCCCTGACCTATGAAAACTGAGACAGTGCTGTTGTTGTTCTGCTAGAAGTAGGAGGCATGTGGAGAGAGAATTTCTGTGAAAGGGAGACTTGAAACTAAATTTAAAACCCCTTGTCACACTTCTGCATTATGTAGTTCTGCTTCTCAGAGAAAGGAAACTCCTCTGTTGGTGCTTTTTTGTCTTGTAAGCCACTGGTGCTGGCCTTCCTGTCAGTTAGTGACTAATCTTCCAATTTTTGCATGTTGCATTTGTGCAGCCAGAGCAAAGAAGCACAGGCAGGAACTTCTGACTCACAACGTTTACCTACTTGGGAGGAGAGAGGGAGGAAGGCACTGAAACGCCTAGGGCCACCTTTACACGTTATGCCACGTGGTACCCACCTAAGGACACTAGAAGAGTCTAGCAGCAGGATCAGTCCAAAAGGACCCATCTAGTTCAACACCCTGTTTCCACAGCGGCCAGCCAGAAGCCTTTTTAGCACAGCAGACACTGTGTCTGTCCTATAATCTGAAGGTCCTGAATTTAAGCCTCAGAGAAGGCAACTTGCAGCTCTCTCATTTGGACAGCCAGTGTGGTGTAATGGTTAGAGTTGACCATGACCTGGAAGACCAGGGTTCAGATCCCCACTTGGCCATGAAGCTCACTGGGTGACCTTGGGCCAGTCACCATCTTTCAGTCTAACCTACCTCACAGTATTGTTGTGGGTATAAGATGGAGTGGGGGGGGGGGGAACCATGTAAATCATCTTGAGCTTCTTGAAGGAAAAGGTGGTATAGACATACATACATATGCCAGCCAGCCAGCTACCAAGCCCATTATGTGAAACCTGCAAGCAGGACCTGAATACAACTGCAGTGCCCTCTCCACCTGTGTTTCCCAGTCACTGGTAATTAGAAGCATGCTGCCTCTGACACTGGAGAAAGAACATGCTCATTGCTAGTCGCCATTGATTGTCTTGCCCTCCATCCATTTGTCTGGTCCTCTTTTAAAGCCATCCAAGTTGGTGGCCATCACCCACATTGGTACTTTAGTTGACGTTTGACTTGCATGTGCCCACAAGTCAAGTCCCTCAAAAGAGAATGCCGCTCTAGTGTGCACCACAGCACCTGTGCAGATCTTTGGGAGGCTTTGTCCCAGTGCTTGCAATCCAGGGAAGAAGCAGCAGCCCAACATTGTAGCACAGCCTGGCCTGTGGGACCCCTTACCCACATTTGTGTGCTCCATCCATGGAAGGTTCAGAGGATGGCAACAGAAGAGCAAGCCTTTATGGTGGTAGCCCCGTTTGTGAAATGCTCTCTCCAGGCAGGGAATGATGCCTGTTGCCATCTCCATATAGTTTTAGGTGCCAGGCAAATACTTTTCTTTTCCCTTGGACTTTTGTCCCTTAATCTGAGGGACATTGTGGCTGCTTTTGGTGAGGTGGGACATGTAGTCTTGTATTTTTCATAGATTTATAGAATTGGAGATGGAAGGGACACAAAGGTTTATCTAGTCCAACCTCCTGCAATGCAGGAACCTCCGCAGTTTAGCTGCGTTTTCCCATCATTTTTATACTGGTGGTGTCTATAGGTTTTTATTGTTTTAAATTGCTTTTAAAGTAAGTTGCTTTGAGTTACCTTTGTAAGAAAAGTGACAAACAAATACAATTCCTCCTCCTCCTCCTCCTCCTCCTCCTCCTCCTCCAGATTTGCCATGCCTGGTCTTCCTGCTAATGCTGCCATTCTTCCATAGAATCACAGAACTGTAGAGTTGGAAGGGGTCCCATTGATCATCTGTTCTAGCCTCCTGCAAGGCAAGAATCACAGTTAAAGAATCCCTGACAGTTCACAATCCAACATCTGTTTGGAAACCTCCAGTGAAGGAGAGTCCATCACTTTCCCAGGGGATTCCATTCCACTGCTAAACAGCTCTTATCACCAGAAATCCCTTCCTCTAGTCGGAATCTCTCCTCTTGTCCTTTGAATCCTTTGGTTTGGATTGTGCCCTCTGGAGCAACAGAAAATGTGCTTTGAGCATGTTCCCCCCCAAATGCTGCTTCCTGAAGCATGTGCTTTCCCTATGTCAAAGTTGGGGACACACTTTTACACCAGAGAAGGGTTGTGGATTTTTTTTGGGGGGGGGGGTTTAGAAACAACCCACCTGCAGAGGAGCTCCTCCCACCCCAGCACATCTCAGCATGACTCAGAATTGCTCTGACGTCCAGGACGTCCCCACTGTACCACTTGCCCTTCAACACGGTGGCTACCGACTGTAGGTGGGGGTTGGGGGGGGGGAGCCAGCGTGGTTGGGTTTAACAGGGTATGTGAAATGATGCACATGATTTCACAGCACTGCCAACACATCATCCCATACTTACTAAGCACACCGGCTCACTCATCAGAAATATGCTACATTGTCAATTACCAAATCCACCCACACAGCAGATCTGTGAGCAGGTCAACACTTGCCTTTAAAAGCTTGCTTGTGACGACAACAAGCACAACAAGCTTCTGTGTCTGTTTTCCCCTTTTTCTCTTCCCCTCTCCCCCCTCCCTCCTTTTCACTTTCCCTTTGCCTTCTCTTTTCCTTCCCAGCCAGAGGCAGCCAAAGGAATTTGGCTCCTGAGGCAGAAAATCTATATGACATCATCCCTGCCACCCCTCCCCAAAAAGTTAAAATAATGAACTCCATTATTTGGTGGGGAGGGACCCTCAGCTCAGTGGCAGAAAACATGCTGTGAGCGCAGAATATTCCGGTTCATGCCTTGGTATCTCCGGGTCAGGCTGGGAAAGATTGAAGCCAAAGACTGTGGAGAGCAGAGGATGCTGCTGATCAGTGTGGGTGAAGGGTGGGAATGCCCCCATCCTGCTAAGGGCCACATTCTCTTGGGGGCAATGTGTGTGTGGGGGGGTGTCCAGTGGGGGGGGGGCTGCTTTCAGGATCATCAGCTTTCAGTGTTGTTACGTACTGAAGTTCTCGCCCTGGGCCAGCAGGGGGATACTGTAGATAGTTTCACTCTGGTCTGCATATGCAAATAAGGAATTCAAAGTGGCGTTCAGTGATTGGATAGTTACAGAAAGTTGTTACTGTTGCTTTGTAGTTGAACTCTATATAAGCAGGTTGGCTGAACCCTTCAACCCAGTTCTGTTCTGGCCTGTGAATAAACAAGAGCTGTTTGAAGAATTGCTGTGTCGTCTGATATGTTCACCCACAACTTAACAAGTGTTACACACACACACACACACACACACACACGGCGTGCTTCCATCCATTCGTTCACCTTCCTTCTCTCTCTCTCTCTCTTCTCCCCCTGGAGTGGCAATTAGGGTTTTGTTTTCAGTTTTAAATTTAAAAAGCTCCCATTGGTGTCTATGGAACCTCCCCCCCCCCCCGTCCCCGTCCCCAAGCCTGATTGCCACACTTGGGAGTTAGGTGGGGTTTTTATCGTGTTGGCAGTGTGTGGCAGGGTGGGGAGCAGAGGGTTAACATTGTAGATTGCGTGGAGCTGGAAGCATCTGTGGGCTAACTCATGACAAGACAGCTGCCTACATTTTGAGCACAATTGCTGACAACTGGCTCTTCCCCTGCCACCCCCAGAGGCAGGCCGCCGCAGCTTGCCTTAATGGTGCGCTCAGTCCTGTCCCCAGATTTGCCTCATGCTCTGGACATGTTTATGCTCTGTCTCTGGCTCCTCCTGCCCTCCCCCAAATCAGCCAGCCGTGTTTGGAGGCAGAGAAAGTTTAGTCTGCCTCAAGTCTCACTCCAGAGGTGTGGCGTACAGTGGCTTGCAGGCAGAGGGAGCTAGAGACCTTCTCTGATATCTGGCTGTGCCACAGTTTTGTGGGCCTCACACAAGTGTCCAGGATGTGATTGTTCAGTGGGTTTTGTGGCGGTGACTTGAGGGCTGGCAGGCAGGGATTCAGACCTGGTTCACCACCAATTGTATGATGACTTGAGTCTTGATAGTTGCAAAAGGCTCACCAAGTCATGAATTGAGGTCCTCCCAAGTCCTCCATCACTTCTGTTATGGAGACACAACCTCTTTTAAAGCTTGGGGACAGAGAGGTGTTCATTAAAGATTTAAGCCAGTTGGAAAGCTGTTTTAAATAGCATCCTTTTCTTTAAAAAAAAAACCTCTGGAATTTGTTGCTGTGTGTTGAAACTTGGGTAAGCTTCTGGCAGGTGCCCAGTTTTCTTAGATGGGAGCCATGATAGTTGATAAGTCGTTTTTGAAATGGATTTCAGTGTGTGGTGTAGGTATGTCATAAGACCTTTCTTCCATGGGAGGTCCAGAGGGTGGCAACACGAGAAGGGCCTTTTCTGCAGTGGCTCCCCACTTGTGGAACGCTGTCCCAAGGGAGGCTTGCCTGGCGCCTTCATTGCATATCTTTGGGCACCAGGCAAAAATGCCTCTCTTTAACCAGGCCTTTGGCTGTTTAACATTCTATACCATTTTAAATGTGTTTGCGGGAGGGGGATTATTGGCTTGTTTCTGTTCTTCTTGTTTTTATTATGTATTTTGTGGTCTTGTTTTGTATTTTTATGTTGTGAATTCCCTATGATCTTTGGGTGAAGGGCAGTATATAAATTTGATGAAAAGTGAATAATAAAAGATATGGTTGTTGTTGTTGTTGTTACAGCAATTATACCCTGAGCTGTGCTCCTTCCTGTGGAGCAGGAGGAAGGAGAATGCAGAATGAAGCCTCTGTTCTATTTGGCACTGTTCAGACATAGTGGCCAAGCCATAGCTTGTTGTGTTGTGAACAGACTTCAGACTTACCTCCTCCAATCTCTTTCCAAACCTTGCCACCCCCCATCCAGTTTAAATAAGCTGAAGGTCTTGGTGAACCACTGAATTTTTTTCTTCTTCCTGTTATAGCGATTGCAACACACTGTGCTAGCTGCAGTATGACTGTTAATTGTATTTTTAATTGCCTCTTTTATTTCTTACATATTGTGTTACAACTTGAATTCCAGGGAACCTTTCCCAAGTGTCTCTTGCTCACCCTGGCCGTTTCTAGTCTATCCTGCTCACCTTGTGGGCAGACTGGGCTGCTGAGTACTCACAGATGCTCTGCAGAGCACCTCCATAAAGCTCATGGACCACTGCTGATCTGCAGGTTTGGGAGCCCCTGGTGTAAACCATAGTTTGTAATATCCAAATTGGGGAAACCACGGGTTGCTTAAAACAGGAAGGGAATTGTAGTTCATGGTGCTGGGAGAGGAAGTGCAGTAGTGTTTTAATGACAGCCAAACCATGTTGTTTGAACCAGGCCTTAACTTTTCTCTTTAACCGTTGTGAAAGTTTTTTTCTGGTGGAAGTAAGGTATTGTTGGACAGTTTCTGTAAATCAAAATTTTTGTTGGGACTGCTTGCACTGAACTGTATATGTTTCAGAATTCACATGTGACTTGGAAAGCTGTCACAGATTCATTTTTATGGGTGCCATCAATATTTTAATAATATATTGCAGGGAAGAACTATTTAAATAAGAGCCACCAGAGAAGGATTGGAACAACTAGAATCATAGAATCATAGAGTTGGAAGAGACCACAAGGGCCATCGAGTCCAACCCCCTGCCAAGCAGGAAACACCATCAGAGCACTCCTGACATATGGTTGTCAAGCCTCTGCTTAAAGACCTTCAAAGAAGGAGACTCCACCACACTCCTTGGCAGCAAATTCCACTGTCGAACAGCTCTTACTGTCAGGAAGTTCTTCCTAATGTTTAGGTGGAATCTTCTTTCTTGTAGTTTGGATCCATTGCTCCGTGTCCACTTCTCTGGAGCAGCAGAAAACAACCTTTCTCCCTCCTCTGTATGACATCCTTTTATATATTTGAACATGGCTATCATATCATCCCTTAACCTCCTCTTCTCCAGGCTAAACATGCCCAGCTCCCTTAGCCGTTCCTCATAAGGCATCGTTTCCAGGCCTTTGACCATTTTGGTTGCCCTCCTCTGGACACGTTCCAGTTTGTCAGTGTCCTTCTTGAACTGTGGTGCCCAGAACTGGACACAGTACTCCAGGTGAGGTCTGACCAGAGCAGAATACAGTGGCACTATTACTTCCCTTGATCTAGATGCTATACTCCTGTTGATGCAGCCCAGAATTGCATTGGCTTTTTTAGCTGCCACGTCACACTGTTGGCTCATGTCAAGTTTGTGGTCAACCAAGACTCCTAGATCCTTTTCACATGTACTGCTCTCAAGCCAGATGTCACCCATCTTGTATTTGTGCCCCTCATTTTTTTTGCCCAAGTGCAATACTTTACATTTCTCCCTGTTAAAACTCATCTTGTTTGTTTTGGCCCAGTTCTCTAATCTGTCAAGGTCGTTTTGAAGTGTGATCCTGTCCTCTGGGGTGTTAGCCACCCCTCCCAGTTTGGTGTCATCTGCAAATTTGATCAGGATGCCCTTGAGTCCATCATCCAAGTCGTTGATAAAGATGTTGAATAAGACCGGGCCCAAGTGTTACAGCAGTTTTGGTTTTTGAATACACACTCCAAATCTAGCTGTCTGTTTCTGTCATTAATAGGTATTTGGCTTAACCCTTGGCCTTACATGTATATAGTGTTAAAATCAAGGGGGCTTGCTCCCAAGTGCCTGGTTTTTTTATTATTTAAAGAAAATAATGATGTGTTTAGCATGCTCCAATCATAGGCCTTCACCTCCACCTCGCTTATGACTTTCTTCCTGATTCTCTTGCCAGCCAACTTTTAAATTGCTGTTTTTCCTTCCTTGAGACAGGGATCAAAGCTAATGGAAGCTCAATCATCTTTGGTCCAGTACCAAAGGAAATGTTTAAGAGGTGTTGATAGTGTCTATTCCTCCAATCTAACTGCTTTGTCTGAGGTGAACCATGAAGTTAAATGGTTTAACACAGCAGCTTTAGAATACCTTTCAAAGCCTGGGAATACAATACCCTCATTCTCAGCTCACAAAAGGTCAGGAGCCAATTCTTGCCATCTGATCAATATTAAATATCAGTATTGCCATCTGACTCACCTTTCTGAAAATGCTTTATGTTTAAAAAGTAACAATGCACCCATGGGTCCCTGGGCATCAAGCCCCTTGTACTCCTGTTTGAAGGATAAGCTGGAACCCCCAAAAGCATTGCTTCTAGCATAATAGAATAATAGAATCATAGAACTGTAGAGTGGGAAGGGACCATGAGGGTCATCTAGTCTAACCCCCTGCAATGCAGAAATATTTTTACCCAATGTGAGGCTTGAACCCATGACTCTGAGATTAAGAGTACAGTCTTACCTCGGGTTGAATGTGCTTCAGGTTGAGTGCTTTCGGGTTGCGCTCCGTGGCAACCCGGAAGTAACAGAGCACGTTACTTCCAGGTTTCGCCACTCGCGTATGTGCAGACAGTCAAAATGACGTCACACGCATGCGCGGAATCCGCAAAACGCGACCTGCACACGCGCAGACACGCCGTCGCGTCTTACATTCTGTTCAGGATGCGAACGGGGCTCTGGAACGGATGTCGTTCGCATCCCGAGGTACCACTGTACCATTCTCTACTGACTGAGATGTCAGATTCCCGTCAGACTGCCCATTCCTTTCATGTCCTCCTTGTGAGCTTCCCATGATGAATCTGGCTGGCCAGTGTTGGAAACAGAATGCTAGATTATTTATTTAGTCAGTTAAAAGCATTTTTATCCTTCTCTTCAGCAAATAATAAAATACAAATGTGACCTTAGTGTGGGTTTATAAATAGACAACAGCAGTTTACTACAAAGCCCAGCTTTCAGTTGCCTCTTGTGGCTGCTCATTCAAGGACTTGAGCATCCTTGTCAAAGTTCTGCTGTTTTCACCCGTACTTTGCTCTTCAAACAGTGCACAGAAAATGCTCACTTTCAAAAAGCAGTTCTCTGTAACTGCCCAGGAGTAGCAGTATTATCCCTACAGATCCTTGCGAGGCTTTCTGTTACTTCCACATCTCTCTCTGAAGCCAAGAGATTTCTGCAGAGATTCACCACCCACCTCTCCACTTCTTGCTGCATCACTGACGTCCCTGACTGTTTCGAGAGTGATGCTGTAGTTGGGAAAGTGCGAGCTGTGTTACCATGCCGACAGTGATGATGTTTTCAAATTGTCTAAAATTGCTTTTTATCTGGCAAACTCATATTAGTGTGGTGGCTGGGTGGTTTCATGCCAGTCAGTTTACAGGGTTTACGTGTGTGTTTGCCAGCCGCATAAGGAATGTGAAAATAAGTTGGGTCCATCTTTGCAAAAATTTGATAGGTAGTGATTGTGGCTTGTATAAATTTGCTTTCATTCCTGTGTCTAATTGCCTTGTTGTACACTGCCATTATATTATCAAATGAAGAATAACTTGCATCTGAACTTCTGTGTGTGTGTGTGTGTGTGTGTGAGAGAGAGAGAGGCGTTTCATAAATCTGGAATAGATCTGACAGATCATCTGGTCCCCAAATCTTGATGTGATGCATCATGACCATAGTGAAAGTACTATTTTTGGAGTAGTTGTTGTAGTTGTTGTTTTTTTAAAAAAAGAAGTGCACTGCCAATCCTGTTCTCACACATTTCCTAAGCCAGGATTAGCCAAATGCCTCCTAGATGTTGGACTGTATCTCCCATCATCCCTGACCATTGAGCATGCTGGCTGCAGGTCCAACAGCATCTGGAGGGCACCATGTTGACTAACCTTGCTCCAAGGAGCTGCATCAGCGCACCCTCTGATTGCTGTGTAGCTTGTACAGTATTGACCGGAAATGATGTATCTCCAAATATCTGCAAATATCATGACAAGAATCATGTGTCTTCTACTCTCTCTATAAGTGTTTTATTAGGTCCCACAATGAGAGACCCAGAATGTTGGACCACAGAAGAGCCTGATGGATCTGACTAATGGCTCATATAGTCCAGCATCCTGTTCTTAAAGTGCCCAATCAGATGCCTGTGGGAAGCCTGCAAACAGAACCTGAGCACAACAGGACCTCTCCTCCCCTGGGGATCCCAGCAAATGCATACCCTCCAACATTTCTCCAATGAAAACAGGGATGTCCTATTTAACAATAACAATAATAAGAATAAGAATAATAATAATGCCCTGCCCATCTGATTGGGTTGCCCTAGCTCCTTTGGGTAGCTTCCAATGTATATAAAGGTAAAGGGACCCCTGACCATTAGGTCCATTCGTGGCCGACTCTGGGGTTGCGGCACTCATCTCGCTTTACTGGCTGAGGGAGCCGGCATACAGCTTCCAGGTCATGTGGCCAGCATGACTAAGCCGCTTCTGGCGAACCAGAGCAGTGCACGGAAACGCCGTTTACCATCCTGCCGGAGTGGTACCTATTTATCTACTTGCACTTTGACGTGCTTTCGAACTGCTAGGTGGGCAGGAGCAGGGACCGAGCAACGGGAGCTCACCCCGTCATGGGGATTCGAACCGCCAACCTTCCGATTGGCAAGCCCTAGGCTCTGTGGTTTAACCCACAGCGCCACCCGTGTCCCTCCAATGTATATAAAAACAGAATAAAACATTAAACATTAAAAAAGCTTCCCTATATATGGGGCTGCCTTCAGATGTCTCCTAAAGGTTGTATAGTTACTTATCTCCTTGGCTCAGGGGGTCAGATAATGCCATACCCTCCAACATTTCTCCAATGAAAATAGGGACATCCTAAGGAAAAGTGGGACATTCTGGGATCCAGTCAGACACCAGGTTGGCTTCTGCAAATCCGGGTCTGTCCCTGGAAAACAGGGACTTTGGGAGGGTCTGCAATGGGTATTCAGAAGCATTGCTGCTTCTGACTGGGGGGCAGAGCAGAACCTCCACCCTGCTTGTGGAGTTCCTATTAGGGCACCCGGTTGGCCACTGTGTAGATGCTAGACTGGATGGAGCATGGTTTTGATCCATCAGGGCTCTTACGGTAGCCATATGCATCACCATGAGTTGGGTGAAATTGTAACAGAAAGCCAACTTTGTTCCAAAATTGTTGCTCTCTCTTTTGGAGTGACTGTGTATCCTTCTGGTTATATCTGCTCCTTAGTCTTAAAACTGTTGGGTTAAATGCCAGCCTTGACACACTGGTAACAGCTGTGATTTATGCATTTGTTGTGCATTAGTCCATGCCTGCAGAAGAGTTCTGTGTAACTCAAAAAAACACTTCTATCATTTTATCATCACAGTGCTTGCTCTGTGTTTTTTCTTCTGCTGGAGTTTGGGGCTATAAAGGGTGGGTTTTAGCAGAGCTCTTTCAGTGGAGCTGTCATGGGTGTTGTTTAAATGCAAGGGGAGGAGACATACAGTGTTTCTGTAGCGAATAGGGGTGATTTTCAGCTGCTTGTGTGTTAGAGGCAGGCAGGGGCCATGGACCTCTGCAAAAGAAAAGAGGAATGGGTCTCCCCCCCCCCCCGCCTGTTTTGTTCTAGAGGTCACTATTGATTAGAGGGGAAAAGGTGAATGACCATGGCTTTTATTTATTACAAAAGATCACAGTGGGGGATCTTCACTGCAAGAAGCAAGTACTCACTGACCCATGAAAACCTGTCCTCTCCCCACACCCTTTCCCTTTTTACTGCAGTGAGACTTTCTCATTTAAACATCAGCTGCTGTCCACATTGAGGTGCTGGTTAATGACTAAGCAGCCACTCAGCCCCAAAGTGACTTCATTACTTTTCAGGTGATGGCAGTTGGGTCAGTGGTAAAGCCCATGTCTGGAGCAGGATGTATGAGCCATTAGTGCTGAGTTCTTTGTTTTTGGTGGGTCCAGTTGCTCTAAAGTTTGGTTGTTTGTGTGGTTTTTTTTTTAAAAAAATAATTTTTATTTAAGTTTTGAACAACAAAGGAAGAAAAGAGAAACATACACAATACATATCTCAAAAAAAAAGAAAGGAAAAAAAATAATAACAAAAGCACGCAGAAAAGAACACAGTTCAACAATAAAAAACAAAAAACCTAACAATTAAAAACAATGTCTCTTTTCCATTTCCGTTTTTTTAGTTAACTTATTTTCTGGACTTCCTCATACCTCCCTCTTTTGTATTCCAATCCAAATTGTTTGTCCAGCTATTTCTTTTCAACTTTTTTAATCCCAATCTTTAACTTTAATATAATATTGTAATATAGATCTTCAATTTCTTTAAACCCGGTCTTTAATCTTAATATAATATAACATTAAAATTTTCCCTCTTAGTTGTCAAATTTCCATTTCTTTAAACATTTTTAATCCTAATCTTAATCTTATTCTATCATTAACTTTAACCTGTACAGCTGGAAACCGCTTATTTTCAGTCCAACATCGCTCTAACATTCTTTAATTTTACAATGTTTCTGAAGATAGTCTTTGAATTTCTTCCAATCTTCCTCCACCGACTCTTCTCCCTGGTCCCGGATTCTACCAGTCATTTCCGCCAGTTCCATATAGTCCATAAGTTTCATCTGCCATTCCTCCAGCGTGGGAGGTTCTTGTGTCTTCCAATACTTTGCGATGAGTATTCTTGCTGCTGTTGTTGCATACATAAAGAAAGTTCTATCCTTTTTTAATACCATTTGGCCGACTATGCCCAGGAGAAAGGCCTCTGGTTTCTTAGGGAAGGTATATTTGAATACCTTTTTTTAATTCATTATATATCATTTCCCAGAAAACCTTAATCTTTGGGCACGTCCACCAAAGGTGAAAAATGCACCTTCAGTTTCTTTACATTTCCAACATTTGTTATCGGGCAGGTGATAAATTTTTGCAAGCTTGACTGGGGTTATGTACCACCTGTACATCATTTTCATAATATTCTCTCTTAAGGCATTACATGCCGTAAATTTCATACCCGTGGTCCACAACTGTTCCCAGTCAGCAAACATAATGTTATGTCCAATGTCCTGTGCCCATTTAATCATAGCCGATTTTACCGTTTCATCCTGAGTATTCCATTTCAGCAGCAAGTTATACATTCTTGACAAATTCTTAGTTTTGGGTTCTAACAGTTCTGTTTCTAATTTTGATCTTTCCACCTGGAAGCCAATTTTCCTGTCCAGTTTAAATGCCTCCAGGTTGTTTGTGTGGTTTTGAAACCTACCCAGTTCATTGCAGAGACAGTAACTGATTGAGATCATAGAATTGCAGAGTCAGGAGAGACTCAAAGGGTCTTTTGGTCCAAACCCCTGCAATGCAAAGATACTGGTTGTGGTTGAAGCCTCTCTCCAGTGAAAAATTGTTCTTAAGCTAGTTTTGATTCATTTCCCCAATATTCCACCCCAGATAGCAGAGCTATAATTGCACTGGGAACTTTCCACCAGTGGTTAAGTTCACTTTTAGAGTAATAGTAATATTCACACTTTCTCTTAGCAATTGAGTGTTAAGTGCTTCACATTATCTCTGTCAGTGGAAGGCAATTTTAATCAAGTTAAGGCAGCCTTTCCTAGCTTGGTGCCTTCCAGATGTTTCTGACTACAAGAGCCGTGCTCACCGAGACTGATGAAAGTTATGTGGTCATATCCATACCATATATTTAAAACACTCTTGAAACACCATAATAGTCATGGCTTCCTCTATATGCCATGCTGTTGATTAAAGGTGCTGACCTCACAGAGCTCTGACATCCCCAACAAACTACATTTCCAAAGAATCTCCATGGCTGGTAAGAGTGCTTTAAATGTGTGGTGTTGCTGTGACTATATTCCAAAACATTTGCAGGACACCAGGCTGGAAAAGGAGAGGCTAAGGATGGCAGAGGAGTGTGAAAGCTATAGGGTTCCTCATTGACCAGCTTAATACCTGCTGGCTTTCCTGTTGGTGAAAATTGCTCTTGAACAGGCTTGGAAATGTGTCCTTTGCCTAGAGGAAGTTTTTGCTCCTTCCACACAAGTAGATAGAGGTGCTTCCTGATTTCTCTTCTCTTGCTTTTTGGCCTTAGAGGCTTAGATGGCTAACAAAGAATCACTATGTTCTATGATTAAGAGTTTTGGATCAGGCCTGGGGAGACCCTGATTGAAATCCTGATGGCACTTGGCTGCACGATCCCTCTCATCCTAACCTGCCTCAAAAGGTTGTTGTGAAGATAAAATGGTGGCAACCACATATGCTGCCCAGTCTTCCACAATCCCTCTGGAAGGGATGTCATGATGGAAGATCTATATCCAGGGTGATGAGCAGAGCCTCCATCTCCTCTCCTGCTTAGAGGCAGGGTGAGGGCAGAGGCAGCTGCATTGAGCTTATGGATGTTCCAAAGTTGAACACAGCTGTAGGGGGGAAGCCCTACCCACCTCTTGCAAGGTGGAAGGGGGCGTGGGCAGGTCCCCAGAGTGCGCAGGACTTTGAAGACCCTGTGATGTCTGGGTCTGCTTGGAATATGGAAGCATAAGTGGGCCAGTTAACTTTTTATGTGAGCTCGACTGCCCTAAGTGGCAATCTGCAATTGTTTTGGACCCAGGTTCAATGGCACCCAATTATGTTGTGTGTGGCTTTTTTTACCCCGTGTGTCAATCTTTCTCCTTCCTTTATAAGACTCCAATACCTTGCAATAGTAACTTATTGTTGTTCATGTTGACAGGGCTGTGCTTCATTTAATCACAAAGGAAAAAGGAAAAAAGAAAATCTGAACTATGCAACCTGTATGCATTATGCAAATCAAGAGCGGCTTTACCCATATTATCTTAGCTGGCATAAGGCGTTCTCCTTCTGCTGGGCATGCAGACAGCAGTGGACAGGAGTGCAGGGCATCAGGCAGGCTCATGACCTCCTGGTTGCTGGAGCTCCTCCTCAGCCTTCTTTGGCTTTGGACATTTCATTCAGCAGCGTGTCCAGTGCACTCTGATCTCCGGTGTTTTCAGCATCACTGCTGTCTCTTCCCTCAGAGGCTCACAGTGGCTTCCCTCTTCTTTCCTGGAGGCAGCTTTATCAACTGGGATTGGGAGTGTGTAGTGTGTGCTTGCTTGCTTGCATGCGGGTTCAGGTATGGGCTGGCGATGCCCACTTTTGCTTTGGCCACACCCACTGCTGGCATGCAAGCCTTGGAGGGTTGGCTGACGGGAAATGCGGGCCTCCAGCTGAAAAGGCTCGCCACCCCCTTGCACGGCACCTGTAGTCATGAGGTGCATTCAGCCTCTGGCAGGCACAAACAGGTCTGGCAACCAGTTTACTTGCATCTGCTGATTCCAGAAATGTGCTGGATTGTGGTAGAGTGAATTCTTTTCATGTAGGCAGCTGATTTCAATCTGGGACGGATTTCGACAGATGATGGGACAAGTTTGTGCAGATCTTGTAGAGCAGAATGTGACTGGGCACGCAGCTTTCCTCTTTAAGAGCACATTTCCATGTATTTTGCATGTCTGCATGAATGTGCTTGGCTGTCTGAGCTGTTCCTGTGCATGAGGAATAAGCTATGAAGGTTGATTGTGCAAATGTGTTTGGGAGCTGGGTGTCACCCTTCTGTGTCTGCTGTGTTCCTGTAGGGCCCTCTGTTGCAATAAGGACACACCTTTTTTCTTGTTTGAATGAGACAACAAAGTCTGAGAGGAATGATGTTAGTCCTGCAAACATTGCCTGCAAACTGTGATCCATCAGCCTAAGTATGACATGCCTAAGGAAACATAGCCTTTATCCTGGGATTGCTTAGTCAGTAGAGCATGGACTCTTAATCTCAGGGTTGTGGGTTCAAGCCTCACATTGGGCAAAAGATTCATGCATTGCAGGGGGTTGGACTGGATGACCCTTGGGATTCCTTCCAACTCTACAATTCTGTGATTCTATGATACTATGAAGACTCACATTCCATACACCCTGCTTCCTAGATCAAGTTTATAACCTTATACTTTCAGCAGACTCTTGAGTAGCAAAAGCTTTGTTGGATTGCTCAGTTTCGAGTTGGATGGGAGGAATTGCCTATTAGAAAGCCTACCTGTCAGGGGAAAAAAATCTGTTCCGAACTAGAAGAGCCCTGCTGAATTGGACCATACATCCACCTAGTTCAGCATTTAGATTACAGCATTGGCTGGTCAGTGACACACCTCTTGGAACTCACAAGTGGGCCAAAAAAGGTCTTCCCCTGTTGTTCGTTTTCATCCAGCATCTGGAATTCCCAGATGTACCGTCTCTGTCTCAGGCAGCCATCCCCAGTCAGCGGCCCTCCAGATGTTGTCAGCCTCAAACAATGGAGCTGTAGGATGTTGGAACTAATAGGAGTTGTAGTACAGAACATCAGGAAGGCACCAGGTTGGAGACTGTGGATGTAAAGGCTGTCATGGCTGATAATCATGGATAGCCCTCTCCATGAAGTTTCCTACCCCCCCCCTTTTAAAAGCCACCTAAACTGGCTATGTCTTCTCTTCATTAGACAGATTGCATCTTGCATTTTTACCAGGGTTTAAATCCCTACTCCGCTTGTTGGGTGACCTTGGACCAATCTCTGGCTCTCAGCCTAACCTGCCTCAGGGCTGTTGTTAGAATAAAATGTGAAGGACCATGCACACCACCTTGAGCCCTTTGGAGGAAAGGTGAGATATAAATGTAAAAATAATAAAAAAGAAAAGCATCTGAAAGCATAGTTGTGAAAGAACCTAGCAACCATCATTTTATGGCAGCAGAGTGCTTCCTTTTATCTGAACCTGCTGATAAGAAAATGATTGCGTTAGAGTGAGGGGTTCCTTGGCAGGCTGCTTGGAGGAGAATTGATACATGAAATACAGACCTGCAGTGTGGGGAATATAAAGGGTGACCTGCCTGACCAGGAAGCTGAATCGCTCTGAACACTAAAAAATGCAGAGCGTTGCTAGAAAAGGTTTGGGATCTTTGCTGTGATGGCAAAATCTATGACATGTTATTTGTGAGCAAAAGAAAAGAAAAACCAGCAATAAAATTGGAAACCATTTGTTGAACACTGTGACCGGGGGAGGGGGGAATACATTGCTTCCCCAGTCAAAGGGTGGCTTTGTAATGTTTCGGGTGTGGATTTGAATCCTGATCTCCCAGGTTCCAGTCCAGCACTCTAACCACTACACCACACTGTTTCTCATGATTACATGCATTGCATGGTTCCTAAAGAGTTCTAATAGGAACAATTATTGCTAACTAAGTCTTTGAACTTTATATCTTTTGAATTTTTTTCTTTGTATGTGGTTTGTTTGTGGGTGCATTTTTCAGTCTGTTATTAAAATTTTCGTACTGTTGTAATATTAAAAACTGTGGTGGTGGTGGGGAATGCACAGCGTTATTTGTTTCGTGGCTGTGGTGCCCTTGCCAGGCGTTCATGGCATTCTTGGAGATGCCTGCCTTACTCCTTGCCAAACTGGCCCTGGCAGGCGCAGTTCCTCCTCCGCGAGAATCGGCCCACGTGAGTGAATGGCCTCATCCTTGCTCTGGACTTCCTCCTCCGAGAGCTGCTTCCCTCAGTAATGTGTCCATGCAGGGGAAGTAGCAGAGTCCCAGCTCCATCCCTGGTGGACAGATCTTGGCCGGAGTGGCACTGGGTCAGTAGAGCAGTGGTGACAGCTCTGGGTGACCCTCCTCGTCCTTCTCCTTGCTTTGGACTGCTGCCTCTGTGAGGCAGGTGAGAGCTCTGGGGAGGCAGCTGCAAAGCCCTGCCCACCCTCACCGCCCTCCTGCTCTGGCTGCTGCTGCTGCTGCTGCTGGGAGGGTTGGGTTTCCCCCACCCCTCCCCTCGCCCTGCCCCTCCTCCTGTGAGGCAGGCAGGCAGGCAGGCAGGCAGGCGGAAGCCTGGCATGCATGTCACGTCCACCCTGCTTGTTTGGTGGGGAGGGGGGGAAGAGGGCTGGGAGCTCGGCAGTATGATAATGACTCTAGCGTCTGGCAGGAGAAAAGCCCCTGACTGCACCAGGGTGTCTGTACCGCCGCTTCAAGGAGAATGAGGCAAGATGGCTGCTTGGTAGCGATGGAGGAGGCTCGCTGGGGCTGAAGGAAGGCTGGCTTCTGGGGGGAGGCGAGCTGGCTGGGAGGCAGCAAAGGGAAGCGGGCCAGCAGAGTGGGAAGCTGCAGAAGGAAGGTTTGGGGCGAGGTAACAAATGGATTCCTTTCTTATGTTTATGTTCAAAGACCTTTAAAAAAATAAATGCAAGCCTCCCGCACCATCCCTTCCTCCTCCTCCTCCGCCTGAGAGGATTATTGTAAATGGAGGATGAACATTTAAATAACCCACCACAGGCCTGGCAAATTAAAGCTCTCTTGCATCTTGCTGGATACCTTGTTGTTGTTGTTTTGCTTCGGCTGCTTTCTAAAATTTAGTTTTGATAGTTGTTGTTTTCTTTCTTTCTTTTTCTTTTTAAAAAATTCCTCTGCAGGTGGAAATAAAGGACAATAAAGACACCAGCACACGGGATCGAAAGCCAGCGGTGGAGGTACTGTTTCTTTGTATACTTTTAAAAAGACAAAAGCACTGAAGGGGGATTTGGAAGTGGAAGTACGGCCAACTGTGAAAGCTGATTGTGTGTGTGTGTGTGTGTGTGTGTAAAATATTGCACTAAATGATACACACACACACACACACCTCCTGGTTGTCAGTTTCTGAGGCTTGCTTCTCATCCACAGTTGGTGTGTATGTGTTGCTTTTCTTGGAGTTCCTTTGGCGTTCCTTTGCATCCAAAGAGCATCCAAAAGGTGCCCCTGCTTTATGACAGGCAAGCCATGATTTCTCTCTCTCCCTGTTCCCTAGATCTCTGTATGAGCTCGTAAAATTATCAAAGGAGACGAGACTCTTTGAAACAGGTGTGACATCATCCTGATGTAACCATGGTGACTGTCTTAACCTTTCTGTGATGTGGCTTGAAGTGACCGCTTGGTAGCGATGGTGCAAAACAGGAACTTTCCCTCTCCTAATTTTGGGGAGGTATCAAAAAGGGGGAAAGCAGGTGAGCAGTTTGATCATGTGCTTGTTCAGGACAAGGCCAGTTTCTGCCTCCTGTTATGTTGATCTTTGTGAAGAGCAACTTGACAACTGAAGAGCTTATTTTCCATGTGCCCCCAGCAGAATCTGGTCTCATGGGCTGCTCCAGATCTGAGAGCTGCTTGTGGGAAAATCCCTAAGAGGAGGCAGTTATGGTGATGATGAAACACCAAGCTCAGCATTGCAGCTTGTGGCGGTTGGGTGTTCTTGGTAGATATGAGAGGGAGGGGAAAGTGAGTTGGAGAGGCTGACTTTTCTGACTGGTCTGATAGAAGGTCGCACAACCATCCTAAGATTTGGCAATAGTTGCCATCCTACCAACCGCAGGTGATATGTGGGTTGCATTTCTCTATTTCCTGTTATCCACAGTTTTGTCCTTTCCCAGGCTGTCCTTACACTACACACTCAGGTTCCCCTTGAGTTTGGTTTATTAAATTTCCTAGACACTTTATTCTAGAGAAAGGCTCAAGGTGTCTTACAATTTAAATATGCAAAGGTTAGAAACAAAACCGTATGGCTGAATTCCCAGGACTTACTTAATATTTTCTTATGAAACAATATGAATCTTCCTTTCATTGGCCACTTATTGCCAGCAGCTAGGCTGGTATTCTGAAGATACTGGAAATTTCTGGAGGGAACGGCAATAACCACATGGTATAAGGAAGTTTGCCAGTTAGCACTTGTGAAAAATATCTGACTAAAAAGTTATAATTAGTGAGGGGTTTGAAACAAAAGGACATATTTTCAATGGATCGGTGCGCCTTTACTAAAGAAGACATGCTGGAGTCTCCTTCACACTGCAAAAGTGTTGGTTGGTATAACTTTAAGCTATAATCTGTTCTGATATGTAATGGGCACTGACATCAGAGTACTCTGTAACCACGTATCCTGGGGCACTTTGGGGAGGTGTTCTTATATTGCTCTTTGTTGACCTGTAACGTAAGAAAAATGTAATCACCTCATTTGCTGAGGATGAAAAGGTAAAATAGAGCTGTGTGTTGTCTGTGCACTGATGACAGAACATCCCAAGCCTCTTGATGACCCCACTCAATGGTTTCATGCAGATGTTAAATAACATGGGGAATATCATATTGGGGAATCGGTGGTGCCGAGCAATATCCCCTCAGCACTACCAGCTGGAGCTACCCATTCAAGTAGGAGTGGGACCAGTGCAAAGCAGTGTCCACCCTCCCAAATTTTATAGTCCCTGCTGAAGGATATAATGGTTGATGGTATGGAAAGCTGCTGACAGATCAAGGAGAACCAACAGGGTCAGATTCCCCTGGCCCTCTCCTGGTACAAGGTGGCCAAAGCAGTCTCTATGCCAAAACAAGGCCTCTTCCCCAATTGAAATGGCTCCAGAAAATTGGCTGGTTCAAGGAAGGGGGAACTTGCCTATGTCCTAAAGTTATTAAAGTCTTCCAGGGAGGGTGTCACTGCCTCTTTTAGGTAGCCTAGGACCTCTCCCTCCCACAAGGAGACATTGAGCCATCACCTCCTGGCTGGATTTTAATGAGCCACAAGACACAAGGATGCAATACACAAGTAATTGCATGAACAAGAATTGCACTTTGTCCTTGGGCTTCAACCAGCAGAAATTCATTCAAGTAAAACCAGAGAGGAGATACTTCTCTAGATCTCACGCTTGCTATAATAGCGGGATCCACCCCTAGTACATGCAAGCAGCTTTATCCGCAAAATATCTTACAGATATGGTACAGTGGGCACTATTCAGCCTCCTTGCATCTCCAAACTACCTGGAAAAGTTCGTGCTGGATGGCATAAAGAAGATGCAGTAGAGGTGGAAAAGAGGGTTTTTCCATCACCTCCATTGCAACTGAATGGGCATGAAACATGAACACATACCAGTGTTTGGTTGTCTTCACTGGGATTTCTCTCTCTCTTCCTGAGCTCAATCTGTCTCCCAGCCTGGTTTATCACTCTCAGACCTGGGGGAGACCAAAGAGCTTTCTGAGCTTTGCTAGACAAGGAAGCTTTCTCAGGAGCAATTGTGTCAGCTGCTGCTCAGCTCTCTTCTGCATTCCACGTTTCAACCAGGACTTCAACTGGAGAGCCAGCATTGTCTGGCGGAATAGCTCGCAGGGCCCTCTGGAAATCCATATTCTCTCTTGGAGCAGATTTTCCTTGGAACTGCAACATCCGAAAAAGGGAGGGAGGAGGGAACCTTTCAAGAAAGATGTCAATGGGGTAGTCCTTGTGACACCCCCCCCCCCGGGGTGAACTCCCCTTTGCCACCCCTTTTGAGATTGCCAGAAACACTGCCTCCCACAAGGAAAAGGACATTGCCCCTCTGCTGGCAATGTTCCTCTAGTGTCCTCCTCACCTTCAAGAGCAGGGCCAGATGGAGAACAAGCACACCTGCTCTGCAGATTGTCCTGCTGCTGCTACTCCAGCTTGCTCCTGAACTCCTCTTCAGTGGCGGAGCTTCATGCTCTGGCACCGGGGGCGGAGAGCAGGCGATGGTGGGGCTGGTTCACGTCCTGGGGACATGGCGTGCTGCCTGCAGGGGCGTTATGTGCATCCTGGGGGCGTGGTGCCCAGCGTGGGCAGGGGGGCAGCCACGATGGCACCCCACTGGGATTGCGCTGCCGGGGGCGGTGCGCTCCCTTCGCACTCCTCTTCCTCCGCTAGTGCTCCTCTTACCAGCCTGTTGAGGTCGCTCCATAGGTATTTTCATTAGGAGAGTCTCATGAATCTGTTCCAGGCCTGCTGGAGCAAATCATAAGACTCTCAGCTACTCAAAGGAACTTTCGGCTGGACCTATTACCTAGACTCTCCTTCTTGATTAAATTGTTCCTACAGATGATTCTCAAACTGGTCTTTGTATCTGCATGTGACCCTTCGGTCGTGACTCCCTTCTTTGAGCAATTGATGCACACTGTTATGTTATGGATCTGTTGCTTTTGTTACTGTATCCTATATTTTGTACTGTGCAACAATTTGTTTTAAAATAGTAATTTTATAAGGAAAAAGTAGTCTGATCATATAACACCTGACTGCTGTACATTTCCTGGCACAGTTCAAGTGCTGTTCTAACCTATAAAGCCTTCAAGCTTCGTACCCCGATACGTGACAGAACAACACTTCTAACAGGTCCAGAATCTAGAGTAATGCACTGCCCTTTAGAACCAATTTAAACCTCGCAGAATAGCAAGCGAATATTCAGCTTACTCAGAACTCTTCATCAGTTAGGATGTTAAACAAAACAGGAAGCCAACATGCGGAGGGGCCTTCTCTGCAGTGGCTCCCCGTCTGTGGAATGCTCTCATGGAAGTTTGCCTGGCGCCTTCATTATACACCTTTAGGCGCCAGGCAAAAACGTTCCTTTTTAACCAGGTCTTTGGTTGATTTGATTGACATCCCTTTTAAAATGTAGTTCTTTTTTTGGAGGGGGACACATTCTATTGGGTGGTTTTTATTTTGATTATATATTTTGTGGTTTTATATTTTGATTTTGTTCTGTGAATCACCTCCAGGTATAGGGTGCTATATAAATTTAATAATGATGGTGATGATTTGGGGGGGGGGGGGAGAGAAGCTGCGAGTGGTGTTGAACTTAGAATGCCAGGGGAAATTTGCAGATGTTACTGAATCAGGTGCTCAAGGTGTGAGGCAGATTGTAAGGAACAACCTAGTGCTGTTATGTTTTCTCATTTTTGAGAGCATATAAATTACAGTTTTTACTCAGGTCTAGTTTAGGCCCTAATCACCCTAACTGGGTTCCCTTGGAAGGCAGAGTGAAAAAAGGGAAAGGGCAGTGTAGTTGTCTTCATATTAGCAAATCTGGATATTAGTTTTTAGCTGCTATGCTATGGAGAAAATCAGATAGGAACTACGTTCAGGAACATTGCCTAATGGGTGGAGCACATCCAAAGTTAACTCCCATCTTCAGGTGGTAGACTACCATTTCCTTGTGGTTTCAGGATCCCTCTCGTGCATGTCATATAACACTCTCAGCTTTTCTCTTTCCTTTCTCCATTTATAGCATCTTGCCTGTTGAGAAGTGCTGAATAACTCAAGGGTTTGCTCACAATTCTGTGATATTTTAATTGGTCCATATTAAACTCAACATCCCTATTGTGGATTTTGAGTGTTTCTTTGCCGCTGTAAAATTTCATTATCTGATTGTTATTCTGTGTTTTCAGATTACATCCATATATGTGGGGGTTTGGGAGGGAGGATAATGGAAAGAATTCTGGAAACACAAAGATCTTTGTATGGTAGGAAAAGCTAAGAAATGGAGAATTGTGATTCCTGTTAGCTTGTGGCAGCTTGGAACACAGCAGAGTTGAAGGCATTCCCCTTTCCTCCTCCTGTCTCCTGCCCATCAGTCAGAAGCAGCACCTCTTAAGTATAGTAGCAGTGCCAGTGCTTTTTTCAGCTGGAACTCACTGGAGCTCAGTTCTGGCACTTCTCAGGTGGGCTCCTTTGCTATTATAAGAGAATAAAGGCCGTGTTCATGGTGAGTTCCGGCCCCTCTTTTTCTAGAAAAATATCACTGAGTAGTACTGAGAAATTCCATCCATGTGTAGCAGGACCTTAGAATGCTCCCTTTGTGCATTCTGAGCTTGGCTTTGTATAATTAATGTACGTGGGGTGGGATTCAAAGTTTGTCTATTCCTCTGAACTTTTTTTTTTTTTAATGAAGTATCCTATATCTTACTCCAGCATGTTTGACTGCGGCATTTCAAAGTTAGCTGAAACCTATTGACAGTAATACCACTTAGCATTTTTAGAGTGCATTTCAAAAGTCCAAAGTGAAACACATTCAGTATAGTCTCAGTCACCGTTAAAAAAGCCCTGGTGGGCAGACTGAGCTCTTTACCCCCCCATCATAGGCTGGTGGGTAGTAGAGTTAGTTGATGAATATGTGGGTGAGGTGAAATTTGGAATAGGAGAATTTTCCGTTCTTCCTGGTGGCTCATTTGCTTCTGCTTCTCTTACATTGTCCTGTGGAAGCAACAAGTGCCCCTCCCTTTTTGCAGCAGGAGTAAGTCCAAAACATTAAAAGACGTTCATGAACTGTTGCAGTTAAAACCTGAATTTACTGTACTTTGATACATAGCTGCCTTATGCTTGGAGATCTATACACTGTAAGGCGCCCTTCTTCAAGAAGCTCATTGCAAGCATAGCAGTGCAATTTGTGTAAAATATTGCTATATTAGTCTCAAACATGATAATGACCATCTGCAATTGTTCAGTAAAGCATGCGGTTATAACCTGAAAAATATAGCTCTCCTATGCAGTCTTATGCTCAGTTCTGGGCATCACAGTTCCAGAAGGATATTGACAAACTGGAACGTGTGCAAACAAGGGAGACCAATATAATCAAGGGTCTGGAAACTTAGGAGGAACAGTTGAGAGAGTTGGGTATGTTTAGACTGGTAAAGAGGAGACCAAGAGGATATATAGCAGCTATCTTCACATATCTAAAGGTCTGTATTATGGAACGTGCAGCAATCTTGTTTTCTTCTGCTCGAGAGGGTAGAACCTGATCAACGGAGTCAAATGGTAAGAAAGGAGATTTCAAGTAAACCAGGGTTCCTCAAACTCAGCCCTCCAGATGTTTTGAGACGACAATTCCCATCATCCCAGTACAATTCCCATCATCCCAGTATGTTTCCGAGCACAATTCAAAGTGTTGGTGCTGACCTTTAAAGCCCTAAATGGCCTCGGTCCAGTATACCTGAAGGAGCGTCTCCACCCCCATCGTTCTGCCCGGACACTGAGGTCCAGCACCAAGGGCCTTCTGGCAGTTCCCTCACTGTGAGAAGCCAAGTTACGAGAAACCAGGCAGAGAGCCTTCTCGGTAGTGGCACCCACCCTGTGGAACGCCCTCCCACCAGATGTCAAAGAAAAAAACAACTACCAGACTTTTAGAAGACACCTGAAGGCAGCCCTGTTTAGGGAAGCTTTTAATCTTTAATATACTATTGTATTTTAATCTTTTGTTGGAAGCCACCCAGACTGGCTGGGGAATAAATAATAAATAATAATAATAATAATAATAATAATAATAATAATAATAATAATTATCCCTGACAACTTGTCCTGCTGGCTAGGGATCATGGGAGTTGCAGGCCAAAAACATCTGAAGGGCCGAGTTTGAGGAAGCCTGAACTAAACGTTAGAAGGAACTTTCTGACGGCAAGGGCTGTTCTACACTTCTATTGTTCTAAGATCCTATGATTCATAGTAAGTGCATGAAATAGTCCTGATCAATAGAGTACTGGTAATTGATGTTTAAATACAATGCTTTGAGTTTCCATGTATGTTGATTTCTAATTGCTTGGGTAGGGCTGGGCAATATCTTGTCTCCAACACAGCGATATATCACTATTGCAATTTGGTGATATATAGTGATGTCTGAAACATTGAACTATGTGGGGTGGGGTGGGAAGATCAACTGCCCTGAGACCTCTGGGTATAGGGCAATATATAAATTCAATAAATAATTGTCATCATCATCAGGCGAAGGAGCAGCCATGGGGGGTTAGGTGGGGTGAAAGAGCAGTGCGGATGGGGAGTGTGTGAAGGAGCAGCCTTTGGAGACTGCACAGGTGTGTATGTTGTGGGGGGAGAGAGATCAGGTGTGTTGGTGGGCAAAGGAACATGGAGATTGGGCAGTTGCGGGGCTTGAAGATCAGGCATTTGGGTAAGTCAAGGACACACAGACAGAAGGGAGCAAGGGAGGAAGGAGGCTGGAATGACACAGGGCTACTTACTTTGTGGCATCTCAGCGACCCAGCATTGGCAGTGGCTTCACAAAACCCTGCTTTCTGCCAGCTGCTTCCAGGCAAACGCACATTGCATGCACGCACATGCTGTGATCCGTGATGTATTGCCACATCAGTTATTTTCAAACTGTTATCATGATGTGGTCTAGAAACCAGTATTGGATGATCAGTATCAATATATTGGCCAGCCCTATGCTTGGGTTAAACTTTTTCAGTTGGGTTCCAATTTCTTCTGTGCCTGCCATCACGTGTGGTGATCCAGATGTGTTTCCTTCTTCTGAAACTTCCACCACCAAGAACAAGAATCTTCCTTCTTCTGAGTCAGAACGTTGAACACTGACTGGCAGCGATTGTCCCAGGTTTCCCTACCTAGGGATGCTGGGGATTGAATCTGGACCTTTTGCATGCACAGCAGATGCTCTACCACTGAGTTACGACCCTTCTCTGAAAGAATATTATTCATCTGTTGGGTCTGGATTAAAAGACCCCTTTCTGAGACCTGTTCCCTTTCTGTAGCTCAGTGCATATTTATAGCCCCATACTTGTAACATTGCATGTTATACTGTTTTTTCCAATGCTCACTGATAATACTCAGTGCAGTGTCTTGCGCTAAGCCAAGATTATGCTGCCCATGATCCAAGAGTTGGGTGCCTCTTATGAGCCAAGCATTTTCTGGGATGTAGCAAGAGGTTCTGGAACTTTCAGAGGTTTTGCTTGTGCTCTTAAAATATATAATTGCCCCAAGCAACTGTTTAGGTTGCTTGTGTAATTGGGTCAGTCCAGGAGAAAATTTTCTAAATTTATGTATGTTTGACAAATTATTTTCAGTTGTTTATTTGCAGTTGTCAGGAAGCAAAACACAAAGTGGGGCAGTGTAAGGGTGTTGCTGAAAATTGCTGGTTCCACAGGACTGAACACCTTGAGCCTCCTATGTCTATTTTGTAATGCTGTAAGGGATTTTCAGATGTTGATGAAGGCTGTGGTCTCTGGCTGAGCTGCGTGGGTGTCAGAGGGGCAAGAAAGGCAAAGGCATGTCTCTTTTCCGCTGGCAGTCTTCCTTGCATCCCACTTTGTGGATACTTGACTCCCATGCAATTTAGCTTAATGAGTGAGATAGGAGGCGAAGGTGACTCCTCCACTTTGCTGTCAGGAGAGGGTCTTAATTGTGATTGCTTTGCTGATGTGTGGAGGCAGCAATAATTTAGACTCAGACGGTGTCCTCCTGCTCATTCATCTTTGACTCCTAAAAATACTTGTTGTGTTGCAAGGTCACAAACTGAGCTGGTGGCATGGTTATAGATCAAGCTGCCTTACCTAGTTGGACCATTGGTCAGTACAGCCCAGGTTTCCCTCTCTGATAATGGCTCTGAAGGTCCAGGTTGGGTCCTTTTGCAGTCATTGCCTCCTGAGACCCATTTAACAGGATTAGATGCTGGAAATTGAATCTGTGACCTGGTGCCTACAGAGCCTGTGCTTCTGCACTGAGCTATAGATCCTCTCTGAGACTACAACTCCTAGGATCCCTGATCATTGACCATGCTGACTGGGGATGATGGGAGTTGGAGTCCAACAACATCAGCTGGGACACTAGGCTGGGGAAAGTTGCACTGGTGTGAAGTGCCACACAAAGACAAGGAGCTGGTGCAGGATGAAGCAGAGATGCTCGAAGCCAAAAAGACACAAAATGCTCTTATTAAGTCCAGGTGCTGCTGTTAGGAGGAGAGGCAGTGGGCGTGTGCTCAAAAGATCAAAGGCTTGTTTTAAGTTGCAAAAGACCTTTAATTCTTCAGGAACCATCCCATCGTGCAATCCAGCTCAGAGCGAGCTATGTACACTGCAGCAAACAAGTAATAATCTCTGAAGGGCTAACTATCAGAGTTTCTCATCAAGAACAAATATAAGTGAAACAAGCTGGGGGCGGGGAGGAGAGAGAAAGAAAGAAAGAAAGAAAGAAAGAAAGAAAGAAAGAAAGAAAGAGAAAGATGAGAGATGCATCCTCTTGTCTCCTGGAGTTAGACCCCAAGGCCTGTTTAATATGTGTACGTACAGTATGTACTTTTATAATCAGGGCTTTGTGGGCGATGCAGCTCTGGCCCAGAAGGGAGTATGATAATAATACTGAGCACAGAAAATGGCTTCTTGAAAACCTCAGTCCCACCCCCTTCTTAAAAAAACACAAATTGCAAAGCACGTCTTCTGAACCAAGTTTGTGGACCATACGTGGTGGGATGTCAGAAACTACCTAGGGGTGTGTGTGTGGTGTGGTGTGCAGTAGCGATGGGGGTGGGGAGGTGTACTGTTAGTGCCTGGTGCCGACTCTCCAAGCTTTTCTCATTGCAAGTAGATCAGGATAAACTATGCAGAACAAGACATATATATCAACTTTAATTTACAAAGCTCATCCGGGTCTCAGAATCCTGCATTTCATATAATTGTGGTGTTGGAAGGAATCCAAAGGGTCATCTAGGCTAACCCCTTGCAATGAAGGAATCTCAGCTAATTTCCTGGTACAGTCATACCTCTTGTTACATTTGCTTCAGGTTGTCTTTTCAGGTTGCGTCCTGCGGCGACCCGGAAGTACCGGAAAGGGTTACTTCTGGGTTTCGCCGCTCGCGCATGCGCAGACACGCAAAATGACATCACACACATGCGCAGAAGCGGCGAATCGTGACCCGCGCATGCGCAGATGCAGGTTGCGCTCCTTTCAGGTTGCGAACGGGGCTCCGGAACAGATCCCGTTCGCAACCAGAGGTACCACTGTATAGGATTTTGGTTTTCATATTTTTAAGTACGCATAGTTCATTGTCCTGTGCAACTCCTTTGGACAGCAGCATTTCCTTATCTCATATGTATCCCCTCAGCAACCTTATGTGGTAGGTCACTAGCATAATTCTTGTTTTATTTCCGTGGAGAAACAGGCTAATTTGCTGGAAACGAAGAAGTCCAGAGCAAACCTGGAGTTTTTGTTTGCCAAGTTAAAGCAGAGATAAGAAAAGTTTTATGAAACCTATGAATTACCCCCAGTATCTTCTTCAGCCATCTGTGACAGTCTGCTTCTAGTTACTGTCTCTGACTCTTGGGTTTGCACTGTTCCTGTCCCACACATGAATTGGATGCTGATGTTTGGTTGGATCTCTAATTTCGAGCCCATATCGAAATGTGATGCCCAGCTGGGAAATCTGTGACCCTCTAGATATTGTTGACTACAATCACCATCAGTCCCAGCTAGTTATGGCCAATGGTTGGGTGGGGGATCCTTGGCAGAGGATCATTAGTAGTGCTGTATGCTCATGAGGTTTTGCCTTATGTCCACAAAGACCAGGGCTTTTAGTGTGGTAGCACCTGCCCTTTGGAATGTGCTCCCAATGAACATCAGGTGGGCATTGGCATTTCAACACCCACTGAAGACTCGTTTGTTCACCCAGACTTTCCCTGAGGGTGATTCAGTTGTGTTGATGTACGAGGGGCGTTCATTAAAGATTTCCCCTGACCCACTTCCAGTGATCGTAGGAGGATGAAATTGCGCATACATCTCTCCATAGGTAACGTAGTAATTTGTAGCTCTGAATTCCTAACAGTTTCTCTGTTACGAGTAATGTCTGCACATCATGCAGCGGTCATCAGGTTCTTGTACTTGAAAGGGCGCACACCATGGGAGACATTCGATGAGATGAAAAGGACTTATGGGGAGGATGCTCCATCATATGATGTAGTCAAGCACTGGCATCGTCAGTTCGGTAGAATGGCTCCCATTCCTGGGTGACCACAGTCCTCCATTGATGAAGACACCATCCGGCAAGTGGAGGCCGCCATTTTGGAGGATCGTCGCATAACCTTTCGCCAACTAGCTGCAGATGTCAAGACCAGTGTGGGCTCTGTAGAAAAAATAATCCATGACCATTTGCACATGGGAAAGGTGTCCGCACAGTGGGTTCCTTGGCTGTTGACGCATTTCAAGAAACAGGAATGAGTCAGATGCTCACGGGCTCTTTGGGCCATGTGTCACAAAAACCATGATGACTTCTTCACCAGATTAATTACTCAGGATGAAACATGGGTCCATCATTATGACCCAGAGACTAAATCCCGGTCCAAACAATGGAAGAACTCTGCCTCACCACCTCCAAAGTAGGCACATATCTAACTGTCAGCAAGCAAGGTCATGCTCCCGGTCTTTTGGGACCAGCATGGAGTAGTGATGATGGATTTCCTGGCAAAGGGTACCCAATTGCTGTGACATATTATGCTTCACTGCTGCAGAGATTGCGGAAGGCCATCAAAATTGAGAGGTGTGGTATGCTGACCAAAGGTGTCCGCCTACTGCAGGATAACACCCCGATTCACAACTCGCATGTTGCTCAGACTGAAGCATGGTCCTGTGGCTATGAAATCCTTCCTCACCCCCTCATTCTCCTGACCTCGCACCATCGGACTTCCACCTCTTTCCCACCATGAAGTTATTTTTCAAGGGCAAGCTTTTTCCAGATGAAATGCTGATTTCTGAGGTCATGTTGTGGCTTCTGACGCAACCTGCTGACTTCTACAGACACGAGGTCTCCACAGACTCTTGTTGGTAGCTATGTAGAGAAGGACTAATAACCGTGTCCAGTTTCATTTGTCTCAGTCCATGGGAAGTATGTCAGGGGAAATCTTTAATGAACGCCCCTCGTATTAAGCTGATCTAGCGATTTGTGGTGCCATTATAAATGTAATTTTTATTGCTGATATTGTGCTGTTCACCACAATAATATCTTCCATACCATTGGTATGGCATGGAAAGTTTATAAATACGTAAAATACAGTGGTACCTCGGGTTACAGATGCTTCAGGTTACTGACGCTTCAGGTTACAGACTCTGCTAACCCAGAAATAGTACTTCGGGTTAATAACATTGCTTCAGGATGAGAACAGAAATCGTTCTCCAGCGGCGCGGCAGCAGTGGGAGGCCCCATTAGCTAAAGTGGTGCTTCAGGTTAAGAACAGTTTCAGGTTAAGAACGGACCTCTGGAACGAATTAAGTTCTTAACCAGAGGTACCACTGTAATTATGGAAGTTGTCACTCAACACCACCTGCAGGGTTCTTCATCCCTGTGATAGATTGAACAAGTAGAATTCTGTGTTGACCCATGTTAGAAAGCAGGCGGGGGGGGGGCAGTCACATTAAAATATATTTGAGTATCTTTGTTGGCATCTGTCTGTCTCAGAAGACAATGGAAGAGTGCACCTTCAGGGGTGAAGTCACAGTGCCTGCTGTGGCTTTCGAGACCAATATGGGAGAGACATGTTTTGTTGCAGCTAGGGCAGATGCAAGTGTCTGATACACCATGGCGTTTATTCTGTCTGTGCTCCTCCCAGTGGTCATTCCTTCTCTGGCCACTGCTGTGGATAGACGACCCCTGACTGCTGTCTCCAGGCACTGCAATTGTCTGCAAGGGATTCCCACACAGCAGTTAGTTATTTGAGTATGCACTAAAATAATAATTGCAGAAGTTAAGTAAGGGTATGCTATATTACGTGATTGCACCTCGCGTTTGTTTGCTTTTGAAAAACTACTATTCCAAAACTTTCTCTCAGATATTGCTAGGAACTTTTTATTGATGTGGGAAGCATTACGAAAAACACGATTCCCTCACCCACCCACCCACTACTGCAGTCTGAAGTGACTGTCCCAAATTCTGCTGGCTTCTTCTACTATTGTTCTTTGGAATGTGGAGAATTGATCCATTCAGTGCTCTCCCTACCCCTGCACACATGTTCCAAAATTCTCTATGCCTGTAAACCTAACCTACTTATCCTTTGTTGTATTTGTGACTCTACTGGAAGACAAATGATGATAATATTTAGCATTTATAGAACTAATTTCTAGTGGTTAAAGCACATTACACAACATTATTGGCTTCTCCTTCTATGTATGCACCTAGGTAAAGTATTACAATATTATAATACAGTATTACAAACATCAATAATTTATTGCTCTGTGGAGCCACAGCTTGAATTTGCCTTTCTTTATCCATGGTATAACTATTTCATTAAAGGCAAAATCAAGAGAGGAAGGAAGGTGCCTTTTTAAAATGGGAGAAGCTTTCAGCTTCTGCCTTGGCATTGTCTCCCACATTGGTTTCCTAAGGCCACAAATCTGGTCAAATCTCCAGAAGCACTTTGGATAATGGGTGTGCCTCATTCTAGAGTGTTTGGGACATTTGAAAGAGTATCCCTTCTCCTCCTCCTCCTCCTCCTCCCACCTGCCTGGAGATGAGGCCTTACGCAGTGGTGGTTGGCAGTCAAAAGTACCAATTGGTTCTTGCTGCAGTCTGCTTGCTTGCCCGCCCGCCAGCACGTGGCTTTTAGGTTTACAAACATTGCAGGCTGTGTGTACACCTCCCTGTGAGTCAGCAAACCTCAGCATGGTCCTAGGGCTTGCAGACTGTGGATGAGAAGCTGGAAGACAAGGGAGAGCATTTTCTTGCTTCTTGGACCCAATCCCTGAAATGATGGTGGCACCAAAACCTATCTTGCTCTAAGCAGGTTCCTTCCCTTTTCCTTTTCCTTTTCCTTTTCCTTTTCCTTTTCCTTTTCTTTCCTGTTGATTCATTTGGCTACTTGGGAGACGCAGCAGGAAATCTGTGCAAGTCGTGGTGCTGCCAGAAAGTGTGTGGGATTCTCCTCTGCATAAGTGATTTGTAGAAGCAGACCTCTCACCCCCCCCACCTCTGCTTGCCTGCATGCAGAAGACTATTTAAGTGCCTGCTTTTTGCAAATTTAATCTTAGGTTTTGGAACGGCACACTGGGAATAGAAAAGGACTTAACGCTGGACCAACTGTTATTGCTACATAATGGGCGATATACATTTTCATGTTCAGCCTGCTGTTTGTGTTTAGTAAAAAACAAATTTTCATAAAAGCATTTCGGAAGATGGAAGTGTGTGCTTTTTTGGGCATTGGCTGGGATTTAATTACTTTGGCTATTTTTAAATTTATTTTGTTGCTTTTAGAGTGACTGGAAAAGGGGGCTGGGAGATTGGGGGACAAAGAAGCGGAAGGAGGAAAATGCTTCATATCAGATGAAAATAATGATGCACGGCCAATTCTGGCAAGCAAGGCTACCTAGTAAATTGTGTCCTCTAGAGTCAGCTAATTTAGAAGAGAGGGTGGGCAGGAGGTACCACCGCAATCAAAACACATCGGTTATTTGAAGGGGAGATGTGGGGCGGGTGAGAGTTGTATTGGTTCAGCTTTAGTATGTCAGCAGCAAGCAGAGCTTTCTCCTCCCCCTTCCTTGCCGCTGCATTTGAAGAGGGCCTTTTCCACAAGGGCTATTTTTAGCCACCCGTCTCCAGGCATTAATGGCAAAAAGAGTGACGCCATAGCTCTTGTGCGTGAGCAAGATTTCCCCTGCAGCTCACTCACGTTTGATTCTCTGGCGCTGGGGAGGGGAAGATGAGAGGAGGGTTGTGAAAACTAGATTTGGGGTTTAGCCAGAGATCCTTTTTCGTCTCAATAATGCACCAATATATTCTCTCTCTCTCTCTCTCTCTCTGTGTGTGTGTGTGTGTGTGTGTGTTGCCTGATCTGCTGGAAGAGAAGAATATATTCCTTCCTTAATGGAAACAACATGACTATTGAGAGAGACGCAGAAGAATTTCTCTGGCATCCATTTCTGGAGGCCTCTTAGCCGCATTAATTCTTGAAGCACACTGAATGCATGTTGTTTGATTTACAGTTGTGTTCAGATTTTGGGAGGTTTTCTGTAGTGGGGGCAGCTTTATTGTGAGGCAAGGGGAAGCAACTATCAGAGGTGCTGGATTTTGGAAGTCATGGGCATTGATATGGCTGCGCAAGAACACAGAAGTCCTCCTTTCAGTGGGGCTTACAGAGGGGGTCTTTTTCCTAACTGATTTGTGCCTTGTGTTCATTAGTTGAGGGGAGGTGTCACTTGAATTGGCTAGCTTGGGTACCAAAACCAGGCTGAACCTGTCCTTACATCAGGAACACAGTGTGTTTCTGAACACATGCAAATTAAAACTTGGGTGAGTTTTTGGCAAAGGTCTAGAGACCTTTTTATGAAATATGTGGTCTTTCTTAGAAGCCTGGCATTTGAGGTGCTCTTTAGATTAATTCAATAGACCCATTTTGCTTAGGTCAGCCTTCATGGGTGTAGCCAAGGGGGGCAGGAGGGGACAGCTGCCCCCCAAAATCAATACAAATCTGATGTTTTGGCCCCCTAACAAAAGCCTGCCCCCCTAACAGAATATTTCTCCCCCTAACAAATATCCTGGCTATGCCCATGTCAGCCTTCTTCAGCCTTGTAGGTTCCAGATGTTTTGCATTACACCTTCCATCAGCCCCTGCCAGCAATGCCTAGATCATGTTGAAAAAGCACTTTAAAAAAGCAGGGGGTGGACTTTTTAGCAGCTGTGTGTGTAGCAGAGGCCCACCAATAGCGTTGAAACAACCACCATTGCACGGTGTCAGCCCATTAAACGTTTCCCTTCCCTTCCAGTCTGATATCAAGCAATGACTTGAGATCAAGTTGTTGTGATCTAGTAAATACATCCCATTCATGTGACCTTAAATATGATTCACATGCTTGGAAAGTGGAGTGGAGAAAGTAAACAGGTCTCACTTGACACAACTTGCCCTAAGACAACCTTTGCTAACCTGGTGCCCTCTAGATGTTTTGGACTACAATTCCCATCATGCCCAGCCACCCTGGGCATGCTCCCACACAATACCACATGGTTGTGCTCACTGGGGCTGGTGAGTATTGCTGTCCAAACATATGGATGGCACCAGGTTGGGGGAGGCTGGCTTAGATAGTTACATAGCTTTTGTATAGTGCTTGTCCATATTGCATTACATTTACTCAGTGCCAGAAGTAGGTTCCAGGCCAGTATTTTGGGTAGGATTAACCAGAAGCATGTTTGTTGCTTCTGGCTAGGATATGAAGTGGCAACCTTTGTGTGCCAATGGGCTCTTGCAGATCTGTTGTCCCTCATAAACTTCTGCATTGTCCCAGTCACATGATTTTCATGTGCACATAATCTGATTGCTGTTCACCAAGGTGAAGTGTATATGTGAACCAGTTGAAGATGAGTAAGTAGCAAAATATGTCAAGGTTCCTTTTGCCTTCTCTGTAGCCATGAGATGGTAAATGGAAGTTCAGCGAGCACTGTTCCTATGATATGACATGTGCCTCTCCAAATTCTTGAAAGAAGGCTAATCTATGCAGGCGGGCCAATTATACTAGCTGAGAGAATGCCTCAACTTCTGTACTTCTGATGTGCTTGATTCAGGAGCAAATCTTGTAGTTGCACATGGGCGGGGGATGTCTCATTGGGAAGTGGATTCTGTCATTCAATCCTGGTAGGAACACTCACGAGCAATTTGTGTCAGGAGCCCATTTAAGTGAGATGTTTTCAGGTGTGCACTTCCATGCAAGTCAGACTCAAAGATGACCTGAGCATTGCAAATTTTTGCATTGGTACTGGCCCCAGAGTACTACCCTGTCTAGGAGAGCCCCTCAACTTTAAATTATGGGGTTTGTGCATGGTTTTGGAAGTCATTTGGATCTCTTTTTAAAAGTTTCTTATTTGTCGAAGACTGGAAAGCATTTTGGGGCTCTGCTCCTGAAGGCCCAGGTAGAATTTTATAACTTGGGAGTGTAGGCACACAGACATACATGGCTTGAATGGCAAGTCTGCTGTGAATCACTTTCTACCTACAACTGTCTCAGAGAAGACAACTTTCAGGCAAACTGCTCTTCCTGTTTCCAATAGAAGCCGGCTGTGAAGAGTGCTAACTGGCTGTCTCTTGTGACAGTCATACAGTCCCTTCCCCCTTCCTTTCCTGGAGCTGTGTTTCAAGTAGCGGGAAAACTGGCTTTAGAAAAAAGGTTGGGTGTGAAAGAGCCACACAAATACTTAACTGGATGAGTATGCCAGGCATTGGATTTGGGGGGCAGGGAGGGGAGAGGGACTCCAAAAACCTCTCTGGATCAGCTGGATTTGGAACTGGGGTTGTGCCGTTGTGTGTGTCTGGGGTGATGGGGGAGCAAAGCTGAAAAACATTTCAGGATGCATTTCTGTACATTGGTAGGTACGTCAACTTCAGCCATTTCTAAAGAAGGCTAACAGGACCATTGTGATACAGTAGCCTAGCCTATCAGTTACCACATGATCTAACAGACTCTATGTGGGGCCATTGTTGAAGATTGTTTGGACACCAACATTGGTTCAAGTGGTGTCCCCTTGCCTTTGATGAGAATGACCCAGAGGTATTGCAACACTTGTTTGAAATAGCTTATCATTCAAAATTTTTGGTACTGGCCTTAAAAAGCAGGCCACGGTTCGTGATAGATTAAGGGCTGTTCCCGCCTTGTCTGTGAGCTCTGCAATGCATTGATGTCATCAGGTGAAGAGGTTCTAATCCAGGTACTGACCTTGTTTGAGTCCAGGCTGAAGGACAAGGGCCTTTTCAGTGGTGGCACCCTATGGTCTATTCTTTATGGCGGATCATACAGAAGGTTTCTGTGCTCCGGCTGTATTGGAGGGGGTGGTGGAATACAGTAGAATTTTGGACTACAAGAATATTTTCCCTGAGGGTGGATCTGTTACCGACTGCTTTGCTAATGGTTGTTTTTGGTTGCCCTTCTGCCTTATTTATATTGTTGTTGTGCTTGGATTTTGGGATTTCTGTGTGCTTTCATGGCAGAAGCAGTTTTGAGAACTGAGTGAAGGTGACAGGATATACATTTCAAAATAAAAACAGCAATAAGGATGCCTGGCCCTCTGGACTTGCTACAAATACTATCTGTGCAGTTGTGGTGTCCTCCAGATGTTTTGAACCATACTGGCTAGGGCTGATGGGAGATTCAGTTCAAAACATCTGGAGGGCATCAGAGTGGTGAAGACTGGCTAAGAGGATTGAGAGCTAAACAGTGTGGAAAGTGCACAGCTGCCAGAAGTCTTGGAATGATACGGGAAAGTTTGGGACATGCTAGTAGCCTTTGCATACATTTACCCCTTTGCAGGGGTAGGGGGCTTGCTTCTGGGGAGTGTAACTGCCACACTGCGGGGAAAACCTTGAAAGTGGACCTCTGTAGATGTATACAGTAACTGTGTTCAGAAATGTTACAGATTAAATATTAGGAAATCATTTATTTAAAGCAGTGGTTCCCAAACTGAGTGGTAGTGCCCCCTGCGGGGGAGGGCAATGGGGTTACCTAAAGGGACACTAAGAGGCAAGGGGGTGGCAGGAGGGCACTGGAGGTGTAAATGACTATCAGACTTGAAAAGTTGGTGTCACTGGATCAAGTTCATTAGTTTTGTTGAATTAATTAAATAGTTTTAATTGGATTTTGCATAAATGTGCAATTAATTGAGGTTTTTAATTTTTTTGTGTTATTAACTGCCTTTGTGGACTATGCAAACCATTATTCTGAATAATGCTTTGGATAGGATAGGATAGGATAGGAGGCACAGGGAATGAGTTTATGGAACCAAGAGGACTGTGGCTCAAAAAAGTTTGAGAACCACTGATTTAGAGCGTTTTTACTTTGCTCTTCAAGAATTGTTTGATCCAAGTTTGGAGGCTCTTCTGTTCTTTTGGGGGGGTGTCTGAACTCAGAATTATTGTCATTCAAAGGCCTCCTTACTACTTTTGTTTAATTCTCTCCCTGCCCCCCCATTACTGCTAACCTGGTATAGCCACACTTCCAAGTGTTTGCGTAGCCAGAGGAAGAATTGATGGTTTGTTTTAAGCCATTCATTCCCTTCCCTGAGTAAGTGTTGGAAACATGAGTTCAGAAGCTAAGAGTGCTTCTGCTAGGGGAGACAGCTGGTCTAGATGTAAGGAAGAGGACTGACTCCAAGTCTTTTCATTCCCTTGGAACTTGCTCCATCAAGTTCTGACTCAAACAGCTGCTCCAAGGAGCCTGGAAAGCCACAGGGTTTGTCCTGCCAGCTGGCTTCCCCTGGACATACTTGCTTCTGCTGTGCGCTGTGTGGATACTATGATGGGGAGTTCAAGTTACGGTTTGGGCACCAGCATGAATGGCTGTGTTCTTGTAGACACTTCCTTTCCCTGGCAGCCCTTTTCTCTGACATCGTGGTTTCACTTTGTCACCGGAAGGTTTGTGCGCATGATACAATTTACAGCAAGACACATTGGGAACTTCCTTACTGAGCTGAAATAAGGGTCCATCTATCCACCTGAGTATCATTTGGCTCCCAGCTACTTTCCAAGTTTGTGGCAGAGGGGCTTTCTTGTTGGAAAATTAGGGGCCTTGCGTGGAGACCACCAAAGATGTTTTGCATGAGCATGCTTAGGGGTGGCATTCAGCTAATGAGCCCCACCAGTGGAAGCGTACACAAGGACTTCCGCTAGCGTAACAGGACTCCCCTCCACCACCTCCTACAAACTGGCTCTGGGGAGAGAACCCCCCAAACAGCATGCAGGAGGAGAAGATGGGAGATGATTCTGTTAGGCAAACAGAAATGACAGGCAGAGCAATCTGCTTAGCAGATTAGACTGAATTCCTCCTAACTTCTGTAGACTGTTGTTCTTGAGGCTGGGCTGGCTTTGTGGGCAGCCTCAACACTGGTGTTAGCCGATTAGAAGAGCCTTGCTGGATATTAGCAAAGGTCCATCTAGTCAAGCACCCGGGAGCAGGGGCTGAAGGCAACATCTATATGCCAGCACTGCTCTCCAGGTAATAAAAGACCTGCTGCTTCCACTTCTTGAGGTCGTGTGTAGCCGTGTGTGATAGACCTCCTCTGCCAAGAATTTGTCTGATCCCTTTTTTGAAAGGAGGCAATGGTGGCCACCAATCTAGATGGCTTTAAAGAATGATTAGACAAATTCATAAAGGAGAGGGCTATTGATGGCTACTAGCCAGGATGGCTCTGCTCTGCCTCTGCAGATGGAGGCAGCCAGGCTTCTGAATACCAGTTGCTGGAAGCCGCAGGAGGGGAGAATGCTCTTGTGTTCAAATCCTGCTTGTGAGTTTCCCACCAGTGTCAGAAACTAAAATATATAAGCTAGTCACCAAATGGCACCTTAAACCTAGGTTCCAGTTCTCACAATGAAATGCCGGGGTGCCTTTTTTACAATGAAAAGTATTATTATTATTATTATTATTATTATTATTATATTAATTCCATTTCCATGCCACTTTAAATTTTAAAGAAAAAATCTTAATGTGCTTTACAATGCATTAAAACACCAAAAGAAACAACCCAGAATAAAAGAAATTCTGCAAGCTTCAAGGAAAATATTTCAGATCCTTCTCCAAGTGACATTTTGCTTTCCCCATATTTATTTACCTACTTATTTTATATAGCTTCCCCATAGCAGAAGTAGTCTAGGAGTGTGGTGGAGTCTCCTTCTTTGGAGGTCTTTAAACAGAGGCTTGACCACCATATGTCAGGAGTGCTCTGATGGTGTTTCCTGCTTGGCAGGGGGTTGGACTCGATGGCCCTTGTGGTCTCTTCCAACTCTATGATTCTAGGAGGCCAGTGTGGCATAGTGGTTAGTGTCTTGGACCAGGATCTGGGAGATCAGGGTTCAAATCCTCACTCAGTCATGAAGCTCACTGAGTGACCTTGGGCCAGTCTCAGCCTCTTAACCTACCTCACTGGGTTGTTGTAGGGATTAAATGAGGAGGGGGTTGAACCATGTCCTCCTTGGAGAAAAAGGTGGGATATAAATGTAATAAATAAGCTGTGGCTCACTAGCTTAAGAAAGCTGGTGGGGCTTGCCAGATGGAGATGTCAGCTACCAGCCTGGCATCCAGAGAGCTCCATGTGGTTGCAGTTGACCCACGCCAGGGACACAACCCGCCTGGTGTTTCGTTTGGCTACTGGGAGAACAGGATGCTGGTCTAGATGGACCATTGGCTTGATCCAACCGACTCCTCTTACGTTTTAAGCCGTCTAAGCCAGGGGTGATTCCCACATTTTTCAGTTCTGTAAATTAATTATGTAATCATAGAATCGCAGATTTGGAAGGGGCCTCAAGAATCACCTTGTCTAATCCTCTGCAATGCAGGAATCTCAACTACAGCATCCACGACAGATGGCCATCCAACCTCTGCTTAAAAATCTTCAAGGAAGGAGAGCCCACAAAACTCCCAGGGGAGACCATTCCGCTGTCAAACAGCTCTCACTGCCAGAAAGTTCTTCTTCATGTTTAGCTGGAATCTCCTTTCTTGTCCTGTTTTGACAATGGAATGGACTCTCTCAGAAAGTTGTGGTCTCATTCATCAGAGGTTTTTAAAAGGAGGTTTGATGTCCATCTCTCAGGGAGTCTTTAGCCGTGATTATTGCATTGTAGGGGGTTGGACTGGGATTTCTTCCGACACTATGATTTTATGAGGATGGTCTTACTTTTGTCTGCTGTGGATCTCCTGCCGGTCAGATTCCTATGATGTTCCTGAGTTCCAGTATTATGGGAGAAAGAGAAGAAAAACTCTGTACACTTTCCTCTCTGCCTTGTATTAGCTGTCAATCTCTGTCATGCCCCCACTTAAGTTGCTTGGGGTGTGTGTGGTGTTGATAATGCTGAGTCTCTGCACAACTGGCTGGATCCATACGATAGGCAGCTTACAGAATCATAGAATTGTAGGGACCCCAAAGGTCATCTTCAGTGCAGGAATCACAGCTAAAGAATCATTGGCAGGTAGTCATTCAAGCTTACAGATGTTGTAGCTCTTAAGTTGGCGGATGCGGTTTTTTACAGCCTTCAGCTCCATAGGGATTGGGACTCAGCCTCTTGTGTTGCAATCTATTTTTTTAAAATAGTTTTTATTGGTTTTTCGATATATCCATCCTTTAGGAAATATCTCTCTAACAATTTCCCATTTTTTCCTGCCCCCCTCCCATGGACTTCCCTCATACTTCCACTTTGTTTTACTTTCAATTTATTCATCCTGCGTATTATTTCCCCAATTTATTCCTAATACATTTACATCTATTTTTATTTTATTTAATACATTTGTGAATGTTTACTCAAACCCTGCCAATGAGTCCCAACTCTTCATGTTGTCTCTTCATATATATTGTAAATGGTTCCCATTCTCTTTTAAAGTCTTTGTTGTCCTTTTCATGTAAATTTGCTAATTCTGCATATTCCATGAGTTTCTCTTGCCATTGTTCTTTCATTGGGGTTTCTTCTGTCTTCCAAGCTTGTGCTAGTAAAATTCTTGCCACTGTTGTTGCATACATAAATAATTTCCAGTTGTCTTTTCTTATTTCCTGATCTAAAATCCCTAGGAGGAATGCTTCTGGTTTCTTAACATAAGTCTTTTAAAACATTTTTTTCAATTCATTATATATCATTTCCCAATAATTTCTGACCTTTTTGCATTCCCACCACATATGATAAAATGTACCATCTTTTTCTTTACGTCTCCAACAAGTCTTATACATTTTAGCCACTTTCTCTGCTGTAATGTACCATCTCCAATGGTACCTCGGGTTAAGTACTTAATTCGTTCCGGAGGTCTGTTCTTAACCTGAAACTGTTCTTAACCTGAAACACCACTTTAGCTAATGGGGCCTCCCGCTGCCGCTGCACTGCCGGAGCACGATTTCTGTTCTCATCCTGAAGCAAAGTTCTTAACCTGAAGCACTATTTCTGGGTTAGCGGAGTCTGTAACCTGAAGCGTATGTAACCTGAAGCGTATGTAACCCGAGGTATCGCTGTATACATCATTTTCATATAATTCTCTTTCAATAAAATACAGTCTGTAAATTTTAAATTTAGCTTCCCCATCCTTTCCCAATCTTCAAATTGTATATTATGACCTAAATCCTGAGCCCACTTTATTTCTGCTGACTTAACCATCTCATCCAATGTTTCCCCATATAGCAGGAGATTATACCTCTTTTTAAGTAATTTTGTATCACTCTCGATAATTTCTTTTTGAAAGTTTGAAACTATGTAACCAAAACCTCTCTTATTATCCTCTTTGAACTGTTCATTCAACTGTCTATGATGTAGCCAACTTTGCAAAAAGACTTTAAATTCTTCATACTCTTTTAGTATACCCTTCCACCCCCCCATCAATAATTCTCTAAATGTCAGATGGCTGCCTCTCCTGTTGAGTGGTTTTAATGCTAATGCCTCCACTGGAGAAAGCCACCATGGGGTTTGGGTTCTTATTATATGGTTATGAAAGCCTTTACGTTTTTTTATCTTTCCCATACCATAAATATGAATGCCAACCAGATCTATTATTGTGCTCTTCCAAGTCCAGTATTTCATCTTTCTCTAATTTAATCCTGTCCCAAATCCACGTAATACGTGCTGCTTCATAGTACGGTTTAAAGTCTGGGAGGGAAAAGCCTCCTCTGTCTTTTATATCTATAAGCATTTTACATTTTATTCTAGGCTTTTTCCCATTCCAGACAAACTTAGAAATATTTTTTTGCCGGTTTCTGAAGCAGACAAGATTACTTATTTTCGGTATTGACTGAAATAAAAATAACATCTTTGGTAGTGCATTCATCTTTATCACTGCTATCCTTTCCATCAGGGGAAAGGTCCATTCTGTTCCAAATCTCCAAATCTTTCTTGATCTCATTACAAACTTTCTCTTGTGTTGCTGCAATCTAAAGATTTTGGAACTGATGACCAAGTGAGATGTGACATTGGGAACCTAGAGTGGTTTGTGAAACATTCAGATGAAACAACACACAATACAAATGGCAGTTATTTAAAATATTTATTATTCATTGAACCCAGCATATTCACAGTGAAAACTCTCCAACATCTCAACAGTGACATAAAGGAAAACCAAGGGACATTTATGTATCCATTTCCCCCTAAAGGTCTGGGTAAAAACATGTGACTTGACACCGGAAGATTGTCAGTGAAAGAGACAAAGAATACCTCCAGAGGATGAGAGCTCCACAGTTGGAATGCCACCACATTGCCACACAATGGACAATGCCTATTTACAGAACCACAAGAACCGTTTCCTACATAGATCTCAAGGCTTTGAACCCTCCAGGGAGAGAATGGGCCAAGATGAAAAGAACAAGCACAAATCCTTCCATTTTAATACACAGAATGTATTATAAATATATGAAGAGCAGTGGAGGACCTTGTATCAGTGCTCTCCTGTCAGGGACTGGCAGGAGTGTGCACCAGGGGAATGGGGGTGGGAGAGGGTGCCAGTGATTTGTGGAGAAAAGAGTTGGAGGCAGGGGATGCTTCAGAGCTGGAGGTTGAGCACAAGATGGGTTGGAGGAAGAGGCAGGTCAGGCAAGAGGCAAGCCAGGTGCTTCCCCAACCTCTCCTGCACCACTTTCTCCCAGAATCAGGAGGGGACTGAAAAGGGATGCGCAGAGGAAGTTTTCACATAGGCGCGGTCTCTGGCTGCATGTGCGCAGCCCATCTGGGGAAGATACATAAGCTGGTGGAAGGGTGGTGGTCCCCTGTTGCTGGAAGAAGAGGCGAGGGGGGCCAGCCGCTGGGCTTACCTTCCCAGGGGCGTGATCCGTAGCGCATTTCATCTCAGTGGGCTTGAGCAGTTCTTCAGGCGCTGAACAAGTGGCCTTGAAACAATTTCTGCTTACTTGTGAGTAAGCGTGTCTTTAGGGCTATTAGTGTCCGTGCATCCAGCGGCAGGGCAGGGATGCGGCGTCTCCTGGCGGTCTCCTGGCGGCGCAGGTGGAAGCTGGCAGGGAAGGGAAAGCGGACTCCTGAGTGGGCGAGGTGGAAGGAGCTGGCGGTGGGCACTGCCTTGTCTCCTTGCGACAGGAAGAAGAGACCGAGCGGTGGCGGCTCTGCCAATCAAACGCTGCTGAGCTAAACCAGGCGCGGCGATTGAGTGGCAGAGCCGCCGCCGCTTCTTCCTTCCTTCACCATCGCTGGGAGTCTCGGCTTTGTGGCGTGGGGTGCGGGCTGGATTTACGACCCAGGTGGGCCTGCTCTGGCCTACAGGCCTTAGTTTGCCGACCCCTAGTGTTGACCTAGGAATAGTAGCCTAGATGCTAGATTGGTGTGCATAGGCATCCAGAGCTGTAGAAGCAACTGTGTTATCTTTGACAGTCAAGAGTTAACATTCCTTTGGCTGTGAAGTGCCTAAGACTCCCCCCCCCTCCAAAAAAGCAGTTTGGAAGGCACTTTTGAGTGGAGAAAGAATAAGAGGGAGCAGACTTAGCAGCCCCTCCTTTCTACTGTTCTTTTTCTTCCAATTAAGGATGCATTTTCACTACAAAATAAAATAAAATTGGAAGACTGACATGCACTCATGCACCATCTATATACTTTGGCCCTGAACCTATGCCCTTTCCATTACAGATAGTCTCTTCTTGTTATGGTATATATAGGAAACACCATTTTAAAGAGGGGTTTCTCCTTTACGCACAAAGAAAAATACAGAGAAATTGTGCAAAGTAAGAAATCATGCCATAGAATTTTGCTTTTCTTGCCATAGAATTTGAGCAGCAGGCATGCAGCAACTTAAGAGAGAGAGAGTGTGTGTACACATGCAAGCTCCACACCATCCTGCCCTGGGACAAGGAGGAAACCAAGATTAGATTAGGCTCCTGTCCTGCAGACGTGCAGGCAGGCCTTGCAGCGGGTCATGTGGGAAGAGCACTGACTCATGTCCAGCATCATGAAACTTCCAGTATTCTCTGGGTTTCACTGGAGCACATCTCTTGCCCAAGAGAAGATGCCCAGCATGTGAACTGGGCACAGCAGTGACTGCACTCTTTGGGGCTTGGGGCTCTGGCCAGTTGCTTGTGCTGCTTTGAGTTTCCCAGACTTTTTTTGGAAAGCATACAGGACAGATTAACCACAGGTGTCTGAAAACGTTCTCCCTGTGCTATGGTGACAAGCAAAGGGGACATGAAGCCCTGTGCTTTTAGTGATTATACTCTGTTTGCAGTTACTTTTCCTCAGGTATCTTCAGAACATTGTCCTCCTTCCATTTGCACAGTTCTGAGGTTGCGTTCTTGCTGGACAGTTCGTGAACTTGCAAGCCTTCTGTGGTGAGAGCATGGTGGGGCCAGCGAAGCAAATTGAACAGTTCAAGGAGTGTGTCCATCTTAGAAACAGGATTGCTGCTCATGGCCTTCATTCCACCTTCCATGAACAATGTGAAGAACCATGGGCAAAGAAAGCTAACACAAAGGAGTTCAGTGGAGCACACCGCAGGCCTCAGGCTGGGAAAGTCATCGCACTGATAAATTCTTATCAGCATCATATTTGATTAGTGTTGGATACAAATTGTCCAGCAAGAACCTTCAGGGTACCTGAGGCAGATCCCAAAATGGTGCCCCCTTCCCTGCCTCAACATGAGGAATAAAGGGGGGGAGGAGAGAAAAGATTGACACTGGGATCTGCTGCCCCTGTGGGATCCTGCCACTAAGGCAGATGTCTCACTTTTCTGTGGCAGGAGGGGGAGGAGGAGCCAGCCACTGGAGCTGTGCCATGCTTGCCTCCATGCTTCGCCTTTGCACTTTTTGGTCATTGAGGGCCCCCAGCCCCTATTCCAATAATATTTGGAGTGGTGGCCAAAAGGGCTCAGCCCCCCGGAGCTGGCGCCCTTGTGTGTGGCTAGTTCTTCTTACATAGCTTCTGTTTCTGGGAAAGATCCTGTTGGGTTCCCCCCGCCCCAATGGTTAAACCCACAGCCCTTGATTTGCCTCCCATCTACAGTCCTCATAGTGGCTTATTTTCATTTGCCTCTTGAGTCTCTTGCTTGCTGCTTGTCTGAGTGTAATATCAAAACCGGCTGGTGCAGTCCCAGCCCACTATAATGTTTAATTTCCCTTTGTTTTCTTTTGGGGAGTTGGCAGGTATGCTCTTTGGCTCTTTAAAGACTCAGAACCTGCTGAGGCAGCTCTCTCCCTCTCCCTCCCTCCCTCTCTCTCTCTCTGTGTGTGATTCAGTATTTGCATGTGCCCTTAAAAAAGTAAAATAAATAAATAAGTGAGCTATTAACAGACTTAGTTCAGCCTCAGAGCTGTGGTTCCAAGGTTGCTCCTGATTAGAGCCATGTGGTGAAGGAGGGGATTGTTTCAAGGCCACATAGCCAAGCCCTTTCACTCACTACCATAGCCAAGTCCTTCCAGAGTTCTCAAGACGGGTTTGTGTGCAAATGTAGGAAACAGCTCTTAAAATACCTTTTAGCAACACTGACACTTCAGTAGAAGACCAGAAATATTTATTCAGAGGATTGTAGAAGATTTGGGGGAGGGGGGTGGAGCTCCGGAATTGGAGCATGTACACACACATCTCATTTTTGTCTTTCTTAGGCAGGTTTTGCCTGTTTGTGTTCTTTCAAGCCAATTGTGAAATGGGAGCAGGCCGCCTGCTTGGCTTTTAAATCAGGGCAGGGATAATCAGTAAATAAGTGAATGCTTTTACATGATAAATACAGCACATGGAACAATGCTTTTAGCTTGGTTGTGTATGTATGTGTTTGTGGTTCTCTTTCGTATGTGAACTAGGGTGTCAGAAGAACGTCTCTAATTTTATCTGTCAAAAGCTGAAGGATTGGCCTCTGAATAATTGGGTTTGTGCACCTCATTCATTCATTCATTGACTGGGGGTTTGAAATGGTTAAGATACTTCACAGTCATAGAATCATATAGTTGGAAGGGACCTCAAGGGTCCTCTAGTCTAACCCCTGCAATGCAGGAATCTCAACTAAAGCACCCAACCTCTGCTCAAAATCCTCCAAGGAGAGTCCACCACCTTCTCCATTCCACAGTCGAACAGCTCTTACTGTCATAAGGTTCTTCCTGATGTTTAGTTGGAATCTCCTTTCTAGTAATGAGCTTCAACTTCATATAATTGTTGTCTTTTAGAACCATATGGATATGTGACATTTATTCTGGCCCTTCAAGATGGGGGATTCAGAATGTGCTCCGAAATGGTTAAAGAGATATTCCCGGTCTGAGCCCTATATTGTATGAGATAGCAGCACTTTTTGCACCTTACAGTTAATAATAGAGGCATGATACTTCCCTCCTAACGGAGCACGAACATAGCGTAGAACAAGATTTGAGAAAGGGGCATTTGCAGTAGCAGCCTGTACTGTACACGTGCGCTCAAAAGCTTCACTTACTAGAGTGTTATAGGATAGGTAGCCTTTGATGCGTAACAACTTGACGCTTTGATGCAACGAAAACTTCGATTGGCTTCTAATTGGCTGCAGTGGGAAAACGTGTCACTCCCATAGCGTGATGACTAACACTTCCCCCTTGCTGTCCTTAAACTTGGCGCTTCCCACCAGCAGCGAGGAACTGAGCCCGGAGTCGTGTGACCCAGGACCGCATGCCCCATGAAACGGGGTTGGAGATGCGACCATGTGATGTAGAGGAGGAGCAATGTCTCTGCAGTACTGGGGACTTCTGGATCGCGTCAGAGGGATCATTTATGAAAGAGAGACCGGGGATGGGAGGCAGGTTCTCCACTGCGCTTACCTTGGAAGGGATTTCGTTAGGATGAGACGATGCTCTGACGTCAGACTTGTAGTGCTTGGATGGGGGGGGGGAGGGAGCTGCAATTGGCCACAGCCATGTTTCCGCGCTTCTGTTGCAGCGAGCGCAACTGGTTCCTTTTAACAGAACGGTCAGGAGGGTCATCTGAGGTAGTTTTGTAGATGTCTGCAGTAGGAAAACACAGCACTTGCAAGACGCAGTGCTTTGAAGAGTGGGCGACTTCTTGTACATACGTCAGTTTGTGGAATTAGATTTTATTCTTTTAAAAAATACATATTTTCAAAAGACCTTTTGGAAAGGTGAAGGCCTTCCTCCTCCAAGCCTGCTGGGGTGTGGCTTCCCCCACCCCTTCCAGGGGGGAAAAGTCTCTTCCTGTCTCCTGCAGCAATCCAGTCCTCTCTGACTCTACGCAGCACTGCAGCCATCCTGGGGATGTACGTGCAATGTGCAGGAGGGATAATGGCCCCCACAGCTGTTCGGAGAGGGGAGGGGGAGGTCTGTGTAGGCTGAATAACTAGATCACTGTTACCTCCTCTGCAATCGGTCTTCAGTTGTGGCATATCTCATTTTCCTCGGGATTCCTCCATGCTTTGCTTTTCTTCTCCTTCGCCGTATTTGGTTCTCTCTTGGCGAATTCTGGAAATGTAAGTGCTTCCTTGTGCTGTTTTCCCCTCTTCTCCCCCTCTCCTCTCTTGCCTGCAGTTTTCCAAGATGTCTGTCTGACTCCTTCTTTGTGTTCGCTGGTGAAGCGATTGACTGGTTTGTTCTTTGCACAGAGCACTTAGCCAAAGGCAGCTTTTTCTGCACACAGGATGGGCTGCCCTCTTGTAAGCCGAGTTCACAAATCTGGTGTGTAGGGCAGCAAACACACATGTCATTTTTAACAAACAGGATTTGCAGCACTGTAGCTAAACCGGAGGAGAAAATTGGGGCACCATTAGGGGAGGCTGAGTGCACTTTGGAAGCCCCGTGAAACGCGAACCTTTTGATGCCTCTGTCAACATTTTGCTTGCTGTTTCTGAATCATGGCAGTGCCGCTGTGCAGAAGGGGTTGAGGCATGAAAATCTGCAGACAGAGCCCAGAGAGTGAATTGTGCCGAGTATGTAGGGAGGCAGATGCAGTTCGTGGTGTGGAGGTTACTCTGTCATTTTGGTTTATTGCTTTTTTTGCACCTTGCAGCTTTGCAGTGGAGTTTTCCCATAATTGCATCAAACCACAAATGGCTGCTAACTTTTTGAAGTTGGATTTGAAACCTTTGCCAAAATCCTTGAGGTCATTTTCCCTTTAATGTCGGGAGTTCTTTACATTTTTTGTTTTAAATTCTAAAAGAATGTAAGCCTTTTGTGTTGGGGGTGGGGTGGGAAATATGTGATCCCCCTCCCCACTTTGATTTTCCTCTTGTATTGCTATTCCTTCCCCCCAAGCCACGGTGAGGTGTGGTGGGGAAAATGTTTTGTTTTAAAGCATTAGGATGACTTTGTATTTGGGGTGCTGCTTCCTCCAGGAACATTTAAGCAAGGGAGTGCATGCCACATAAATGATCCTTGCTCTGGGACCAGCATGTCCTCCAGGAGATCTTTGTTTGCAGAGGAGGAGAGGAAACCAAAGGGTTTGTTCGGATCATGGAGTTTTTGCAAGGGAGCTGGGTGGGAGGGGGATGAATGCACAAAAGGCTCTGGCAGACCCTGCTGCTACTGCTGTGCTGGGAAAGAACAAAGGAATGGATTGGAAAACACAGGAATGGGTTAACAAAAATGGGCAAATTTAATCTGCAAAAAAATAATACTTGTAAAAATCATCAGCATTCCATAAAAGCTGGTGTATTTATCTAGCATTTCAGAAGTTGGCCAGCCTAAGTTAGATTGTTGTGATTTCAGGATAAGGTAAACTTGCCCCAGCTTGTTGCCAAGACTGGACTCAAATTTGCTGCTTCTTTTTTTAACATGGGCTGCAAGCATAATTGGGGATGCATTTTATTTCTGCTCCTCCTGCTTCTTGAGGGAGGAATTTACTTTGCAACCTGGTGTTTGTCCACATGCAGTTGCACCTGAATGTTGGAAGATTCAGGACAGCTGAAAAAAACAAACTTCTTCATGCAGCACAGAGTTAAACTGTAGAACTGACTCCCATAGGAGGCAGTGATGGCCGCCAATCTAGATGGCTTTAAAAGAGGATTAGACAAATTCATGGAGGAGGAGAAGGCTATTGATAGCTACTAGCCATGATGGTTACACTCTGCCTCCACAGTCAGAGGCGTATGCTTTTAAATACCAGTTGCTGGAAACCATAGGAGGGGAGGGGACTCTTGCATTTGGGCCCTGCTTGTGGGTTTCCCACAGGCATCTGGTTGGCCACTGTGAGAACAGGATGCTGGACTAGATGGGCCAATGGTCCTATCCAACAGTCTCTTCATGTGTTCTTTAATCAGGTACACTGCCACTGAACAATGTCTCTTCCCCTGAACACTTTTGAGGTGTAGACACACGTGCTCCCACTCCCAACACGTCATATAAGCACTGGGCAATGGGCTTTGTGGGGTGGTAAATGCTTCCCTCTGTGAGAGAGTCTTCCTGGACCCACTTAAAGAAGCGGTTATTAAACTGCTTCTTAAAAAAAACATCTTTGGACCTGGCCATTATGGCCAATTATCATCCAGTCTCAAATCTTCCATACTTGGGCAAGGTGGGTGGTCACTTGAACAACTCCAGGCACATCTGGAGGATGCAGACCATTTGGACCCCTTCCAGTCAGGGTTCAGGCCTCATCATGGGACTGAAACTGCCTTGGTTGTACTGGTTGATGATCTCCAGCGGGCTAGGGACAGAGGTAAAAGCTGTTTCTTAGTTCTGCTGGATCTCTCATCAGCGGCTTTTGATACCATTAACCATGGTATCCTTCTGGATTGTCTAGGGGGGTTGGGAGCTGGGGGTGCTGTTATGCTGTGGTTCTGCTCCTTTCTCCTGTGCCATGTCCAGAAAGTGGTGTTGGGACCCCTGGGCACTCATTTGTGGGGTGCCTTAGGGCTCTGTCCACTCCCCCATGCTTTTAAACATCTATATGAAGCTGCTGGGAGAAATCATCAGGGGGTTTGGGCTAGGTGTTCACCTATATGTGGATGATACCCAGCTCTACCTCTCCTTTAAATTGGAACCAGTGCAGGCGGTGAATGTCCTGTGTGAGTGTCTGGAGGTGGTTGGAGGATGGGTGGTGGCTAATGGATTGAGAATGAATCCCGACAAGACAGAAATATTATTTTGGGGGACAGAGGGTGGGTGGGTGTGGAGGACTCCCTGGTCCTGAATGGGGTAACTGTGCTCCTGAAGGACCAGGTGCACAGCCCGGGAGTCATTTTGGACTCACAGCTGTCCATGGAGGTACAGGTTTATTCTGTGTCCAGGGCAGCTGTCTACTAGCTCCATCTGGTATGCAGGCTGAGACCCTACCTGCCTGTGCACTGTCTCGCCAGAGTGGTGCATGCTCTGATTATCTCCCACTTGGGCTACTGCAGTTCACTCTACGTGGGACTGCCTTTGAAAGTGACTCAGAAACTACAACTGATCCAGAATGCGGCAGCTAGACTGGTGACTGGGAGCAGCTGCCGAGACCATATAACACCGGTCCTGAAAGACCTACATTGACTCCCAGTATGTTTCCGTGCACAATTCAAAGTGTTGGTGCTGACCTTTGAAGCCCTAAAAACCCAGTATACCTGAAGGAGTGTCTCCACCCCCATTGTTCAGCCCAGACTCTGAGGTCCAGCTCTGAGGGCCTACTGGCAGTTCCCTCACTCTGATTATGTGAAGCTACAGGGAGCCAGGCAGAGGGCCTTCTTGGTAGTGGTGCCCACCCTGTGGTACACCCTCCCATCAGATGTCAAGGAGATGAGTAATTATATAACCTTCAAGAGACATCTGAAGGCAGCCCTACAGTGGCCAGTTGCTCTCTCTTGCCAGTTGCTCTCTCTTCCTCCCTGTGTGTGGTGGTGAGGATTGTGCTGAGAGAGAGAGATGGTGGCTGTTGTTGTCTGGGCCAGAGGGAGAAAGTGAGTAGCCAGTGAGCAGCAGCCATAGTGAATGGTGTGCCCCTTGCTGGGTTTGGGCCCTGGCAGGTACTGCCTAATGATACCAGTTGCTGGCAGGTTTGTTCCTGGAATAGTTCACCTACATGAACACCCCCATGACTTTTCTCGGAAGTCTTTGACACATAATAATAATCATATTTGGCACAGTTATTTGTCTCTGCAACCCACTGAAACCTTTAAAAAGTCCATGTAGCTGTAACCAGTGGGCATTCTTTCCCTTCCTTGATCTCCTATCCTTTCCTTTGTCAAGTTTTAAATATACGTTCTGCAAGGTTAGGACCTGTTTTCTTTGCACAGTAACTTTGATGGTGTGGTATAAATAAAGTTGATCCCAAATAGCATTTTGGGTTCACAGGGTGGGAGAGAGGTTGGATTTGTACCTCATAAGAAGAGCCTGCTGGATGAAGCCAGTGGCCCATCTAGTCCAGCATCCTGTTCTCACAGTGGCCAACCAGATGCCTGTGAGAAACCCATGAGCAGGATTTGAGCACAAGAGCACTCTTCCCTCCTGTGGTTTCCAGCAACCGGAATTCAGAAGCACTGCTGCCTCCAGCTGTGGAGGTAGAGCATCGCCAACATTGCTAATAGCTATTAATAGCCCTCCATCAATTTGTCCAGTCCTCTTTAAAAGCCATCTAAATCACTGGCCATCACTGCCTCCTGTGGGAGTGAGTTCCATAGTTTAACCATGTGCTTACTACTCCCAAAACCACATATCCTCATTCCTCTCTTGTCCCCTGGATAATCTTCTCTCAGCTCTCCTTCCTTCATGCCCCAAAGGCCAACTCACAGCCCACCTTTTAAATCTGGCACCTACATGAATTGCTTCACCAACCCAGTGAATAAGCTGCATGGAAAGAATTAGAAATATCAGCTCAGCTAGAATTTCTCCAGATTAATAATACTAGAACAATATGGTGGCTGAGGCAGCACAGTCAGGCAAACAAGCAAACAAACAAACAAACAATACTAGGTAGTTATATATTTTATTCTATTAATAAGTTTCTATACCACCCTTCACCCAAACTGGTCACAGAGTGGTTTACAAAAACAAACATAATAAATGGAAACATTAAAACATTCTCATAAATTCTAGAAGTAGCATAGTTAGAAACACCATAAAAATTACTTGACCCCATCAGCCACTGAAAGCCTGGTGAAAAATATGGAGTTTTGATCTGGTGTCTGAAAGAATACAAAGCTACACACCTCTGTGGCGAGGTCACTCTACCACCAAAAAGGCTGTCCCAGAGATGCCTATACCACATACCTTTTTTTATCTCGGAAACACCAGGAGAGTCTCTCCCACTGATCTCAAAACATGGCTTGTGTGATAGGGGAGAAGATTTTCTCTCAGATGTTTCTTCCCCAGGCTTAATCCGGGCTTTGAATGGCAACATAAGCACCTTGAATTGGGCCTGCTTGGCTTGGGAACTGAAGGAATCAAGCAAAACTAGGAATGGCAGGGGAAAAAGTTGTGGGCTGGACAGTTTGTAGCTGGTTGACTGGCTGAATCCAAAGAGTGCTCACTAATGGTTCCTTGTCATCCTGGAAAGAAGCGACAAGTGGGGTGCCACAAAGTTCTGCTCTGAGCCCATTGTTGTTCAACGTCTTTATGAACAACTTGGGTTGTATTGTGGGGATGATCATCATATTTGCAATTGACACCAAACTAGGATGAGTAGCTAATGCTGCAGAAGACAGAATCAAGATTCAAGATGACTTTAACAGATTGGAGAACTGGGCCAAAACTAACAAAATGAATTTCAGTAGGGGCAAATGTAGGGTTCTACACTTAGACAGTAGGAACCAGCTGCACAGATATAAGATGGGGGACACCTGGCTTGCCAGTAGTTCATGTGAAAAGGCTCTAGAGGTCTTAATAGACCACACACTTAACTTGAGTCAACTGTGTGATTCAGCGGCAGAAAAAAAGCTAGCACTATTCTAGGCTGCATCAACAGAAGTCTAATGTCCAGATCAAGGAAAGTAATAGTACCACTGTATTCTGCCTTGGTTAGACCACACCTGGAATACTGTGTCCAGTTCTGGGCACCACAATTTAAGAAGGATATTGACAAGCTGGAAGGTGTGCAGAGGATGTCGACCAAGATGATCAAGGGTCTGGAAACCAAGTCTTATGATGAAGAATGGTATGTTTAGCCTGGAAAAAAGGAGACCGAGAGGAGATATGAGAGCCTTCTTCAAATATCTCAAGGGCTGTCACATGGAAGATGGAGCAAGCTTGTTTTATCCAATGGCATCAAGCTACAAGAAAGGAGATTCTGACTAAATATTAGGAAGGACTTTCTGACAGAGCTGTTCAACAGTGGAACAGACTCCCTCAGGTTTTGGAGGTTTTTAAGCAGAGGTTGGGTGGCCATCTGTCATGGATTCTTTCGTTGAAATTCCTGCATTCCAGGGAGTGGGACTAGATGACCATTTATATCCTTTCCAATTCTATAATTCTATGATTCTTTGAATCATGAATACAGAGGGAAACCTTTCCTACATCTACACAGGCTCATTTCAGACATAGATCAGGGAACTTAACTTGATTCACTGTGATAAAGGAACTGATAAACTATGGCTTGTGTTGGGCTGGTAAACCAGAATCAGAAACCAGTGTTTGAATTACGCTCACACTGTGGTTTGGTGTGGTGTCTGAATTGGAAAAGCAGTCATGGGACTGCTAAACAGAAGAGAGCAGACAATAATATATTCTGTAGTAGATGATACATAACATATCACGTTCAAGGCACTGAACATACATTATCATGTTATGAAAACAGTGGTGTGAGGTAGAGATCTGTATTACTAGTCCTAGATGGCAGATGGTCAGGGTTCCACAGTATTTGACTGTGGGAGCCAAGCCACAAACTGCAGCTATCAGGATGCTGCTTTTCCACTGTCTTTGTATCTCTGCTCAGTGTCAGCCACTACGCTACCTCAGTTCTCTTACAGCTGAGATTTTCAACCTTTTTGAGTCCATGGCTCCTTGACCAACTACATTCTTTCTATGGCACCCCTATGGGGCTCAGGAGGCCAGTTGGGTCACCTCTTGCCTTCAGAGTGGGCAGCCTCTCACCCCTTTTCGAACACCCTCCCTTGTGGAGTGTTCCCTCAGTCTCCTCTCCTTGGGAGTCCTCCAGGCAGCCACTGCTGCCACCCTGGTCTCTGAGCTGCCCTCCCCGCCCCAAAGAGAGGTGCCTCTTCACACTGCCCCTCAGAGGCCTGGGAAGCACCCCCTGGCCAGCCCCAGAGGCACCATTTGCCTGTGGAGCTTGTAGCCAGGGCTGCTGCAACAAACAGCTGTGCAAGCCTTTGGGAGGCAGAGATGCGGGAGAGCATCAGAGGAGGGAGGGAAGGAAAGAGGGACAGAGGCCAGTGTTGCCCACGGCACCCCAGACTATCATTCAAGACACCCCACGGTGCCACAGCACACTGGTTGAAAACCCCTGCCTTACAGCATCCTTCACCAACCTGGGATCCTGAAGATCTTTTGGACTACAACGTCCATCAATCCCAGCATCATATGGCCTTGGTGGCTGGGGCTGATGGGACCTGTAGTCCAAATTGTTGAAGGCTGCCCCACAACCTTAATTTTTGAACTGGGAATTAATCTACTAAGAGGAGTGAAACAAAGGGAGCATTTCTCTCCCAAAAAGTTTGTTCATTTGAGGAGCTGCTGAAGTTAACTGATGCCTTCTCTTTCTTTCCTGGTTACACACACAAAATACCATTCCTCTTTTGTTGCCCCTTTGTTGACTACTTTAGTTTCATGAATACCTTCTGGTGAGAGATTTTGTCAAAGACTTTTAGAAAGTCTAAACCTGCCTTATCAACTGAAACAGCCTTAGTTGCAAGGACATTGAAAGCCATGATAAACTTGATTAAAATTGTCAAAGGAAGGGAGAGGAGCCCAGGAATTTTACTCCTGAAATGTTTTAGGTTGGCTTTTTGGAACCTGAAATAGTTTTCCGGCACTTGATAGCTTCTCTGCAGCATAATCTTAACTTGGAAAATATTCAGTGGTTTTGCTTGTAGTTGTTTCATTTTCTTTTTGGGGGAAAAATTATGCCTGTGCTTTGAAGTGATGACTTTGAAGAGGGGTGCGCCTCCTCTGGGTCCTACCAAGAAGTTTCTTTCTAATGAAATGGCTTTCAGATGTTTCTTGGCAATGTGTTTAGTGGACATAATAGACTGGTTGTATGACTGGTGCTGGAGTATTATAGTATGAAATTCAAAGGAGGAGCCATGGTCCTTCCTCCTTACCTTCAGGGCACTTGATCAATTCTGAATTTCCCCCACATGGTTTTTGCAGGAGAAACAAAAAGCAACTCATGGATCAGTTCAGCTTTTAGGATTCTGAAATAGGCTTTACTTAGGAAACTGCCTTGGTCGTCCTGATGATTATTTTCTTATTGGCTCAGAAACAAAACTGGTGACCAGTACAAGTTCAAGGTCTCTGAATATCTCAGCTGGTAGAGCATGAGGCTCTTAATGCATAGGCAAGGGACAGTGAACCTCTTTGGAACCCAGTGAACCCAGCTGAAAGCTGTCTGTACTGCCAGGTGGTGTTTCATCTGGGCACATGTGGAGGAATGCTAAGCTACGAAGGGTCAAAGCCGCTGAAGCTGGCTTTCCCATTATTTTCAATTCCACAGCATTAGGCCTCATCAATAGGTTGGGAGCAGGCTCTAATTGGCCGCAATATAACCTAGCAGGGAAGCAGCCTAGAACATTTCCTAGGTTAGAGACATATGTGGGGTTTGCAGGACAGGCACAGCCAGTGTTGTGGTCAACCAGAAGTAGCCACAACCCCCACCTTCCAGCCTATGCACAAGCTACCCCAGTAAACACTGGCAGCCCTGCTTGTTTCAGGAATGCTGAGCAGCCTTTGCGAGAGGAGGGTTGAACAGCTGCTGTATCCTTGACCGACTTGGATGGAGCCCAGGCAGCTTCCAGACCTGCCTTATCTGCTCTCTGAGCAGGGCTGCGCTTCACATTGGCAAGAGCTCACACAGAGAGAGTGTGTGTGCGTGTGTGGGGTGGGTGGGTGTGCGCGCACACACACCTGTGAGTGGGTTTATGTGCAGGGTAGCAAAAGACTGGTTTACAAGACAACCACAGGCAGCTTCTCCAAGAAGAGGCTTGTTGGAGCTTGCCCACTCCACTGGCCTGTCAGTGCAGAGCACAAGTCGCTTAACAGGCTTCTGGCCTACAGTGGCGGCAGCAGCAGCAGCACAGGAGAGTGAAGTAACAGTGGGAAATCTTGCAATCTTTGGAGCGCTTTCCCATACTAAGTTAGAACTCCCAGACGGAGGATTTCTCAGGTCTTGGGCACACAGTTTCAGCACTCTGATACGTAACTCTCTCCTGTGGCTGCCTAGAAGTTACTGGGCCCAAGTTAATGTGTTAATGTTGGCTTAATGAGAGCCAGTGTGGTGCAACAGCTAGAGTGTTGGACTATGACCTGGGAGGCCAGGGTTCAAATCCCCACTTGGCTGTGAAGCTCACTGGGTGACCTTATGCAGTCACTGTCTCTCAGCCTAAGCTCAGGGCTGTGAGGATGAAATGGGGAGGAGGAGAACTATGTATGCCACTTTGAGCTCCTTGGAAGAAATGGTGGTATAAAAATGTAATATATAATATAAACTTACAAATCCTGAATGATTTGGGACCCAAATGATTTGGGATGGAGTGCCTCTTCCCATACTGACCAGTCCAGCCATGACTCATTGGTAGAGCATCTGCTTTGCATGCAGAAGACACCAAGTTCAATCTCTGGCTTCTCCAGGTAGGAAACATTCCCTGCCTGGGATCTTGCAGAGCCACTTCCAATCAGTGCAGACAAGACTGAGCTATTTGGGCCAATGGTTGTGTTCAGTATAAGGCAGCTTCCTATGTTCCTAAGGCTCTCAGTTCAGCAGGGGGGGGCCTTCTCTTTGCACACCAGCAAGTGTTCTTGCTGTGTGTGGGTGCAGGATAGGCCCTTCTCCTTAATTCTTCTCCAGCTGTGGAACTCCCACCCCCTAGAGGCACAGATGGTCACATCACAGATGGGCTTCTGGCACCTAATCAAAACAAACCTCTGCAAATAAATACCCAGGTCTTGGAGGGTGTGGGGTGAGCTTTGCTTTGGTATTCTGGACACACAAGTGTTGTGCTTTGACCACTGCTTTTAACTGTGTTTTTTCTTAATTTACTGTTGCATTGTGTTGGAAACTGCTTTGGAGCTACATTGAGGGGAAAAGTGGTTTATAAATATTATAGCTAAAATAAATAATAGGCAGATTGGTACCCCAGGAAAAAAATCCTAATTTGGGAGGCGAATGGAGGGAGATAGGGATACAAAGATAGTAATAAATAAAATTATTGGTAAAGGAAGTTACCTATCACTTCCCCGCCAGCAGCTCCCATGCCCCATTTCAAATTGTTCAACCCCACAGCTCTTCAGAGAAGGCTTAGAATCATAGAATCTTCAAGTTTGAAGGGACCCAAGGGTCATCTAGTCCAACCCCCTGCAATGCAGGAATCTTAGCTAAAGCATCCATGACAGATGGCCATCTAACCTCTGTTTGAAAACCTCCAAGGAAGGAGAGTCCACCACCTCTCGTGGGAGTCTGTTCCACTGCTGAACAGCTCTTACTGTCAGAAGGTTTTTCCGAATGTTTAGTCGGAATCTCCTTTCTTGTAACATGAAGCCATTGCCTCGAGTCCTCCCCTCCAGAGCAGGCGAAAACAAGCATGCTCCCTCTTCCATGTGACAGCCCTTAAGATATTTGAAGATGTCTATCGTATCTCCTCTCAGTCTCCTATTTTCTAGGCTAAACATACCCAGCTCCTTCAAGCACTCCTCATAAGGCTTAGTTTCCAGACCCTTGATTATCTTGGTTGCCCTCCTCTGCACACGTTCCAGCTAGTCAACATCTTATTAAATTGTGGTGCCCAGGATTGGACACAGTATTCCAGGTGTGGTCTGACTAAGGCAGAATAGAGTGGTACTTTTACTTCCCATGATCTGGACACTAGACTTCTGTTGATGCAGCCTAGAATAGCATTAGCTTTTTTTGCTGCTGCATCACACTGTTGACTCGTGTTAAGCTTGTGATCCACCAAGGTACCACTGTATTATTATTTTTAACCTCTCTTGCAAGCCTGAGGTCATTCTGAGCTTTAGCCAGCTTGACTTCCCCCCTGTAACTGTTGGCTACTCGTATATACTCCTCCCTTGTGATTTCCCTTTTCTTCCATTTCTTATACATGCCCTTCTTAACTCCCAGCTCATCTGTAAGCTCCTTATGCAGCCACACCAGTTTCCTTAGATGTCTCCCACTTTTCTTTCTTGTTGATATAATCTGCATTTGGGACTTCTCCTTTTAGAAACTCCCATCTTTCTTGGACTTCCTTCTCATTGAGTGTTTCTGACCATGGGATCACACCCAGTAGCTCCTTTAGCTTTTTGAAATCTGCCTTCTTAAAGTACAGAGTGCATGTCCGACTACACTCAGTTTTCCCTTGCCTCTGTTTCCTGAAACCCAGGAGAACATGATCTCTCCTCCCAAGTTTCTCAGCACTTCCACTTCATCAGTTAGTTCCTCCCTGCTGGTGCTGTGGTTTAAACCACTGAGCCTCTTGGGCTTGCTGAACGGAAGGTTGATGGTTTGAATCTGCATGATGGGGTGAGCTCTTATTGCTCTGTCCCAGCTTCTGCCAGCCTAGCAGCTCAAAAACACACCAGTGCAAGTAGATAAATAGGTACCGCCGCGGCAAGAAGGTAAATGGCATTTCCGTACGCTCAGTATGGCTTGGTGGTCTATAGCAGACACACACAGTAAGGTCACTGTTGTTTCTCTCTTCTACAATTTTTACCCATATACTCTCAATCTGCTTTTCATGCTCCAGGTCATGGATTTCTTCAGAAGTGTACACATTCTTTATATACAATGCTACTCCTGCTCCCTTCCTGTTTGGTCTATTCCTTTTGAACAGGCTTTAGGGATTGTAGGTGGCTGTAATGGAGAGAAGACAGTAAACTTTTCTTCCATAGACTTGCTTAAGTTAACATATCTTAGAACCTAAGAGCATATGCTGCATCAGGACAGTGGAACATCTAGACTAGCACCCTGTTCTCACAGTGGCCAGCCTGTGGGAAACCCATAAGCAGGATTCAAGCACATGAGCATTGCTTCTTCCAACTGTAGAGGCAGAGTGAAGCTGTCATGGTTGTAACCATCGATAGCCCTTTCCTCCATGAATTTGTCTAATCCTCTTTTAAAGCTGCCTTGCTTGGTGGCCATCACTGCCTCTTGTGTCAGAGAGTTCCATAGTTTAACTCTGTGCTGTGTGAAGGAGGACATTCTTCTGTTTGCCCTGAAGCTTCCAACCTTCAGCTTCTCTGGATGTCCACAAGTACTAGTATTATGAGAGAGGGAAGAAAACTTTTCTCTATCACTTTCTTCATGCCATGAATAATTTTATAAACTGTCATGTCACATCTTACTTTCTCTAAATTAAAATGTCCCAAATGCTGCAAACTTTCATTGTAGGGGAGTCTTTGTATTGTAATGGTTTTTAACCAGAGTAGCAGTGGTGCTTAGGCCCGTTTTGAATGGCTCTTGAGGGGTCAAGGAAGCAGCCTTGAAGGCTTGTGTTAACTTGAATTAAAGGATGTATTGACTAAGTATCTCTGTTTAAGGGATACAGTTAACACTATCAAAATGTTTCCCTAAAACAAGATACTTAGTCAGTATATTCTATTAGGCAACACTACTAAAATAACAGGCCTTTCTCCTATGTGTTCATATGGATGGTGCTACTTGCATAAAGCAATAGTGTATAAGGAAATGAATGTCAATTGAAGAATTCACCATATGTACAGCAATGGCCTTTCCTGGAATGATGAGATGGGGAAGCACCTACCTGGGTGCTGAATTTTCTGGCTGTTTATTTAGAGCACCACCTTCTTGCTAGTTGAGAGGCTCCAGTTGGAAGAGTGAGAACCCAAGTGGCGCATACAGTAAGCCCACAACTTACAGAGGGGTTACGTTTTTGTTGTTGTTGTTTAGTCGTTTAGTCGTGCCTAACTCTTCGTGACCCCCTGGACCAGAGCACACCAGGCACTCCTGTCTTCCACTGCCTCCCGCAGCTTGGTCAAACTCATGTCTTGGTCAAACTCATGTTCGAGAACACTATCCAACCATCTTGTCCTCTGTCGTCCCCTTCTCCTTGTGCCCATAATCTTTCCCAACATCAAGGTTTGGAGATCACACCTAAAGCCAAAATTGCGAATAGTCAAAACTCATTGAGTTCATGGCGGATGGGATTGCCAAAGCTTTCTGTCTGGGGCAACATCACCAAGATGCTGCTAGACTCTGGTTTGTTTGATCCACTAGAACTCATTATTTCTGTTTTTCTTCTGTTGTTTCAGACCGGTTTGGAGTGCAGTTCAGTTGATGGACCCAAAACAGGCCAAATGGAAGAAGGGCCATTTAGCCATGTTGAAGAAAGAAGGTTGAGCGAGGACCATATGCCTGGCCTGGCCAATGGAGGAGGATCCCAAGCCGCTGGAAGAGGGGCCATGCTGATGGAAACACCTGCATGGCTCAACAGCTCCTGCGCTGAGCAGAAAGCCAACTGGGAGAGGCTGCCATCTGCCCCAAGCCAGGGAGACTCCTCCAGCAATGCCAACTTGGAGGGTGCTCAGAACTTGGTGGATTTCTCGGCAGCAGCAGAAGCAGCCATGTCTTCACACGGGATGGTGCCTCTGCGGTCCCCTTCCTTGCTGAGCATGCAGCTCTATGAGAAATTCAACGCCGAGATGAATCGCAGCAGTGGGGTAGACCATGACCTGGCAGTGCCTCTTTCCAGCACCTGCTCTGGCAATGAGGACCTGACTGCTCTCAAAGCTGCTCTGAATTATGCAAAGCATGGCGTCAAACCACCCAACTGCAACTGCGATGGACCCGAGTGCCCAGACTACCTGGAGTGGCTTGAGAAGAAAATCAGATTGGCCACTGGAGAGGACCAGAGCTGCATCCCACAGCCTCTCAGCCAGGAACACCAACCCCCCTTAGACAATGGTGCTAATCATAAGCTGATGCCTGCTACAGAAGAGAAGGAGGCTCCGTGTTCCCTGGAGGCCCTCCCTCTTACGGAAAATGCACTGAATATTGCAAAGGAGAAGAACATCAGCCTCCAGACAGCCATTGCTATTGAAGCCCTCACACAGTTGTCAGCTGTTCTTCCTGAGCCAGCCCAAGAGACTCCTCCCCCTCCTCAGAGTCCCTTGCAAGCCATGGCATTCATCTCCAAGGAACAGCTGGAGCAGCCTTCCCGTTTCCCGGCACACAACCACCCCAACTCGGTGCTATCTGAATCCGGTGCTGAGCTGTACCAGAGCCAGGCCTCGAAATCATACATGAGCCACAACCTGCTCCAAGCTCCTGCATCATCAGCACCATCTTCCTGGCAGCAGGGAGCAAAGGTTGCTCAGGATATGGCCCCCTATTGCCTTGATCGCAACAATGGACACCTGGAGCCATCAGAGCTGTTCCCCAACTCCTCCACCCCGCAAAAAGTGGAGTTCCCCGAGCAGTGGGGTGATGAAGGCAAGCTGAAGAGCAGCCTATGGGGCCTGCATTCCAACACCCCTCCTTCTCCACTGGTGAGTGATCCCATGGCTGAGCTGGAGCAGCTACTGGGCAGCGCCACGGACTGCATCAAATCCGTGTTCAAGCGACCTGAAGCAATGCCCAGCAAAGCCAAAGCTGCCAAGCCAAAGCAGGAGCCATTCGCCCAGAAGGACGACAGCCCCAGCTACCCCAAGGCAGCCTCCTCCAGCCCACAGCTATCGCAGCTCCTGCAGGAGACGAACTTCCACAAGAAGACCCAGAAGGCTCTGCAGCACCACCTCCACCATAAGCGCAGCCTTTTCGTGGACCAGAAGACACCTCCGGGAAGCCCCCAGGAGCAGATGCCAAACTGGTGGGCTCCCAGCACCCAGGCCCAGCCACCACCACTACCAAAGCCATCAGAAAAGCCTGTCAAGGAGAGGAAGAAGAAGGTCCAGCCTGATAAAAATACTCCAGCCAAGCCGCTGCGCAAGCAAGTCCAGATCAAGAGGTCCAAGCAGAAGGACGCTCAGCCCCTCTTCCTCCCTGTCAGCCAGATCAGCTTGGAAGGACTCCGCTCGGTTGCCACTCCAGAGCGTCCGAGCAAAGAGATGCCGCCTGAGCAGCTCCTGATCTCCAGCACCCCTCCCAGGCTCCTGCCCCCTCTTCCCATGCCAGCCAGCCCTGCAGAGCAGTCTCCATTGCAGAAGTTACTTGAAAACAGAAGCCCGGCTCCCAACACTCAGGAAACATGCTGTCCCAACCAGGAGGAGAGCCATTGCTACTACCCTGAGAACTCTGCATGCAACACGGCTTCCCTTGCCACTCCTGTGCCTGGCTTTGCCCCTTGCTCATCCTCTGTGGCCTGCAGCAACGGGCACGAGGAAGCCTTCCACAGGACTGCAAACCCCGCAGACCACCCTCTCTTCGCCCACAGTTCCATCGCGATGGATGACAAGCTGGAGGAGCTGATCAAGCAGTTTGAAGCGGAGTTTGGAGAAAATTTCAGCTTTCAGAATTCTGAGCTTCCTGCCCCACTGCTCCTCGGGGACGGGCCACTTTCAGCTCCCCACCCTCCTCCTCCTCCTCCTTCTCCTCTGCCCCCATTGTCTTCTCTGAGCCATTCTCCAGAGCCCACGGTGGGCTTAGATGCAACTCTCCAGCCTCCGGCTAGCAAGGACTGCCCCCTTGGTGCTGCCAGTGCGGGTCACAAAACGTTACCCCTCTTGCCAGGGGCTGGGCAGCCTTTTGAAAACCCTTTTGCAGCTCGGTCCCCTAAGCAGATAAAAATCGAATCTTCTGGTGCTATTACCGTGGTGTCCACCACGTGCTTTTACTCTGATGAAAACCAAAACACAGATACCGCTTCCATGGAAGGGACACCAACCAAGGATAAAGTGCCGCTCATGCCTACTCTCAGTGGATTTCTGGAATCTCCCTTGAAGTACCTGGACACGCCAACCAAGAGCTTGCTGGACACGCCTGCCAAGCGCGCTCAAGCGGAGTTCCCGACTTGTGACTGCGTGGGTGAGTCATGTGATTTCCCTGCCCCCTTGTGTCTTGCAAAGGAATAATCTTGATTTCTAAAAAACGAAAACAAGTGTTGCCTGAGGGTGGGTTTCAGAAGAGGGTGTTTGTGTCTGTGCTCGCGTTGTGCACATGTGCGGAGTTGCATGGCATTTGCACTCTCCACATCAGGATTTTGAGCTCTTGCAAATAATGCTGAGGCTTTCTGTGTTAACTCTGGCACAAGTTTGAAACAAAAATGAATCTGCAGCCCAGGTGTGAACCAGCCTGTATTGCCAGTCCCTTCTAAAAGATTACTTTTCACAAAACAACTAGCTGAGTCATTTTAACTGACTGCTCTTCTAGTAGGGTAATGGGGCCTAAACTACGTGTATCTAAGTCAGTGGCCATCACCATACCTTGTAGCAGTGAGTTCCCTCAGTTAACTGTGCATGAAGTGAATAAGTGTTTCCTTTTCATCTTCTTCAGAAGCATGGGACTTGTTGCATTTAAGGAGTGCAGGGGCACCGTTGCCACCATTGAGGAAACTTTAAAGTTGTTTGCGCGCAATAAGGAACTTTAAGGCCATGTTGCCTGCACAGCATCTGATTGTAGGTGTGGGGTTAGCTGTATGGGAAAAGAGCCTTCAGCTGAGTACAGGTGAAGGGAAGGGCCCCATAGGGTTTTGAGCTGGCAGCTCTGCCCTTTCCATTGATGACCCCTGCAGCAGAGGTGCCAGTTTGGGCCCCAGATTGTGGGTGCCCAGCGGCTCATGCACGACATGATGTCATTGAGTCACTTGCGTCACCATGTGACTCCCACTGCCTTGCCTCCGCTGGCTCTCTGGCGTAACGGCAGTGACTGGGACAGGGCCTCTGTGGGCCCCATGCAGATGGTGCCTATGTCATGCCATGTGATGTCACATGTGCAATGTTTTGGGTTGCCTGGCTGGGCATCCGGGCCCCCCAAAGATGGCACCTTTGCCCTGCAGTGTGGTGGCTGTGAGCTGAATACACCACATGGAAAAGTCAGCTCTTTGTGCTGTGCACATCAGCTTTCTCCATATGGGGGAGAAATAATGCAGTAAGAGAGAAGGTCGCCAAGAGGAGTTTACTAAGGACTTAGGCCATCAGCTGCTGGTGATAAAACCAGACGGCGCTGCATGTCCATTATTGGTCGTTTGTCTGGATGGCTGCTGTCCAGCTGAGATTTGTTTTCTCTTTCTCTTGGCACTGGGCCACAAAGATGTGCTTGGAATAAAAATTAGGGTTGGGTGAGAAAAGGGCGATCATGGGGGAAGCAGGAGTTCCTTTGTCCCTCAGAAACCTTCAAGTCAGCGACTTCCAACTTTGAAAGTGCTTTAACCCCTGTGGAAAGGAGCCTATGCCAACATGGCACACTCCCAGGGGGCCATATGGTGGGAATTGTAGTCCAAAACATCTGGAGGGCATCAGGTTGGCAAAGACCAATGTAAAGTTTGTAGAGCACCAGCCATGGGCCAGATGTTGTACTGGGCAAGTTCTGAAATATCTCCAAACTCTCTTGCTACGGCTGCCACAATGTTTGAAGAAGCTGCACTTGGTGTGATCTCCACCAACACCGTTCATTATGTAGCAGAGAATTCTGATGGTGGCCACAGGTCTCAGCCCACTTACTGGCCTTGCGTCAGTTGTAGCTAATGTTGGTCCCTTCAGATGTTGCTGAGCTGCAACTTCCATCACCCCAAACTTTTAACCAGGCTGCCTGGGGCTGATGGGAGTTGGGATCCAACAACATCTGGAAGGCCTAGCATCAATCATCCCTGCCTTTCATAGATATAATATATAAATGATGTTGGTTTTCCTTTACCATGGCTATGTGTTTAGTTTGAATTCCTGCCCCATAGTGAAGTGTCGGCTGCAATTCTGGGGTGTGGGGACCTGTGTGTGGTCAGGGCCCAACAAATTCATAAGCCAGCCTTCCTAAGCATGTTCAAAGTTATCTGTAAGTTACCAAGTGGCCAAAACTGGAATATATGGTGTTAAGCCTTCCAGCTAGTAGTAGCAGCAGCAGCAGCAGCAGCAAAAAAGCAATCTAGGATGCATGTTGCTACCATTGGCTGTGCTCAGTGGGGTTGACAGGAGCTGAAGCCCAACATCATCTGGAGGGCATCAGTTTGCCCATCTATTCTTTGCATAGAATCATAGAATTGTGGAGTTGGAAGGAATCCCAGGGGTCATCTAGTCCAACCCCTTGCAATGCAGGAATAACAGCTAATGAATCCCCAATAGATGGCCATCCAACCTCTGCTTAACAACCCCCCCCAGTGAAGTGGAGTTCATTCCACTGTCAAACAGCTCTTACCGTCATAAAGTTCTTCCTAATGTTTAGTCAGAGTCTCCCTCCTTCTCATTTGAATCCATTGGTTCGGGTCCTGCCCTCTGGAGCAGCAGAAAACAAGCTTGTTTCCTCTTCTGTGTGACATTCCTTCAGATATATGAAGTTGGCTATCATAGCACCTCTCAGCTTGTCTCTTCTCCAGGCTAAACAGACCCAACTCCCTCAACCATTCTTCATAAGGTTTGGCTTCCAAACCCTTGATCATCTTGATCACCCTCTATGACTCAGCCAACCTCTCTGGCCTTCATGCTGTCTGCTCTTGTGAATATCTTTTGTTTGTATTTTTACATAGATTGATATCTTCCTCTGCCAGCTTCCTCTAGCAACCTCTCCAGGCAGTGAGGCTTTCAGAAGTGCCATTGAAATTCCCTTCTCCAGCTGTTTACAGTGAGCCTATCTGTGTTATCCTGCTAAGTCTCTTGGGATATTTTGTTATACAGCAGGTCACACACCTTTAATTTGTTGGGGGAGTTGCTTTTCAGGTTAGACCTTCAGCCCTGCTCTGGACCCAGTCCAGTAAGGCTGTCTTTGGCTTCCCAACAGTATTAGCAGGCATAGGCAAACTTGGCCCTCCAGATGTTCTGAGACTACAATTCCCATCATCCCTGACCACTGGTCCTGTTAGCTAGGGATGATGGGAGTTGTAGTCCCAAAACATCTGGAGGGCCGAGTTTGCCTATGCCTGGTATTAGGCTCAGTTTTTTCCACCTGGAAAACAGGCATAGTTTCTTCCTTCCTCACTGTATTTTCAGAGGAGTAATGACCACTCATCAAGTTTTTCCCCTCAATCTGAAAAAAGGCTCAATGAAGGGATTTGATAATGAGTGACTGGTTGAATCAGGCTGTTAAGTAGCTATGTACCTGGTCGCCAATGGTGAGCAAGAAATTTTTGCAAGTGACCAGTGAGTGGACCTGAGCCAATGCCAATTGTTTTCTTTTAGGGTATATCTTACTAACTTAAGGACCTCTGGGCAGGTGGGCATGCAACTTTTGTGGACTTGTTTGCAAAACAATTTTACTGTTTTAACAGTTATAAAGCCATCTTACATGTTGTTATGTCACTGATTAACTGATCTTTAGCTGGCCACTAATTGCTGAGATCAGGCCATTTGGTCAGCATAGACCAACCATGCTGATACCTTTGTATTTCCTGCCCTAGCAATGGAACTGGCCAAGATTTAAGGATTTCTGTTTTGGGTCTCTTGTTATTTTAAAATAGCTTGGCAACTGAGCCAAGTGTAGTCTGGCGGAAGCCAGTCTCCATCAGACTTCAAAGAAAAGACCAGCTGTGTTTACACCCAACAGAGGGCAAATCCTTGCAGCCTGCAACAGTGGAGCAAGTCTCACCTTACTGGAGGGTTTGGTTGCTTTTTTGTTTGCTTGTTTCAAGAACAAATAAGGGAAGAAGGAGATGATGCTTCTCAATTCTGGAAAGGCAACACCATAGGTGCAGCTTCCAACAATTGCCACAAAGCTGAAATCATGCTGCACCCAGGTTGGTGGCTTTTGCTGAATTGGTTTTGATGAGAGCCAAACACCAGTGTTCTAAATTCCCAGGTAGGTACCAGGCGCATTTTGCTACTACACAGGTCCAATCACAACCAAGTGGAGAGTTTTGGGCACCAGGTTGGCAACTGAGCCAACTGACTTGCATGCAGTCCTCCATCATCAGTTCAAGGAAAGTAGGTGCAGGGCTGAGTACAGAGATATTTGACTGTGCTGCAGCCTCTCCGCAGGCCACCCAAAGGGAACTCACAAACCACTGTTTAAAAACCTCTGCCTTGTTCCATAGTTAATATCATTTCCATTTCGATTGTGTGTGTTTCTCCGTCTTGCATACTGGGACAAGTGAATTGTTGTAAGAGCAAGCTACAGTCAAGCAATGTAGTTGAGATCATAAACATGTAGAATTGTAGCATTGGAAAGGACCCCAAGAGTCCTGCAGTCCAAGCTCCTGTGAATCAACATCTTCTTGTGGTGACCATAACATAGGTTTAAAGCGCCATTTAGTGCCCTGCTTATATATCTTGAGTTTCTAACACCACCAAGCTTGATTCAGTCAGTTAGGGTTGCAGGAGCCTTTGGTGTGATAGTTGGTTGAAAGGGACTGTGAATCCCCCAGGACCTGCTAGGGCTTGACAGCATGAACTGTCTTTTCCATTTACTCTCAGAGTCAAAGGTATGGAAGGTATCAAGTGGTAGTTTCCAGGGCTTTACCTGCGACTCTGCTAGCAGAATTGGGCCTTGGACTTGGACTTACACTTGCACTGTTGTTTCTGAGGGGAAGAGAGTGGCATAGCGGTGAACTCAACCCAAGGTGGGGACTCTTGTCTTTCCAGGTATGAAGTGATACGGTGCCCCAAAAGTCCACAAGCTCATAGAATCGTAGAGTTGGAAGGGACCTAAAGCGTTGTCTAGTCCAACCCCTTCAAGGCAGGAATCACAACAAAGAATCCGACAGATGGTGTTGGGTCACTGTTGCCAACTTGTGCATGAAATGGATGAGACAGAGTGGGCCAAAATCTGATCCATGGTCAGTGACCTTGGAACTCCATTTATAATAGTAATAATACCTTTATTGTCAATGTACAACCTGTGTACAATGAAATTAACCAATTTAAGCTCTAGTCAGGCCTCCTCCAGCTGCTCTCCAGCTTTTTGGGGCTACAGCTCCCATTAGCACCAGCCAGCATGGGTTTGCCATTGTTCTGATGATCTATGAGAAGCTGAAGAAGCCCTAGTGGCAGGGCGGTGAGGGCTGAGGACCCTGATTTCATTCTGTGTAATGCGTAACACTGGCCTGACCTGCTCCTAGACCAGGCATAGGCAAACTCTGGCCCTCCAGATGTTTTGGAACTACAATTCCCATCATCCCTAGCTAACAGGACCAGTGGTCAGAGATGATGGAAATTGTAGTCTCAAAACATCTGGAGGGCCAGAGTTTGCCTATGCCTGTCCTAGACCTCTGACAGCTGCTTTCAAGGGGCTTGCAAATAAAGCTTCTGGAGTCCTTTTTGGCATTTATGCAATGTCAGATGGGAAAGGCTTGGTCTGGTGGACCAAATTGGTGTAATTAAGCCCAAAGGCACAGGTGGGAATGTTACTGTAGCTTTTCACCATCTTACTAAGACCTGCCTTTTCTCCCAGGCCAACTAATACTGCCTTAGGTCCAGGTGCTTTTGTACACCTCATGGTCTTAGTGCAGTAACGTTGTGTTGTAGTGCCTGGAATTGCTTTTAACTGACCTTGGTCTGTTGAACTACCTTTATATTGTTGTACAACTCTTTGGGGCTTCTGGTGAAAACTGGTTTATAAATTCTATGAAATAAATCAATCAAATAAATAAATAACTTCCATGAGTAGCCTTGTTGGTTTATTTGAAGATCCCAAAGTCATAGGAGAGCAATAAATTGATTAGGACCAAGTGAAATGTCACAAACAACATGATCATTCTTTCTGCAGGATTTTTCTCTGTGATGTTTTGGTTTGCCCCAGACTGTTTTTAACAGATCACTGAGGCTGCTACCTTTAATTAAGGTTTAAGGATGCAGTCCTAACTAGGGCTGGGCGATATCTGCTTTCCAACATCGTAATATATCGCCAGCTAAACTTCACGATGTGGCGGTATATTACGATGTCAGAAAGGAGATGGGGAGGAAGAAGGCAGTTGCCAGCCCTGGATATGATTAGCATCACCCTGTGCAACTTCTGCCTCTTCCTGGCAAGGCTGGGCAGGTGCCACTACCCTGGGCAGAGCACAGCAGCCAGGGCACCACATGCCAGCTGCCGTTCGCCCCAATGATAGTCTCTCACTGTACAGGCGGTGGCTACCACAAACCACTGTTCTGCTCTGCGCAAGGAGGAATGGAGAGAGGAAGCGGCACTCACATGGCCAGGGAAATAAATGAAGGTACTGGCTTGCAGGCAGGCAAACCCCACTCCTGAGGCCAGCAGCTGGGCTGTGGGCTGTGTGTGTGTGTCTGTGTGTGTGAGCAGGGCCAGAGATTAGTGGTACATTGTATGATTGGAAATTATAAAATTGCTCTTTCAATTTTAAATTTAAACCATTTTCAGGCAACGTATCAGTACATTGACCAGGCCTAGTCCCAACCATGTCTACTTAGAAGTAAAGTCCCATGTAATGTAGCTAACTCCCAGATAAGTGAGGTGAGGATATTTGCAACCTTAGTTAATTAACTGGTGAACGCAGTTTCAGCTGAGAGAGGCTACATAAATAGCTAGCTGTTGCTATTCTGGTTCCAGTTTGTTATTGTTATAAATACAGTGGTACCTCGGGTTAAATACGCTTCAGGTTACATATGCTTCAGGTTAAAGACTTCGCCAACCCAGAAATAGTACCTCGGGTTAAGAACTTTGCTTCAGGATGAGAACAGAAATCGCGCGGCAGCAACGGGAGGCCCCATTAGCGAAAGTGGTGCTTCAGGTTAAGAACAGTTTCAGGTTAAGAACGGACCTCCGGAACGAATTAAGTACTTAACCCGAGGTACCACTGTATAACATTATTTTATTAGGAAACAGAAGATATTGGCAGCCATCCTCTTTTTCCATCAGTGAGTTGTATTTTTTGTTTACTAAATTGTAGGTTATCTTATGACAAAAGGATGCAGGAAGGGTAAATCTCAGCTCCCAGCTAGTTGGTATGGGATTCATTAGAACTGGCTTATTAAGATGGGCATGTGGACCATTTGGGAGCCTTTCAGAGATGCAGAGCTGAAGGCATTCCTGTTTTTCAGTCAGATACCTTTGTTGTGCTCTGTGGAAACAGGAAACAGAAGCACTTTGTTTTCAGAGCTGGGAAATAAGTTTTGAGCTCAAGTCAGGGTTACCATTTGAGCAGTGAAGAATTTTGTATTTGTAGCTTACCTTAATTACTAGGTCAGCAGAACGGAGATCTTAACCAGAAGGGCTTTCCCCTGATCTTGCTTAGGGCCTCTAGATGTGGCTGCACTTTTGTCTGGGGTTGCAAATATCAGCCTGGGACCAGTCCTTTTTGCTACTCCAAGTAGGTGAGAAGTCCCTGCCACTATAGGATCTCCTGCATGTTTCTTAAGGCATTTGAATGAATATCAAGAAATACACAGCAGTATTGCAGAGGGAGGATGCACATCTTTTAGCTTGTACTTTTGCTTCTTTGACACTACTTATATATAAAATGCCACCAGCTCTCAAGGAGCCGACAGGGAGAACAGGTCATTTGCAGAACAGAGAATGACAGTGACATGGCAGCTAACTTACGGTTAGTTTCTTTATTAAGGAAGCAGAACAGAGAAAACACTGAGACTTCTAAGGGTTGCTGCTAACTAGATCAGGCATCCCCAAACTCGGCCCTGCACATGTTTCGGGACTACAATTCCCATCATCCCTGACCACTGGTCCTGTTAGCTAGGGATGATGGGAGTTGTAGTCCCAAAACATCTGGAGGGCAGAGTTTGGGGATGCCTAATCTAGATGAACCAGTTGCCTGGACTGAGAAAGAAGCCACAAACAGCAGAGTTCCCCTCGGGGAACTTGGAGAATTAGTATAACGCTTAGCCTGTTCTTGATGATGTCACGGGGAAGACAACAGAGTCAGGTGTCTCCCACAGCTTCCCCTGTGAAACTCCAACCAGCCTGCCTGCCTAATTGACCTTTCTTGCTGCTGCGGGGGCAGCAAGGGAGTAGTTGGGACTGGAGAACCTCCAGCCAATAACCTCCAGTTATTGGACTCTGTCAGCCTCAGCCGGCCTGGCCAGTGAGTCAGGATAATGGGAGTTGTAGTCCAGCAACATTGGAGGGCACCAGTCCCTTACTCCTAGAATAAAGGAAAATTATTTCTTTGAAAATAATTTTAGGCAACTTTTGAGCATAAGCTTCGCAAAGTAGTTTGTAATTTATCATGTTGTGTAAATCACAGTGCAGTTTAAAATCCCAGTTGTGTTTTGGTGAGCTGTGCTTCTGCCCTCTCCCCTCCCTACCCCCTCGTTTTTGCAGTTTCAGTGGGGCATCTGACCAAGGGCTTCATTCTGCCCACCTTCAGCTTAACAAACCTTCAGTTACACCTGCTCCCTTTGCTATAAAAAGGCAAAGACACCGAGGTGAAATAATTCATCTGGTTTTGTTTTTAAACAGAGCAAATAGTGGAAAAAGACGAAGGGCCCTATTACACCCACCTGGGATCTGGACCAACTGTGGCAGCCATCAGGGAACTCATGGAAGAACGGTAAGTTGCAAAACATGTGCAGTTTAAAAATATCTCTTCTCTTTTCTCTTTTAAAATTCTTGCATCAACATAGATAACCTTCAACACTTTGATTCTGTGATCACCATAACTCCCTATAAAAGGGAGCCAATAGGAAAAGCGTGCAGGTGCCCCATAATTTTTTTAAAAAGTTTTTAAAACAGGTCTTTTCGGCAGAAGAGGTATTGCACAAAACAGCTGTGTTAAAAATAGAAATTTTCCCTTGTCAGATATAGGAGGTGGGGAAGGGAAAGGGAAAGAAACTAAGAATAAGGTTTTCATGCAAATGACTCCAAATCCTTGCCTGACTTGGAGTGACACAAATTTTATATATTTACTGAAGTTCTGTGCAAATCTGGAATATTGAAAAACTTACATTTAAAAGAAGAATGAAAAGGAATGTGTGCCTGACAGGTATGCAAATACCTGTGCACATGTCCCCAGTAGACTTTTCTGTGATTCTGTGGGAATCTGGAATATTGGAAAACTTGTAGTTCAAAATTAAATTAAAGAAGTGCTTACACACAAAGAACCAAATACTTGCACGCAGTGCCCATAATGGGCCTCAGACTTTTGGAACTTACAGTGTGTGGGGAAGTACTATTTGGGAGCCAGTGTGGTGTAGTGGTTAGAGCAGGCATAGGCAAACTGCCCTTCAGATGTTCTGGGACTACAACTCCCATCATCCCTAGCTAACAGGACCAGTGGTCAGGGATGATGGGAATTGTAGTTTCAAAACATCTGGAGGGCCGAGGTTGAGGAAGCCTGGCCTAACCTATCTTGAAGGGGTGATGGCAATTGGATGAGGAGGGAGAGAACCATGTATGCCACCATGAGCTCGTTGGAGAAAAAGGTGGGATATTAATGCAACAAGCAAACAGCAGCACACAGCATGAATACATCCCATCAGGCGCTACCCACTAGTGTGGACAGGAAGCACCAAGATGGGCTTGGGAGGCATAATAATTTTGAAAGTGCTCATAGATGGTTGAAGGTATACAAATGTGAATGTGGAAACAGTGACCCACATATGCCTGAAACCTTGAATGTCCTAGTGTTGGTGCAGCCTTGGTGGAGATTCCTCTGCCTCTGGACCTACAGACCTCTCTGCCTCTTCTCCTTTCTGCTTTGGCCCTTAGTGCTGCAGGCGTACAGTCTCAGTCCTCCGTTTTGACTGGCAGGTCCATATATGCTGAGTCAGGCATTCAGCCCAAAGACAAAGGGCCTGAGCAGACCTCTTCATTTTCCTGTTATATGGCAACATGCATTGTGGTCTGAAACCAGCCAACCCAGTTGAACTGATCTGAACTTGTTTGTGTGTTACTGATCCTGATCACTTTCCCACCACCTAGACTTTTAAAAACACACGAGAAAACAGTTTAAACATACTAGCAAATTGGTTTCCTCCTTTAGAGAGAAGGGTTTTAATATAAATTATACTACACAAATTATATATGTGTATGTAAAAGTAGCAGTTGTTGAAGTACGTTATCTCTTAGTTGGTTCCATTCACAGTAGAAGCATTGAAACTAATGGGCCTGCGTTAGTCATGTCCATTCATTTCATTGGATCTTCTCTGAGTAGGACCCACTGATATTATTTACATGGGGTGGGGGGCAGCACACGTCTTTTTTGCATATTCAGATTCAGTGAAAGTAAACCCTTCAATGTAAATTTGGTTAATTTTTTTTTTAAGGGAAGATATGCCTCTAGTCTTTAGATTATTAAAAAAACCTCCCAAATTAAGGTGTTGTTGGTTTTTTTAAAAAAAGGGTTTAATAATTACTTGTGAAATGTGGTAGAAATCTATTGGAAGACAACATATGTCCTACTTCGCAGGGTTGGTGTGGGGATTTAATTAAGCAAGGGGAGAACCATGTACTTCACCTTGAGCTCTTTGGAGAAAACGGTGGGATATAAATACCATAAAGTAAATAAAGTCCACATGAGTTTTCTGAGAAGGGAGGAGGGAGCATGCAGCTTGTTTCTCATCCTCCAAATCATGGTTTGGAGAATTGTTTGAAGACTGCCATGTTTTTAAAAAGGGAAGGTTGGGCTGAGGCTCACATCCTCTCAACATTAAAAATGTAAGATGTTCAGGTACTTCTTTTAATTGTTGCCAGTAGAAGTGTTGTCTCCCTGGCTCATCCAGAAGGTCATTTGAATTTTAGGTATAACATACAAGAAAGAGGTGCTTTCCCCCCTATTGTTTCCGTTGAGGAGTTTTGCCCAGGCAACAGGGAGGGTTAGTGCTGCAGACTGCTTGCAGGTGGGCCGACACATGTTCAGACTGATTAGGTTACTCCCCTGCAGTTGACTCATAGACTGCTGAAGAAGCTGAGTCACCTCTAAACACATTGCCACTGAATCACCACCGCAGGCAGCACAACCAGGGCTGGGAGGCTGACGATCCTAAAGGCGGAGGTGGGAAACGTACCTCTGTGCATCAATAACTGATATGAAGAACATCTCCCACGCTCAGTGAGTCCTTTTGAGAAGCACGTCTTCTGCAATAAAGTGAAATGCAACCTTTTCCCAGTGAATAGCAAAGCCCCAGTGTGTGACCTCCGGTATCCTGGAGATACTGCTCTTTGGGAAGGTTGAGTTGCAATTAATAGAACTAATGTAGGAAGTTGTATTTGCCTGTCTCTTAGCTATGATGCCCCGAAGCACTGGGATGGCAAAACAATAACCACACCAAGCATTTTAGAGTACATGTTGGGTGAAACATACACAAACCAGTCCTGGCTTTCATAAGCCTTGCACTTGCATGTAGCCTCCCTTTGCTCTTCCTTTCACACAAGCAGCTGAACAAGTCATGTTTCATTTCCTAACCACAGCTTCCTGTTGCATCCAAACTCCTAAACTATGGTGAACAGCTCGCAAACGAGCTAGAATATTAAACCATGGTTTTGAAGTTAGCTTACTATCCTGGCTAGAAGGGCTGTCTTAAGCATATGCGGCGCTGGGGTGCAAAGATCCGCCCGGCACCTGCCTCCCCAGGTTGCCCAGTCCTAGGCACGCAGGAGGGTGGAGTTGGCTGGCCGTCTCAGCGTCTTGCTGGCTCGGTCGCCCCTGAACTTGCAGCACAGAGCCACCCACAGCAGAAGAGCCCACTGTGGCGCTCCGACCGACAGGCCGGCTCTTCCCCGGACTCAACTCTCGGGCCCCGGACTCTTGGCCTGCCACCCCTGAGATCCCAGCGCCCAGGTGCCCTGCACCTCTAGCGCCTATGGGTAAGATGGCCCTGCTGGCTAGTTTGAAAGCCATTTGGCAAGTGGAAGCCCAACCCACCTTGTAATCTTTCTCCAGTCTTTCAGGAAGAGGTTTCACTCAGATAGTCCTCTAGAGCAGAGCTCTCAGTCATGTGCCCTGTTTGTCTTCCTAATGTTGTGACTTTTCCAACCAGGTATGGTGAGAAGGGAAAAGCCATCAGAATTGAAAAAGTGATCTACACAGGGAAGGAAGGAAAGAGCTCCCGCGGCTGCCCCATCGCAAAGTGGGTAAGTGGCTGCCCTCCTTTCCCCTGGCATTTAGCATTTATCCCAGAAACCTGGCCGAATAGCAGTTCCTATGCAGTCACTGCCAGCAAACAAGAATGTTCCCAAATTCTTCCCCAAAGACCCTCAATAACTCTCATTGCAGGAATAGTGGAAGGAAGATACAATTTCATAGTGGTGGGGGTAGTGGAGGAGGAGGAGAGGGGCAAGGGCTCTCACCTAGGATGCCACTTCACTCCAGTTGGTGGGCATAGCAGTGGAGGAAGGCTTCTACAGCCCACTTATGGTCTTTCCAGAGGGATCCGGCTGGCCACCGTGGGAAACAAGATGCTGGACTGGGTGGGCTTTTGGTGGTCTGATCCAGCAGTTAGGCGTCTCTTATGTTCAGGCATTGATGTGCAGCACTGCCACGCCAGGGGAGTCAGCAGCAACTACAGTTCCTTCAATTGTATGGAAAATAAGTCTACAGTGTGTCACTTTGCCCCATTAATGTTGACTTCTCTTTGGGCAGTTCTGCCCAGGAGGCTGGGCAGCACCACTCTGGCCCCGTTGGGGGAGGATGGCAGGGTGAGGTTGGAGGCTGTATTTTCCTTAACCAAGCAATATCCTCTCCTGTTTTCCAGGTCATCAGGAGGCACAACTTAGAGGAGAAGCTCTTGTGCCTGGTGCGACACCGTGCTGGTCATCACTGCCAGAATGCTGTCATCATTATCTTGATTCTGGCCTGGGAGGGGATCCCTCGTGCCCTGGGGGACACCCTGTACCAGGAGCTCACTGACACGCTCACGAAATATGGAAACCCCACCACCCGGCGATGTGGGCTGAACGACGAGTAAGTTCCTTTAGCCCTGGCCAGGCTGCTGGAGACAAGAGGCTGGTGGGACACAGCATTTTCTCAGAGATCTTGGCCGGGAGGAGACAAAGCAGCTAACCACAGCCCTGTTCTGCTTGTGTGTGTGTGTATTTATTTGCCCATGGTTTACTGTGCAGTATGAAGTTTGCCTCACTTGCCTGAGCAATGGAATTGATTTACTGAAAGTTTCCTTGGACTGGGGAGAGGCGGGTCCTTTATTGACTCCTGATTTCTGCTTCTGAAGAGGTGAACATGTTACCTCAAAAACTAACAAGTTTCTCCTGCTTTCCCTCCTTCTTTCTCTCCCCTGACTACCATTGATTAGGGGCCAAATAGAAGATCCTTGGGTCCATATCAAACTTGCCCCCTCCAGACCAACATTTTGAGCTCTTCCCTGCTTAAAATTATCAGATTCAGTGATAGCGGGAACTGGCAATCCTTTTTTAAAAACAACAATCTTGACATGAGACAAAAAATACTAGAACCACACCGTTGGAACCGCCCCCACCAGAGCACTTTTACCTTCTGGAGCTGCTGTGCCAAATGGGCCTTAACCCTCCCAAGCAAGGCAAAGGGTTTTCTTTATTTTTAAGTTCTTTGCCTTGCTTACCAGCTCCAGGAGGCTCTCATAGGGATGTGTGAGACATCATGAGAGCCTTTCAGAGCCCACATGAGAGCCTTCTAGTAAGCAAGACAGTAAGCAAGACAGAGATAAAATAAAACTTTATTCACATTAGCCAGTGGCCATAGCAACAGTAAAACATTACAGTATACGCAGAAAAGGAAATTTGATATAAGAGCACAATTTAAAGTCCTGAATCAGCTGTCAGTTAGTGGCCCTTATTCTGATTGTCTCTGTTATGAACCTAGCAACCTTTGCTGTTATCTGCTCATTTTGATCTGACAAAAGAAAGGACATTGTGGCCGTGGCTGAGCGCCCTGGGATGGTTAGTACGAGTGGGGTGATGATCTCATTCCTCAGGTCTTTGTAGAGAGTGCAAGACAGGAGGACGTGTGCCGCTGTTTTGATGCTACCATCTCCACAGGGGCAAAGACATTTCTCAGGTGGGATCTTTTGAAATCGACCCTCAAGTACCGCAGGTGGCAAAACATCCAGTCTTGCAAGTGTAAAAGCACGTTTGTATTTTGGGATAATAAGTTTGTGTAGATATGGGGCCAGAGAATCAAAATGGAGAGGTGGAAAATGAACATACCAAGGGCAGAATTTCCTTATAGCGTCCAGGTTGTTCTGATGCTCGATATCTTTTAGACGTTGACCAATTAGACTGTTTGCTTTAGTAGGGCCCATAGTGAGTAGGTGTTGTGGGGATAGGCCGCAAGAGTAAAGTTTTTGATAGATGGTTTTAAGCCAGGCACTTTTATGGGAGTCTTGAAGTACTAGGGATAGTAAACCAGGGAGATTTGAGTTCAGGCGGAGCCAGAAGTTAAGAGTTCTTTGCCAAGTCTGTACTTCTACTGAAGGGAGACTTGCCTCCAGTCTCAGTGATGCGTTTGGGACGCATGGCGGTACAGAAAAAATCTGCCTTAGAAACTTTGATTGAACAGCTTCCAAAGTGCTAAGGTCCAAATCTGAGCCCCGTATAGTAGCTGTGCTAGGGGTTTAGATTGGAAGACTTCTAGGGCTGATGGTATATGTTTGCCACCCTTTGTATGGAAAAAGCAAGTCAATGTCTTGGCACTTTGGGATGCTTTTTCTTTTGCACATTTTGGTGTGCTCCCCATGACCCCATGGACTGGAAGATAAGGCCCAAATATTTGAAAGCTTTGACCTGTTCAATTGGCTGATTGTCCATACGCCAACTGTGGGGCCTATATTTTCTTGAGAAAACCATAACTTTGGTTTTCTGATAGTTTACGACCATGTGTTCTCTCTGGCAATACACTGAGAATTCTCTTATCAATCTTATTAGGCCCATTTTTGTTTGGGATAAGAGGACTGTGTCATCAGCATTTAATAGTACAAAGATTGGTTTTGAGGCCAGTTTAGGGGCATGGAACTCTGGAGATGTTAGCCACTGGACCATGTCATTTATGTATAGGTTGAAGAGTGCCAGAGCTAAAATGCATCCTTGCTTGACTTCCTTTGTGGCTGGTACAGATCCTGTAAGTTGGCCATTTGTAGAGCAATGCACTTTCAGCACAGTGTCTTTATAAAGGCAGTTAATAAGATCTTTTGTCTATGCTTGAGGTGTTCAGTTTAGCCCATAGTCTTACTTGTGAGATTGAGTCAAAAGCAGCTTTCAAATCAATGAAAGCAGCATACAGCACATCGCGAGATTGCTTGGCGTACTTATCTATGAGGTGGGCTAGGACGAAGCAATGGTCTATGGTAGATCTGCCTTGCCTGAATCCTGCTTGCTCTTCCGCAAGGATAGCCTCAACATCAATCCAGTGGATTAATTTATTGTGGAGGTGTTTTGCATATAATTTACTAACTATAGGTAAGAGGCTGATAGGTCTGAAGCTGGCTGGATCCGAAGTAGGGCCCTTTTTGAATATTGGGATGCTTACCGCAATGGCCCAGCTGTCAGGGAGTAAACCAGAAGAATCAATGTGAGAGAATATTGCCGCAAGCAGAGGTGCCCACCAGTCAATATTGGACTTCAAAAGTTCTGGGGGCAGGTGATCAATGCCTGGGGCTTTATTGTTTTTTAGCTGTGTAATTAGGTCTTTTACCTCAGTCGTGGACACTGGGGGCCAAGCTGGTAAGTTTTCTGGAGATACTGTTGGGTGATTAAACTGAGTATCCTGGTCTACGAAAAGTGAGCGGTAGTACTGCGTCCATTCTTGGGGTTCGACAGTACAAATTGGCCCTCTCCATGCTCCAGTAGGCCTGATATGGTACGCCAGAAACAGGATGTGTCCTTGTTGTGCGAGGCCTTTATTAGGCTGTACCAGGCGTTTCTTTCAGCTCTGCAAGACAGAAAGCTTAAAAGCTCTTTCTGTGCTGGGGAATACCCTGTACAAAAATAGCTTTTAAGCTCTCTGCATTCTGTGCATTCAATTTGTGCAGTTTTAGCTAGCCAGCCTTCAGCCAGGTAAAGTTGAAACCGCACATGTTACCTCTACACAATAAATTGTTACCTGTACACAATTCTGAGTTACCTGTACACAATAAATCGTAGCTATGTGTGTTAGAAAGCTCCCGTGATTATGAACACTTATTTAGAGAAAAGACAATAAGATTTAAGCTCATTAAAATATTGCAACATATTAGCCACTGATAAGACAGATATACATAACAGTTAACACACTACGTTGCAAGCACATTAAAAGTTAATCTTGGGAATAAACTTCACATCACATTAATATGAGCACAACCCATACCTCCCACATTATCAGAAAGGAAAGGAAATCCCCTTAACTGCTTTATAAGTCAATGCTTTTTAGAGGTCAAGTTTTGGTTTATGGTTGGGCTCCCTTGATGGGCACCTCCTGATGGGGGGATTTGGCCCTCCCAACTCATTTGTGGTTGACACCTTTAGATTCAGTGGGTTGGGAATGGCAAGAGCACAGGTCAGTAGCTCCATTTGGCTGCTGTGGACAGCATCTGAAATGCCTTCCTTTGTATTCATTGCAGCCGGACCTGTGCGTGTCAAGGCAAGGACCCCAACACCTGTGGTGCCTCTTTCTCCTTCGGCTGCTCTTGGAGCATGTATTTCAATGGGTGCAAATACGCTCGAAGCAAAACGCCCAGGAAATTCAGACTTCAGGGAGACAACCCCAAAGAGGTTAGTGAGACACCCACCCACCACTGCGCCTCCCTTTGTTTTGCTTGTTCATTTTTCATGGGGGATTCCACCAGCATCTCTTAAGGGGAAGAGCAACGACATGGGATTCTCGCAAAGTTTATGTGAGACTTCCCCCAAAGTAGGCTGACCAAATACCTGCTTGCATTTGGTCAAGCAAGTCATTGCTTCCTTCTTGTAAACGTGAAAGGGCTGGAAAATAGCCTCTACAAACCATACCAAAAATAAGTGGATGGAAAAGTTTTGGAATTTGTCCTAATGGCAAAAATACTTAAGAATTGAAGGAGGGGGCTGCTGGCGGCACTAATAGGGAAACCGCATCACGAATTGTAACCATTGTCCTTATTACTCCAGAATGAATTTCTTGCTTCCTCATTTGAAAGGTGTTCACAGTTCTTATAAATAATATAGGTTATTGATCACTATGGATTGCATCCAACTAAGTTCTACTCAGAGTAGATCAAGTGAAATGAATGAACCTAAGCTTGTCATGCCCATTAATGTTGGTGGGTCTACTATGAGTAGGACTGGCATTTGGCTACAACTCTATGATGCTAGCTTTTAATATTTGGTAGAAAGGATTGGGTCCTGGTGAAACGCTTGGAAGTATTACCCCTTGTTTCGGAAATGTCCTTGCCGGCACTAGTTTTTGATGCAGCTCCTTTGAAATGCTTTACTATGGATCCATTAAAAAAAGGTGAAAGGGTTAGAGGCTATTGTCCTGTAGAAAAGCCCCTGCTTTGTGTGTAGAAAGTCCCAGCCTGAATGAATCTCTGACATCTCCCATGAAAAAGGATCACAGGTGGTGACAGCAAGGTAGGAAATGACTCTGGGCCTCAGGGAGATGCTGTTGGCTGCTGGGCATAGGAGATTGAACTAGGTTGTCTGACTCATCAATGAGCAGCGATGACTCTCCCAATCTCTCACTGCAGGAAGAAGTTCTCAGAAGAAGCTTCCAGGACCTGGCCACAGAAGTCGCCCCACTTTATAGGAGGCTGGCACCCCAGGCCTACAAAAATCAGGTACCTGGAATGACCCACCATAGAGCTCTTGTTATTATTGTGCTACTGATTTAGGTATAGATCCCAGTGGTTCTCAAACTTTTTTCTCTGGGCCATATTTCAGAATAAAAGTTTGCTTGTGCCACACTGAATTTTTGGCTGGGGGTGGCGTGGGGACCAGCTTCTAGCAGTGCTTGACTGGTAACATTGAACACATCTACTTGATATGCTCACGGGACATCCAGAAAGGATAAAACAATGCAGCTACATAAGAACATAAGTCATTCCAAAATATTATTATAAAGGACCTCTTTCATATGTGCCTCACAGTGAGAGGCGTAAGCTTGCAGCATCACTTGATGCTCTCATGTTAAAAGATAGCTATCCCTATTCTGCAATAAATAAATGATACTATACAATACTGAAATGTTTAAATGTTTCTTTGATTATCCTCAAATCTTCCCACCACGCTTGCCATCCTCTCCTGCTGGTGTGCCACAGCCTTTAAGAACCATTGACCTATACTGGCTATGAGGCTGTTGCCAAGGTCCGTTGCAGGAAATGCTCGTGATTCGTTGCATACTGGTTTGACTGGTTTACAGCAGTCTTTGCCCAGCCTGCTATCTTCGAGATGTTGTTGGAACTCATCTCAGCTCCCCAAACATTGGCCAGCACTGCCTGGGGCTAATGGAAGCAACATCTGGAGAGAACCAGATTGGCACTAGAAGAAGGCAGTATAAAAATATTGAGCAAACAAAAGATGGAGCCCAGGGTGGGGCTAGGTAAATGAAGGTTCAGGTCTTTGTGTAATCATAGAATTCTAGAGTTGGAAGGCACCCAAATGGCCATCTAGTCCACCCCTCTGTAGTGCAGTCTTGTTTTCAAGGACAGTCCAGTCTTGGACTGCAACTCCCATCAGCTCCAGGCAGCATAATGTTGGATTCCAGGGCAGATGGGAGGGTGGCTCTGGTGGCTGGGGCTGATGGGAGTTGGAGTCCAAAATATCTGGACAGCACCAGGTTGAGAAAGACTGCAGGAGTCCATTGAAAGTGTGGATGTTGCTTTTGTCTTGGCACTCAGACTTTAGCCCTTTGTCCCTTTACAGCTCTAACAAATGCCCCCCTCTCCCAGCTTGTGGAAAGCTGTCCCCAGAGAGGCATGCCTAGCCCCATCTTTGCCCACTTTTAGATTGGAGGCAGGGGCTTTTACCTTTCCCAAGCCTTTTGGTCTCTTCTAGTGGTGTGGGAGCTGTAGTACTGCCTCCTCTCCCTATCTAAAGCTATGTTTTTAGCCTTTATTTGTGTTGCTGTGTTTTTACTTATTGTTTTTATTTTACTTTAATGTAAGCCATTTGAGTTGCTGCTGCTGCTGCTGCTGCTGCTGCTACATTTACATTTATTTATAGCCCGCTTTCTCCCAGGTGGCTTACACAAATTAAAACGACACAGATAAAATTCAAAAATTTAAAAATGTATGAAAGACAATTGTTACAAAATAATTAAACTCCATCTGATGTCAACTCCAGGGTGACTTCAGTATCGTCTTATTTTTATTCTACTTCTGACTGTGTTCTGTGGGGAGAGGGAGGGTTAGGGAAATTAGGTGAGTTTTTCTTGTTTTGTTCAACTTCATGCTTTGTATTACATAATAATAATAGTAATAATAATAATAATAATAATGTCACAACAACAGGTTTTAAAACTTACATATTAATATAAACAAACAAACCATACATCTTTCCCAAGGTACTGCTGTGATTTGAGTTGTTGCTGTCTTTTCTCATCAGGTTACAAATGAGGATATAGCAATAGACTGCCGGCTTGGACTGAAAGAGGGGAGGCCCTTCTCTGGTGTGACAGCGTGCATGGACTTCTGTGCTCACGCTCACAAAGATCAGCATAACCTTTACAATGGCTGTACTGTGGTAAGGAAGCATCATTGCTCATTTTATTAATTATTCATTGCATAAATGATACAGTAACAGCATTCATTTTCTTCAAGGAGCTCAAGGTGGCATACATGATTCCCCCCCCCCCTATATTTTTATCCTGTGAGGCAGGTTGGGCTGAGAGGCAGTGAGTGGCACAAAGTCACCAGGTGAACTTCATGGCTGGAGGTTTGAACCCTGATCTCTCCCAGATCCTAGTCTAACATTCTAACCACTACATCTGGCTCTCATTTTGGTTTTAGTGTGTGTGTTTTTCTTTTTTTCTTTTTGCATTTCTTTCTGGAAAGTTCCACAGGGGTGGCTGTCTTAGCCTGTTACAGCAAAGCTGCTAAGATTCTTGTAAGCCATTCTTCACCAACATGGAACTTTCCAAATGCTTTGGACAACTGCTTCCATCAGCCAACTTAAGATGCAGCTGACTTTGTGCATTTGACTAAATGAACTCTAATCCATGGAAACTTTCTGACGAAATCAACTTTAAGGTGTCACCGCAGTTGTGGAAGGAAGAGTAGGGGGCTTGTTGGCTAAGCAAAGATACTTTGTCTTTATTGTGGGAAAGTGTAGCAGAAACTGAAACGCAGCTCAGGGAGACCCAAATTAAAGGAGTACATGGCCTTAAGACAACCTTCGGCAACCTGGTGTCCTCCAGTTGTTTGGCTACAACTCTCCTGGTTGGAGCTGACGGGAGTTGTAATCCAGCAGCCTCTGGTGGGCACCGGGTTGGAGAAGGCCACCTTAAGGAAATGAAATATGATGCCTGAATGAGGATGGATGGATGACTGTGATCCATGTCATGTTTGCTGGTTGGAAGATTCATGGAGGAGAAGGTTCTTGATGGCCACAATACACGATGGCTCGGCAGTTGGAGGCAGCAGTGCTTCTCTAAGTACCAGCTGCTAGAAAGCACAGGAGAGCAGAGTCCTTTTGTGCTCAAGTCTTGCTTGTGGGTTTACCTTTGGGGCATCATGTTGGCCCCTGTGAGAACATAATGCTGGCCTAGATGGGCCAGTGGTCTCATCCAGCATATGTTCTTATGTTAGGCATTCAGCCATATACTCATGGTGTCTCGCTTTAGCATTTTTTTTTTTAAGTGTTTCAATATGTGCTTCAAATACCCATCTCTAAACACATTTTTCTTTCAAGATACCACTTTTTAAAATGCCCCATTGTAAATGTTGTGAGCCAAGGATTGTTTTGCAATATTCAGAGCAGTGAAAAATCCACGGGATAGTGATGTTCCAATCTGCACACTTGTCAGGGAAGGGCCATGGCCCGCTGGTAGAGCGCTGGCTGTGCAAGCAAAAGCTCCCTGGCATATCCTTGGGGGATGGGAGGCACTCCTGTCTGAAAGCCTTGAGATCCACTACCAATCAGCATGGATGGTACTGAGCTAGCTGGACCAATAAGGCTACTTCCTCTTTCCCATGTTCTACATCAGGTCAGTTCATATCAGGAAGATGGAATTTCTCCACCATCCCTAAGATACCTTGCCATTAAAAACAAAGCAAAAAGGTCTTGAGGAACTCAGATTGAGATTACAGGGGGGGGGGGGAGCTGAGAGGAGGGAATGTGTGTCGTCCCCCCAGTTTGCTTAACTTGTAGAAATAACCCCCAAGCTAAGAGGGGTTCTGGTGGTTTTCAATGGGAAAACAGTTTTGGAGTTAAGGTTAACCCTTTGCCTGCCATATTGCCCACTCTAGATCCCCTCCCACTCTTAATAGCTGCAGTTAATGCTTTAACACGCAGGAGATCCTGTCATAGTGGGTTTTCTCCAATTAACCACATCAGTTGAGGTGTTCAGGATAGCTTTAACTGGTTAAATAAGCACCCGCTGAGGAATCTGCGAAGGTTTAGTCCAGGCATAGGCAAACTCAGCCCTCTGGATGTTTTGGGACTACAACTCCCATCATCCCTAGCTAATAGGACCAGTGGACAGGGATGATGGGAGTTGTAGTCCCAAAAAACATCTGGAGGGCCAAGTTTGCCTATGCCTGGTTTAGTCCATAGGCCTATTAATTACACAGGCCTTATACAGAGGCATTTCCTCGCCTTAGCTTTATACACACACAGAAATCAAGTCACCTTCTCAGAGGGGAAGCAGGCCTCTGTTATCAGAGCTGCCGAATTCAGAGAGAAGAACAGGCTGCCTCCTGCACAAACATTATTGTCACAAAATCCCCCTATAAGGTATTTAGGTAGAAAAACTAGCCAAATATAATCATGATGAATAAATGAGAAAGATGGACTCTAATGAAAACCTCCTAGATGGAAAAGATGGCAACAGTTATGATACCTCCCAAAAAACTATTCTTCTTAAATCTTCCACTCAAAGTAGACCTAAGTATAATAATGGCATGCCCAAAACTATGGACAGACTTCTGTCTGGGAGAAGAAAAAGCCTAGGGCATCTGCTGAGACATTAAGAAATACAATAAAAGATGGATAATTGTCTTTCCCTTCATAACTAAACTTCTGTTAACTGTTGCCAGAAGATTTCTTTGTCAAAGTTGGGTAATAAAAAAAAAGGAGAACATCATCCATGAGAGAATGGATAACTAAAATACGGGACGTAGTATGTGTGGTTAAGCTTACATGTATGGTGAGAACTAGAGAGGGTAGACAACAAGGAAACATCTTCATTTTGAAACGGAGCCTTTTCATAATGTACTGGAGTGGAGTAAAAGGTACAGGAGAATGCAAATCCATTTGTGTTACTTGGAACTTCGTGATACTAATTTATTATGTTTGATTTTGGCGTGGCAATCTTTTCCTTCATGTTTAGCTTTAGATACCACATTTTACTCTACTTTTATTTCATTTTATTCGCCATCTGTTATTATATTTTTTATGTTTTGTTATATACACACACAAACAAAAACAAAACAAAACAAACATTCCTGACACATTCATTAGACAGTCTGAGTGAGCAGATTCTCCTAGCAGTATCCTATCCTTTCACACACTCTTTTTATCCCACATGTAGCCTGCCTATCATAGTATATATTATAAATTCATACTACACTATTCACAGCTCTATCTCATCACATCAGTTTGACCTAAATGTATAACCCGTGATTAATTGGCTCAGGTAAAGTGAAAGTATTTGTTCAACCATCTGGCAATAGATATGCCATCTTGAAATTCTCATTTTTCTAGGCATGCCTGAAGTCACTTTTTAGACTTTGGCCTTGCCGTTTTGTGTGTCCCCATTGAAGTAGCTAACTGGGACTCCCTGTGTGTTGTCTGGCCACTTCTTTAGGTGTGTACCTTGACAAAAGAAGACAATCGTACCACTGGGAGGATCCCTGAGGATGAACAGCTGCATGTCCTTCCACTGTATAAAATGTCCCCCACCGATGAGTTTGGCAGCGAGGAGAATCAAGCTGCCAAGGTGGGCACAGGGGCGATCCAGGTTCTCACCTCCTTCCCCAGAGAGGTGAGGAAGCTTCCTGAGCCAGCCAAGTCTTGCAGGCAGAGGCAGCTGGAAGCCAGGAAGGCAGCTGCTGAGAAAAAGAAAATGCAGAAGGAGAAGCTGATTACACCTGAGAAAATCAAGCAGGAGGTTTTTGAGATGCCACCACTTCAGCAGGATGCAGGTGAGGGCAACAGGGGTTGGGAGCTGAGAAGGCCACTTGTCTTGTGCGTTTGATGTGCTAATCTGGTTAGGTTTCTTACACAGCTGCTGTTGGGATGCAGTCTGATCAATAGTTTTCAAAGTTTCTGCCCTTTGGGAATGCTTTATTAATCAATATCTCTGCTGAGGCACTGCTAGGCACAAGCAAAGGATTGTGGGACATGTTCTTGGGTGACAATCAGATTATTAGCTAGCCATCTGGGCCTCACCATTTTCCTGTGCAACCTGTGTACTCTCTATCAGCTTTTCCCAGCTTGGGACCCTCCAGAAGTTTTGGACTGGCTGTGCTGGCTGGAGTTGATTGGAGTTGTAGTTGAAAACATCCAAAGGGCATCAGATCCGGGAATGCTACTTTAGAACAATATTTTTTGAGTTAGTTGCATGCCACCCGACTTACTCCAAAGGCACCACCAATTGGAAAGCACGGCTCAAGAGCAGGGCAAACAAACACTTTCTGCACAACTTAAGAGGAAGATTGGTAATGGTAGATGAGTCATTCCTGGAAGATTGCTGTCCTCAATTACTATTTTCATTTGTAAATTTCATTTCTATTCCACACTTCCTCCAAGCAGTTCAGGTCAAGCATTCATGGTTCTCTCCTCATAAGAAAGAATCCTGTAAGGAAGGTTAGGCTGAGAAACAGAGACTAGCTCAAGGCTTCCTCTAGATTGAGTGGGTTTTTGAACTTGGGTCTCCTAGTCTAATACTCTAGCCACTATACCACAATGACTTTCTCATTCACATTCTTGTTGATGAATCTCTAAAGCTGCCAGGAAAGCAGAGGATTTCATGGAACCTAGGTTGATGATGAAGATGATGATATTTGCATATTCAACAAAGAAAGAAAGAAATTAAATTAAATTAAAGAAGGGGGGGAAACAAAAAAATCAGCATAATCATAATAATATACTAATAATACCAATAATAGTAGACCATCATCCATTCACATTGTAGATACAGTTACCATCAGCACACAAATCTTAAAATGAGACATATAAGTTAATACAAGCCATCCAGTTGTCCAAGTAGGTAACCATATGAAATTGATGCCTATATGAAATATGTCTGAATGTAGCCGGGACGGTAAGGTAATTATGTAATAGACGGTGGGTGTTTATCCTTCCGGGTTTGAGGTATAAGCCTCTTAGGTTGTCTTAGTTTTGAAATTATCAGCATTGATAATTAATTATGGTGCGAATGACCACTGTTGGTTTGGGTGGTGAAATCCTGTTCAGAAAGCTTATCTTCAGTTCTGTGAGAAGCCCCAGGGCAAGAAGCGAACGGCATGCTCCATAAAAATTCTGGAGCATCACAACTTGCTCCTTTGTTTTTGTGGTGGGGACTGGATTGTAGCACTGCTGCCAACATCACAGGATTTGTCAGGAGGATTTTGCAAAGGAAAATAAATGGGGTTGGAATGTGCTTTGCAGGATGATTTGAGATTCCCTCGCCCATACCCTGTCTGTGGGGGCAGAGATAGATCCATGATGTATCTTAGACACTAGTAATGTGTCTTAGGCAGTGCAGTCACACTATGCAAAGGCCTTGCACAAGTCAAGTGCGCAAAGAGAGAGGATTTCTAAGTTTTCCTGAAGGTGGTCAAATTTTGCCACTTAGGAGGATAGTGCAGACTATCACAATGTGCATGTAGCCACTTGGTTAAGTTTCCCCCTCCTAAATGGTGTTCTTAGACACTCAGGCAAGGGACAGAAAGTCTGCTAGCCAGAACACTGACCCAGATCTTCAAAGGTCTTGTGCCAAAGAAGCAATCCTGTTTCCGCAAGTTAACATTGGTTCTTGTTTTGCATCTGCAGATACGGCTTTGAAAAGTGGACATTCCCAGCGGTCAGTCAAACCTTCCATCAAAGTGGAACCTCAGAACCACTACAACACTTTCAAATACAATGGGAACGCTGTCGTGGAAAGCTACTCGGTGCTGGGGAACTGCAGGCCCTCTGACCCCTACAGCATGAACAGTGTTTACTCATACCATTCCTACTATGCACAGCCTAACCTGCCTTCCATGAATGGGTTGCATTCAAAGTTCTCTCTTCCATCCTTTGGGTATTATGGATTTTCCAGCAATCACATGTTTCACTCCCAGTTTTTGAATTACGGTGACACAAGGAATGCACCCTGGGCAGGCACCAGCTACGAGAAGAAGCCTGATGTCCAAATGTTGCAAAATAACTTGAGCCATGGTTACAAGAATTCCGAACAGTTAGATGAAATCCCACCCACTGTACGAAACAAAAACCACCACCAGCGCACCTACGAGAGATCCAGCAGGCATTCAGGCAAGCCCACGGCTGTGCCCCAGAGGTGTAACTCTGTCCCTGCAGAAGCCCTGTCATTTGCACAAAACACAAACTGCTTCAATCACCGAACAATCAAGCAAGAACCAATGGACTCTTTGTCACACATGGAGTCTTTTCAGAGAGCGGCTGCTATTAATGGCCAAAATCCAAATCTGAACCTATCTGATTTGTCCATGTCATCTCAGAATGGAGGCCCAGAACAACAGTGGAGCCCTTACAAAGTCAACAGAAATGAGTCCCCTTCGGACAGGACTAGTCATGCTGAGAGCCCTTGGAACATATTTACACCCAGTGACAATGCCGGCGTTCTCAACGCAAACACACAGAATAAGTCCAGCTTGTTTGGTTCCCACTCAAATGCTACCAGGTTACCACAGTCCCACCTCTTGGAAAAACAGTGGAATATGTTTCCTACAGAAGGACAGCCTTTGCCACCTGGCCCTGATGTGCTGGGGAAATCATGGAGCCCTTGCAAAGTCAACGAGAACTCTTCAGCCTTTTCAGTGAATTCAAACCTTCAGGAGAAGCCCTGGAACTTGGGGCAGCTGAATTTTGGTTCCATCAAGGGAAACTCCAGACTTCAAGATGAACTTTGGGGTTCTGTCAAAGCAGATGACAGGAGGACTCCTACACCGGGCACAGGATTACCCAGCAGACCATGGGCTTCCTTTGGCTCATTGCCCTCTGTGGCATCAGGTGTGTGTGGGGAGAAGCCATTCCCTTCCTTGAAAGCCGATGGTGGTACAATGCTTCTGGATGCTGGCCAGGAAGAAAGGCCATGGGACTCATTCAGCTTAGATGACAGCATGGAAGAGACACCCGAAAAGAACATCAAGGAGGAAGAAGAGGAGGAGGATGAAGAGGTGTGGTCAGACAGTGAACACAACTTTCTGGATGAGAACATTGGCGGGGTGGCAGTGGCTCCGGCCCACGGCTCCATCCTCATAGAGTGTGCAAGGCGAGAGCTACATGCCACCACCCCGCTGAAGAAGCCCAACCGGTGCCACCCCACACGCATCTCCCTGGTCTTCTACCAGCACAAGAACTTAAACCAGCCCAATCATGGACTTGCCCTCTGGGAAGCAAAGATGAAACAGCTGGCAGAGAGAGCCCGGGCGAGGCAGGAGGAGGCAGCTAGGCTTGGGCTCCAGCAGGACATCAAAGCCTTTGGCAAGAAGCGGAAATGGGGAGGCAGCTTGGCCACTGAGCCCCAGCAGAAGGAGAAGACAGACACTGTCCCAACCCGGCAGGCCCTGGCCATCCCAACAAACTCAGCTATCACTGTGTCCTCCTATGCCTACACCAAGGTAACTGGGCCGTACAGTCGCTGGATTTGAGCAGAGAGCAGCTGGCATGGGGCCACTTTACCTCAAAGTCTGCAGCACTGGAACACAGTGCTGGTTTGTGGTGCTTTTTCCTTCGTGTGTCGGAGAGAAATACGACGCCAGGCCAAGTGTGACATTTCCAGTATATTATCTGCACTTGGGAGTTGAGCTGAAGAAACTTATTGCTGTTAACATTTTTCAGTAATCTAAAAATATTTATATCTGTGCATTTTTAATCTGTACATCATGATAATGGCAAGAGAAATTTGTAGTGTCCTTTCGCGAAGGAGAGCTTTTTAATTCCATTCCAAATACACATGTGTATATTGGATTTTTAACAGAAATTATTACAACTCTGAAGGGGATTATGTGACATAGAAGCAAAATTTAAAACTCAGCTGCACCCTAAGCCAATAAGAATCTGCACCATCCATCACATCCAGGTGGGGTAGAAATCTCACTTTAGAGACCTCCCAGAAACCAAGACTTACAATTAAAGTAATTGTATAATTTGCTGTGTGATGGTTTCTTAGAGATTTAGTAGATCTCTTCCAGGAAGGAAAAAGTTTGGTGGAAGAATTAAGTAGAGAAGACAAGAGACTACAAATAGGCAACAGTTTCCACCTCATTGGTTTTGAACAGAGCATAAAATTTTGTGTGACACTTCTCTTAACTTGGGAGGGGCCCCCAACAGAATAGATGAATTCACACAGTGGGGAAGCTGTAAAAAGGTGACCCAATTTGCCTGTTTCAATCCTCAAGACAACTAAGTCTGCCTAGAGCATCTCAGGGGAGTACCAGTCCTCTGGCATGAGTGCAGCTGGCACACGTTGCTGTCTGTGTAAAAATTATGTTGTGTAAACCACTGCAAAGTCAGGTTTGCTGTGAGCTTGTGGCCTAACTTTAACCAGTTTCAGAGGAGGTGGAAATGAAAAGAATGAAGATAAAGATATTATTTCTGCCACTGCATGTGGTTACGTTTTTATTTAAAGGCAAGTTCTTGAATGAAGTTCTTTTGCCAAGGCAAGAGGCAGTGGCTGTGCAGCCTGTGTAAAATTAAGCTAGTTTAACTTCTCCATTAACTGTTTTGGCATAAATATCTTACCCAGTTAAATTCATGAAGGAAGGAACTGAGAAAAGGAGAGATTTAAGGAGAAGAGGTGGAAGGGGAGGTGGGGAGGACTGGGTAGAAGAAAAGCATCATAAAACAATATTTGGAAGGTGCTGTGTTTGCCCAGGAGGTGACCTTTTGATTTTCATGTCTCTCACTCTGTGGGACTCACAGAATAGCACTTAGCAATGTTTCGGTTCTTGCCAAATTTATCATACAGTGTAACCATCCACACTTAATTTTTTCGTAGGCTAGGCCTGACCATTTCGAACTGATGTTCGCCTCACTTTTGAATCTTTTATTCTGTAGTGGTAAAAGAAAAGCCACTCTGGAAACAAAAGAATCTCGGGCTGAGCTCCTGTATCTTTAAGAAACCATCATGGCAAACCTCTTTTTATCATATCTGGTGCAGAGTCCAATGAAAAGGAAGGACACAATAGATCTCCTTTGTACTGTGTTTTCAAAAGGTGCATGCTTACCAAATGAAAATGTCCACACACACCAACCTTTACACGTGGACATTTTCAAATGCAAAAATGAAATTGGCTTATTGTAAGTTTTATTTTCTTTTTCTTGTGCCATTTTTAAAAGAGGAAATATCAACGTTATGTGATAACTGATTACTGCAAAACAGCTGGTGCTTTTAAAACTTTGAATCACAACTTTTTAAGGTTAACCTCCCTTTCCCCATCAGTAATGCAAGTTGTCTTAAGAATAGCTGATTCACGTAAGTGGCTACACTCTCTGAAGCCAGGCCTCCCCTCGACAGAAGCATTGTGTTGCTAAAATGATAGGAAATCTTCCCTAAATTAGGATGAAATTCACTCTAATTCAGAACCCTTGTACTATTTAAACTACACCAAAAAGTTTACTTATATCAGGGTTGGTTGTTGTTGTTGTTTTTATTTAAAAAATCTTAATAGGACAGGGCTCAAGGACAGAAGGGTTGTGTAAGAGGAAGTTTGTGTCTGTGGTTCTTTTCCATATTGTGTGAATTTCATCCTTTGCTGGGAAAATGTTAATGATGAAGTCCCTGCTGGGCTTTAGGTGCTCTCACTAAATTTGCTCAGAAAATCTCCATGAACTTCCATTGGAATTGGGGGTAGAACCTTCCAGCCGTGAGGGAGTACCTTCAGAGCGTCTCCTCAAAGTGGGTGCCATCTTCAGATTGGGTGGCGGCAACTCTTTTGGCAATGGGTGCAAGAGTATTTTGCTGCCTTATACTACGGGTCTTTCTGTAGAAAAAACGGGAGGTCTGACTCCTTCAGCAGAGTAGGTCCCCTATGGCTTTGATAAGCCTGTGCATGCGATTTCTCAACACTGCAGAAGGCCAGAAGATCAAACACGTTCGAGATCTGAAACTGATTATTCCTTGGCCACCTCCTTCTGCACTTAACAGGTGCCTTTTGAGAAAGAAAAATGGCTTGCAAATTAAAACCTGTACATAGCATTTTGTTTACTAGGGAACCTTCTCAATCCTCACGCGCTGGAACAGGAAAAAAAACTAAACAAAACCAGGATCTCTATACAGCATCCTGAGTGTTTTATGTGGTTCTGATTTTAAACTGTAAATAGAGAAAGATTTTTTTAAAAAAGCACTTTCACCAAGATTTAAAAGAAAAAAAATTACCCAATAACTTGAAGAGCAGTATGTTTTAAAACAGATTATTGCGGGAGAAATGTAAATAGAAACAAAATATTTAACATGCTTTTCCGTCCTTTTTTTGTTTTTACTGTATTCTGTAAAGATGCTTTTTTTTTTTTTTTGGCAAGGGGAAAATCAATGAATGATAATTGATTTCATATGCATACCCATGAGCGTATCGTGCTTGTTAAGAATTGTTCCAAGTCAGATTTATAGGAAATGTTCTGAATGTCATAGGATGATAGTGATGTCGTCCCATTCAAGGCCTGATCCTCCACGTCTGTAAATCAGCCATTGATTTCAGTGGAGCTGCTCTGAAGGCCATTCTACATGTTTGTCGAATCATGGACTAGTAGGCCTGCCTCGATTATACCACTTCAGGCTTCAGGTGGGAAAATCACATTTCTTTAAAGATTCACATGGTCCCTCACCCCATAAACAACTACACGAAGTGGAACAGCTTTCTCTCTGTTATTTTAGATTTCTGCATGCAGGGAGGGTTGTTTATTTCTATTTAATGTTGAGGCGTCTGCTATCTGAAGTCTGATGTGGTCCAAATCCGGGAGTTCTCTGCATAAGCATGTAGCTCCAGCCCTCAGTTAAATCACCACATATTCTATCTTCTCAGGCTTTTTAGGCCAATGGCTACTTGCTGTTGACTGATGTAGGATGGATCCGTTAGCCGGCTGTAGTTGGGGGAAAGCGTTGGACTTGTATCTCTTTCCAAAAACACTTTAGTTTGGTTTTTTTGTTTCTGTAATATCCTTGTTAACGTCTCATTTGACTTTCCTATTTTAAAGGTGTTGCAGGGGTGCCTTGGAAGCTTCATTTGCATGACTTTGGGGAGCAAGAAATTGTAATATATGTGGGAAGGGAGGTGTTTCGTTTGGAGGGATGTCGCTGTGCATCTGACCTGTTGAAATCCTATTGTGTGTTCAGCTTCCTTTTAGGGATTTTCCTGAGCTGTCTGATCATGGCATAATGTGGCTCTGGAGCTGTAACTTTCTGACCTAGCAATGGTGCCCTTAAGATCTCTGGATGAGGGAAATACCTTTTTGTAGAGGCAAGTTTAAAGAACAGGAGCTGTCTTGGGAGTCAGAAGGTGGCAACGCAGGAAGACCCATGAATTATTCCCAATTTGCCTGTGTCCATTTCCACTGTTTTTTTCACAATAGGAATAGAGAAAAGGAGAAAAACAAATTGGCAGGGCAAGTCCTTTATTTGTCTCACACAAATAATCCAAAAGACCAAATGGTGCTTTCCCTTCACACTGACGCAAGTCCAGAGTGAATAAAACTGGAATAATTTTTCCCTATTGAAATTGTGTGTCTAAGGCAAAATTCTCATTTGCTTCATCTTAGATGGGTTTCTCTAAGACTTTTGGACTGAGATTCTCTCTCTTTTTAAAAAAAGAAATCTGGCTCTCCAAACCCATTGTGCCAGGTGTTTGCCAGTATAATTGGTTGATCCTGGTGCAGATAGGAGGCAATCCACATGCTATTTGATTCTGGCAATGGCAGTATTAAATCTATAGCAGCATTATGTGAATGCCACCATAATTTTCTGCAGCACATACGTTATATGCACACTTTAAAACAAGGCTGCTAGAAGTAAAGGCAAAACTCCTGACTCTCAAAATCCTGAATAAATTGATGTACTTAGTATATTTACGAGTAGGGTGCAATCTGAGGTTGTTTCTCACTACGTATATAACCTACCTCGAATCTCAGTTGTTGGGAAAAGTTACCATGCCTCAGATTTATGAATAGAACTGTGCACAGATTATCTACTCCTGCTTTAAAAAAGAAAAAAAGAATTATTTTATTTGGCAGTCATCTTTTTGCTTACACATGGACAATTACAGCTCCTGTTGTGGTCAGGGTCATTTAGAAAAGTAAATGGAAACAGATATGTATTTATTTACAAAGGTGCTTGTAAAAGGTGTCTTAAGGGCACCACCTTGGCCCGACCATACTGAAGCCAATGGGGTAGTGCTAAAAAATGATTACACTTCTCAGTCATAGGAAGTTGGATGTGCCATTATGGCAGGTCTCCCTCAATCTGCAGCAACATTTGTGAGCTTAATTATGCTGTTTGTTGCATAGAGCAGCCTTCCCTAGTCTGGTGCCCTTGAAGGACTCATCAACCCCAGCCAGCACAGTCCATGGTCATAGGTGATGGGAGTCAGAGTTCAGCAACATTTGGAGAGCACGAAACTAAGGCTGCCTTAGCTCGTACATCTCTATAGGCCCACTGAACATCCTATTATGAGGTGCGGGAAGCCAAGACCACCGGGGCCTTGAGCATCATGTTGGCCTTTTCAGAAATCATGAATCCTGACTGCAGCCCTTGTCAAAGGCCAAGCAACTTCTGCAGGCGGTAGTGAGAAATTTCTTTGAAATGTATTTTTTGGGGGTAGTGATGTGAAACAAGTTGACAGCAACTAACCCTCAATCATAATAGCTGATGGTGCTAAAATTACAAACAAAACTGTAATCCCTGGGGAAAAAATCTTCAAAAAGGGAGTCAGTGGTGCTCCAGCTGAAGTTATTAGCAAACTCCCCTTAAACTTCTCTGGGAGGAAATTTGGGTCGGTTAAGGTCCCTTCTTTAAGTGGATTCTTATTTCCTCTGTATGCTTTGCTGAGCTACTGGGCCACCGTGAGTGTCATCTGTTTAAAAATATTTCCTTTGGGGCGCTTACTCTTCTGGGTCAATCAAGAGCTCAAGCAGATCATGGTAAATAATTATTTATGAAGGAAAAAAATGCATGGAGCAAACAGTATAGAAGGCAAAAGAACAATTCTGCGTACAGGGGGTCCAGTTTGGGAAGGTGACAAAAGGGCTCATTGCTTGTGAACTTGCTATGAACTTGTGTGTGTGTGTAAGAGGAATGTTGTGTTGCTGTCTCTGGTTAGCAGACAGTTGAGGAGCTGCATCAGTGAGACACAAGGTTATCCCAATATATCAGTAGAGTTAGAGAGCTCCCTTCTTTCTATTTATCATAGGTTGTAACTGTGTCCCATAGAAAGGCAAAGAGAGAGAAAAATGAGCAAAGAAGCCCCGAGTTGCTTCAGCTGATGCAATGTCTGCACTGTAGGCTAAAGACATAATTTTTAATAACCGAAATCTTCTGATGAAATGGTGCTATCTTGGTGGGTTTGTTTTCAAAAAGGGTGTTTGGGCTTGTTTGTTTTCTGCCAGATTCCATCTTGCTATGGTGCTACAGTATATGTCAAACCAGAGAACTGTACAATTAACTGATAATAGAAAGTTTCAATGTTTTAAATACATGTTATTTTTAAAGTCTATGCTCTGAGTCTAAAATTTACAGCTACATAATTTTTAGCTCATTTACATGTGTGTAGATCCAGCAGAGGTTACTTTGGTATAAATGACAACTGTCCACATCCTAGGGCTCGATCCTAAGCTGATAAAAATGGAGCAGCACAGCTCAGGATCAGATGCTGAGAGTTATCTTTTTACTCATTCAAGTAGTCCTACTTCGCTCGATGGAATCAGGTGCTGGCAAAACTACCACCAGTGAAAAGGGCTTCTGGGATCAAGCTCAAAGGAAGTTTAACTATGAATAAGTAAAATTTAAAATGCTTTCCTTAAGCAGCTGGAAAATAAGGTACTACAAACTACTTTGAGATAACACTTGTGCCAGTTTATCAAGTGTGCCTGGTGCAGGAATATGTAACATTCTGTATTGGTAATTATTATGCAAAAACAATGGGTGCTGAAATGAAAGTTTTGAGGTCACTCCAAGACAGAGCAGCTATTTATAAAGCAATGTAGTTGCGTCTTCTCCAGCTTCCTTGCTTGCTTGCTTTTATAGTTAACAGCAAAAAGTTATGACTTAGTCCTGCATTCCTTAACCAAGGAAAAATCCTCCTTGGACCACATCTGCATCTCAGTGTAAACAGGTTTATTCTATAGATGTTAATATTGAAAACGGACCCAACCTGTTAAAGGTTCATAGTGGAGAAGGGAACCAGGGTCTGGCCGCACATGGATTTGCTACCCTTTAGTCTAAAATGCCTGCTTCATTCTGCTACTTTAGGATGGCTTTTTCTTTGTATATTGCTATTTGTGAGTAGTTGTGTCTGAAAGTTTTACAAGATACCTTTTTGGTGCTATTTATTTTCTCTCTCACTCGTTGTCTTTCACTTTTTCTCTCTCTTTTGTTCACAAGACTTGTTTTAAATGTGTACAGAAGCCAGGTTTTCATCATATAATAAGCTTGCTGTTATCACAATACATACAAAAAATACCTCAGAAACAGAGTATTGTGGCAACCTGTGATTCAGTTATAGCTAATGGGATTGATACAAATATTAGAAACAAGGTGTGTATTTTATTACGTCAACACTGTACTTGACATCCTATAAACTGTATGGCCTTTGTTGTTCTATTCTTGGGCAAGTTCTCACTTTCAAAATAATGAAACATAATGAGGAATCAGTGTACAGAACTAATAAAAAGGTGAACTGGGAGAGTGGTGCTTTCATTTCAGTAAACAGTAGATTTTACTGAAGTACCTCAGAACAGCGTATGGCCCACATGGGAAAGCATTTTTAGAAATAAGATCTTAAGCAGCTATATTATCAGTAATCAAATAATAGTTTCTGCACGTTTGGTTAAAAAAAATCTGCCCCAATAGAATGTTCTCAAACTCTTTTTGCTGCAGAATTTGCAAAGGTTTCCAATGATATTTTGATTTGGGAACAGCAAAATCCTGACTTGATTCATCACCCCCCGCCAGCAAAAAGTGCATTATTTTTTCAAATATGCCATCCAGTTGGATTACTCCACTAAGTAGTTTTGAAAATGCAGAAATAACAACTCTGGGTGGACTAAGAAACAGATTCCAGGGGCAAAGATGAAATGTTGGTGCTAGATTGGGACAGATGGCATATTGCTCTTAGCGCCATACCACTTCATGGACAGTATGTGACTTGTTTTTCCAGACAGCAAATTATAAATCTTACGGTAACTAGCAAAGAGCAACATTCCTGTATTCTCTTAGGAAGGCAGTTCTCTGTGGAATGCAACAAGAGTCTTGCCTGCATTAAGAATATTTCATGGTCAAGATGTGAATTGTTGTTTCTCTTTTTTGCCTAAGAATAGTAAAGCAAATTGGCCAGTTTTGTCTTCTGCTCCAATATCAGGGATATATTTTACAAGTGGTTTTTGTTTGCCATCCTTTTCCTCCTTTTTTGACACCTGTTGTTTAGAGTTTACTCACTGCTGTTCAATCTTTGGAAAACGTCTGCTGTCCAGCTGGCTTTTGGCTTTTGATTTTCTTTTTGCGTGTAAAACTAATTAAAAAGGTATAAAGCTGACTTCTAAATACTTTTTTTTTTTTAATTTAAGAGAAATGAGGAAAAGAAACAGGTTGGATTTGGCAGACTAATTCAGTTTAGTTAACCGAAGGCTGTAACTTCTCAACGTATTTGATTTCTTGTCTCTTTGAATTCACATTTGGTAAACGAGGCCTCCAGTGGAGGCCACCTTGTGGACCACACTTGAAGATTTCTTTGTTGATTTGTGACTTGAAATGAAGTTTATCTGGGGTTGGTTGACAAATGGTAGATTTTACAATGTCTCAAGGCAATAGGACTTGTGTATTAAACTGTAGATATCCTTAGTATGGTAAATTTATGCTGATAATTTTATTTTGTATAATTTCCCCCTCTTGTCTGTATTTTTTTTTTCCTTTCACACTTCTCCCTTCAGTGTCTCTGAAAATTTATTTTTAGGATGCCTAAAAATTGCAAATATGGACCCTTCTTTTTTTTAATTTGTATTTTATTATGTTACACAACCAACTGGTTTGTGAAATGTATTATTCCCGATATCTTTAAACTATTGTGGGTGTTTTAATAAATTTTATATTTATTTTTTGCACTCAAATTCTGTGTGTTTTTTTCCTCTCCATCATCCAAGCTTAAGATTTCTTCTCACATTACATTTAAATGGTATTGAAGTAGTAATGGAAGTCATCAGGCTGATTTGCCATTTGCCTTATGCCCCTCATGCCCTGGCCATGCTGACACTCACTTAACTGCGTGGTCCTCCTTCGTGGACAACAACGGGCACGTGGGATGCCTGTCCTTCACCCTTCCTTTTTTTTTTTTTTAAATCATATTTATTAAAGTTTCCAAAAATATAAAAATACAAAGAAAAAAGACAAAAGAAAAAAGATATTTAAAAACCTTACTTTCATTCCCTACTTTCTGGGACTCCCCCCCCCCCAGTTGTATTCCCCTTTCCTTAATTTGGTTCTACAAGCTCTCACTCCCAATTTAAAGCTTAATTTGTTTAACCCACTATCCAGATTGAATTGTACAAATCTTACCACCGTCCCACATCATTAACAGAAAAAGAAAAGAGATTTTCCCCAAGATCCACCCCAGTTCCTTCCACAAATTCCCTTTTTTTTAAACACGTCCGATCAAAGTAGAATAACATACGTAAGTTATGTAAAGAAATAGAAAATAAGAGATATAGAAAAGTTCAAAAGATGGTTACACAGCCTTTGGATTTCAAATCTCCCCCCCCCTTCCCCGGTTTGAATTCCCCATGTCCATCAGTCTATACATTATCAGCTTGGAAGTCTCATTTCATGACCAGATTTCTCCCGATTCCATCTTGCCGGTTTTCTTTTAATTTATTAATTTAAATAATATTTAACTTCAAATGTCCAATCTAACAAAGGCCTTTAATTTCCTTGATCTTTACCACTCCTCCCGTTGTTCTTTCCGTGTCGTAATCAGTCCTTTATTCTTCTTATTCCTCACTTTCTCAGGTTTCTTGTCCTGTTCAGCTGCTAAAACTTTCTAATTCAGAAATCTAGTGTCTCTGCAGAGGTTTGTTATTCAGGAACAAAAACTTACGTCCAGTCCCTTCCTTTCTTCAATAAAAATTCCATTGTCTTCCTCTGTAGACAAAATACTCTTTCAGTTTTGCAGCTTTCCCAGAAGATAACAAGTCCTGTACGAATCCCAGGGTATTTTTCCACTTACGACCGTTCTTGTAGTATCCCGAAACCCCTCTAGGGGGATTGTAATAACTTTGTATCCTCTAATCCAAAAGTCAAATTGTTGCTTATTTTCCAACAGTTTATATCCATATTATAGCAAATTGTAACAAAATTAACCAGCAAGGTCCTCATAACAAAGTCCTCTTTATATTCTCCAGCTTTGACAGCCACTTTGACAGCTGTCAAAGTCTCCGTCTCTCTTCACCAGGCTCCACGAATCGCCCCGGTTCCCAGGGGGGGGGTTGCATATTTCTTCTCACCCTCCACTCTTCTCCTCCAGCACATTTCTTATAATTTCCCATCGTGAAATTAATGATTTTTATCTGAGATATACTTCCCTTTGGACCTTGGTTACCCAGTCCTTGGTTTGGAATGCTTACAATAGGGGGGATTGACTTCCTTTTTAAATCGCCCCCGCTCGTGCCAAATCCAAAATTTTGAACCCGGTTTCCCAATTACTCACGGGTTGTTGTTAATAGTCCAAATTTTCAATGGAAGAAGTCAGCGCTCTCCGTCGAATGGCATGCGGCTGCGCTCGGCAGGGAAAGCAGTGGACTCAAAGCACCACGCCACTCCCGGCACCCGATCCGAAGCCTTTAAAAAGGCTCCTTCACGAGTCGGGAGGGCGCTAATGGTGCAAGCCGAGTCACCCATGTCCACGGACTCCGTGCCCGTGGTTTTTAAGGGTCCCCGCGTCGCCGGCGCGGTAGGACCCAGCCCCTGCCGAGCAGACTCCCTCCGGAGCTCGGAGGGAGTCCGCCATTCGGCGATGGCGCTAACCCGGAAGTCCACCCTTCCTGATACACAGAATAATGTGGCTGGACTGCTTGCTCAACTCATTTGGCTAGTTTCCTATTACGGAGGTCTAAAACAGCATTGGACACACTTAGTTTTCCTGGGCGTGTTCACAGAGTCTTCAGTGTTCAGTGCAGGGAAACCAGTTGAGGTGCCCTAAACCCGCCTCTACCCAGGGGGTGCAAAAATCATGCCTCTCCACTCTGGCTTAGCACACTCTCTGAGCTGCTCCTCTGCTGCTCTGGCTGTCTGGCTGAGGAGTGCAGTCTCCTCTGGCCACCTTGGTGGAGGAGCATAAGGGACTGGGGGTGGGTGCTGATAACAGATCCTTGCCAAGGGCGCTAGAGAGCCTAAATATGCCTGTGATGCAAAGTCCAACGCCTCTTTTCCTCTGTGTCACATACACACAAACTGCCTTCCTCTTTCTCAGTCAGGTGATAATTAGGGCTACCCCAGCAATCTCCCTCTGCCTTGGGCTTGGAGAGTGACTCTCTGGGCAGGGGCATAGTGTGGACTGCCAATGCCCAGGACAAGGCAAGCATTGCATCCCCAGCCTGTGGACCGTTAGCACTTCCTGAGTCCCTTCCACCAGTCCAGTATTGAACCCCTTCTTACCCCCAAGCATATGCATTGTATTTTAAGAAAATACTGATGTAATTAAAGTAAGATGCATTTAATGATAGTATACTTAAATGTATTTAAAATCACTTGGTTTAAATTTGTGCAACTTTTTCAATAACAGTCTTGAAAACTACATTGAAAGCTCTCTCCATGGACAGTATTGCTAGGTTACTCAGTCTTTCTTGGCTCATTGTAGATCTTTTGATTAAAGTATTGCGATCCTCAAGATGGGATGCACTTTTTTCACAGTTGCTGCCATGCACTTGGGTGGCATCTTCACCACCTTGACCCTGAGGTCTTGTTTTGAAGTTGGTGCAGGGGGGAAATCATAGGAGGGTGCAGGGACTGCACAAAGACACAAGAGGGTGCTGTGGCCTAACAAATGAGGACCAAGGAAGCCTTAAAAGCAAAGCTAACATTCTCCTGTTGCCTCGATCAGCCAGGATGCCTGTTCCCTAAATGAAATAGGAAAATTTGGAGACTTCGCACATATACGGACACAAACTACCTAATGCATGCAGAGTGCTGTGGGCTTGTGCTCTCAGGGCACAACAGCTCTCCCAGGATTTCATTCTGAACTTGGAAGAAATTGATCTTTTAGTGTTGCAGCAACCAGAGTTTGTTTATTTCACAAAATGTATACACTGGTTTATTTGGTTTTTTTTAATGGTTAAAGCAGTTTTGCTAAAAAGATACAAGAAAAATTATCAATAAGGAAGAATAATAACCATAATTTAAGACTTTAAAGTTTAAAACAACTGTAGACTGAAAACATTAAAACATGCACCAACTTTCCAAGCATCTGGGTAAAAAGGTAAAGGGACCCCTGACTGTTAGATCCAGTCATGACCGACTCTGAGGTTGCGGCGCTCATCTCGCTTTATTGGCCGAGGGAGCCGGCGTACAGCTTCTGGGTCATGTGGCCAGCAGGACTAAGCCGCTTCTGGCGAAACTGGAGCAGCGCACAGAAATACCATTTACCTTCCCGCCGGAGCGGTACCTATTTATCTACTTGCACTTTGACATGCTTTCACACTGCTAGGTTGGCAGGAGCAGGGACTGAGCAACTGGAGCTCACCCCGTCACGGGGATTCGAACCACCGACCTTCTGATTGGCAAGTCCTAGGCTCTGTGCTTTAACCCACAGCGCCACAGTGTCCCAAGCATCTGGGTAGGCTTCTCTAAACAAAAATGTTTTTTTAGCAGGCTCTGGCAAGCACCCTGTGAAGGCATCTGCCTGATGTCAAGAGGCGGGGAGTTCCAAAGTGCAGGTGTTGCCGCCCTCCAAGGTGGAGGTCCCACGTGGCAGCAGCGGCAGAGCCAGTGCCGCCGACTGAGGAGATGGAGTAGGACTGCCTGGAAGGTGGTGGCCTCTCCTTCTGCTCCGAGCTTTCCCCTGTTAACTCTATGCTCTTGGGAGAGCCGGAAGAAGGGGCGGCATTGCGACTCTGCACGTTTCCTAACTCTGTGCTCTTGAGAAGAGCCGAGAGGAGCAACCCGGCTGCACGGCGCACGCGCGGAACGTCATCTTCCAGCGCCTCCAAGGCGCGCTCCCCTCTGACGCAACGGCGCGATGGCTGCCGCCGTAGCGAGGATGGCCGCTTGTCGGGGGAAGGTCGGTGATCTGTGGGCGGAGAGCTGCGGCCTCCTTGGCGGCGCTCTTGGCCGGAGGCCCTGGAGCGGGGAGGCCCCGGGCAGCGCCGCCCAAGCCCGCTCCTCTGCCCCAGGCGCAGCCCCCGCGGGGTGGGGCCCCCGGCGCCCTCGGCTCTGGAGCAGCGCCGTCGCCCCAGGGACGAGGAGAGCGCCTCCTTCGCCTTCCCGCCCCCGGGCAATAAGGCGAGGCGCTCGGGGAGCCTGCTGCCTGACGCTGCGCATGGGTCCCCCCTTCCCCGCCCCCCGAGTTTCTGGTTTATTCTGCGTCGAGTTTCTGGTTTATTCTTGGTAGGGATCATAGCTGTCAGCTTTCCCCCCTTTTTAAGGGAAATTCCCTTATTCCGAATAGGATTCCTCGCAAGAAAAGGGGAAAGTTGACAGCTATGGTAGGGATCCCAGTGCGGAATACTGTAACTTGTGGGAGAGCGAGAGCCAGGCATTTTATTTTATTGCGTGTGCCATTGTGATTTAGGGGATTGTCAGTGGTGGAGCATGCCCTTAGCATGCAGAAGGTCCCAGGTTTAGGCCCCAGCATTTCTAGGTAAGGTTGGGAAAGATTTGGGGCCGAAATGCTGGAGAACCGCTGCCAGTCAGTGTGGGCAATACAGAGCCATGTGCAGTGTGACTCAGGTGGTGGCAGCTTTCCATGTTCCCATAGGGACGTTTGCATCCTTTGCCATTATTATAGTTGGCTTTTTTCTGATGATATCCCAACTAACACAAACTCTTTCCATTTCTCATCAGATCCATTTTCTTCTGCGCAATATAGTGCGAACCTTTGCTTCACAGACGGAGGGAGAAATCAGGGTGGCACAAGTGCTTAAAGAAAAGTTCCCTCAGGCTGCTGCTATCAAAGTAGTAGATATATCAGGTAATTAGCAAAGCCTCAGGCTCTGTCTGAACAGTTACCATTCTGCAGGCTTTCCTGTGATCTGAATCATTTTTGTAGATAAGATTTGGAGAAAGGCATTGCTTTGTGGTTACCGTATTTTTCGCTCTATAGGATGCACTTTTTCCCCTTCAAAAATGAAGGGGAAATGTGTGTGCGTCCTTTGGAACGAAGATGCCATAGCCCCGCGACCCTCTCCTGGCTGGATAGGTGACGCGCGGCTATGGCAGGAACCTCTACAGCCCCGTGTCACCTCTCCAGCCGGGACAGCGCGCGCGGGGCTAAAGAAGCCATAGCCCCGCGACCCTCTCCCGGCTGGAGAGGTGACGCGTGGCTATGGCAGGAGCCTCTCCGCTGCACCTTTCCGCTGCTCCTGACCTGCTCTTTGGGGCTGGCGGTGGGCTTCCCCCCGCCCGCCCCAAAGAGCCGGGCGACCGGAACGTGAAGCCTGGATCGCGTGAGGGGTCAGGGCACACCGACCCATCGCGCTCTCCAGGCTTCCAAGGTAGCCGCCTGAACACACCTTAAACAGCACCTTGTTTTAGAGCGGGAAAACAAGAGGGGGAAAGTTCTCCCCCTCTCTGTGCAGCGCCTCCTGCTGCTTCACTGAAGGGGCGCTGGGCAGAGAGGGGAAAATTTTTTTTTTCTTGTTCTCCCCCCTCTAAAACAAAGTGCGTCCTATTGTCCGGTGCGTCCTATGGTGCGAAAAATACGGTAATTGTAATTTTGGGTTAAGATTAAGAGTTGGCATTGTGTGCCCCTTAGTCTACCTTGTGGGTTTACATTAGCCTAATGAGAAATACTGTTTTTCTCATTTTGCTCTTAGGATGCCTTTAATAAAGGTACTGTATATTGAAAAATGCAGTGGCAGTACTCTTAGAGAATCAACATGTAGAGAGAAATGAAAAAGCTAGATGAATTTCCCCCCAAATCTTGTAAATTCTAAGTCCAGCTAACAGGCAGTTGGTTGCCTTAGGTTTCCCATGTTGTTATTGTTGTTCTTTGGTGATCACTCGTAGCCAAATAAGATTGTTTTCCATGAATATGGTCTTAACAGTGTGTCCGTAAGTGACTGTGGAGGCCAATTCTGGAGCTGCAAATCTTTCCACAGTGAGGACATAGGTTTCTGGGCAGGAGTTGATCACGGTGAGGATTTGCCAAACGTGCCTTCCTCTTAGCTCATGCAGAATACAATGCAGTTTTCATTTGGTATCCACTGCAGTCATGAACATTTCATTTCATTATTTAATACTTTATACCATTGTCTTGGCTGCCAAAGTACAGCACAGAACACAAAATAAAAATCACCTCTGCAAAATTATAATCAATAATGAAATTGAATGAATCCTAAAACTAAAAAATAAAGTTAAATGTTAGAATGAAATAAATTTTATAAGCCAGGTTTGGGCCATCTATTAAAACAGGAAGAGCAAAGTGGCCCAGATATGCTCCTTGCTGAAGTATATTCCAAAGTTCAGGCAACACCACAGAGAAGGGTTGACTTTGTGTTCCCACAAATCGCACTAGTGTGAAATCTGGGGCACAGAGCATTGCTTCCCTTGAGAGTGGAGTAGAACATATGGAGGATCCTGAAAGTATAGAGGGCCTGCACTATGAAGGTAGTTGCCAGGATGTTGAATTGGGCTCTGGAGCATATTAGACCAGAATAAAAGTGATATTGCACTGTGACATTCCATAGCTCCCAAACATTGTGAGCAGCACCTTCTGTTATCACCAGCTGAGAAACTTAACAGGAAAGTAGCATAAAAGAGAACCCTACTGCGTTCTGAAGAGCTGGAGAGCCTGCATGGTGTAGTGATTAAGAGTGGTGGACTCGTAATCTGGTGAACCGGGTTCGCTTCCCCGCTCCTCCACGTGCAGCTGCTGGGTGACTTTGGGCTAGTCACACTTCTCTGAAGTCTCTTAGCCTCACTCACCTCACAGAGTGTTTGTTGTGGGGGAGGAAGGGAAAGGAGATTGTTAGCCACTTTGAGACTCCTTAAGGGGAGTGAAAGGTGGGATATCAAGTCCAGACTCCTCCTCCTCCTCTTCTTCTTCTGGAAGTATAACCTTGTGCATAATGCCAAAACGGACAAGCCTCCCAACCTAGGCTATGCCACCATCATGATGTTTGTCACTGAATAAACAACTTGTTTGCCCTCAACCATCCATCATCATAGGCTTATAGAATTGTAAAGTTGGAAGGGATCCCAAGGATCATCTAGTCCAACCCCTGCAGTGTAGCAGTCTCCACTAGATCATACATGACAGAAAGGCACAAATGATATATTGTAGAGTTAGTTATTATAAATTGTCATGTGGTTTCTGTTACCATGTAGATTTCTTTCCCTGGTTGATCGTGTGATACCCCCCTCCAAAAGCCCCTATTTAAAAGTGATATCAAGTTAAAAGAGCATAGGGGATTGTTAAAATAAAATAGCTGAAAATATGGTAAAATCAAATCAATTTTGTCAAGGTGGCTGTGGAGCAATGTATGAAATCCATATAGAGTCTGAAGAGTTTAAGGAAAAGAGAATGGTACAGCAACACCAAATGGTCAATCAGGTAAGCAGGTTAACATATTCTGGGTTGTCTATCTCTGTGTGGGAAATTATATTACATTTTCAGTTTCATGGATGCTTTGGATCTTGAGTTTTTGAGTTTCAAGCATTTTGCAGGATAATCTGCTCTTTTCTGTTCAAGCTCCCCCAAACTGTTCCCTATTCCATTTTCTTTGAATTAACTTAATTGTTCAAGTCTTTGACCTTAGTTGAGATGAGCTAATGCAAGCAGTAGAATAAAGTTTTGTATGGCCAGATGTTTAGAGCATGCTTATAAGTTGTCTTGGGTTGCCTTGGACAAGATAAACTGACCAACAGTTACAATAAATAATAGTAACAACAACAGAGATGGAATACTCTGAAGGTCGGTAACAATTCACCTGCTGCTCAGTGCATTGCAGTAAACAGCATCCATACCTGGACACAAATAGCTTCATTTTTTAACTAGTTGGGTTTTAAAATTCTACAAGCAGATGGCCAGAAGCACCTTTCCCCACTTTGAAAGCAAAATACATTGGATCAAATAGAAGCTGCTACTTTGAAATCTGTCTGTGCTTGAGGGGGTGTCTTGAACCATGCTTGGGTGTTGCCTTCTGGTCTTTGAGGTTGCTTCACCCCACTTTTTGTGTAGCTGCTTGCAATGCTTTCTTCCTCCAGGCTTTAAGTGATGAAATTAAATCAATGCATGGACTACGGATATTTACTTCTGTTCCCAAGCATGGAAGCTAGGAGTGGCTGACAACATGCAAGATTTTCATATTCCAGAAACTGGTGAGGCTCTGAGAGAATGCTGCTTAGCACATGATACAGCCAGATGCCTTTATTTCCACCCTCCCATGCTTCTCCATCTCCCTCTGATCTACAAACTACAAATAAAATCACTGTGCTGATGTGCTGTAAAATAAGGGTACCTAAGACTCGTTTCAAAAGCAGTATTTATTTCAGATGCAGAGGTCAGGTCTCTTAATTGCATTGATTAACCTCTTTCCCCCAAGAAGACTCGTGTCAGAGTATCATGTGAGTCTCTTTTGCCAACAGCTGTAGAGAAAGAATGAAGAATATTGTAGACAGGAAGAAGTACTCCTTGATAGCCACCCCTCTTTATGCAAAAGTATGCCAAAGTTCAAGGGAAAATTATAGATGAAATGTGCTGCACTTGTTTCTGGGGTTTATGGCAATTGAAGAGCTGAAAAGGAATTTGAGAACAATAACTTTAGAGAGATTACTGAAAGAAGAATGCAGATGCCTTGTACACAGAGTGCCTTCCTTGTAATAAGGTTGCTTTAAACCAGCTGTTACAAACAGCGCAGTTTTCTAGGGTTAAATGATCCTAGCAACATTGTTTTATTAGCTGTGGTGAGCAGGGCTGCCTGTCATGACCTTTCTAGGAATGTTACTGCAGTTAGTTTCTTGAAATGTTAAATGAGGTGTGATCTTTGGTGAAGAGTCATTTGCCATTTTAGCATGAGCAGCAGTGTTGAATTCTGAAAATCTAAAATAAAAATGCTACTTAAGTTTTCTTCCAGTCTAACTGCAAAGCGCTCTGTACTCTAATAGTATTGTATAGTGGCTGCACTGGAATACAAAAGGGACTTGTTGGACTGCAACTACAATTAGCCATATATCACACTGTGGTCTCTGGAAACTGCCAGTACCATTGCAATGCAACCTACTGTAATATTGGTATAGGATCCTTTGCACGCCCTGCAGCAAAGTTGAAAGGGCAACAGCATCACTTCAAGCCACAGAGAATGCAGCAACAGCATTAGATAAACCTCAGCAACCATGGCAACGTTGCTGGCATCCACCAATTACACTGCAGCATTAGGATGTCTTCACATTAACCTTGCGTGCCAGGAACCAAGCCATGCATAGTGACAGGGTACCCCTGTAATGCCATACTGCTCATCACACAGATGAGACTCAAACTGGCAGATACTACAGCACTTTCACCATTGAACCACTGTGGTGTCCTCAACACAAGGCAAGTTTTTTTTAATTACCACTTTAATAGGTTATCTTCCTGTGTGTTTAGTTCTCTGTAAATCTCACTGGAATCAAGAACTGAAGGGAAGATATATGCATGTTTTCATTACATAAACAGTCCAGCACTCACTGCAGCCGGGGGATTGAATCCCCTTTTTCCACATACAGAGCTTGCCAACAACTGCCTGTGTTGAAAGGGAAGCAGAATAAAGTGCAGAGGAGAAGGAAGATGGAAGCCCCTAAGAGCTGCTCTTGATTGTGGTCACTTGCTATTCATATTCAACAGTTCTGAGCACTTAGCCTGGCAGAACACAGTATGGAATGTGAGCATTGGATACCACCTGCTAAGTGATTAATGTTACAAAATGGCTGTGGAACGTGATGGAGCAGATCATACATCTGTGCCTCAACACACTTTTGTCTGTTTTTTAGTCATGTTAATAGAGAGAATCGTATCACCTTATTGTCTCTTGGCACTATAAAACACCCACTGTGATCCTAAAACATAGCTTGTGCTACAACCTTTATCACAGAAATGAGAGTGTTTCTTCAAATAAAACATAACCTCACTGTATCGCTGAAGTCTCAAGACTTGTTTTGGAGCTGTTTCACCAGAGTTCTAGTCAATTATTAATTCATTTTCTTGACTGCTTTCCACAAGAGTCTTAAAGCAACTTACAAACACTATAAAAATAAGAGTATTTAAAATTGGCAATTAACACACTAAAATCCACTAATATACAGTGGTGCCTCGCAAGACGAAAAGAATCCGTTCTGGGAGTCTCTTCGTCTAGCGGTTTTTTCGTCTTGCGAAGCAAGCCCATTGACGGATTAGCGGATTAGCGCTATTAGCGGCTTTTAGCGGCTTTTAGCGGCTTATCAGCATATCGGATAAGCAGATAAGCGGCTTAGCGGCTTAGAAAAAGAGGGGGGAAAGGAAAAAAAACCCGCAGGAACTCGCAAGACATTTTCGTCTTGCGAAGCAAGCCCATAGCAGATTCGTTTTGCGAAGCACCTCCAAAACGGAAAACTCTTTCGTCTAGCGAGTTTTCCGTCTTGCGAGGCATTCGTCTTGCGGGGCACCACTGTAATCCCCTAATATTTAATAAACAAATGAAACGATGGATAAACTTGGTCACCATAAAAGAATGCCTGCGGGAGCCGTAATGACCCATTCAAAAGCTTGGGAGAGGAGAAACCTTCATTTTGCACCAGAAAGATGTTAATGTCCCTGTTCACTTGCACAACAGAAACTATGGATGGACTTGGGGGACTGGCCTGCAAACAGACTGGCTTCACATTGTAATGAGAACTGAAAATATTGGTGTAAAACCAGTCTCCACAAGGGGGAGAGTGGAGCCGTCCTTGCTTCGTGGTGCAAGCAGGAAGAAAGCAAGATGAGCTTACCTGCCTCTTATTATTTCTCCTCCTCCTCAGCACATTACAAACGTTTGAGGCTAGCTTGAAACTTGCAGGGGTCTTACTGGCAGATGAGATGGTCCTGCTGTCACCTCCCACCTCTGGGAGTGGCCCTCTGGCAAAAAACGTGTGTGTGAAATACCAGGTGTTAGACCTGCTTTTCACATTGAGTGGGCAGTATTTGACTCACTACTAGAGATGTATGTTTTTGTGGCAAGAATAAGGCAATGAGTAATTGTGTTGTGGGGGTGGAGAGTATTGAGAAATACAAAGCACATATCTTTCTAATCACACCTTAGCACACTTTGCTGATTAAGAGCATGGTAATTTGTTTTGCAAACAGGCATGTTCAGCAAATATATGAATTAATCTCTGCATGGCATAGAGCACCCTTCCCCAAATTTGTGCCCTCAGGCTGGTTGGGCCTGATTGAAGTTGTAGTCCAAACCATCTGAAGATCACCAGGTTAGGGAAGGCTTGCATAGAAGTCCATGCTAAAGAAAGTAGAACCCAGCACAAATTTCTCACATCTCCATCGCTGACCTTATTTAACACCAGCTACTGTGTGGGAAAAGCCACTGGGAATTGTGTTACATCTTATAGTGGGCTCTTTGCCAAACCTTCCAGAGATTTTTTTCTCCTTGCTTGCCTGGGAGACTAAAAGCAGCAGGAGAGCTTCCATCAAGCAGGTCGTCTGAGGCTAAGCATCCATATGCACACTGAGTACAGTTGCCTAGCAGGCTTTGATAAAATCAAAGAATTGTAGAGTTGGAAGGGATTCCAACCCCTGCAAAGCAGGAGTCTTATCTAAGGCATTCATGATGGCTGGCCGTCCAATCTTCAAACCTCCAAGGAAGGAGAGTCCACCACCTTCTAAGGAAGTGCATTCCTGATGTTTAGTTGGAATTTCCTTTCTTGTAACTTGAAGCCATTGGTTTGAGTCCTACCCTCCAGAGCAGGAGAAAACAAGCTTGTTCTATATTCCATGTGACAGCCATTGAGATATTTGAAGATGGCTATCATATCTCTTCTCAGTCTCTCTTCCAGGCTAAACATACTCAGGTCCTTCAACCATCCCTCATAAGGCTTGGAATTGTTATAAAATGTAGAGTGCACACACACAGCAGACACATACTTCACAGAAAACCAATCCTTCACCCTTCAAAATATAGGAAATATTTTCTGAGAAAATTACACATTAGTTTAGCACACAGAACAATCCCCAAAAGCCATCCTGACTCTCCTAAAAATTTCCTCTGCAGAAGAGAAACCTTTCCCAATAGTTCTTTCACTTTCAAATCCTGTCTTAAGGGCATATTTTGTGTATGAATAGCGTGGGCCTGGCACCTGGATGAGAACCAAAGTATTTTCCATCTCAAAAGAATGGCCAGACTGCCCAGGTAAAGCTATCAGTAAAACCTTATCAGATATCCTGGCAGAAAGAGAAGCCACACAATCAAATTTCTGTTGTAGACTGCCTCTTTCTGTGATTCATATTTGATGCTTTTAGTGCATAGTCTTTGGCTAATGGGTTGGGCAAAGTCTATAAAGGGGCTTGCACTCCTTTGTTCTGGGTCTCTCGCCTCCCTGCAAGGAGGTGGGGAACCCTGTTGCAATAGAAAAATAAAATATGCCTTGCTTTCAGTAGATCCTGCCTCCAAACCCTTGTCTGACCGATCATGGACTTATGGGACTCAAGAGTCCCTTGGGGAATTGGGCAGCAAAAGCCAACCCCCCATTTTTCTACAACAGTTTCCAGACCCTTGATTATATTGGTTGCTCTCCTCTGCACATGTTCCGGCTTGTCAATATCCTTACTAAATTGTGGTGCCCAGAATTGGACACAGTACATGCTAGCAAGGTTATGCTTAAAATTCTACATGGTAGGCTTAAGCAGTATGTGGACGGAGAACTCCCAGAAGTGCAAGCTGGATTCAGAAGAGGCAGAGGAACCAGAGACCAAATTGCAAACATGCGCTGGATTATGGAGAAAGCTAGAGAGTTCCAGAAAAACATCTGCTTCTGCTTCATTGACTACACAAAAGCATTTGACAGTGTAGACCACAGCAAACCGGCAAGTTCTTAAAGAAATGGGAGTGCCTGATCACGTCATCTGTCTCCTGAGAAATCTCTATGTGGGACAAGAAGCTACAGTTAGAACTGGATATGGAATAACTGATTGATTCAAAATTGGGAAAGGAGTACGACAAGGCTGTATATTGTCTCCTTGCTTTTTAAACTTATATTTAATTCATCATGCGAAAGGCTGAACTGGATGAATCCCAAACTGGAATTAAGATTGCCGGAAGAAATATCAACAACCTCAGATATGCAGATGACACAACCTTGATGGCAGGAAGTGAGGAGGAATTAACCTTTTAATGAGGGTGAAAGAGAGCACAAAATATGGTCTGAAGCTCAACATTAAAAAAACTAAAACCATGGCCACTGGTCTCATCACTTCCTGGCAAATAGAAGGGGAAGAAATGGAGGCAGTGAGAGATTCTACTTTCTTGGGCTCCACGATCACTGCAGATGGTGACAGCATCCACGGAATTAAAAGACGCCTGCTTCTTGGGAGAAAAGCAATGACCAACCTAGAAAGCATCTTAAAAAGCAGAGACATCACCTTGCCAACAAAGGTCCGTATAGTTAGAAAGCTATGGTTTTCCCAGAAGTGATGTATGGAAGTCAGAGCTGGACCATAAAGAAGGCTGATCGCCGAAGAAGTGATGCTTTTGAATTCTGGTGCTGGAGGAGACTCTTGAGAGTCCCATGGACTGCAAGAAGATCAAACCGATCCATTCTGAAGGAAATCAGCCCTGAGTGCTCACTGGAAGGACAGATCCTGAAGCTGAGGCTCCAAGACTTTGGCCACCTCCTGAGAAGAGAAGACTCCCTGGAAAAGACCCTGATGTTGGGAAAGATGGAGGGCGCAAGGAGAAGGGGACAACTGAGGACGAGATGGTTGAATAGTGTTCTCGAAGCTACCAGCATGAGTTTGACTAAACTGCGGGAGGCAGTGGAAGACAGGAGTGCCTGGCGTGCTCTGGTCCAGGGGGTCACGAAGAGGCGGACACGACTAAACGACTAAACGACAAATGCCTTTCCTTGACCTGGACCCTCGACTTCTGTTGAGGCAGCTTAGAATACCGGTAGCATTAGCTATTTTTGTACCGAGAACTAAACACACAGGAAGATACGCTACTAAAGCCGTGATAAAAAACCCGCCTCGTGTCTTGGACCCCGCAGTGGAAACTTCCCCCTTTCAGAGCAAAAGAAAAGAGAAGGAAGCGCCGCCCGCGGGGTTTCCTGCCTGCACAAGCCACGGCCACGCCCCTTCCCTCAGATTGCTTTATTTCAGGACCTGTAAACTCGCTCTTTTTCCTGCGGTTGACCAATCAGGACTTTCGATGGGCGTTTCAGCCCGCCCCCCGGGTCCCGCCTTCCCGGGTTGCATCAGCCTTTCCCTCCGCCGCTTACAGTAGAAGCCACGGAGCGCTCCTCGGAAGCCCCCCGCCCTGCATTGGCGTCATTCCCGGCCCTCGCCCAATCGGGGCAGCCGCGGCTCTCCCCTCGCCGGATTGCGTCATTCCCCTTTGCGGCCAATGGCGGCGAGGCCGGCTTGGGAAAGGGGGCGGGGCGGAGCCTTTATAAGGCCTTGCCCTGGCGCCGCCGCCGCTTCCTCGCCCCTCGCTCTTCGCCCGCCTCGCCCAGCGCCGTCGCCATGGCAACCGCCTCCGCGCGCCCGCTCTTCCGGATCCTGGCCCGAGCCGCCTCGGCCGGCCCCGCCGCCCCTTGCTGCTGCCCGCGCCTGCCCGGCCCGCGGGGGACTCGCCGGCTGCACCTCACGCCGCCCAGGTAGGCGGGGGGGGGGGTCCTCTGTCGGGCGGTGGAGCCTCCCTGGCCGGGCGCAGTCTACCTGAGGAGGAGGAGGAGGAGGAGGAGGAGAGTGATAATGGCCACTTCGAGGCTTCCCCCTCTCTTTCCCTGCTCCCCCCCCCGCGTGTCCCGGCTTCGCCCGGCCGCCGCTTTGGGAGAGGAAAGGGGGCAGGAGGGCTGGCGGCGACCCCCCCCGCGACCCCCGGCCCATCTCTGCCCCGCCGCTTCCCTCGGGGAGCCCCTCCCGGGCGGGCGGGCGGGCGTCGTGGCGCCACTCCCCCTGGCGGCGGCGCGGAGGGCGGCAGGCTGATGAAATCGCCCCGGCCGCTTGCATGGCTCGGCCCCGAGCTGCTGCTGCTGCTGCTGCTGGCGCGGAGTTTCGCGCCGCCAGCCCGGGGTTGCTTCCGTGCCTCGGATGGGACGGGTCCCGGGAATGCTTCAGTATGATGGGCATCGGAGGGGCAGGGGCGCCCCAAGGCTTCCAGGAGCAAAGAGGTGGAGGTGCAGTGTGTGGTGTAATGGTTAGTGTTGGGCCAGGAGACCCGAGGTCACTGCACTCCCCGGGGGCTAGCAGGCACTGTCTCTCAGCCCGCCCTACCTCGCAGGGTTGTTGTGGGAGATTATACGAGGAGGGGGAGAACCACATGCGCTGCCTTGAGCGCTTTGGAGAAAAAAAGGTGGGCTATTAAATAAATACATAAATAGTCGTTGCTTGAAAAGGAGTACGGAATCCTGTCCCTAGAAACCTGCTGAAGTGGAGGGTGCGGGTCCCAAGACTTTCAAGGGCAAAGTGTGGAGCCTTAATTGGGAAAGGGGCACCTGTCATCTTTCTCTCTCCCTGGTGCTCTTATCGCTTGAGGAAGCCTGGTCTGCTAGCATGCAGGATAATATTCTGCAGTTGCACTTTCCTCACTTTATGAAAAGCAGCTTTGAGAACTTGGTTGGTGTTGGGAAAACAAGTTTCCCAGGCACTTTTTGAGATTCTGGAAGTTTGAAGAGTGTGCAAAAGGAATGTGTGAGAAAGATGATTTCTTTCCACAGCAGATTTGACCCGTGGGTATCAGTGTACCTGATTCACCAAGACCCATTGCATGCTAGCCAAAACCCCAGCATGGTTGGCTCACAGTAGCGGCAAGGGGGTTTCCTGCCTCACTGCAGCAAGAAGTGAAACTTGCTTCGGAGGCTGCACCAAAATATCCTCCATTGTTTGCACAGAGATAGTAGCTTGATTAAAATGCTTTTGCCTGAATATATTTAAATGTTCTTCCAAATGGGCTCTGTGAAGTCATTCTACTGATACTGCAGTGGCAATTGCATGTAGAATTGGGCATTTTCTATTTTTTAGAGCAAGAGAAGGCCTGATCTTGTTCTGGAGCTCATCCTTCTCTTACTCTTCATAGTGCCTATGAAGTTATGTAATGCCTTTGTGGCAGTTGTTCGTGTGAAGTTTTTAGCTCCCTTGCATTCTTGCTCCATTTTGCCAACTGTTGGCTGTAGAGCGCATGCATTCGGCTGTGCCCCCTCCCATGTCCCTGTCCTTTTGTTAGGCTTCTGCCTCCCATGAGATCTGTGAACCTTTAAGTGTTGGGTCAGATAGCCTGGGAATAAGTGTAAGCTGCTCTGTGGGAAAGTAATGAATTTCCAACAAGACACTACTAAGCTTTTTGAGGATCAAATGCTTTAAAAACTCTCTGCTTGCAGGAATGAAGCAGTTGTCATTTCTGGGAGGAAGCTGGCCCGGCAGATCAGGCAAGAAGCCCGTCATGAAGTGGAGCAGTGGGTTGCAGATGGAAACAAAAGGCCCCATCTCAGTGTGGTTCTAGTTGGTGAAAACCCTGCCAGCCACTCCTATGTCCTGAACAAAACCAAGGCTGCGGCTGATGTAGGTAAGTCTTTCCTGGCCAGCGTCTTCTGCAGTATTAGTCATTGCACTATTGCTGGCAGAAAAAGGGTCTCAGATGAGTGTCGGTCCCCATAACTCAGTTTGGTTTGTCTCTCCTCCTGACCATCTCCTGGAGCCTGTCTCAGCTGCTGCTTCCTCAGCTGCCCTTCGTTTTGAGCAGTGTAACCTCGCCTTACCTCAGGAATACTGGCTGCAAGTGGTTCCCAGGGTTTAAAAGAGGCATCCTTCCTGGCCCTACCTGGACACACCCAAGACTGAACCTGGGATCTTTTGTATGCAAAGCAAGTGCTCAGCTGCTGAGCTACAGGCCTCCTCTAAATTTTGGGCAGTGAAGGGGCTGGGGTGCAGACGGGTGTGCCTGTCAGCTATATGGCAGACTGCAGCAGGGTTTGGCCAATGCACTCTCTCCCCCACCACAGTCCACTTAATTTTGTTTTCTCTGGTTTCTGCCATCTCATCCCTAATGCTGCTGCTCTAATAATCCTGCTTCACTTTTGTGTCAGTAATTGTTTCAAAGCTTGAGGTGGGAAATTGAAGTAGGACTTGAAAAGTTTCAAGCTGAAAAATGCAGCAGGTATTGCCTCTTTAGTACTTCCTGCTACTATGGTGGTATTAGTAGCAACAGCAGAGATCTAAGCGCTTTAAAACAATATTTTGGGTTGCTGAGCTTTGTCAGAACTCTGTCTAGGCAGCAGTTGCTTTTGGGGCTTCACTCTAGATGTGACTTTTGAGTGGAAAATGTAAAAGGAGAAAGACCCCAGGGCTTGGCAGCCACTTGAGGTTTTCATTTCACTGGTCAGATTGCAGTTACTGGATCTTCACTGCCTCATCCACTCTTGCACTCTTGCTGTAGTTTGACATGAGGACAGTGGGCCTCATGTATCCTAAAGAATGTACACAACATTTTTGCACTGTTAAGCAACTCTGGTATTCATAGCTTCGTTTAGCTGGCTCCAGCAGTTCCCTTGCATAGTTTGCAAGCCTGCAAAGTGTTTTGGGAGGGGAAATGCTAACCAGGGGCAAAAGGCACAGGCTCACTGTCCAGATGTAGGATCATATATAAAGACACTTGTGCTTCACCAACTTGTGGACAATGTCACAATTAAAAGCCCTTCCCCATAGTCCAGGACACTTTTCACTAGAAAAGCCAAAATGGGGTGTTGCTCACTGCATCTATTATTTCTTTTGCTTCTTCAGAATACTTTTCTAACAAACATTGCAAAATCTATTGTATTCTGCATTTCCATCTGGATCTGTTCTGTATCTTAATTTTGTGTGTGCTGCTGTTTGCCTATTGTGTTCCTTCTCTCCTGTATTTTTCCTCCATAATGACTTTTTAAAAAATTGTAAATGGCTTTGGACCAGGATTCTATTTGATTTCTCCCCTCCTGCCCCCCAAATAAAACAGAATAAAGTTTACACTGGAGCCATTCCTTGACTTATACTCATGAAGTATGGTTTACCAACTTCAATCGTCTTTTGACCCTCTTTCATCACTTTTGGTACTTGTAGGAATCAGCAGCGAAACGATCCTGAAGCCAGCCTCCATCACTGAAGAGGAGTTGCTTGATTTAATCAGCAAGCTAAACAATGACAGAAATGTAGATGGCCTCCTGGTTCAGCTCCCTTTGCCTGGTGAGTGCCGTGCTTTAGGAGAAGCTCTTCATCCAGCATCCCTAGACACAGACCCATAAGTGTCAGCTTCTGATTTCCCCCTCCGTTCATCCTGTTCCTGGGATTACATGCATCTGACTCCTTGCACTAAAATCTCTCTCCCCCCCCCCCCCACTTTCCCCTCCAGAGCATATCGATGAGAGGAAGGTCTGCAATGCTGTGAACCCAGAGAAAGACGTGGATGGCTTCCATGTGGTGAATGTGGGCCGGATGTGCCTTGACCAATACTCCATGCTGCCAGCGACACCTTGGGGCGTGTGGGAAATCATCAAGAGAACGGGTAGGTGTTTGTGTGCAAATACTGCTGACCTTGAGTCGCTTGAAAGAAGGCAGAGCCTGACTTGGGTGTGCTGTGTTGCAGGGATTCCGACCCTCGGCAAGAACGTGGTTGTGGCTGGACGGTCAAAGAACGTGGGGATGCCCATTGCCATGCTGCTTCATACGGATGGGCGGCACGAGCGCCCCGGAGGTGAGGGTCTGGGGGGCCTTCAAGTGGGAGCTGCTTTTCCCAGGGATTCTTTTCCTCTTGGTCCACTTTCCTGGTGAGACGGAGGCTTTTATGATATTTGCAGGAGGCAGCAAGTCATGTTTGCTGCGAGTTCTTGTCGCTGTGTGGCCCCAGACTGACAGGTCCACTGTGATACTGCCTCTTGCTTGCCTGGATAGAAAAGGGTGGAGGGTGTTGCAGGGGTGGGGGCTGCATGTGCAAAACTGGCTTTTACATTACAAAGTTAAGAACCACACTGGTCGCTCCACCCACTGCCTGCATGTTGCCCATATAACCCTTGCGTTATATGGAAGGTGTGCCTGCCCCACATTTTCCCTTCAGCTGAAGCCTTTAACTCCGAATCGTTAAACTGTTGTTGTTTTTTAATGCGCTTTTTCTTGAGGCGCTGGGAGGTCTTAGTGGGAGTATACAAAGTAATCAAACCCAAACTGTTTCATGAGGCGGGTGCGAGGAGTGCAGACTCTGTGGGTGGTAGGAGCATGTGGCGAATTGCCAGATGAGACGCAGCCCCATTCCACCTCCCTAGCCGCCACTTGCCCTTCCGAAGGCCGTTGGAGGCTTCTGCCAGGAGGCCCAGTGTGTCCTGTTCTCACTGTAACTTTTCTTTTCAGGGGATGCAACGGTAACCATCTCTCACCGCTACACTCCAAAGGAACAGCTCAAGCAGCACACGATTCTTGCTGACATTGTGGTTGCAGCTGCAGGTAAGATTCTGGGTGTCTTCTTTAAGAAAAAGAGCCGGAAAGCAGAAGCCCTTGAAGAACACGGCTGCCATTCCTGTAGTGGCCATGCTAAGAATAACTAGGAAGGATTCCCCTAGGAGTCTGAATGCCGACGCTTCTGCCTGTGGAATTTCACATGCTGCTTCAAGCAGATGGCTGTTGGCTTGCAATGGCTGCCCTATGTTATGATGGATGACAGGCACCCTTTGTCAAGCTCTTGGGCTTTGTCCTGTGGACGTCTGCCTGTGGCCGCATTAAATGAAGATCGGTAGCTGCCTTAGATGTTACATGCCGAAATGAAAGTGAATGAATTAAAATGTTAACCCCTGAAATGTTGCATTGCAGGCATCCCTAATCTGATTACAGCCGATATGATCAAAGAGGGAGCTGCGGTTATTGACGTTGGCATAAACAGAGTCCGGGACCCTGTTACTGCAAAACCAAAACTTGTTGGAGATGTGGATTTTGAAGGTAAGCAGGGTGCTTTGTATTTGGACCTCCAGTCCTCACAGTGTCTGATCTTGCCTTGCCTTAGGCCACCTGAGGCCATGCAGTTGTTTTGGTGTACGCCTCCGATCCATCTTGTTCTGACTGGGGCTGATAGGAATTGTAGTTCAAAACATATTGAGAGCGGCGGGTTGGGGAAGGCTGGGTTAGGCAGATAGGCTCCTGCTGTCTCAGCTATCCTTGGGAGGGTTGCAGTTTTGAACGAGCTGCATAGCTTCTCCTATAAGGCAGTGGGCTAGCTTGATGCAGAATATATCCGGTTACTTGATATCTCACATAAAAAAAGATTGTAATTCTTCCTTGTAACTTCATCCTGCAACTTCTGGATGGAGCAGCTGGTGGGCTGCGAATTTTGAATCTGGTGCGTGCTCTTGGCAGCACGGAGTGGACTCTTGCGTGTGACCTTGTTTCAGCGAGTAATGGCAGGAGTTCAAATTTCTGAAAGCTTTAGCACATGCAGCTCTTGATACTGTAAATATCAGCTTAGCTAACGTATTAAGACAGTTTGCCCGGCAGAGAAACACCTAGATCTGGCCAGTTTTGTTGTAATGTAAGGATGGGCAGCTGCCCAGAACTCCTGCTGAATGTACACCACTGTGTGGTTTGGGGCTTCTGGCAAAAGGGCCTGACTCCCTTTCCACTGTTGCCCTCGCAGGACTTCTCCTACCAATTACTCTGGCTGATAATATGGAAATACTCTTAACTATGGAAGGCATCTAGAATGGAGAATATGAGGGGTGCAGGCAGTGGACTTTGAAGGACACTGTAGCTCCTTAGGGTTTGTTTGTTTTTTGGTAAAGGTTAATAAGGATTCTGAACCTCTTATAGGACAAGGATACAAATTATGGGTATGTTATCTCACAATGCTAAGTTTTAGATATTTCGTTTTTGTTTTATTTGGCAACTAGCATGGAGACAAAAGCTCAGAGGTCTCTGAATCTGGGAGAGGTCTATGGTGGCTTTCCAGTGGTCAGGGGAAGTGGCAGTGGGGCTGTCAGCAGCACCTGTGGCTCTTACTTTGCCCTGCTTGGTCCCCTTGCCCCAACATTCACACTGTTGTGTCACCACAGCCTTTCCCAGCCCAGATTTCAGGGTTAGCTTCTTTGGGGCAGCCTCCCTCTGCACCCCCCCATCTTCTGTGATGGCTCTCTGCCTGTGGAATACTCTCCCCATGGAGACTTGCCTGATGCCTTTCTACATATCTTTAAGAGCCAGGCGAAAGCATTCCTCTTCTCCCAGGCCTTTGGCTAATTAAACAATCTATGGCCTTCTAAACTGTGTGTGTGGGATTGTTTTTGTTTGTTACTATGGTATACATTTTTATGTTATATTGTAAACTGCCCTTTGATTCCTGGGTGAAGGGCAGTATAGAAATACAGCAACAATTTTGTCCTTGATTCGCCTCTGTCCTGCTTGCAGCCTCCTCCTAGGGATTTTGACACTTGTTTTCCTTCTGTGCTCCATCATCTCCTTTCCTCCTTTTCTCCAGGTGTGAAGCAGAAAGCCAGCTACATCACTCCAGTCCCTGGTGGGGTTGGGCCCATGACAGTTGCCATGCTGATGAAGAACACCATCATTGCTGCAAAAAAATTGTGGCGGCCTCAGGAGCTGGAAGCCCTAAGTGCCTAATGCTGGACTTCCTAGGGGCAAGCAGCAGCAGCATTCCAAATCTCTTCCCAAACACAGCCTAAGGGACAATGCAATATTTATTTATTGGCTGAAAGGGCATCAGAGAGTCTCGCTCTGGAGTATTTATTTTAAAGCAATTTTTTTCCAAGGCAAAAGGGTCCAACATGATACATGATTCCGATCATTTAAGCGTCTGCGTTTATGTGCAGGAACCAAGCTTGAGGTTAGGATAGAGGGGAGTGATTGTGCTATCTCTCAAACCCAGTAGGAAGCTGTAACTGAGGGCCAAGTGTGTGTGTTCATTGTACAAAATGTCTTAGTGTGTACAGTGGTGCCCTGCAAGACGAATGCCTCGCAAGACAAAAAACTCGCTAGAAGAAAGGGTTTTTCGTTTTTTGAGCTGCTTTGCAAGACGATTTTCCCTATGGGCTTGCTTCGCAAGACGGAAACGTCTTGCAAGTTTGTTTCCTTTTTCTTAACACCGTTAATACAGTTGCGACTTGACTTCGAGGAGCAACTCATAGAACGCGGTGTGGTAGCCTTTTTTGAGGTTTTTAAAGACTTTGGTGATTTTTGAAGCTTTTCCAAAACTTTCCCGACACCGTGCTTTGCAAGACGAAAAAAAATCGCAAGACGACAAAACTCACGGAACGAATTAATTTCGTCTTGCGAGGCACCACTGTACATGGTGCAATTTCAATTCACCAACCTCTGCTGAACCCAGGAGATACTATGTTATCTGCTAGGATTATACCACAGCTATTCTGGAGTCATAATGTTGCTATTTTCTACAAAGCCTTATTTGTATGACCTTTCGAAGCTCTTGTAACAAAAGTTCTCAGTTCCTAAACATTTTTTTTGAAGATGGAATGGACTCAAAAGCTAGACAGTATTTTGAGATATAGTGTTGTGTTAGCCTGCAAAAACATGGGTGAAGTTCGCTGTGCCTGTTCAAGCTTGCTTGCTATTTACATGGGCTGTTACTGGAGCTTGGAGGTTGCATCTGAATAAAAGCGATTCACATAGCACATTCAAATGTTTGCATTCCAATGTGTGCACTGACAAGGGGGATCTTAATTGTGCAGCAGCCGAAGAAGAATAGTAACTCGGTGGTAAAGCGTATGTGTTGTGTGCCAAAGGTCCCAAGTAGTATCCCTGGTATTTGTGTCCCCAGGTTTTTTTGAATACCAAATCTCCGTGTGACCCATGTGGTTTTTTTACAGTCTGGTAAGAGTCCCATTTTTTGTGACACTTGACATTTCCAATATGTGACTACATCTGATAACACACTATTACTCTCTCTCTCCAACCTGGTGCCTTCTAGATATGTGGTCAACAGTGCCCATCAACCCCAGCATCATCCAGCTATGCTGGCCATGAGTCATGGGAATTGTAGTCTAAAGCATCTACAGGGGCACCATGGTGTGGAATCCTGACTTACAGCACCTAAGTCATTTTAGATGGTATAAATCTGAGAATCCTTAGCAAAATACTGCATTGGCTCTTGAAGATGAACATGATTTTCATGAGCACAACACAAATGGAAGAGGTTCAAAAATTTATTAGACTATAAATGTTACTATAGTAGCAATGTAATAGCTCTGGGGCTGAAAATCTTTTGCTTTTGAAATTGTGTGTGTTTGTAGTGGCACTGAGCACCGCGGTGCTAAGTAGCTGATGGTGGGAGTAATAGATTTCACAAGCACAGGTGCATGAAACACTTGGCTTCCACAAACAGCCTTTTGATTTACAAATCCTGCTAAAACTTTATAACAGTATTGTTAAAGCAGCCTCTACTAAGCAGTACACAGTAGTGGTACAAAATAAGTAAGGAAAATATACAAGGCTATGTTCAAGTTCAAGTTGTTCTTGCAGCCTTCACTGGCTTGGCACCTTCCAGTGGTTTAGGAATCCAAATCCTACGAACCTCCACTAGCCTGGCCACGCTACAACGGACTGATGGGGCACAAGTTTCAGGGAGGCTAAGTTAATTCTATTTAGAAGTTGTTGCCCAGGCATAAAACACTGTTTTGTTGAATTTTGTCCAACAGTTAATGGGTACTTGATTGACATAATATGATAAATAGGATGCTAAATTCAAGTTTTTCTTTTGTTTTGACTTCAGTATTTACAAAGTTACAAGGAAATCACCATTAAGTTCACACAGGTTCAAACCAGGTGCAATATTTAGCAGGCCAGAATATTCTGTACATAAGAGTCCTGCTTTAGAAGTAAAGTATCCTTTCCAAAGAAAATATCAAGTCTTTGAAACTGCACAATAGGGAAGAAATGGTAACTGAATTTTTTTTGGTTCCAAGATGTTTTTTTCTGACAAGTAGAAGGAATGATCTTTAAGCCAGTTAAGGCCAACAGCAATCAGCAAACTATCAGATAGCTTGACAGCCAGGTGACAAGCCACACACTCACATTTCTGTTGTAGATCACCTTTTTCTGTGACACGTGTGTGATGCTGTTTGGGTGGTCCTTGGCTAAGGGACAATTTCTAAAGCCTTTAAAAGTTCTTGTGCTCCTTTTATCTGGGTCCTCACCTCCTACTGAGCAGAGTGGGGGGGGGGACTTCTGTTGCAACAGAATAATAAAGATCTGCCTTGCTTTCACTGGATCCAGCCTCAGCTCATTCTTCTCTTGACCAATAATAGCTCAGTTGGTTAGAGCAATAGTGTAGATAATGCAAAGATTGCAGGTTCAGTCCCTGTATGGAGCAGCTGCATATTCCTACACTGCAGGGGGTTGGTCCATTCCAACTCTATGATAACAAACTTGGGGGACTTAAGTCCCTTAAAAGGGATGTTAGGCTGTTAAAGCCCACCCTCCAATTTCTTGGGGCAGTGGTATTGGCACACACTGAGGGAGGTATCTCATGGCACTATGGTTGGCCAGGGATGCCATGCTGGGAACCCCCAGCTCTTAACAGAAAACACTCATTCACTAAGGGCTTACCCACATTTCCTCATGTTCAGATGGTGAAGGTGACCATTCTCTTGGAACCAGCTTGGGGCCTTCATGGTAAATGCACAAACAACCAGCATTTCTCATGAAGGAATTCCACAGGAGGTGTCTCCTTGGGCAAATTGTTGAGAGTCATCAGAAGTCCAAATCTGCTTTGCTGCAACTGGATTCTGTTGCTCCTCTGCCTTCGTCAACAAGCATGTGCAGCATTCAGATAAATGATACGTCATTTGAAGATGGCAGTAATCCGGCTCCTCCTGCCTCTGCAATACTATGGTTGATAGTGAGAGAGAGGCTTTTTCTACAGGAGTGGAAGGTTTTATACGCTTAGCTACCAAGTGAATAAAAAAGCTACTGGCTCCACTGAGAGATGTCCTACTGAAATCCATGAGCCTTCAGAGGAAAAGACCAGCAGGTCCAATTGGAAGGAACTGCTGCAGACCACAGGGAAGAGCTGACTGAAGACATCCAAGTCCAAAAATGATACTGTTCCTCCAGCCAAGGAGCTCAAGTTCTAATAAGTTCCTTTGTTCCCACAGACTTTTAAAGTCCTATTTCCATGTTGCTTGGATGGATCTTAAGTTGGAGATCTAGGGTCATCATGGCACGTGACCAAGCAGGATGGAATGTCACAAACTCTCTAATTTTCTGATGCTAAATGTGTATATATATATATATCTACATACAAAGGACCCCCCATTCCTGGGACTATAGAGTGGTCTCGCTGCCCATGTCCCGGGGGTGCTTCTCTGTGTCAGTGTCTTCATAATCTGACTCCATCTCTATCTTCACCTGGGGCACAGCACAGATGGGATTTCGAGAGTAATTAAATGCAGGAGAAGACGGGCAGGAAATCTTCAGGTGAAGTGTAATACTGGAAGAAAAGCAGAAAAGGGGGTTAGTTGGTCAGACCATTGCAGCCAAGGAATTCTATTCTATTCTACTCAGGCCTTGCTGTCCCTCTGCCTGTCAGCTCATCATGCGGCACATCTGAACAAACTCCCTTTCCACCCCTCTCTTGTGGACCCTGAAGGCTCACGAAGCAGCTGCAACCTGGTGCCCTCTTGGCTCCCTGGCCCACAGTTCCAATCCTTTCTCATCTTGCCACTTTCCTCCTAGGCTGACCATGGTGATGGTGGTGGTGGCGGCAGAGTTGGGTCCAGCCCTGCTTTTTGGCTTGGCCAAAGCTGCCCTTTGTTTCACTGGATGCTGCTCTTCAGTCCATTGCTTGCTTTGCTCCACTTCCTCCGGCCATCCTGTGCCTTGGCCAGTCTCTGCATCTCTCTCTGACTTGTTGCACAGGCTCTCTCCTGACTCTGAGGACAGCGGGCTTCCTTCCAGTTGCCTCACTGTCATTGTCCTTTTCCTCATTCCTTCTCCTTCACTTAACATTCCTCATACCTCCATTGGCTTGACCTCACCTGCCTTGCCAATTATTTAATTTATTTACTTATTTACAGCCCACCTTTTCCTTCAAGGAGCTCAAGGTGGTATACATGGTTCTCCCCCCTTTTCATTTAATCCCCACAACAACTCTGAGGGAGGTTAGGCCGAGAGGCAGTGACTGGCCCAAGGTCACAAGCAGTGAGCTTAATGGCCAAGTGGCAATTTGAACCCTGGTCTCCAGGTCCTAGTCCAACACTCTAACCTGCACTGCAATAGCCCTCCCTCCCTCCCTCCCAAGATGTCTTCCCAGCTGTCAGTTGGTGCAGTAACACTATTTGTGCCCTTGATTTGACTCAGAGCTAAATGGACCAGTTTTTATGTCATGTCACTGAACTTGACTTGAAAACATTAGTTGTTACATGAAATGCTCACATTCCATATTTTTATTATGCCAATCTGTGCTGCAAGACTAGAAGATAGAGGGTTGGGGGCCCTCAGGAAATCTCCACTTGGACATGTTCACCTGGATGAGTTGCTCTCCAATTTGTGTGCTGTTTCAAAGTGCCAAATAAACATTTCATTGTGTAAATCAGTGTCATGACTGCTTAACATTGTAGGGCGTAGAAGTAAGAGATGGAAGAACCCTTTGCAAATTGAAAAGGGATATAGCAATGAGGCATTTAATTGCTAACCCCTTTATAATTGTTAATAATCTTCCTATTCTTAATTCGCCTTTATCAGGACTTCCCCCCCACCAGAACTCAGCCACTGCCATTATAAGAGAACAAGGGTGGTGTTCATACTGAGTTACAGCACCTCTTTTTCTAGAAAAATAGCACTGCCCCTTATAACCCCATCTTCTTCTGCTTTCTGCCCCCCAGATCTGGAGGATTCTCTATTTGCATTTCTTTACGTTAAAGTAGGAAGGCTGTCAGCTGACCAGGTGTGTTGTTTACCTGCGATCCAGGTCTGACCCGTTAGGAGATGCATCAGAACGCAAAGCTGCAGCTGGAAGACCTCTTTCCTGCAGAGAAACAGAGATGGCTATGAAACTGTTTCAAGGCAGGGGAGGAGGAAAGCATGAAATGAATAAGAGAGAGGAAGAGCTGCAGAAGGAAAGGCCCAGCTTGTTTCCAACCAAGTTCTCATCACCCATTCCCAAGGTGCCTCCATCCATCACTGACCACTTTCTTGGAAGGAACTGTTTAGTGAAAAAGGATTTTGGATTTAATGAAATTTGCATGCCCTGCCCTTCCCTGCCCTCAACCAATTTTAGTAGAACTATGTTCTTCCAATAGTCTTTTAAAAGCAATGGCTTGAAGCCCCCCCCCAATGCAAAAGCCCCACCCCACCCCTCTGGACCTGGGAGTGCTTTAGGGCGGGGAGTGTGGGCTCAGTGAGAACATGGCACACCATGAGATTTCTGGGAGCTCATGACCTCTGGTCCCCTGTTGGCACCCCCACTTCCAGAAATTAACATGGGGCACAAGCAAGCAATCGGTGCAAGCCCAACTGAAGTGAGTGTCACCCCTGCTGCTCTGCCCCAGCTCCCACCCCTCTCAACAGGACTCCTGGCAGCTGGTGAACTGTTGGGCAGACTTTGCCCTCAAAGCACCACACTGGTTTGACTCCCACTCTGCTGCCACTGGTAACAGCATCCAAAATCTGCTGCCTCTCACCTTGCTCATGGTAGGGCGGCCTCTGATGACTCCACTGAACTGGAGCCTTCTTGCAGGAAAAAAGTGAAGTGTGTATATCAGACATAGGCATAGTACGGAAGACAGGCATTTACGAGTCCTGAATAACCCAGAACACTGTTCACCTTGGCTCTTCTGAATGCTCTTCAGCTCATCTCAGAGAGGCAGCACGTCGGTTTTTGCATTGGGTTTATCAACTTGCCCTTTCCAGAAAGGTTCACAGGGCGGCTGGTGGGTGATTACTGGCCACAGCTCAGGATCCTTCCCCAAATCCTTTCAAGTGCATAAGGGCCTAACACTATGCATTCCACCCAAGAGCAGGATGAGAGCAGGAAAAGCTGTTCCGCGCGGAGTGCAGAGGGGTGATTAACCCTTTCTCCACCACCCAATGCATTTCCCACCCCCATGCTTTCCCTCCCACTGGGTTTCAAACACCTCTTTGCCTCCCCAGGAGAAATACAACTCTGCCCAGGTGATGGATTTACTGCTGAGGAACTGGACAATGGTCTTCTGAGAAGTGTTTTAGTGCAGAACTTCATTTCCTGCAACTAGAAACAAAGGGCTCGGCCATCAGTATTACCCAGGATATGCTGCAAAATGCACCTATGAAGTCCTCGTGAGATAAGGCCACAAAACTCATTTGCATTACAGCCCACACAGGAGTTTAGTGTGCGATTGGTGCTGCTCATCCATACAAGCAGCCTACAGGTTCCACATTACATTGCTGGCATCATAATGTCACAGCCTGTATTTCATATGAATTTACTCTTTTCATGGAAAATCTGATAGGTTTTTACCCTTCTAATTTTAAACTGTTCCTAAGTACCCATTTGTGATATTCAAATGACCTCATTTGCAATATCCTCTGCCTGGAGGCAGCCCAGGATAGTTTTGCGGCAAGTGTCAGCAGCAGAAGAGATCTAAGGTTGTTCTTGAAATCCTGAACATCCCTAGGATCACTGTGAGCCAGCTAAATGCTCATGATATCTCCAAACTGCAAGCTCTAAATGGCAACCTGGAGCATCACTGGGTGTGCCAGAGGCCTTAAAGTGGTGCCTCTGCAGAACCCTGCTGCACCATCATGTGAGCTGGGTATGTTTAGCCTGGAGAAGAGGAGACTGAGAGATGAAAGGACAGCCATCTTCAAATAACAAAAGGAAGATGGAACAAACTTGTTTTCTGCTGCTCCAGAGTGCAAACCTCAAACCAAAGGATTTGAGTGACAAGAAAGGAGATTCTGACTAAACATTAGGAAAGACTTTGTGATGGCAAGAGCTGTTTGACAGTGGAATTTATCTGAAGAACTGGAGGCAGAGAATATCCTAAAAGCACCCAAATGCTCTGTCTGTCTCCTTATCCCCCCACCCTGCAAACCTGTACACATCACTTCATGCTGCAACGTGAAGTCAAGTTATGTCTCATTCTCTCCATGGGTTAGTGTGATTAGTAACCAACAAAAGATAAAGCCCCACTGAAATGAAGGGGAAATATGCAAGAAGACATGCCCACTCCTCTTCTTGGCCAGTTCCAGTTCAGTTCAGTGGCTCTTGTGTTTCTGGTCAAGCATGTCCAAAGGTTTTAAAGTTGCTGAGTTAGCTGTTAATTAAACATCTGACAGCGCGTGAGCATGTTACTTACTGGAAATGCAATGCATACTGTTTTGGGGTTCAGATGGGACAGGGTCCAGTGGGATGGTTATGACAGAGGGAGTGGGGAGCTTGGGCTGGGAGAAAAGGGGAAAGAGAGACAGTGAACAACTCCAGTGGTGCCGATGGGTTCAGGTTTATCATGGCAGGGCAGACGCAACACTCAACCCAAAGGAAAACACATACAATCTGAGTATTTGGAATACATCGCATCCTCAGATTCATATTAGAAGCTGGGCAGAAAATCAGCCAAGTTACCATGACTTTTCCAAAGCACTTCTCATAATAAATTAAAACTCTTTCACAGGGACTGTAGTAATGTTGTTTCAGTTTGAAAATTTTGGTCACTCAAAAACAAAGTAAAAAACCCCTCAATTTCACCACCAAAGGAACACAAGTGAACAACACAAGCAACGCTGACACCAAACTCTACATACATTAAACATAATAGAAACACCGCCACCCGACCCCACCCCCATCCATCTTCCCTCTCTCCACCCCCCTTTCTTTTTTCTTTTTTTTTTTCTTCTCCCCCTAATGCCTCAACAAATGAAACGGATTTGTAAAAATGTTACATGAAAAAAAACAAACGAAGCACTACACTTCTGTAAAACAAGAAAATCCTTAATAAAATATTAAAAAAGAAACCCTCAATTTAAAAATAAGAGCAAACTTGATAAGAAATTCATTGCTGGGGCACTGAATTGTCATAATGTGTATTATGTTGTTGAATTGTTTATATTGTTGAATTGTTTATATATTTAAATAAACAAACCATTATTTTTGAGAGAAAGGCATTTTCATGAATGCAATGGGCTGGTGAATTATTCTTTCTTTAAAAAAAAGTTAACTCGCATACATTGAAACATACTAGATCTACATCAGGTCTTTGACCTTCCATTGCTTTGGTTTCTGGTGCTTAAGAGCATAAGGAGAGCCGGCTGGATCAGGCCAAACTGGGCCCATCTGGTCCAGCATCCTGTTCTCACAGCAGCCAGCCACATACTTGTGGGAAACCCGGAAACAGGACCTGAGCACAAGAGCAACTCTCCCTTAATGTGGTTTCCTGCAACTGCCGCCAGTTGTGGAGGCAGAGCAGAGCCATCCTGGCTAGTAACCATTGATAGCCCTTTCCTCCTCCAGGAATTTGTCTAATCTTCTTTTAAAGCCATCCAAGTCGGTGGCCATCCCTGCCTCCTGTAGGAGCAAGTTCCATGATTTAGCTCTGCACTGAGTGAAGAAGCACTTTCTTATGCGGAAACACTATATATGTGGCAATGGATCTCAAATGGTCCAAAGAGGTAGGTGCTCCGTAATGCTTCTTTTCAGAGAAGAACTGCTCCTTGCGTTGACTCTAATGAGTGCCAATGCAGACCATTTAATGCAGGGGTCAGCAACCTTTTTCAGCCGTGGGCCAGTCCACTGTCCCTCAGACCTTGTGGGGGACTACATTTTGAAGAAAAATATGAATGAATTCCTATGCCCCACAAATAACCCAGAGAAGCATTTTAAATAAAAGCACACATTCTACTCATGTGAAAACATGCTGATTCCTGGACCGTCTGCGGGCCGGATTTAGAAGGCAGTTGGGCCAGATCCAACCCTCAGGCCTTAGTTTGCCTACCCATGATTTAATGGGTCTGGCTGGCAAGAAAGAAACACATGTCCCACCACACTGCCCCCAAGCGTCACGGACACACCTCGTCACTGCTATCATCCTCCCCTTTGTTGCCTTTCTTCTTTTTCTTCTTCTTGTCATCCTCCTTCTTCTTATCCTTTTCAGGGATGATGTTATCAATCCATGCGAGGTCATGTTGGGAAAAGACAATGTCTAGCATCTTCCGGACTAAAATCAAGGCTAAAATCTAAAAAGGAGAGGGAGAAAGAGAAAGAGAGAGAAAGGAAAAGAAAAACCCACCAAGACAAGGCTCAAATAATCTAGCATGAAGACTATGAGTTGTTTAGAATTCAAGTACCCAAAGTGCAATGAATGAGATCAAATTTCAGTGGGTTACAGGTTGATTCCTTGCGGGGGCTGATTCTGTGGCAGACCTGGGTTGGTGTAGAAGCAGCAGCAAGAGGAGAACTCCTGGCCATGATACTGGCAGGCCAAATTCTTAGGAGGGGATGCAATTTGGAGTGGGAGTTCATTCATGTTTCTTACTCCTTGCCCAAAATTTCACATGCGGAAGGCACAGAAAGGCTGGTTTTGGGCCTGGCACTTTCCAACTCTTAGGTGGAACTGTTTTTCTTTTGCACCCTGACTCAGACAAAGAGATGGTCTACAGATTAACTGCTTCCCATCCCACAGAAACAGAGATATAGTTCTCTCTCTGGACAGAAGCTGGCATTCACTGCTTAATTTCATCCAACAACCTGGAGCCCTGCTTTGGTCTACAACTCCCACCAGTGATGGCTGGGGCTGCTGGGAGTTGTAGTCCAAAACATCTGAAGGGCAATAATTTTTATTGGTTTTATAAATGAACACAAACTGTAATAAAACAAATCTATATAAAGAGATTCTCCGAATCTCAAGACTTTCCCCCATCCCCTCCATGGGGTCTCATTTTAGACATCTACAACTGCATATTCAGCCGTACTCCAATTTTTATATCAAACCATATTGTCCATAATATTTTTACGCTACAAGTGAGTCAAAATCCTGGGAAAGTTGCTTTCTTTAGTAACAAAAGAACTCTGAATAAGACACATTTAGGGCAACAGATCATTGGCTTTGTGGGTGGATGTGCACTTCTCAGAACCTTCTCCCATTGGGCCCTAGAACAGGAGACAACAGTGACCATAGCTGCCTACCATCACAGGGAAGATTATGGCTGCCACAGTGGATTTCAGGATCCAGAGGACAGCCAGACAGACAATCTGAACCACGGTGAACAGGTGGATTCGCCGCAGAGGGACATGCCTGAGGTAGACGTAGTCAGGCTGGTGTTTGGCTGGCATCAGGAAGAGCTTGCAGCGATCCCAAAACTGTTGGGGGGAAATGGAAGGATTAGTTCTGGGGAGGTGGCCAGTGATGAGGAGTGGCAAAGATATTGAAGCAATCATTGAAGGTTTTGTAAAATGTTAACAATGTACAGTGGAACCTCGGGTTACGTACCATCCTCCTTCAGGTAATGAGCTCCACTAACCCAGAAGTAGATGCCCCTAGTTGCAAACTTTGCCCTGGGATGTGAGCGGAAGTCATGCCCCAGCGGTGTGGCAGCAGTGGGAGGCCCCATTAGCGAAAGTGCGCCTCATGTTAAGAATGGTTTCAGCTTAAGAACGGACCTCCGGAATGAATTAAGTTCGTAATCGGAGGAACCACTGTACAAGGATCTGTGCTACGTACAGAATTTTATAAAGTCCATTTTCTGTGGGCTGCTGTCAGGGCTGGCTCAGATGCAGGCCAGCATTCAAATGCAGAAATGAGCAGGAAGTTTAATTCTTTATTCAAGGAAACAGTAAAGAATGCAGGGAACCCTCAAGGCAAAACCAGCCTCCATAGCACAGTTGCCAGGACTGATGGTTCCTGCTTCCCGCTTCCCCCTAAAACCACTCTTCCTCCAGAGGCCACCAACACAGACGTACGCTATGGTGGGAGGGAACTTTGCCCACTTGGCTTTTTCAGGAATAGGCAGAAGCTGCGCACTGTGATGCTAATCATTTCCATGGCTGGCAACTGCCTTCTTCCTCTCCGCCTCCTTTCCGACATTGTAATATACCACCATATCACAAAGTTTAGCTGGCTGTATATTACTGTGTTGGAAAGCAGATATTGCCCAGCCCTAATGCATAGCTCTTCGTGTTCTTGGAGGTAACAGGGGGTGGGGGGAGCCTAATACAGCAAGACAGGCAAGCTCCTGGGAAGCTTCCTGTGCAGAGTCTGAACCACTGTCTGCCCTTGACTCTTCCCTCTTCAGCAGCCCACCATCCCTCCCCTCCTTTGTCTTCTGACTGTCCTCAGTGTCCCACCACCATCCCCAGAGCTTGTACCTTTGTCCTCTGAGGCTTCCCTAGGGCATTCGCCAGCTGGTGCCTCCCCCCACTCCTCAGCATCCAGCCGGTCCCTGACAGCTTGGTAGTGGGGCTGGCATCAATAGATGGAGCAACCAGGCACCTGCACCTCAGCAGCAGCCCCACGGACAAGGATCCCCTGGGCTTGGTGCAGTAAGGAGATGGGTTCCCTGAAACAGGTGGGCCTGTGGATGGTGCCTTGCCCATGGGACCTCCAAAAACCCTGCGGAAATGTAGCCTACACTTTTCTGAGCAAACTATTCCATTGCTAAGTAGAAACCTGGCCACTTATGCAATAACCTGAGTGGGTAGACAAAGGTGGTGATTGCCAAAATCATTATGAAGTTGCCAGAACAATTCATGTTCTTACCTGGATGCCATTAAGCGAGGCCACTCCCATGTAGAGGAAGACTCCATACAGCACAGGCATTGGGATGTACTATGGAGAGAGAGAGAGAGAGAGAGAGAGAGAGAGAGAGAGAGAGAAGGCAGGTGAGGCCTCCTCTTTATCAGACATTTCCACAAATGCTTTTGCAAGGGCTGCTAAGGCATGTTCCCTTGATTAATCTGCCTTTAAAATGAAGGCTGAAACAATATGAATGCTCACTTGTGAGTAAGATCTTTTGAACACGGCAGGATTTATATCTGAGTAAATATATATAGGGCTGAACTGAAATTAATCTGATGTAGATGTTGAGATTGGACCAAAGCTTTGGATAAAAATAAGAAACCACATGCTAAACCTATGCTGAAGATGATGACAAAAATCTCTGGAATGTGTTACCTTTAGAATAGGAGCCAGGAAGACAGATATCCCAGTCAGAACAAAGACAATGATTCCCGTGATTCTCTGCTCCCTGAAAAAGAACAGAAGCAGTAAAATTGTGGATTCAACTGTTACCACATTCTCTGTTTGTGGTTCACCATAATCTACAGCACAGCCCCATGAATGTTGATTTGGACAGCATTCAGTGGAGCTTACCTCCAGGTAAGCGTGCACAGGATACAGCCTAAAATTATTGCGATGCTCTACTAGAGGTCATTACTGTGCATGGATTGTTTCCTCCCATGCCTAGCATAAGTACTGTTAAGAGTGTCTGTTGGTGTATGGCTGAGAAATGATCTACAAATTTAGTAACAAACAAACAAACAAACAAACAAACAAACAAACATTGTTGTACTGTTGACTCGAATGGCAGAACTGCATAGGATTCTGATTACATTATGCTGATGGCAGGCCAGTTTTAGTGGACCACTGCATAACAGGACCACTGAACTAAGATCTAAGCAAGGTGAACAGGAGGCAGCCAGAAACACAGTCTGGTGAACTGCAAGATGTGTAACAGGCCTGCTATAATAATATGCCCCCCAAAACCCTCATGGTCAAGGAGGAACTAATGTAGAGCACTGTTACATTGAGCTTCTATTCACAACTGCCCTTTACAGGTGAGTTCAAGGAACCCTCACCTCACTCCCAGGAACTGAGGCTGCTCTCCTGGTGCACTGGTCTCTGTCTCCATCTTTAAGCTGTCAATATGTGCGATGGAAATGACTGTGGCGGCTACATACCATGGTAGCCCCATGAATGAGCAGACTGCCATAAGGATGCCCACCCAAAAGAGGTCCAGATGATAGCCTGCAGCTTTCTGAAACAAAAGGACACACTGTTTTCATAGAAGGAAATGGATTCTACCCCTTTAGCCAAATAAGCTCTCAATATACCCAACACATTAAAACTAGGATTTGTGGGGGATGCTGGGACCCTAAGGCTAAGCATTAGTAACAACTTATCTGTTTGAAAAACTAGAGAAATCGAAGATTAAGGCACAGCCAGAAGTATGGTCAGGTATAACAATGGGCCGGTGGAAAAAAGAGCTGTGATAACTCCTGTCTGCTTCAAAGGGGCAGAGAATCTGTTTTGAATACAGAAGGTTTAATCTCCAGCATCTCCAGGTAAAGCTGAGAACAATACACAGGACACACAAAAGGGAATGCCAGACCCAACCTCTAAAGGGTCAACTATGCCACAAAATTGGGCTGGAGCAAAAGAAAATTTATGGATTGCTATTAAAATTTATATAAAACAGAATTCAAGTTTAATCTTCCCCAAAATTTAAAGATACATAAACAATGAATGAAATTTCTAAAATGCAATAATTATAAGGTAAAACATAAAGCTAAAGGACCCTTGGACAGTTAAGTTCAGTCAAAGGCGACTATGGGGTTGCAGCGCTCATCTCGCTTTCAGGCCAAGGGAGTTGGCGTTTGTCCACAGACAGTTTTCCGGGTCATGTGGCCTGCAAGACTAAACCACTTCTGGCGCAACTGAACACCATGATGGAAACCAGAGCGCATGGAAACGCCATTTACCTTTCCACCACAGCAATATCTACTTGCACTGGCATGCTTTTGAACTGCTAGGTTGGCAGAAGCTGGGATAGAACAACGGGAGCTCACTCCATCACAGGGATTTGAACCACCGACCTGATTGGCAAGTCCAAGAGGCTCAGTAGTTTAGACCACAGCGCCACCCGTGTCCCTAATAATTATAAACACAGCAAGAATAAAATGAATGCTGCTGGCCACGGGCACTTCAACCCACAAGGGGTCTTCCTCAGCAGCCAATAAATAAAGAAATTACAGAGGTGTTGCCAGAAGTAAACATTTGACTGATCTAAACAGATACGGTGAGCTGACCAATTGTTCCACCAAATAATTCTGCATGCATAGGAAGCCTGGAGATGAATGGATTGATAGAGAACAGGAATTTTTCTATTGCCCAATCATGTATATTTCGAGGGTATTCTCCAGGGTTCTGAATATCAATTGTCACCCACCCACAAGTATTCATCATGGGTTGTATTTTAGAAATTTCATTCATTTTTTAAATGTATGTTTATATTTTCAGATTAACTTTCAGATTAAAGTTGAATTCTATGCTATATAAATCTTAGCAACATTCCATACACATCCTTTTGCTCACACCCAGTTTTCTGTCAGGTTGTTGTTGTTGTTCCTGTGTCAAACCTGGGGAGCATGGAATCTTTATGCAAACTTGTGGATAAATGATCAAAGAGATTAATAGAAGGGGAAAAGTTTCTCTGGGGCCAATGGGATTACTGAGAGGGGCGTTAAGAGCCAAGGGGTGCTGGAGGTCTAATGACTATCAGACTTTTAAAAATTGGAATCACTGGATCAATCCATCAATGTTGTTGCATAGTTTTAATTGGATTTTGCATAACTTCACAATTAATTGTAATGGAAGATTATTCATTGCATTTATATCTCACCTTATCTCCAATGAGCTCAAGGTGGTACACATGGTTTTGTTAGGAGCGTCCTACTCACGTGTAGGACCCTGGCAGAGACACATGCCCAACTGGCATGTTCTCTCTCTCCTGGTCGATCATTTGGGAGCTTCAAAAGCTTCTTCCAACCTGAACATCACAGCGACTGATGCCAAAAGGCACTAGCACACTTAGGGATCCACAGAGTATTCACAGTTTGTGTAACAGAACCAATAGCACAGCATTTTGGCTAATCTACTTTATTTACATATAATACACTTGGAGCATTCTGCTTTAGCTCCTTCCTCTTTCTCATCAGACAGCAAAGAGAGAAAGAACAAAGGACAATAGTCCCACTTCATGAAACACAGTGATACCAAAACATCCTGCCTCTGTCACTTCCCACACTGTGGAATGAAAACATACACCGTCATGTGATAGACAACAATCCCATGACTGCAGACATGGGGAATGTATCTCCAACAGGTTCCCCCCCCCCCCGCCCATTTAGTCCCCCTGACAACCCTGTGAGGTAGGTTAGGCTGAGAGGCAGTGACTGGCCTCGAAGGTTACCCAGTGATTTATAGGACGGCCGAGTGGGAATTCAAACCCTGGTCTGGCACTCTTAACACCACACTGACAACTTCTACTTCTAGACTCCACAAAGATTCCTGGGATAGTGAGACTCTTAATCCCAGGGCCAGAGGTTCAAGGCTCACATTGGGCAAAAGAATCCTGCATTGCAGGGGGTTGGACAAGATGACCCTTTGGGTCCCTTCCAGCTCTACAGTTCTTTGAATCTATGAATTTTATTATCTTTCTTAGTCGGTTGTGCAAACTGCTGTTCTGAATAATGCTTTTTATAGGGAAGGAGGGAGTGGAGATGAGTTTATGGAACCAAGGGGGGAGTGGCCCCCCAATATTTGAGAGCCACTGGTATAGACAACACTGAGCCAGATGGAGAAATGGTCTGACTTTGGATAAGGCAAAGTTCTATGTTCCTGGCCTTGTATACTGATCCTATCCCTTTCCTTTTCCAAATGAGTGGGCCTTTGAACTCCATGCCCACCAGGGCTCCATCATCAACGCCTTCTTCCAGGTTTCACAGCAGACAGTTTTCTCTCTCTCAGTGGGTTCAGTATTGGTGAACACCCAAGTTGCAAGGCAGGGAAAGGGAAGCATACCCGGAGCTTGTGCTCCTTCCTGTTCACTATGACGGCTGTAATTTGCTGGTCCATGAAGATCAGGATGGTGACCAAGAGAGCGGGGAGCGCGCTGGCCAAGTAGATCCACCAGGGATTCTTGCCAAATGGGAACACAAACCATCCACGGTCTAAGCGAGTGGGCTGTAAATGCAGTTCAAGGGTAGAAGGTTACCTATTACATTATGAGTATGGCACACAAGACTGGCGCCAGGAGCCCTACACTTCTTGTATGCTGCCTCACAGCACAGGTCTGCCTTGTGTGGGAGGGCGATTTCTCTCTCACTTCGGATTTCAGCATCAAAAGTGCTCAAATGGAAAGCAGAAATGAAGCTGGACAGGGGAAGCCATACAGCCTGGGAGCCCAAGAGCAGTACACATGATATGGTGGTGGGATGGAGGGGCTGTTAGATGGCCCATGCAGGCCTATACAGTATCTTAAGACATATTGAAACAAACAATAAGAAAGGCTGAAATGAATAGATTACTTCAGAGCAAATTTATCAGGGGTAAGGTGGAGGCACCGGGGCTATGGGCGTGGGCAAGAAAATACTTGATTTGCACAAATTAAGTGAACCAAAAACACAGCTACCCCTGGAAATTCTTCTTTTTCTGAATTCACCCGTGCAGTTCTCCAACCAAATAACATGCACAGAAATATACATATTAGGGGAAAGTGTGGACAGAAAGGCAGGTAGCCGAGAAAACAGAATAAAGGTATGTATTATGCTAGGGGAATGTGTATACTGGGCAAGATTGCATTAAAATGTGTGTATGAAATGAAATAGGAATGCAGACAATTTTTAATGAGGACTTCTTCAAAAATGGAAATTGATGTGGAAATGTGAAGAACTAAATTCAACATTAGAAAAATGGAACCACAAAGAAACAAAATTGACTAATTCATCCAGTTCTAGTTGGGGCAAGTTGGCGTTTTGATCCGATCTACCTCTATGATGGTCTCATTCATTGATTTTACCTTAAAATCTGTAGGCACTTGTAGTTTTGGAGTATTCAGTCCAAAAAGACAATCAAGACCAACAAACATTAGTATGGACATGAAGATAGAGAAATCACTAATAAGCTTTCGGAGCTAGAAAAGGAGCAAAGGGAGAGAACACATACCAGAAAGAAAGCAGAAAGTGGCCATGTTAGAACATTCAATAAGAGAGAAAGAAAAGATTTCAGTTAAGAAATTGTTTTAAAACAAACAAAAAAATTCTTATTCTACTTTGAAGGGAGAGAGAACCATCATTTATGGATATTCGTTACAATACATTTTTCAGCATACTGGGGTCCAGATCATTCTGCCCTCCCCCATCCCTTTCAAGCACAACTTGCTTTGCAGGCTCCGAGTTCAGCATTCTCTGAGACACTGAAAATCCTACATGCAACTCTCAGTCCTTGATCTTTTAAATCTGACACCGCTGCCCTCTTGCCTTCTGTTCTGCATGTGCACTATCATCATGGTTGTGGCGCCCAGTGGTGTCCCTCTTGGCTTGGTGCCATGTGTGTGGAACTGGTCGCGTTGCCCTTAATCTGCCTCTGGCTTGAGGTTACCCCATTCCTGAGATATACCAGTTCACTTTGACCGTTGATTGTTGTTCAAGTAACTGGGCCGGCCAACCACAAAGCAGTAACGAAACCTTGAGGCTACACAGAGAAGTTTTTGGAAGCAAGCAAGCAAAGGGGTGGAGCATTAGGAGATAAGAGCACATCAAAACCCACAAGGGAATCCTAACCTTAATTATACTGGGCACATGCAATTTGGGAGTATCCAGTCCCAGACAGGCATCTATTCCACAGAAGAACAGGATGGAGAAGACAATGGAAAAATCAGCAATCAGGGCCCTGACCTAAAAAAAGAGGAGACAGGGTTTGGAAGGAAAAGGCAAATGAAGTGGGGTGATGACACAGAGGGACCCTTGGCATCATTTTTGCTGCCACGCAGGTAAGCAGGAAGGGGAGCCATCTGCAGGTTTGCAGCTTCTGAGAGCTAGATGAGCAGACACACAGAGGTTTCAAGCTCAGGCTGGTTAAAGCAACTGGTTCACACCTCATTTTATTTCAGTTTCACACCCCATTGGCTCAGAAGAAATCATTGCCTTTTTTCTGTATAAATGTGCCTTCTCTTAGAGTTGGAAGTGCTTTTTCTTACTAAATTTGTGCAACTGTTTTAAACTGTAACCCTGCTTAGGGTCAAGGGCAGGCAAATAAAAATAAAAATAAAAATAAAAATACAATTGTACCCACCTTGATCTAGTTGGGGGGAGTGTTGGATAGAACTGATTAACATGTAGCCTATAGATCTTTGGGGGACCCAAAATGTTTTCTTCCTAACGAGACTCTTAATCTCTGGGTCATGGGTTTGAGCCCCATGTTGGGCAAAAGGATTCCTGCACTAGACCCTCGGGATCCCTTCCAACTCTACATTTCTATGATCAATTGCCCCCCCCCCCGTCTGTGCCCCCTTGCAGAGCTCACTGCTGGATTCAGGCTTGGATGCATGTCACTTTTCTGATAGTACTTCCAGCGGATCAACTTGTATTTTGTGATTGAAAAGTTTTGCTTTTGGAGTATAGAGCTGTCTTCACCAACTTGTTGCCCTCCAGATGTTTTGGATTACTATTCCCATCAGCTTCCAGCCATCTTATCAGTGCTAGCTGGGGCTGATGGAAGTTGTAGTCCAATACACTGGAGGGCACCAGGTTGGGGAAGGCTACTTGAGAGGATTTGTGGTTTTACTTACCTTTGTAGGAAAGTAGCGACTGAACTTGAATTTTTTCAGAGTCAAAGTCATGGAATAAGTCCCAAAGAAGAGAATGAAAGACATGAGGGCCAGGTCAGGGACGAATTTGCAGGACTTCCCCACCAGACTTCCTCCATATTTCAGACATTCCTTTTTGCTCAGCTGGGTCCAGTCCAGAGCTGTTACATTAATAGGATTGTACTTGAAAGAGGGAAGAAAACAAACCACAGTATTTTTAGGATGCTAAACAATAATTTGTTTTCATTGTCAAGTAAAATGCTGTTGGTCTTAAAAGGCACAAATTTCTTGAATTCAGAAGATTAACAATGTTCCTAATCACTGTCCTGTCTGAAAAGCATCAGAGGGAAGTGTAAAGTATATACTAGAAAATGAAATATTAGTAGTAGCAGAATCGACTGGTAATGCAGTTTTTCAAGGTTGCACAAAGTTCTTTTGAAACTTTTGTTTTGCTTTGTACAGTGTTGAAATTCTTATTTATTTTATTTTACATTTCTTACTGGATTATTTTAACTTCATAATAAAGTCTTGAAAATTGAAGAAAAGTTATTTTGAAGATTATCACAATTAACATTCACACCCTCTTCAACAAGTTTAACCTATCTAAAAACATTTTGGATTGCTCTGTTTTATATGAGCAATCATACTCCACTCCTTTGCCATTTGTAATCAATGAAATAACACTACCAAATCCCATGGAAAAAAGCAGCTGCAGGGTTCGAAGGCAGATAAAGAGTGAAGAATCCACTCTAGCAATGCAAAATACCCACTAGGTGGCAGCAGTCATCGCTGTTCAACTAGGTACCTGGAAATGTTGGTTGATTCACAGCACAGTTCTATGATTTAAACAACTTCTCAGGTGTGCTCAAGGGAGTTTGCTCCTGTGCTTGCCTCTGGCTACCTGATGTGTTTGTAGTTGGTAGGAAATTTTAATTTTGCCATCCTAGCTGGGGCTGATGAGCATTGTAGTCTAAAACATCTGGGGAGTGGGGACTTAATCAAATCTTTTTTCCTCAGCCTAATCTACATGCTTTGTAGATTCACCTTGATATAAAAAAGGTAAAGGTAAAGGACCCCTGACAGTTAAGTCCAGTCACGAACGACTCTGGGGTTGCGGAGCTCATCTCGCTTTACAGGCCGAAGGAGCTGGTGTTTGTCCACAGACAGTTTTTCCTGGTCATGTGGCCAGCATGACTAAGCCGCTTCTGGCGCAACGGAACGCCAAAATCAGAGCAGCGCACAGAAACACCGTTTACCTTACCCTTCCCTATTTATCTACTTGCACTTTGATGTGCTTTCAAAATGCTAGGTTGGCAGGAGCCGGGATAGAACAACGGGAGCTCACCCCGTCGCAGGGATTCGAACTGCTGACCTTCTGATCGGCAAACCCAAGAGGCTCAGTGGTTTAGACCACAGCGCCACTCACATCCCTCACCCTGATATAGGGAGCATTTAATCTGATATAGAATATGCATGTTTGTTTTGCTGTGTCAGGGGCTGTTCCCAATGTCTTGCTTGTCCTTTGAAAACACTGGTCAGAAAGTGAAAAAGAAATGGCTGAATTCTCCCTTCTTTTATTCGTTTACTTCTTAATAGATTTCTTTACTGCCCTTCACCAAAAATGGCTGCAGGGGCCATAAATAAGATTTTTTTTTAAAGACAATAAGCAAAACATTAACATGGTTCTCATAAATTAATTAAAATGTAATTAGCATCATCATTCAAATGACAAACCATCAGCCTCTGAAAGCCTGACTAAAAAAGGTATGTCTTCACTTGGCCTTCAGAAGAATTATAGAATCATAGTATCGTAAAGTTGGAAGGGACCTGAAGGGTCATCTAGTCCAACCCCCTGCAATCTCAGCTAAAGCATCCATGGCAGAATATAAACATGAGAGGGAGGCCATTCAATGGGCACAGAGCCACCACGGAAAAGGCTCTTCTGCTCCACCCCGCACTAGAGCACCTCCTTTGACACAGAGACCACCGGAGAGCCTGCTCCTCTGATCTTAGTGCCTGAGCAGTTCAATGCAAGACTTGAATGTCAACAGAAACACGCTGAACTTGGCCTGGTTATTGTTGAGATGTCAGAAAATAAAGTTTTATAAATGCAAGCTATCTTCTATCTTCATGGAAGTAGCCCTGATTACACTGGCTTTATCTAATTTTGCCTACTCTATGGAGCTAGGTAAAACATGTAAACAAATATGCAAGCAGCAGTTGGGAGGGGAGGCAGAGTAGAAAATAGATCCCAGCTACTTACCACAGAAATGTTAGTGTTGTTTGGGGCCAGTGGAACTGAAGCATTGAACAATGTTGTATTCACTGCAGAAAAGGAGTTAGTTAAGATTTTAAAAATATATATATTAAAGAAAAAGTCTCACTCCAGATATGAAATCTTGCTTAACAAGCCACTGTTCTCTCCACTGGCTTGAACTGTTTCGAATAATCACTATTTTATAGGCAAAGCAGAAGCACAATCCGTATTCAGTTACAAATTCCAGGGTGGGATCCAGAATCTCCAGTCAGTTGCATGATGAGGCATGAAGCTTGAAACATTGACAAAACTCTGACCAAATTTGGGGATGCAATTACAGATTCTTGTTGGTGGGTTAACAAGGAAATGCCTTTCTGCCTGAATGAGGTTTGGCAAGTTCGAGGACAAATGCCCTGGTTCTAACTCCAGCAGAAACTTCTCCCTGATTAACATAATGTGTGGCCTTCCAATTTGGCTTCGGGGTGACTTCAAAAAGCCAAATTAGATGCCTCCCAGATACCCAAGGTGTCTTTTGGCGCATATTGAAACAGTTGACCTTATATAATAGCTACAGGGTATGAAGGCTGCTCAAGAGACTGCATGGCTGAGATGTAATGGTCCAATTCAGATCAACCCGGAGGATAGGATCTACAACTGCACGGAAAACTCTCCATCTTGGAAGAGGCAGTGACTGATCCTTATTTGATCCCATATTTGTTTCCAGACATCCTGGCTGTCAAGCAAGGCTGGCTACAAAAACGCAACTATCTCAAAAATAAAGAGCCATTTACCACAGAGAGCCAGTGTAATGTGATGGTGATATTGCTGAGCCTTCATCTACCTGGTGCCATGCCAGCTGCAGCTGCTGGGAATTATAGCCTAAAACATCTGGAGGGAACCAGACTGTTTAGTTCAAATCCCAACTCAACCAAGATGATCACTGGATAATCTTGGGCCAGTCTTGATTTCCCAGTAAGCTACTAAGTCGAGGTGTGGGGTGCCACGCATGTTGGCAAACTATTTGAAGCCTAGCCCATTAGAACACACACAATCACATTTTGAGAAGTTGCAGTTCAAAACAGACAAGATACTCACCTGTTATGAGAAGGGAGAAAGTGGCAGGAAGAACTGACCAGATGACTTGCTCATAATCAAGACTTACAACTTTTTTTTAAAATTAAAAAAACCCCCACATAAATATGACTTTTGTACTTTGCTAGGTTGCGTTCTTTGGTACAAACCTTTTATATTCTGCAATTATTGTCCCAAGACAAGAGATGGAGTAGAAATTTGTTTTCGTTTACATTCTGACGCAAACTCACCTAACTCACACTCCCCAAACTAGCTTGCGAACTGAAACAGTTCACAATGCAAATTTTGGAATGCAGCTTGCAAAAAAAAGGGGGGGCATAAAAAGCTTATGTTAACAGAAGGTGCATGTACACATTAGTGAAAGGAACAAAAGAAAAAGAAAAAGAAAAATTGGGCAAAATTGTGTACAAAAATGTCTATGTTTAGGAGAAAAGTGCATGAAAATGCATATAATTTTCCTCTGTAGTTTTTTATTGTAAAATGATGCAGAAATAGGAACTGAAGTTAAGACTGGAAAGCAGGAGAAACTGAATTTAACAGATCCCTCAATCCCTACTGAAGGCCACCACTGTGGCAAATACAAATAGAAAACACCCACCCACCCTCCAAAATTTGTGGTCAGTGGGTAGCAGCTTCTTCAGGAAGCGTTCTTCATCTGCCATCCTGGATTCTCACTGCAAGAAAGAGGATTCTCTGGATCCTTTCCCACCCACCTTTTCCAGAAGAAAACAGAGAAAAAGCAGGCCACCTTTCAGGGAAAATATGAAGAGAAATTCCAAATAAGCAGCACTGAAACCAAAACAATCCTTATAATACTACTCCAGAATTTCATACTAAGGGATCTCTAAAGATGTGCTTTTGCAAATAGTAGCGAAGTCCAGAACAAGTCAGCATCATCCTTACAGATTTACAGATGTGGTGTATCTGCTTCAGCTTGGTCAGGTAAACGGGTGGCTTGAAGGAGCTGCGTGGCCAATAAAGGCAGCAGGTTGACTCACCTACGTCTCCTTCATTGGACTCTCTCACCCCCACTGAGCTTATAGAGATCAGACCTCAAGCAGCCAGGATCTCTTCTTGGAAAGCCTCCTTGCTTTGGGGATTCATCTCTGCTCAGGATTCCAGAATGATAATAGTGGGGGAAAGGAAAACATGTGGCTGAAAATAAGGCTCTTATCAGCCTGAACGAGCCCCAACATGAGCAATTTTGTGCAGAAATGTGTGTTTGGTTTTGATCACTGGGTCACTAAGCCAAGCTGTGGTACTGCATTATCTCAGCGATAATGAATCTTCCCAGTGGAGGACAACATTAAAGGAGTTAATGAAGGAGAAGTGATTGCTGGGTTAGAATCAGAGTTTTTGGTTCTATTGGGTCATAACACTCCACTGCTGAAGAAAAGCAAAATAAGACCAAGCAGAGAACAGAGAAAATCACTGTTATTCATTCCAGATTCCTTTATGGGGTTACAACAAAGTTTCTCTCCACAACTGTCAGTTTTTTCCAGGACCAGACATATTTTGTGATTTCCAGTAGCTTAAAAAGTGATTGTTTCATTACCCAACTTAAAAGAATTCTGTAGCATTGGCTGTATTATTCTAATTCTTATTTAAATGGTTTGGATGAGAAGGCTTTATGTAAGCTGTGTATATTCAGAACTAGTGATGAAAGTAATAATTAAAAACAAAAAAGGAACGAGTATCAAATATTAAATAATTTTAATATTTATAAAATGATACTCACTTGAGATTGAAAGCAGCCAAATAGATGTGTGCAGCAGAGACAAATATGGTACAAATCAGTTACAGTAATAAAAAATCATAACTAATGAAAAGAGAAAACAAAAAAAAAAAAGCACCAGAGGGCGATTATAGCAAGCACTCTCAGTATAAAGAGGAGAGAGATGTTTAATTCTGATACCATTTATGTAAAAACATAAAATAACAAAATTAAGCTGATCTGTGGAAGGACCATCAACAACATGCAAAATGCTAAAAAGAGAATGTACCAAATTATCCTACGGTGCAGACAAGACAATGTCAGGGACCAAAAAGCTGGTCTCAACACGGTTCAGCATCCATTTCTGGTTTGCCCACAAGCTAACACAGAACTGAATCCCATCCATGGTTTCTGAATGACTGGAAATGGATCTGGGCTTCCCACAGCTACTCTGTTGTTGTTGCTGTTGTTGTTATGTTTACGGATAACAGTACTACCCAGTTATCTGCAAACATCACCCCGTTGTTGTTATTGTTATGTTTGCAGATAACATTATTACCCAGTTATCTGCAAACATCATCCTGTGTCCAATTCTGGGCACTACAATTTAAGAAGGATGTTGACAAGCTAGAACATGTGCAGAGGAGTCTGGAAACTAAGCCTTACGAGGACCTTTTGAAGGAGCTGGGTGTGTTTAGCCTAGAAAAGAGGCGACTGAGAGGAGATATGATAGCCATCTTCAAATATCTTAAGGGCTGTCACATGGAGGAGGGAGCATGCTTGCTTTCTCCTGCTATGGAGGGTAGGAATTGATCCAGTGGCTTCAAGTTACAAGAAAGGAGATTCCAACTAAACATTCGGAAAAACTTTCTGACAGCAAGAGTTGTTTGACAGTGGAATGGTCTCCCTCGGGAGGCTGTGGACTCTCCTTCCTTGGAGGTTTTTAAGTAGGGGTTGGGTGGCCATCTGTCATGGATGCTTTGGTGTGATTCCTACATTGCAGGGGGTTGGAGTAATTGGCCCTTGGAGTCCCTTCCAACTGCATGGTTCTATTTGGTACCTGGTAATGCAGTCTGCATCAGGTTGCTTTGGCTCAGAAAAAAGCTTAGCTCTGCTCTGGTGCACACACAAACCTCTCGTGGATGTGGACTGCCCAACTCACCTCAATGGAAAAAGCAACAGTGCGCACACAGAGGAATACCCATTAAGAGCTGCTTCCCCCAATGGAAATGTTTGGGGAAGTCCCTGGGCTCAGGTCAGAGCAGTCTCTGCCCACATCAGAAGCCCCTCTCCTAAGGAAACACTGAACTTACTGGAGACCTTGGTAGTAAAGTGGGAATTTTACCTTCACCTTCAGTCAGGCATGGAAATGAGACTGGCCAGTGTAGCTTTGGGTTTGTTTGTGGGAGAAGCAGGTCCAAATCTTAGTCATGAAGCTGACTAGGGAACCTCAGACAAGCTCTCAGTTGGTTGCAGTAAGGGGAAATTGCAATAAGAATGAATAATAAAGTGCTTTGTGCACTGTTAATGCAACCTTCCCCAGTGCCCCCAGTGCCCTCCAGATGCTTTGAACTGTATCAGCCTCAGCATCCAATGGCTGTCCTGGTTGGAGCTAAGGGGCACAGGAGTCAACTCCTAGGGGCTGAGGTCCCTTTGCTGCCATAAAATATCTGAGCCCCCCCCTCCCCAGTTGATGGACATTGCCATTCAAATGGTATGTGTGCACCACTTTATGTGACTGATTATGCAGGATGGGGCTTCCTTGCCCCCCCCATTTTATTCATGTTGACATCCCTGCTAAGGGGAGTTGTAATCCAAATCATCTGGAGGCCACCAGGGTAAGGAAGGCTGGCTTAGTGATACACAGAGGAAGTAGTTGAGGTTGCTTCTGTGTATGGGGCTTAGGATCAGTAATACTTCTAGTGGCCAGAATGAACCTTGAGCATAAGGCTCTCTCCTTAGATGCTCAGGAGATGTTGACTGCCAGGAGCAGCTTTGATCAGCTGCCGTTGATTCACCAGCCACAGGTCCTGCTCAGAGTAATGGATCTAAGCTCCTGTGCTGGTGACATCCAGACTGTATTGCTCTCTGTGTGGGGCTACCCTGAAAGGGTGACAGTTGGGAAACTTCAATAGCTGCAAAAAGCAGTCACTAGAGTACTAGTAGGACAATGTCAAGCTCACAGTACACCTACCCTACAGCAGTTAACACTGGTTGACCACTTGTTCCTGGGTTCAATTTAAGGTGCAACCATTGACCTGTAAAGCCCTAAGCACCCTGCGACCCAGATACCTGGAGGTCCCCCTTCACCCTTAAGAATCCAGGTGAGTCGCTTTAAGATGATAATCTCAGCAGAGCAGAATTATGCTAAGTGCTAAGGGATAGGGATCCTCTGAGAACATGCTCAGCCCAAGGATTTTTGATGAGTAGCAGAACCAAGCTCACAAGTCCTTCAGTGCAAAAATCCATGCCTGGTTTCCCCCACACGCAGTATTTTTCAGCAATCTAAAGTGGGAAAGCTTTTAAATAATTGCTATAGACAACTGACAGTCAGAAATCCTTTTCTCATCTATGGCAGATCACCAAGAGATCTGCCAGTAGCTCCCAGTCTTCCTGATTTAGAGAGCAATCATAGGTACGGTTACTCAGTCAGAATCAAGTCACACTGAATTCAACAAGCCTTCCTTCCTTCCTCCCAAGTAAGTGTGTATTGGATTGCAGTTTTACTGAACCCTGGGGTAATATCGATAGATTTCACAGCCACCCAAGAGCCACCACAAACAGTTCCAACAACAAAGTAAAGTTTGTATCTAAAGTTCAAAAAAATAACACAGATGGTGGGGGTAGCTGAGTGGCCCATAACCTATGATGGCTCAGTTAAGTGTCCATAATATCTGAACACATTCTATAGAGAATTTAGAACAGCAACGAACACTATCAGGCTAGGGAATGGGGAGGTCATGTGTCCTTCAGTCGGGGTGAAGGAAAGGAGATAAACCAGCAGCGGAAGAGTGACCCCAACAGAATAGGAGTAACTAACTGCAAATTCATGGCATGAAAATAATGTAGAGAGGAGGGTGTGACCTGACACCCCCGCCCCCCAATGAATGTCTCTTCCTGCAGCTCAGGATGGAGACAAGTAACCGAGAAGTCCAAGTTGGAGCTAGAGAATATATGAGGAAGCAATAACTTCAACAGTTTTTTTTTTAACTGCAGAATTTCCATATATTTTGTTCCAAATACCACTTCTTCTGAGAGTTAACGTTTTCTGCTGATTTATTATTATGCAGAGAACTCTGTTGCCCTTCAATATAATGAAGGTAAGTTTTGCACTTTTTGAGCAAATATATACTTGAGAAATGGCAAGTTTTGGTGTGGCTCAAATGGGCAGGTGCCCCCCAGGAGTGGGGATGAGGGAAAAACTCAGTTCAGCTGAATCTATCAAATTTGCACTTTCCAAAACAATATGAGAACTGAAACATAGCTGTCCGTCAAAATTCACACTTACATGAATTTTGCAAGACAGGTCTCCAACTAGACAGTGTTTACAAAAATGCACATAACGGGGGGATATGTGGATAAAAATGAATATATTAGTGAGAATTACAAAAGTGCATTTTATCAGGAGAAGCTGTTTGCAAAAAATGTGTTTGTTAGTCAAAAGTGCAGACAAAAGTGTGTTTATTAGGAGAAAAGTTACACTAAAATGCTGAAGAATTTCCATGCTGTTTTTTAAATCTGCATCCTGGGAGTTCATGCTGATGGTTTGTTAACAAACTGACTGACTAGATAGATAGATAGATAGATAGATAAATAAATAAATAAATAAATAGCCTTCTACAATACAGCCACTGTCAGAGAAGAGTACATCATGGCTCTGGAAAAAAAGAATTTGGTTTCTTTTCCCCTGATGAGATATTAAATTGTCTTGTAAGTCCGCTCACCCCTCTTGGTGTGGTGGCATTACAGGACAGTGGAGGCTTCACTGGGGCCCCAACGAGGGAACTGGAACCTGCAGTGCCCTTCCTGATAGGCGGTGGGGGCATAAGCCCCTGCCACCTATCAAGGACAGGGTCCTAGCTCCAGACGGCAGTCCCTGCGGGGGTCACCCTATTTGATGTAAATCTTAGGAACCCCCGCCTGGATTGACCACACATCACTTCCAGCAGGTGGGCCAGAAGTATTTAGATTGCCCCGTGCCCAAGCCAAACCTCTTTCATCTGTATTCAATAAGGTTGTGGCCTGTTTTGACCTAAAGCCAGTCTTATTGGTCTCTTATTTGCATGGGTTGGGGTATGGGGAGCCCGACGCCTGGTCCTGCAACTAAGATGCTCTCTTCTTGCAGTTGTAGTATCAAATACTTTATAGACGTTCAGGAAAACTTTTCAAATGTCAATATTATAAGTGGAGATATATCTAGATCATGGGTGCCACATCAAATTTTTACATTTCAGTAGAACCCCAAGACCAACCAATGAGAGACTGGTGGTGTTCTTTTAAGAGGAATGGTTTGGGGTGGACACAGGGTGGGACCTAAGGGGATTTCTTCTTCTGTAACTCTCACTGAGTATTACAAAATGAAAGTAACTGGGTTTTCATCTTTTATTCATCATTTGTAGAAGTGGAGTTCTTTGGTCATTAGTTAAGTTTGTCAGTTTAAAATAAAAGTAATCAGTGTTAAAGAAGCGCATGAATTCATCTACCACATAAATCAGAGATGGGTTACAATAACATGAACTCAATTTTTGTTTTGTTTCAATCTGCTTATATAAAAAATAAGAGCTCTTCTCCTTGGGAGTATCTCAGAGAGAGCTTGCTAACTGAATGTGCAAATAAATCCAGACTCAACTCTGTGTGAAGGTATCTCAAATTCAGCACCAAAGAAACAACAACTTATGCATCTCAGATGAATTAGGCAAATTTGCTGATATTTTCCTATTTTTTGTAATATCTTTTGCTGGGGTATACTTTTACTGAGGGGCAACTACTCTGCTGGATGTCACTGCTCTTTCCCTTTCTGGAACTTCACACATTTTGAAGCTCAACTTCACAGCCATAAGGACTCCAAGCTTACATTACAAAAACCCAGAAAGCTGGAAAAACCCCAGGAATTTGAATTCTTATACAACACCATATACCATGCATGTGCCTTGCTCTTTCAGTATGCATGCAAGCCTCTTTGTGATCCATCAGCTTTAAAATCTCACATGGAAGAAACATTGATAATGTTGAAGTAAGATTCAGTTGCCAGTCCAGTCAGCTTCTGTGCATGGCCTCTGCCTCAGGCAGCAAAATGACTTGGGCTGGCCTTGACTATGACTGACAGACCCCGGGGTCATTGGCTCTTAAATAGCATTTTGTTAAAATGCTGGTGAAATTATTTAGTACACCAACCACCGATTTAACTTGAACACATGGAGACTTCTTGCATGCCAGTTTTCACCCGCTTGCCTCAACATACGATGCCTCCCACACGGTGCACCCTGATGCCACCTCTATGCACAATGCTCCTGGTCACTGGCCTGAGCACATTACAACATCATGCAGAACAAGCCCCAATGAAGAGGGGCAGCCAGAGATGCCTCTGCTATCTCAAACCAGTCTTTGCAAGGATACATCAGAAACCTTTTGCAGGTCTCATTTCCTTCAGGCACAGGGTATCAACACAGAACTGTGGTTCAAACAATGAATGGCAGCAAGGAACGCACACCAGGATTGCATCAGGAGGATGCAAGACTTGTACTCACCTGGGTCTGGAGCAATGCACTCGCACTTATACATTGTCACGTAGTCTGGCTTGAAGCCTGCATTGATGGGGTAGTACTTGAAGGCTCCAATCATCTTCTTGATGGCGTCGTAGATGAAGATGAAGCTAATGAGAGTGGAGAACCCTTCCTCAGTGAACCGTGTGATGTATTTTATAATGAAGCTGGCATCTGTAGCCACCAGGATAAGGCACTGGAGAGCAGAGTGCAAGCCGATCCAGAGGCGGAACTCCATGTAGTCAATGCCATTGCCTCTGAAATTGGAAATGAAATGAAGTCATGGGTTGTTTTAAGTAATACTCATAAGACATTTGATCCTTATAAGGAAATGCAAGAAGAACACGTGAATGATGTTGCCATAATTCATTTAGTATTTTATTTATTTAGGGTCCTGCGAGGCTGCTCGTCCACTAGCCCAGGAGGCTCCCACTGGTACAATGGAGCCTTCCTTCCTCTCTGCAGCCCCCTCAACTGCTGATGCAAAGAAACATATAGAAAGGAGAATTCCTGCATGA